TCTCTCAATTCCGGGCGATGCAGTTCAGGTTTTGCTGGAACCGCTTTCGGCATTGCAGGGACACAAAATTTCGGTCTATCCTGTGGAATGACCTCCCATGTTGACACACTAGGCTCACCTGAGGGGCTAGGGTTTACCCGAAGCTTTCTTGCAGTAGCGACTGCACCTTTCTTCTTCTTCGGACCCTTTGATGCTGAACTTGATGCAGCACCACCGCTGCCTACAGCCATCTTTTCAGCCTCCTCCTCAACAAGCTTTTGCCTATCCTTCGGACTAAGCATTTTCCAAAAATCCGATGGGATCGACTCAGGGCGTTTTGACCCTTTGTACGTTTTCACAAGGCGTGTGCCGTCCCAATGATAACCATCCGGGATTGGAGTACCAGTTGGAGTGTACTTGATATCAGGAAAAACTGGTTCTTCAGCCGGCCTTTCATCACTGGCAAGTGCGTCAAGCACTGCCTCCGTTGACTTGTCAATTGCTGCTTCACTTTCTTCTACATGTTCCTCTGTTTGCAATTCGGATTGAAACGGAATCGGACGAGGATCAGCAATGACATTGTCGACTAGGCGGTCCGGCTTGGGCTCTTTGGCCTCTTTCAATGCACGGAGTGGGAAGACAAAACCTCCCGCGATGAGCTCAACACGTCGTGCTCGCTGCACTGTGATGCTGCCCGTTTCTGCATGGTAATCCAATGCTTCTAACTTGGCAACAAGATACTCACCCTTCCATGCGAAACCAGGTTGAATGTGGTATCCCAAAAAGATTCCATCATTTGCTGTTGGTGATGTCTTTCCAGATGTGTTGTCAACCCTTTTTGGATTGTTCCAAAACAGTATCTTTGCACCGAAAGGAATCAACTGACCTGGAAAATCTTCTTCGAATCTAAGTTTCCATGGGGCATCATCACCGTTGAGCTGTGGCGTGGCATTCACTGCCATGGAGAAATGCTGCATAGCCATTGGCCAATACTGCAATGGAAGACCTGACTGCACAAGGTTTGTGCGTGTGCCTTCAAGCATGTGCCTGATCTCCCTCTCCACAAACGACTTTGAACTGTCCACATACTCTGTTGATGTTTGATGTCTGTACCCCAACTCTGAAATTGTAGCAATAAGTTCTCGTGAATTGTCAGTGTAAACTGCCCCAACTTCATCCTTGTGAGATAAGAAGTGGTTGAAAGCATTAACACATGATTCGCTCGATTTTGTCTGGCTTGGATAGACGTGTCTGAACTGTGTGTGGATGTCCTTCATCACCAATGCCACTGTTTCGCCTTTGACGCCTTCTTCCACATTGGATTTGATTACAGTATGGTCAGCGACAATGTGATCCCCAAAACTTTTGGTTTCCAACCTTTTCTGTCCCCCTTTCTTCTTTGCGGGTGGCGCCATCATGCGCGCCTTCTGACAGATCTTGCAAAATGGATTCTTGGGGTAATGGCAAAACTGGTGAGACTTACTGCATGCCTCTTGCTCAAGGTCAGATGCCTTTCTAGACCTGACGTATTCGGTTTCGCTATCATGAGCTACTCCCTCGTCCACGCCTTCTTCATCGGCACCTTCTGCTTTTGCAGCAACCATTGCAAAAAGACGTAACAGATCACAATCTTTCTTGAACTGTCCACTGTTCAAAACACGACAAGAGCTATCAATAACCGGCACACGGCCGTCTACGTTAAGCTCAATGACTCCCATATCTGGACGAATGAAGTAAGGCCTTCCATCAGCTGGCCACACAAAACTGTAACCCTGTTCCATACACCTGACCCCAACCGAAAGAACAGCAGGAGTTTCCTCAAGAATGTATGGTGAAAACGGCTGATGTAGGGCATCGACTTTTACGTCGGCCACCTCATCCGCTCGTGTCGAACCGTTTGCTGTAGCAAGGCTGATCGGAGTATCGCTGATACGGCGGTTTGTCGCCTTTGCGGTCTTCAGCATACCCTCACTGATCAAATCCTGTTCACTGCCCGTGTCAACCAACCAAACACATCCATCTTTTGATGCAGGTGTAGCAACAGTGGGCAAATGAGTGTTACTAACTTTGTTCTTGGGACCGATCATTGCTCTACAGTGGTTGCATGATACTCCCCCTTCTGGGTCATTGCATCGGAATCGGCACTTGGGCTGCATCTCACTGCCGAAGAGCTTCACAAGTTCCTGCAACTGCCGGGCCGAAACCTGAGCACGGTGAGCCACGAGTTTGTCGGGTTTTGGCACTGACTCTGAATCAGGGAACGTCTTCTCATAGATTCGGGGTTTGTGCACTACCTTCCTCTGTTCACCTGTTGCTGGGACTTTGATGTATTCCACTTTTGATGAAAACACAACGGCTCTATGGCATTGTTCTTTCATGGCCTTTGTAGCTTTTGGCAACCCTTTTCCCTTTGCTATGCATGCATACCTTTGAGTAATGCATGGCGCAGCTTTTGCACTGGCCTTCTTCTTTGGTGCAGGGCTATTGGTGCGTTTTGGATCCTTTGTGGGTGCAGCTGCAACTTCATGTTTGTAAAAACATTTGTCACCACGACGACATTTGCCCTGTTGGAAGTAAGTGCATGGGATCTTGGCCATCTCTTCCTTCGACTTTCTGTTGGGGGAACCACTTCTGCTACCACCTTTGCCCTTACCCTTTCTTTTGGGGGTACCAGATCTTGAGGAATCTTTGACATGCTTGTAGGGACAGTCTTTACCCTTTTCACATTTGCCATCCCTGAATTTGTAGCATATCTTGTCCCCTTTTCCACTCTGGCTACGGCCACGGGTTCGACCTCGGTCGCCCTTTCCTTTGCCGCGATCTTTGCCCCCCTGAGCGGGTGCAGCGGGCTGAGGCTTTTCGGTCTGCTTGTTCTTTTCAACGATTCTGTTTCTGTTTGAACGGAGTCTTTCTCTATCCAAAAGATCACGAATGTTTCTCAACAAGAATGCATAAGACTTTTGTTCTGACTTTTCAGGAGCTCTGTCGAATGCTTCAATGTCATACTTCATCAATTGACATTTTCGGATTTGTCTGAGTAAGATGTCTCTGAGAACCAAATCATCTGGTGGGGTTTCCATGCCGGCAATTGTGGCGTCCCATCGGTTCAAAAACCTTCTAAGGTCCTCCACAGATTCTCCAGTGCGAACAACTCCAAGTAGGTCCTCGACGCGGTAGAGACTGCCAGCTTCCTCAGACGTCCTGAAGTAATCTTCGAACATCAAAAGGACTCTCCTACCTCTGACTTGGATCCCTTTCTTTGACTTCTCATCCTTGAAGTTATGGATCTTTGTCGCTAAATCACCTTTGGCTGAGCGAGTTAACGCTGCCGACAATTTGGTGTCAAGTGTGATAAACTTCCCAGGATCCTGCAGCTTTTCCTCCAACTTTTCCCTAGGGGTTTTGTTGTCAAAGACTTCATTGAGCCAAAGCCAAGCCTCATCGGGTTTGTCGGAGCACGATTTCACTTCATCCCTGACATGATTACGCCAGTGACGATAAGCTTCTGGGGCAGGCATGTCATTCAGTTTGATAGTCTCTGCCTCTTTTGTTCGGGGCTTTTCACCATCTGAATCCTTTGAAGTCAGTCTAGTGATGAGATCTAGCAATTGTTGACCTGAAAGACCTAAGCCTGCTTCAGCTGCTTTCTTGCCAGGGTCGCTTGCTATGACTGTAGGACTGGGCACACTATGATCTTGGTTTGCATCATCATCATTTTGTCTTTGAACTGGCAATGGTGGAAGCTTTGGAGGGGCTGCTGATCCGGCAGGGGTAGTTGAGAACAAGTTGCTCAATCTTTCCTTAGCGTCCATGGCTAAGCTACTCATACCAGTGTTTGGCATGGGTTCTGCTCCAGCCTTGGTACCGACCGCTGATTTTGGGGTCATGTACAAATCGACATTATTACCGCCTTGTGCATCATCAACTTCGACGGCTCTGTCGACACTGATTTCCGGGGCGCTGTACTTGTTGAGCTTCTCCATCAAATCCTCGACTTGTCCCTGCAATTGGAAATTGAGTTCAGCAGCTTGGTTTTCCTGCCTACTGCATTCCTCTCTAATCTCCTGAATTACCGCTTGTTCCTCCTTCTTGAAACCTTCCATGCCATTCTTTGCATACTCCACTGTTTCGTCCACGATTCGTTTACAGTCTGCCTCGAGGCTACTTCTGAGTTCAGAAAACCTTTGTTCGTACTGGGCTGTAACATGGGCTACCTTTTGGTTGGCTCTTTGTTCAGCTTCCAGTGCGACTGCATTCGCAGCATTCTTCAGCTTTGCATTTGCATCGCTAAGTTCCTGTCTCAGTCTTGCTACCTCATGCTCAGTTGCCGTTTGGGACACTGAATACTCTGACACTAGGTGTTCATGTCTGCGATCAGCCTCTGCACGTTGATGGGCGATTTCGCTAAGGCAAACTCCCTCAAACTCTTGGTACAGTTGCTGCACCTTTTGCTCCATGAGATGTGTGTGCCTCTCCTCCGCCTCTTGCCTGAAAGCATCAATGTTACCTTCGTTGATGTAGGTAAGATTGTTTTGCACGAACTGGAAATATGCTTGCACGGGCTGTGTGAAGAAACCTTCATCCACTGACATGGGCGTGGGGTTTGTCCCAGCCGGCAAGCTTTGTTGTGAACCAGTTGTTGCAACCGTTGCTCCAGTCGAGGGGACAAGGGCGCCTCCACCTGAGGTGTCACCAGTTGTCCTTTCCATGGCTTTACGAGACTACGGCTGATAACCTGTATTTACAGGTTTCAGCAGGGGATGTTACTTATCCCAACTAGACTGATAAACCTATAACAAGTGGGAAGAAAACCGTTAAGCTAGCGGCGCACAAGCTACTTTTTACCTGAGCCGCAATGCTATCAAGTGCATGCTATATTACAGTGTGTTTTATGTGAGGTGATTTTACAAATCCATTTGCACATGATTTAAGCTGAAACGTTCAACATTGTCATATGAAAAATGGCAAACCATCTTCGACCATCTTCGTGTTACCCATGGTGACGACTGGGGATCCCCAGCAGCATCGGGGGATCCTAAGGCGACGGGGCGCTACAGGAGTTTTTGGTCAAGTCGCTGGGGAAAGGATTTGGGATGTTTGGATACGCAGTATATTAGGTGATACCACATCCCAGAATCAGATTTGGCTATATATATATGTATGTAATAATATATGTATTAAATATATATTATATACTGTATATTAATTATTATTAGATTATTAATTATTATTACTATTATTATTATTATTAATAATATATATATATGTATATATATAATAACCAACAAAATATATTATTTGGGGTAAGTATGTTTAAGCAACTGACCAATATATGTGTGTCATTTTTTGAGGTTTCATGTCGGAATGGGAACCAATATTTTAGCAGGAAACCATTTGGCTATCCATGACTCAAGTCCTTACGGCACCACTACCGGGTGACCGCGACCGCGACCCTTTCTGAGAAAGACCGCCACGAAGAAATATGTGCAGAGACACTGATTCCAGCAAATTACCATTTATTTATATTATAACCTCAAGAGTGGTAAGTTTTTTCCCAGATTTTTTTTTATCCATGGAATTATCTATATATTGGAATGATCAGTGCTAAAGCCAGAAATCTTTATCCATGGAATTCTCCATGGATTTCTCCAACCATCCAATCGAGCCAACCTGTTCGATACCAGCACCTCCATGGGGTTCAAAACCGGTGAGGCCCCGGTAAGCCAATAGCTGGGAAATTTTTAATGTGAAAATATAGCTATGAAAACCAGCTAACGAACCAGTTAATACATGTTAATAGCCATAGTTAATAGCTATAGTTAATGCCTATGGATATCAACCAGCTATAAACTATATAGTCTGTATCATTCTATATCTATTGCCCAAAACAAATTGTATCTATAGCTATTGATCATGGATGCCATTCGCCAAAGTTTACCCCGGGCTGGACCCGCTAGGCCTGCTGCTCCGTCTCAGATGGCTCTGCGACCAGTGGCAGCTAGGACATCATATTATGTCCCCATTTAGACTGCCATTTTAAGCATTTTATTTTTGGACATATCCACATGGTTTTGAGTCATTGTGGATCATCATCTCATTTTTTGGAGGGACATGGATGGACATAAATGGACATGGATGGACACTGATTCATGGAATGGACTAGTTTGTGAACATCTTCCCTCAGTGGAGATATGAGGTGTTCTCCTCAACCAAACGTTTTTGTCTGCTGATCATACGATATTCTTGTCTGCGTTTCCACTGAAGCTCACGGCTGAGCTTGATCCAGCGCCACGCCAGGATGGTTTGCTGTCCATCTCTGGCTAATCTTGAACTTATCCCAAAGTGCTTGGTTCCACCCAAAAAATATGCTTCATCATGCTTCATCATGCTTCATCATGCTTCATCATGCTTCATCATGCTTCATCATGCTTCATCATGCTTCATCATGCTTCATCCACAATATATTGTCGTTGCTCACCATCTTCCATTGGTGGCATCTTAAGATACCCGGAGCATTGTTTTGGGTGTCATTGTTTTCACCATTCTCCTTGGCTGGCTAGCCCCCGCATCAAGGTACTTGTATTGCGAGTATTGCAATCAATCAGTTTTTTGGTGATACCCTAGTTGCAGCTGACGACATGACATGCTATGCCCCCGCAGAACTACCACCTGAGAGCTACGGTGAAGCGAAACTCAACAAATCAAGGCTATAGGTAGATGAGTTTATATACTGACAATGGCATCAGTGCATCAGTTCTTGAAGCTCTGAGCGTTCAGGGACCCACCAATTTATACTTCATTGTTTCAAGTCAACATGATAATATGTACCCTCTGGTAATTTACAGTAACAGTTTGCTATTGAAAATGACCATTGAAATAGTGGATTTTCCCATTAAAAATGGTGGATCTTTCCATAGTTATGTAAACGTTTACCAGAGGGTAAGCCCATGGTGTTCCTACTATTGTGCCAATACGGCCAGCACTTCTATGCCCAAAGTCTTTCGGGATGATTGTTGGAACCCTCATTATTGGTGACCTTGCAGTTTAGGCTTTCTAGTATTTGGCGATCAAATAACTATATATATATTATATATATATTATACTGGTTGGTGGTTTCAATTCCTTTGAAAAATATTAGTCAGCTGGGATGATTATCCCATATATTATGGAAAATAAAAGCCATGTTCCAAACCACCAACCAGTATACATGGCTCTGGGTTTGCGAACCATGGAGACGACGTTGATGAGCCTCTGCGGAAATTGTGCTGTCCCCCAAAACGGTTTTTTCATCACTTTTTTACAACGCCATTAAAAAACACATAAAAAGACACATCGAAAAACCCTATATTAACCCTCAAGACACCCTACAAACCCTGAAAAAGATCCTGTGAGAACGTATATAATTAGTGGAAAAAAATCCTTGGTGTTCAGGTCCATACCCACATCTCTGAGCCCATTTCATGGCTCAAACAGATGCAGCACCTCCAATAGGCTTTGTGGGCCATAGAAGAGCCTTGCTGACGAGCTTTTTACGCCAAGACCGGCGACGGCGGGAGGGGGCAAAACATGTGGTACTTGGATGATTCTTGAAGGTTCTATTTAAACTATAATGATGGGATAATATGGGAGAATGATGGGATGATTGGGATGGCTAAATCCATCTAAATTCCCAATAAACATGTTGAGATGTAGATAGAACATGATATATCTTGATAGCACATGATATATCGTATGGGGTGTGGTCAAACGTGAGGGGCGCCAACATGTTTATGCGGAGCTTTTCCCCCATGTCTAAGTCCTCTACGATCTCCAGATCTCCAAGTTATCGCAAGATTTCATGACTGGTTGGTGGTTGACCTACCCCTCTGAAAAATATGAAAGTCAAATCTGATGATTGTTCCCAATATAAAGGAAAGTCATAAAACTCATGTTCCAAACCACCAACCAGATGATATATGATCCTATTGAAATCAACCAGCAGGCTCCGTGGCCATGGCCAGTCCCTTCTGATCTGCGCTGAGCGTCCCGGCTTTCGCCAACCCAGTTGCTCACCTGTCGGGAGCTGAACATTTTTCGTGACTGGATGCTGTATTTGATGCCACGGTTAGGTCAGATAACTCGATCCATGATGTTTTAACTCACATGTATTATCTTGGTTTCCATATACTGTACATATATATATATATATATACATTATATATATACACATTATATATATATGTACATGTATACACATTATATATATACCATTGTATTCTATATATAAATATCCCAATGATGTTTTGGGCTTCTTACTCAATTTTCCTATCAGCTTGGGTGGTTTTCATCACCAGAAACCACCGTTTTTCAAAATCACCCACCGGAGACCACCATCCTCCGCGGGCTATACACTTACCATCTGGTTATGACTAACATAGCCATGGAAAGATCCACCCAATTTTTAATAGGTAAACCCAGGTAAAGCATCTATAAATGGGCCATCTATACCATGGCTATGTTAAATAACACCTACCCATATGCGAACCATGGTGCTGGTATATTTACCTACATGACTGGGTGATTTTGTTCGGGCTAATGTAGGTAAATATACCAGCACCATGGAGCATATGGGCTATACACTTAAGCTATATTAAGCTATTCAATCATGAATAATTTCTACTTCTGGTACTTGCGGTAGACAAAATTATAACATGCTATGAAACAAAAACATGGGAACATGTCATGTTTTGAACACGAACAGTCCATTGATCGATCGGGTTTCCCCGCCGGGGAAGCCAGCCCGGTTTTATACAGGAGAAACATCAAAATAGCTGGTAAATAGATGTTCATACTTCTCAAATATGCTACAACATTGTATTTTAAGTTTAGAAAAACAAAAATGTTCAGAATCTTACAGACAATAACTTGAGGTTTCCGACTCTTTGAAAAACTGTCCCCTACTAGTTTCACGTAGCTGAGGAAAACTATCCATAGAAATCAGAGAAATTGAATGAAATTGATGATTTACATCGATTTACCCTTAAAGAACTGATATTTTCCATAGCCCTTTGGTATTTCCATGTATTTCCAGCCTCAACAAAAACCCCACCTGCTGCGGCCACATTGGTGAAATCCACAAAGGTGGTCCAATCCACATGTCCGGCACCTCGATTTTTGTGAGAGGAGAACTGCGAACCGCGATTTGTTGGATGGTTAGTGATCTGTTGATGCTTACAATGTGAGGCCCCCCAGTTATGTTTGTTGGTTTAGATTCGCCCCAGTAACTATAGTTATAAGTACCATAAACCATAGTTATTGGAGTTATGCTCACCAACTTAGCTATCTTGGGGGCCTCACATTGTAGTGATGTTTTTGTTTTTCTATGGAACATGTTTTTTTCGGTTGATCATTTCTTTATTGGTCATGTCATCAGCGGAGAAAACTCACCGTGTCCTGGGCTTCGCCAACACAACGGCCAATAGCTGTAGCAGTTCGGCAAGCCCTGGCAACACGCTGACTGCGACAACGTGACTAAAGTTGTACATCAACAAAATGTGGAATGCGCGTGTGGAAAATGCGTATCTACCCAAGTATAGTCTATCAATTTGTTTAATGTTTCCACGTCTGGAAACATGAAGATCATCAGATCAGTCCCATAAAGTGGATTCCATAAAGGATTATCATACATATATATATATGAATATCATAGAGGATGATCAGTCACCCATCCTATATTGGGGATTTTTCCCTACAAAATCCTGTCAGTTCCGCCTGCATCAGCTCCCCCGGCACGGGTGGAATGAAGATGCCATCGCTGCCCACGTCCCCCGACAAGCTGTGCCCCAAGACCTGGCGATTTTCGGTGAAACATCCCGGTGAACCAATCCTTTCTACAAGAAATGATTCATGGTTGGTGGTTAATGGTGGTTAATGGTGGTTAATGGTGGTTAATGGTGGTTAATGGTGGTTAATTGATATATATCTGGTTGCTGGTTGCTGCTAACCCCTCTGAATGATGGACAACGAAAGTCAGTCAGTTGGGATGATGACATTCCATTCCCAAGTGAACGGACAAATAAAAAGCCATGTTCCAAAGCACCAAGCAGAATCCATTCAGACCCAATTGATCAAAGTCAGGAGATGAGAAATGGTAGATATATTTCATAGCTAATCATCCAGATTTTGCCATGGTCATTATGGGTGTGAGTACGGCCAAATGAGCTAAGCCATGAGAATTATGATAATGGTGTTAAATGATGTTATTACGGTGACCATTACTAAAGTTACTTTGATGATTATGACAAACATATAACGATAGTGGATTATAATGGATTTATAATAAGATAACCATGGTAAACATGACCACTTACCCAACATAATTATGATATTGCAGTCATTACTTTGTTCACAAGATCGCAGTCCCCACAAACTTTATTCTAATAGTCACCAATATATAAGTGATGTTCATTCTTATAATGAGTATATATATGTGTAGCTCCCCACTTGTCATTCGTATCCTTTGTTCATGGAGTTGTCAGGGATAAACGCCACTTATCTACCTGGGAGTTGGCCATGGAGGGAGCTATTTGGGATGATCAACTAAGCCATAGGACACCTATGAACTGCAATGGACAACTCATTTTTTTGGTAACCCCAGGCCCTGCACCAGCCAAAGAAGACCATGTTTGGGAAATTCACCACCTGGGAATACATGTTGAAAATAAGAACCAAACATGTGGAGAGAGTATGAGAGACTCATAGCAGCTAAAACGGCTTAGGAACTGTTGTGCATAGAGAAGTTAAATTGGTACAAATACTACCTACAAACAGCATTTCTCCACTATTTCTTCCATAAGCACATATGAAGGGAATATCTTGGTATGGTACTAAAATGTTAAATTTATATATGATGTAAATACAGTGTGTATATATATACAGTATATATATATATATATGCATGTATACATATCATATACCCTCTGGTAAACGTTTACATAACGAACTGGAAAATCAATATGTTTAATTTCGGTAAATCATGGTAAATCAACTATTTCTATGGGCCATGTTCAATAGCAAACTGTAACAGTCATTACCAGAGGGTATATCCATCAATATCCCAGTATTATCCCATCATTATCCCATAATCCATGTATAAATCCATTAGTTAATCATCCATTAACCATATAGTAACCATCCATTAACCATATAGTAACCATATGTATAGTAACCATATAGTAACCATCCATTAACCATCATATGACTGGGCCAGATCTGGCTGGGCTGGGATGAATGGGATGACCTCGCAGCCACGAGGTGCCTGGATCTTCGCTATAGTAGATTGTTAAGACTGGTAGATTCTAAGATAGAAATATGATAGAAATATGATAGAAATATCTGTAGATCGAACTTTCTAGAATATCAAAAAAAATGATATATATATATATATAGATTACTAAATTTCTGAAAAATGATTATGTATAGAAAACTGGCAATGATGAAGCTAATCACTGTGCCAATCTTCAATATCTGGTTGAATTTCATTCACAACTTATTAAATAGCTGTCATTATTTTTTCTGACCATTTTTGAGCCTCCATTGGGATTCCCCAAAACATCACCATTCCAGTAACGTTACAGTGAGATCACTATAGAAATGATCCAGAAACTTTTCAACGTTCCTTTGAATCCTCCATCCAACCTGCAAACGCCCTCGAAAAACCCTTTCGGACTCGCGCGGCTTGACAAATTGATCAAGGCACTGCAGGTGCCTTTCGAACACGTTTTGGGGAACCGAATTGATTGGTGTATTACAGTATAATCGGTTAATCAAACAAAATACTATAGAAAAAATCCAATTAACATTTTGTGTTGCAACAAAATTGTCCTTCAAATTTGACTCAATATGTTCACTATGGTCTACGTGTGTCTGAATTCTTGGCAAACGGAATGATGATGAACAACACCCTTCTCCGTGCATTTCTGCACAGGCTTAAAAACTTTGAAACGGGACTGAAAAAACGGGACTGAACGATGCCCGCACAGGACTACTCGTTTTTGGGTGACCCTCAACTTCGCTGAGGCCCCACTCGCTGGGAAACCGATCGAGGACTGAGGCTTCGGATTACCTTCGACTATCCATGGTGGCTTGTGCATGGCATAGGTATCATATGATGAATCATATGGTATCATGATGATTGAAAAAGCAGAGGAGTTGGGGGGGAACAATACCTGAAGCGAACTACGCGAGGTATTTATGTTAAATTCACCATCCAAGGTTTCCTCAGGTTTGATGTGTTCAAAACATAGGTCAAATATTGTCAATCTGTGTCATAAAGGGTGGAACATATTCTGTTCAACAAAAAAGTCGTCACCAGAGGTAGGTTGCATGTTGAACATTGTGCTGTCGCTGCGCCGACATCTTGTCCATTGGGGATCATTATTCCAACATATTCCAAATATGGACCGCAACAGACGCAGCTTGAAACCGCAACAGACTCAGGGCTTGAATCGCAGCTGGGTAGGCAGGCATCCGAAGACAACAGACACTAGAAATGGCCAACTTGAAATGCCTGAAACTTCCCCAAAGCTGAGGACTGGTGGATGCAGTCGGATGCCCCGAGACTTGCAGCCATGAAACCACAAAGAGGCAACATTCCGAATCATGCGAAAACAAACCACCATGCCGAGGTGATGGTTTGGGATATTTGTTTTAATTTGTGACTTGTATCAAGTCCCAATATCTTCACTGGCAGCTTGAAAGGAGAAAACAAGATATGTGTGAACTACTGCCATTTTGTTTGTAGGGTGGCAATTTGGACACCAAATCGTGTTTGGCATTCCCCCAATTGTTTGAATGTTGGCGTGGTATACTTCTGAGATCTGGTCTGGTTTGTGGTTTCAAAATATCACCAATATAATATTAAATTGGTAAAAATGCCGTGGTCGCCTGTTCACTTCTGATTTAACTTGAAGGGTGAATGTATCTCTCATATGGAAATGGGTCACAACCTATGGTACCATATGTGTGTGGATGAACATCCACAAAAAACAGTTAGCTACTTTGTGTTCACAGAGTACTAAGGTCTTGATCAATAATTAGCCAAACAAAACCAGTATTATAGATGGGTATCCCTCTGTTCATTAAAGCAAAGCATTGAAGACCTGCTATGATAAATATACCACTAGATACCACTCCTATTAATCGTACCGGTAGATGTATATCTCTACACCATAGCAAAGTCTTGAATAGCAAAGCCGTAGCGGGCCGTAGATATCAAAACAATATATAACGCTATAGTCACTAGTCAATATCTGCCGCAGCGGCATGGGCCTGGGTATGTGTTCTCATGTTTGCGATTCAAAATCACATGTTGGCTTGCTATATATACATATATATATATATAACCAGTCAAAATCACAACATATTTCCAGGATTTGGCCTTATGGTTGAGGTGGTATTTAACTATATTACCAGTCAAATTGAACCTCCAACTTTGAAGTAATACCCACGGTCCTCCAAGAATCGCACATTCACTCTATATGGAGGTTTCCTAAAATGGGGGGTACCCCCAAATCATCAATGTTTTTTTCTTAATTTTCCATTATAAACCATGCAGCTATTGAACAAAATTTACGGAAAGCGGATCGCATCCCATGTGGGACTGAAAATACGCCAGTCCATCCCATGGTTTTAAAGCTCATGGCTGCTATAATGATACATAATTTTGTTGACAAAATCAAATTACATTGTTGGTATCTGTTGGTTCAATCGATTCCCTGCCGGCCAGCGAAATCCAAATAAGATCCAAATCTAAATGAGCCTAATCCCATACCATCCTCGATGTTGGAACAGCTTTCGCCTACTTGTGTAGAGCTTCGAATGCATCCACAAGGGCGCGATTGTGCACGTCCGGATCCTCTGTAGATTCCTGTTCATTTTCAGCATCACCGTATCAGTTTTTTTTTAATTTTACGCATGATCCAGAAAATGGGGTGCTCGTGGAATCAGTAGTTCAAGTTTCTTTCACAATAAGCACAAACACACACACATACTCATATATATATATAAATGATATGACTTTAATTTGTACATTTACATATTCATGCATCTGATATATTTATATGTAGGCTATGTGTACATACACACTTTGGGCCATGTTTTCTCTGTTCGAGATAAACCCACAAAACAAAATGAGAAAACTCTTCTCAAACCCTCCATGAAAACTTGGAACTATCTTCAGATGTCGACACTCCAAAGACCATGTCCACTCAGAAAAATGCTCAGCGCAAAACTTAATCTCTAGCTGTTGCATGCGGGTACCCATTCACCAAAACAAATTATACAACGCATGGGGTCTGAAAATGGCACCCTCACATGGCAATTTTTGTTCAAACTGCTGATCATCCACTAGGGGTACCCTAACGCGAACCCACATTCACCTGAGGATCCAGAAGGCATATCTTACCCGAAACTGTATTAAAAGAAAAAACACATCCACTGCTCCAGCCCGATGGTTTCGTCGAACACGGCACTGAGACTTAGCTCTTTTACAGTGCAAAGGATCCCCCTGCGGCGTTAGGATCCTATAAGAATATAGCCCAAACATAGCCTTAAACAATTGGGGTAAACGGGTAAACATACGAATGTAAACCGGTTCTAGAAAGGAGTTGTTGATGTTGAATGTGGTAAACCAAAAAAAATTCATCCATTTTTCATCCTTTTTTCCAGAGCTGGAAATTGAAAACCATCCACCAACCTGAAAGGTGATTGGAATTCCGTTTGTCCAACATGGATAATCCAACCGTTCATCTTTCCGCTCGAAAAAATGCCTTTAAACAGGTTTGACTATGTTGGACTATAATTAATTGAAAGTGGGAACATGTTCTTCCTCAGGACAAGCACTTGGGCAGTTCTTGATAAAAATCCATGCATGGTTCAACTATATAACTGGCGATTTTGGGAGACATGCAGGTAAACTATGGTAAACTTGATCATGAACATCGATGAGTTGTGAGACAGACTTTCCAAACTTCTCAAACGCCCAGGGTGATGTATGGAGCAGGACGATTTTTTCACCGTGCCATGGCCGGTTATGATTCCTGGCGTTCAATGTGAAGACTCACCGGAGGTTCATCCTGGCCGGGGTCCACTGGGTTTGTGGACTTTCACTGGGCTGAATGGTGCCGTAAGCCCGCTACCCCTCATTGGTGTTATAACAAAGCTCCAACCATAGGCAAATCATAGCCATCCTGGAAGCAAAATGACTTTCAGATGGCTACAGTTGATGCTTCCGGACCGCAACACCATCTTTCCATGGCATTTTACGCCACGGCCTGGGGATCTAAAGCTAGGTATGCGGACGCTGGTGACGGACCGTGTATCAACAATGGGAATCTCCGGAATCATAGAACTCAATGGTGGATTTTCCAGCCCGCACGTTTTGATGACATTCCGGGATGAAGGATCCCTAATATGTATATATATATATATGTTATATATATGGTTGTTGATCAAAATTCCTTTATCCCGGAACGGCCATTCTTCGCGAATAAAAATTTTACTTTCGCGAAACTTTCGCGAGCTCCATGTTTATCTTTCGCGGGGCCCATGTTGGCCAACAACGCCTCTTATGAAGATTCGTTCACCACCTGCCAAATTACGCCAGAGAATCACGGATCACTTCTTGGTAGCCTTTTAAACATGCAGCTAGCATCACGGAATCCCTTCTCAGGACAGATTTTTTTTTGCAAAGTTTACTGGCCCACCCCCTTCAACATGCACTTTGACTTTCGCCCGCTCTTTCGCATAACTTTCGCGGAACTTTCGCGAAAATATCCCTATTCACAGACCCCGGCCATCAGCAGGGGGTGCACTGAAGGAAAAGCGAAGACCAGGGGCCTTGGTGTTTGGCTCTCGCAAAGCCTCACTTTTGGAAACTTGGCTACTGCTACTCGCATTCTCTGGTGCCCTTCTCCTGCCGGACCCCGGGCGGCAGAGGGTGGCAGCCCTTTACATATAATTTGGAGGAAAGAATTTGCAGGGCACTGGGTGGAGCGGGGCTTGGGGGGGTTTCCAACCTAGCTACATTGAACAGATATTTCTGATTAAATAGCCTTGCAAACGCTCACTGAATCTTCTACCGGAACACATTTCAAGACCCCATGTAGTTTGGTTCAACCACAACCTCTGCTATTGCAATGTAAGTTTGTTCTATGACAAGCAATGGCGAGTACAGGACAGACCCATGCAAGTGAGCACTAGCAAATCCTTAGCCTTCGCTTGGGCACTTCTTGTCCTTTGGGGGCTACTTCAACAGCATGTACCTGTGAAAATCAACATGTATGAAACCGCATGTACAACCTGATCTCAGTGGCCACCTGTTTCTTTCGCAATGTTGCCTTGAATTCCTGCGACGAGAGCCATGCAAGTAGCATGCGAAACGCCCTTTGCCATATTTCACAGTCGACCCTGCGCTGGGCACGTCGCGGAGAAGGCTAACGCAGGCAACACCTAGAGCATTAGCGGCAGTTGCCTTCGTCAAGATGGCAACTCACCACGGGGCGTTCGAATCCTTGCCTTCATGGGGAAAGCTCTCAACTTGGGGAAGCTTGCCGTCAAGGCACGCCCGAGCCACTGGGAGCAGCAAGCTGCAGCAATGCCCTCTCATTCAACCCCCATGCTCAGTCCTGTAGCTGTTTCAAGCACGGCTTGCAGAACACTACCAATTCCATTTTCATTTGCTAAGCATGCTAAGCGGGAAATTAAAACAGGCCAGCCCTAGAAAGGCAAAGGCCACAGCAAAGAGCAAACAGGAGCAGCGGCTTGGGTGCCAAAGCTTTGCACAACGCTGGTTGAAAAAGAGCATTGCTACGATGGACCTTGAACGTTGCATGTCTCAAACGGGAACAGAACAGGGACCAGAGTCTGTTTCTGCATTGCTTCCATGTATGCCTGGCAGACGCGTTGATGCAAGAAGCAGAACCGGATGGAATGAAGGAAAACCCCGTGACCTCAAGCCTTTTAGGCTTGCATTAGTGCCGATGTAGTAGAAGTAGTATTCAAGATTGCTTCATGCCGCCATCCAGTCTTTTGGGGTTTTCAAGCAAGTCCTTGCTGCGGGCCCTTCAGCCGAGACTTGGGAAGCATCTAGGCCCTTTCCAGAAACGAGAAAAACACTTTTTTTGGCTGTTTCTTTTACCGTTTTTGCGTGTAAATTTTCATCGGGGCTTTGGGTGGAATGGTTTCATCGGGGCTTTGGGTGGAAATGGTTCGTTCGGGGCTTTGGGAGGAAGATTTGAATCTTGTACGAGTAAGGAGCTTGAACGGGGCATTCGGAGGAAGGCCGCCGCTAGCCCTTTGAGCGGGGCAGTGGGTGGAGCCAAGCCATCGGGGCTGTGCGAGGTGATTTCGTACGTTTTCAAAAATCAAAATTTGCACTGAAAATTGGCGCGCAATGGCCGGAATTTATTTCATCCCCGTCTTGGTGCAGTTGCGACTGTGAAGGAATATTTACAAGCGTACATGCCTCTTACCAGATATACATACATACATTTTCAAAATGGCAGGGTGGGCGTCCGTCTGCTGCCGACATAGCAGGAGGCTCCGTAGAAACCTATAGGGCGATGTGTGGGCGCGGAAGCGGAAAGCTAGCAACAGTCAGCAGCGTTGCTGTTCCTTATCTGTTCCTTAATTATCCTCCATCTCATGGCCGAAATACATCTCTCCACGCTAAAGCTGATCTGCGCCTTGAATTTTGAGTATCCGGGTGTCATTGTTGAATCGAAGCGCGCTTGTCGTCACCCTGGCGCCGTTCGTCGGGAATGAAGACTTTGACGCCCTGAGCTCAGCAACAAACATACTGTATGTCGCCGCGGTTGCTGGTCTTTCTGCCAGCAAGGGAAGAAAGCTTCCACCCCACACTGGGAAAGGAGGAAGGCTTCAGCCGGCGCCGGGAGGAGAGCCGGCGCCGGAAGAGAATCCTCCCAACCCGGCGCCGGGAAGGAGGAATCCTTTCACCGGGAGAAGAAGAATCTTTCAAAAGAAGAAATCGTCACATGCTGATCGCAAGAAATAAAGCCTTTCTCCCAGCACCTGAAAGATCAAACTTAAAAACCTTTTCAGGGCCTCACACACGGACAACCACATGATCAATGAACATAGTATACATTTATATACTGCTGAGCTTGCCGTGCTGTCTTCTGTGTCCACTTCTGTCGGGAACAATGCCTAAAACTAGCTGGTTCATAGCCGACTCGAAGACACCCGCGGACGACGATGGCCTAATGACCCCCAAACGTTGTGTCCACCATCATTTACCTTGCACCGTCCGAGGCCTCTTCTCATTCTACACATTCCAAAAAAGTTGAAACTAAGCAGAAAAGCGAGCCTAAGGGAAGCAAGATTTGTTGTTCGCGCCCTAATTATAAATGGGCATTTGCCATGACCACGGAACAAGTACTTTCACACATAACGGCTATTTCTTGTTTTGTATCAGTGCTCGGGTGGAAAAAGTGTGTTTCACCACCCATAGCCCTGCTACGCTGGAAGCCCTGCTGATTTGGTTCTCTGAATAATGATTATAATACCCAACTTTCGCGAAACTTTCGCGAAATAAAATTTTACTTTCGCGAACTCGAAAAAAAACTTTCGCGAGGGTTTCCAACATAACATGCACGGCTTTCGCAATTAAAACTCCTTACAAGGACCTTTAGATCGATCACCATATATATATATATATACATATATATATACACGATCATCAGTATAGGTTATCCAACTTTTGACTATGTTCATTGGATTGGTTTGAGGGAAATGTTACAGGAAACCCCCATGATCTTAATGGTAAAAACCCTGGTTTTTTCGGTTAAGATGTTCCCTTGAACCAATCCAATGACTGTCACAACGAAACCTCGCCACTCTCGCAGTGGCACATGGAAATGTCGACTGACGAATGGTATCATTGATCGTTTGCTGCATGGGTTTGTTGAAAATTGGATGCCCTTTGGTAAACGTTTATACAACTATGGAAAATCACCACTTTTAATAGGTAAATCAACTATAAATGGGCCATTTTCAACAGCAAACTGTTAGTTTACCAGAGGGTACCCCATACCATCCCCTGGTTAGTCACCATTTTCCCTACGAAAATAACCATTTCTGGGGTTTTACTCTGACTGGGCCAGGCCATTACTTTTCTCCATACGTTGTGCTTTGAAATCCCTCAGTCCCTCAGCACCAAAAGGGCAGCTGGCCCCAACACCACTGGGCGGTATTTTACGTATATCCTGATGAAAGTTTATAACTGCTGGTGGAATCTTGAATAACTTCACCATATAAGCCATCAAAATTAAAGATAATTAAAGTGTATGGCTGTAATCCTGCCCAGAATCCAGACCAGTTCTGGGTGGAAATGATCCTTAACATCATCTCGCTCAAACCATGGGATCCCGCACAAACAAAAATCCGATTTTTTGGGGTCCACAATTTTTAAGAACCAGAAATATGACCATATTCTAACATCATATGCCTTGAAAGATTCTTTGAATTCATGGGGTCTTGATTTTTATTGATTGCACATTTCATCATTAAAGAAATATCCATAAATATCATGGTGAAGAAACCCACCTGGGGTTGTTTGAAAATTGGATGCCCTTTGGTAAACGTTTACATAACTATAGAAAATCACCATTTTTAATAGGTAAATCAGCTATAAATGGGCCATGTTCAATAGCAAACTGTTAGTTTACCAGAGGGTACCCAGCGCGGCGCCTGTGATGCCTCGTGGGTCTGTACCAAGCCGTCCTCACCTGGTTGCTGTGGTCGCTCCTTCGGCCGAGCGGTGTCCAACAGGGGCTGGTCGTTCTGTAACAGGTTTGGAAAGAACCGCACAACATGTTGGAAAGTTATATCCCATAGGATCCATGATGGATCCCATCAATATTCCCCAAATGTTAGCATATATACCATACATGGATCCTATGGGTATGGATAATAACATGTGTTTCGGGAACACAACAAACACATACAAACACAAATTATCTTTAAATAAAAACATCGTAAAGGATCATAAAAGCATAAACTTTCCAGCACTCGAGCATTGCTTGTATGTAGGAAACAGACGATATCGTTGTCAAAAAGGCAACACTCCCATTATCAGTTTCGATGATCAGAGAGCAAACGTTAGGTAATTGAGGTATTTTCCGCTATACAACGATACCTTCGGATTCTGAAGTTACATAGATGCCACGTATTGCCAAATCATCATCATCATCATCATCATCATCATCATCATCTAGATGACCTCATAGAAAATCTTAAAACACCTATAGTGATACCATAGCTGTGGTTCAAAACCCAAAAAGTTGTCAAACACATCTCACAAAACTTCCAACTTCGCCTCGTCCGATGCGAAAAACATGTTGAAGCTGTGCATGCTGGAACGTTGCAACTTCATCTCAGGCCCTCCAAACTCATGCAAATGTTGATTCGTTGTCTAACCCAATATGGAGCATTAGAGTCAATGGGATCATCATCAACATCATACCCTCTGGCTCTGGTAAACATTTACATAACTATGGAGAAAATTACCACTTCAATAGGTAAGCAATTTCTAAATGGGCCATTATTTTTTCAATAGCTATGTCAGCAGCGCCTCGTTCACCGACAGAAGGCTCTGACTGCGGCATCCTAAAGGTTGGCAGATTGGCTGGGACCAAGCGGAAAATTTGGCTATGTTTCAGGAGATAAGACATCGAACAAATGGGATTGAGATTGGAGCATTTTATCCACGCAAGTGGAGGACCAATCTAGCAAGACTAATCATATCTCAAAATCTAGGTGGTTTTGGAAGGATCTTAGAACAAATGGAAGTTCAAAGCGTACCTGAACATTCAAAAAGTGATGCAGAAACAACGGAAATTTACGATCCTTCAAAAAATGATGCAGAATAGACTAGCAACATTGCATAGAATTGGAACATGAAATCCCGTTTCAGACATAAACAAATACATTTCTGGATAGGACATGACTTGAAACCAGCTGCCCGTGCCTGCATGCTCGAAGTCCTGATGCAAATGGCTGGCCAAACCGAAGGATGAAAAAAAAAAAACGTCGTAAGCCATAAACATGGGATTATACTCCGCAAAACCCTGCGTAAACACAGGGATAACTATGGATAAATGGATCTTAGGAGGTCCAGTTCCCCGTAATATTAGTAGGGTTGATGATCAAACATGAGGGATGTTTCATCATTTGACCAATCCTCAAATGGGAGAATGTTGCCAATATTACATTAAATACCCCAATCATGACTGTGCCCCCAAATCATGACTTGATCCAACATATGAATATATCATATTATCTAATATCATATTCCGTAGTGATTTCATATATATATATATATCCCATATGCTCCATGTAGGGTATATTTACCTACATTTGGGTGATTATTAGGGCAAATGTAGGTAAATATACCATACATGGAGCATATGGGTATAAGATTCAATGGTTGAGAGGAAGGGACTACAACATCCCAGTTTCAGAAGTGTCTCAACTCACCCCATCTTGTAGCCCCAAATGAAAGCACATCTTCGCTGCTTCAGTGGTGGCCTGGAATTCGGATGCTCATCTAACTGCATACGCATGTTTGATAGCATTAGGAAACATGAGATTCTGGGCAAATTAAAATAATTCACTAATCTGAATTAAGGCCATTTGGGGATGATTCCCCTTACTAACCATGATTTCCAGTGAGGTCGTAGTGAGGCCGTTATACAGTAATTTACCCAGATAAGATACACTTTCCAAGACTATCCAGTGGCCTACAGCAAATTACAGAAGCTAAGAAGCCAAAAAATCGCAAGCTAGCTGTCGGGGTGGATGTTGCTGATAGTGCCCTGTCTTTAGTGAAACTTCTGAAGTATCCTTCACTGGATGGTTTGTGAAGTGGCTGTTGATACCAATTTCTTCCAGTCGTGCCCCTTGCAGGTGAAATGTCCTCACAAATCTGTGCCATCAGGAAACACGTGACTGAACCTCCTTTCTATATATCATACTTGGCTAAGCACCATTTTCCTTATCCACCACCAAAATAGCATCATATTTGCTTAAAAACCGGACTTTTTGTCGGGAAAACTTCACACAACATCTCAATATTTCTTCGTCTCAGAATTGGATGCCCCATTCTCCACTGGTTTATCATGTTTCCTAGTGTAGTAAGCACGGTCATGACAAACCATCAATGTTCATACCCATATTTCGCTGGTGATATCTGACATGTCCTGATTACAACATTCCCCACTTCAGAAAAACCAAGCCATCAGCGAAACCCCAATTGGCTGCTGCGAAGCCTTGCAGCTGGACCTTGCGCGGTTGGCTTTAGGGCTGGAAACTCAGTGAGGGCTGGTAGGGGGACAACTAGCAATGGGTGACTGACCACTCAAAAAAGAAGGACGAATAATCATTCTGGCTTACCTTAGATACCTTTTGAACCGACGTGTAAAAGTTCGTGAATATTGTCATTGTTCATATCTGGTCAATGATTTGCAATTAATCTGCCAAACAAAGCTTCACCCAGTTTGAGCTTCTAATCCTCTGGCACCTAAACATTGAAATGGAAAACTGGCAAAATTCAAGCAGCTCATCATCATCATTCCTAGATGATCAGAGAGTCTGACCATCGCCTGGATTGAACAAAAAAGCGTTCTTCACCGGAAATTCTCTGGACCAAATTGGAGAGTAACAACAAACAAGGAACAAGGAACCCTGCAAATTTGGCTTATTTGGCTTCTTTCATTTGACTGGGTTGTTTCAAACAAATACATGTTGATCTAGTCGCATCATATTCAATTTACAGTATCATATGTCTACATGGGCAAAATAAATGATCATTGACCAAAGCTTAGGTCCCGACATTCGTCTGGCTGAATCATGATAAATTGATCAACCTTTCAATCTTGTAATTCAGTTTGGGGACGGTTTCAGTCAGTGACACTGCAGTTTTCTTCATCCTCCATGCTCCCACCACACATAAAACTTTCTGCAGCTGCATGAAAAAGGCCTGTACCAGTTTACCAATCCAACATGGGCCTAATCTTCAATCCCCCGTTCCTTCAATCCCCCTTTCGAAAGCCTAATGAACCCTATTGGATCTCTTCATTTCGGGCTGCCTACTTATTGGGCGTAAGATATGATCTTGGCTACTCATTTCAGACTTGGTTGAAATAAGCGCAAGTGAAAAACCACCAAAAAAACACCATCATGTGGTTAAAACAATGCCATTTTTACCACCCATGACTGGGAATGGTTTATATATATACCACCTATCAAAATGGTGATGACTGGGTGATGGTTCATGGCATTGGTTTACCCTCTGGTAAACTAACATAGCTATTGAAAATAGCCATTTATAGTGGATTTTCCCATTAAAAATGGTGATTTTCCATAGCTATGTTAGTTTACCAGAGGGTACCCACAATAATGATCGAACATTGTTGAACCCCATGGCTTTTTTGTAGTCCCATAGGGCAATGATAAGGTCATCGCTGCACTGGGTGCTCCGGACTGAGCGCGATAAGGGCCGCGAGTTGGAGACCTAGGCTGTTGTAATGGGGATATAATGGGGATATAATGGGCCGGGGACATATCACCAACAAGGTATTTATTCGTTTCTATATAATTATATATATATTATTTAGAATAATATATACATACGTATATATAATATATACAATAGTATACAATAATATATATATACATAAATAGATGTATATATATATATATAATTGTATCTAGTATTGGGTTTATCCTCCTGTCATCAAAGATGTCTGGAGTCCAACCCCGGAAGTGTTCATGGGCATTGTTCACTGGGAAATCATCGGTTGGATCCATGGGTTGATCCCCCAAATCATAGGGCATGTTTCTTCCTTTGAACCATAGGGTTTATATGGGTTTAGTGGTGGTTAATGGTGGTTAATGGTGGTTAATGGTGGTCAATGGTGGTTAATGTTTATGTTGTTCTTTGTCACAGACTGTGGAAAGATGCTAGATTCATGTAGATACTACTTACTGGTGCTTAGTAAGTAGGGAATGGATAGGAATGGATAGGAATGGGATTATTATTGATAGTGTTTTCTTGATCATTCCCTTATTCCCTGCTAAGCACCACTAAGGCTATATCAAACAATCTGTAATCCGCAAATTCACATCCGCAAATTCACATTCAAAAAAAACTGCAACAATAAGAACCTGAAAGCACCAAGCACTAGTCCATGCACCTCAATCCATCGATAATATGCGATACTACCTGCAACATGTTCGAAGTTGGTTTCTTTTAGGTCACTGAAAAACCCACTTCAAAGATTTTTTCCAGCCTTCACCTACCATATACCCTCTGGTAAACTAACATAGCTATTGAAAATTGTCATTTATAGTGGATTTTCCCATTAACAATGGTGATTTTCCATAGCTATGTTAAATTACCAGAGGGTATTTGCCCGATTTAGATCCCCAATCTTCGTTGCGTCCGACTCGTAACACGTTTTTTTCGACGGACCTTCAGGGCAAAGAGGGTCCAAAAAATATTTCCAGGTGAATCATCAACAACATCCCCAATGGTGGTTAATGGTGGTTAATGGATATGTATCTGGTTTGTGGTTGACCTACCCCTCTGAAACATATGATAGCTGGGATGATGACATTCCCAATATATGGAAACATATAAAATGTTCCAAACCACCAACCAGATTAGTCTTGGTTTACATCCACATTGAATTCCCCAAGATTATGGCTATAACTTATTTTAGACAGGTTATGGAAATCAGCCATGAAGCTATGGCACATGAAATAGATGATACACATGAGATCCCATCAAAATCCTTTACATCTCAGTAGCCACTATCGGTTATCGTTTTTTTTTTTTGCGGGCCATATCGGTTTACAGTGTTTCGTGCACATCTGTAACAAAAAACTTCTGCCAAAAAAAGTGGTATTCAACAATTTTCACCGTAACTCACATGTTTTACCTACGAAATGAGATTGAAAAGTGATTTTACCATTCAACTTGACAGTGACTCACCATTTCTTTACCATTGCATCACCATTTTCCAGTTCTCATTTTCGTACCAGATTTTAGCAACTGTTTAAAAACCATTATCAAACTAGTGGGAGGTTGAAAGCATTATCATGAAGCCATGGCCCAGTCGAAATAGTTGATTTACAAAGCGATAAAATGGTCATGTTCCACAGTTTTTTGTATGTTTCCCAGAGGTTTCCATGACATTAAGGCGCGTTCCAAACTCAGCAAGGCGTCTGCGCAGACCCCTTACTCCCCCCGACTGAGGTTTCTAGCTGAGAGTTGGACACCTGCCGTTGCGGAACCGTATTTCATGATGTTATAGTTGGTTATTAACCATATTAACTCTAGAAATTCATTAACTATATTAACATATATATATATATTATATAAATATAGTTCACCATAGTTCACCATAGTTCACCATAGTTCACCATAGTTCACCAACAAGACTGATTCCGGGTGTGTCTGGGAATTGGGCACCCTAAAATCCACTTTTTCAAGGCACACCCAAATATTTGTATAAAGAGTCCATATAGCCATACGATGATGTGAATTTATTCATTAAGAGATTTTCACAATAACTCATATAGATATCATACTAACCACAAGGGATGGGAAACTCCTCGTCTTTCGGAAGCGAAACCCCTTGTGGGACATCATGGTCCCACTGATGGATTCTCATGGCCCCCAAGAACTGGGCAAGTTTTGGCCGCGACGGCCCAGTTTGAAGGTGCTCAAGGGACTAGTTGTAGCAAGTGATCTACGCCAGATTCTGGGCAAAAACAGGTTACATATACCATCTTGGATGTGCTTTTCCAAGCATCGCTGAGTTGACCAATTGTTCATAATGACTTCGGCATCAATGCGGCAATGCGGCTGATGTTAACAAAGATGAGGCCCCCAAACGACAAGTTGACGAACACAAAACATCACGTTTCGGGGGCCTCACCGGCCCCAAGTGATTTACCCTCTGGTAATGACTACAGTAACAGTTTGCTATTGAAAATGACCATTTATAGTGGATTTACCCATTGAAAATGGTGATTTTCCATATAGTTATGTTAGTTTACCAGAGGGTATAAGCCACAAACAAAAAACTCGGAATATGCCATGTGTAATGGCTGGGTATTTCATGTGGTCATTACTCCTTTATTCAAGCGGACTGTAACAAAGCACCAAAGCAGTGCTGTCGACCTGGCCCAGTCACCTCGAGGAATATTTCCGGATCATGTCAGTTCAAATGATCCTCCTGTTTTGAGGAAACAACATGTGTGAATATACCATGCATTATAATTATAATGAAACATTATCAATGATCATTATAAGGGACATAATGGTTTGATAATGGTTAAAATATTTCATGAACAATATATATATATATATTTATCCACCATAATGAAACATGATCAATGTTCAATCAATCAAAAACACCATAAATCACCATAAATTAACAATATTAAATACGTTTTTTAGCTAAAAAAACATCCAATCGTCATGAGAACCTGCAAGAAGTACTTGTGATGGCCGTCCCCATCCACAACCTGGCGATCGCGGTCAACGGCCGATCTGGATTCATGTTGGATGCGATTTACTGTGGCTGCACCATGGTTCACCGATCAGAATTCAAATGATGATTAATGATTGTTGATTCATGTGATTATGATAGGTGATAGGTGATTATCACTCATAATCATGATTGGATTGTTGATGATGATTGATGATGATTGATGATGGCCGGTGATGATTGGTGATGATTGATGATGATTAATGGCAATCTATCAATATCTATCATGAATATGCTTTACACAAATCATGATTCACCATGATATCTTAGGCGCTTGGATGACTCCCTGGTAACAAGCAATGGCTGACTGAAGGTGCATTCCCCAAACGCCTGGAAAGTTGTATTCTTAACAGTAATGGATGTCATGCATTATTTTTGGTAACTACATTGCTGGTAAATTATTTAACTAGTGTTTGAAAGTTTGGCACTGCTGTACTGGCTCTGTGGCTGTCGATTTTTGGTAGATTGTGACAGAGCCTCTGAGCCCAGCTATTTCCAATAAATCAGCCATCTTGATCCCATGCAAATCTCATCGAAAACTATACATGTTCATTCATTCTGGTCAAGATTCCCATGGTAACATGCTATTTTTATAGAATTTCTTGGGATGACCATTTGCCAAGCAAAAAAAAACATTCCAACTATGCTGTTCTCCAGATTCCCATGAGTCCCAAGATCCACATAGATCTCCGTGAGCCGCCTCATGCACTTGGAATCGCAAATCCACGGGATTTCGCAGCCCCTGAGCCACGCTGAGCCCGTTCATATTGAAGACCCCAATTGCATGGTCCCGATTATGAAATTTAGTACACTAAACTATGGTTTCAATATGATTTCTAAGGGGGTGTTTAATATGAATGGGGGAAGGGATTCATGGAATTTTAAGCTTACTTGACGTTTTTCTCAATGGGAATTTCAGGATCCTAAAATGGAGGTACTGTACCATATAAGGCCATATTTTGAGGGAATATTCCCTTACATAGGCCTTACATAGGCCTTATATATGGTAGGTACCTCCAATTTAGGTTCCTGGAATGGCCATTGTTTTTATGGGGCGTAGGCGAAAAACAATGAGTTTTCGTGTTCGGCTATGATGGTACATGATGTGGGATCCACAACAAGGTTTTCTGGCTGAAGCACTCAGATCTCATGGCCCACTGACTCCTTGCTGTTGAATTGGGGGGATACCATTTAAGTATTGGATTCTGACTGGAAAAGTAACCCCTAATTAATAAACCATATGGTTTATTCATCCGGGGTTGACATTACAAAAAACCTTGGAGGCATTAGTCCCTTGCGGGGGACAAACATACCCTGAAAGCAGTGACAGCCGAACTGCGAGGTCGGTCTCACTGGGGATGTGTAGGGGATGGTCCATGGCCATGTTTGATTGAGGCTACAATGAGTCACCATCATTGACCATGATTTCCCCATGAAATCCCATGAAATCACCATTCTATATCCCATCAAATCAATCATTAAAGCCACTCAGAGTCATTCATCCACATTCGAATCATTACCATCGCGCCTGCAGAGGTATTTCGATCTTGCCTTGCAAAGATCGACCCTTACAGATCCCAGATGGACAGTGATATATGGAGCTTTCCGTTTTGTCATGGGGATATCCCCAAATCATCCAAGTCGAGCATTTTAGTATTGAAACCTATGGTTTTGGGGGACCCACCATTTTACGACATGCAAAAAAACACAGACTCTGATGTTTGTTTGCAGGATCCTCAATGATCAGAAACATCTATAGTTTTGTGGGATCCAACAGAAACCCACTGCAACCCAGATCTTTTGTGACAGTCCCTGAGATGATATGAAGCCGATCATCTCGAAATCTGCATGGCTCAGCTCCACTTTGAAATCCGCTTTAGAGGCAATCGATGTGCCATGGTCAGATGCAATACAGGGAGCCGCCATCCCAACATGATTGGGATTACAAACATAGTATGGTATATTACGGTATAGTAATGACAGTAATGACTATGAATGGATTTCATGACCAGCCCCTTAATCTAATCCAACTTGACCATGGCATAGTTTTCCGCTACTCGGATGTGGATTGCCAACGCACCCACGACGTGCCTCCACTCTCAGCCAGCCTGGGCACGTGGGTCTGCCAAGCCCTGATTTGCACAAAGGTGACGGGTACACAGTTACACAATGTTACACACACAAAAAGAGAGATGTCGGAAACTGATTGGGTGTAAGAACCTCAAAAAACTGGTGAGGATCCCAATCTATCATCCTTTCCAATAATAATAAAGCAAGCCGCTAGTTTTAGCCATCACTATGGATTCTCAGGGGTCAACTGGGCACAGGGATCCCAAACAACTGGGTCACAGGGATTTGTTGCTTGCCTTTTTCCCAGTTCTTGGTTGTCAAATCCCTCATGTTTTGTCAAGTTGATAGCCAAACTTCGAAATCCAGTCTTTTCAATGACCAAATATCCTTATAAATTACCCTCTGTTTATTTAACATAGCTGTGGAAAATCACCATTTTGAATAGGTAAACCATCTATTTCTATGGACCATCTATACCATGGCTATGTTAAATAACCAAAGGGTACCATCTCAATTTGGTGAAATCTCCGTTGCTGCTGTTCAACTTCTCAATTTGCTAAAACTTACTATCTTATAAATAAAATCACTACATTCTAGGTCCTGTAAAGGTAGTTTACCCATATTGCATATATATGTATATATATATATGTATATATACATGTAACAATATTATATATATATATATGTTTACCAATACCTATAAATCATGTATATATATAATATTATAATATATATATATATACACATATTATATATACATGATTTACATATAACATAATATTACATCGGTAAACACGGTGATTACATCGGTCCTCCGGCTCCCCATTAAAAAAGGCCACAAACGTTGAGGCCCCACACCGGCCGCACAGGGACTCGCTGGTCAACTCGGGAAGACCTCGGTCATGATTGAAGGGTACCCCCAATGATGGAAACCCCCCCAATTTCAATGGTTTTGCATATGTTTTTCAATGGATTATCATATGTTGCCCAATGGATTTTCACAATTTTCCTGAGATAAATGGCCTTTGGAGTAACTATATGTAATTGTAGCATTTTCAGACCTATGGAAACCTGTGAGTGAGACTCATGTTTGGCGGCAGGGTTCAAACTTAGGTACACCCAAAAAAATAGATGGCTTACAGGTTTGATGATGTCCGCCCAAGATACCTACACTGGGCCCCCAAGCATGAATAGGTCAGCTTATGTCGGCTTTAAAACCCATCCAGTTGTAGATGTAGCTACTACGTATTGTTATCCCAGTTGTAAACAAATATATCTATCCTAAATCACATCAAACCTCAGTATTGTTGGAGAAATCCCTAGTGTTCCCCGTTGTTGTTGGTGAACTCTCTTTTTCCAGCGTTTGGCCCCACAGTGTAGCCAGGCAAAAGCCATCTGAATTTCCATCTGGTTGTCTGGGATGGGACAATCCAAGTGGTGGATTTCCCATTAAGACAGTAACAAATTATCTTCAGCAAATCCAGGTGTATTGAGTAGCATAACCCCTAAATTAACTAGTTGGTGGTTTCAACCCCTCTGAAAAATATGAAAGTCAATGGGAAGGATGACATCCCATATATTATGGACAATAAAAACTGTTCCAAACCACCAACCAGTTAACCAACCCGCAGGTTGTTTTTTGCCTGGCTCAACTAGTTCCTATACCACTCTTGAGCCACGTCCTTCCTTGCACCAGGTCACTGTGTCGTTGGCTTTGCGGGTGGTAGCGGTGCGAGTCTCAGCGGTGCCATGGGGAGAGAAATTAAGAGGAGCTTCATGGTGGTTGACACTGGTGAACAATTCACAAGGATTAATGTTTAACAATGGTCAGTGATCTTTAAATCATATAATATATATATAATCATATTAAACCTCTATAGGCTGAAGATGATATACTGCAATGACACATGGCTATACAATGATGATTAGAGAAATTGCTAAATTATTGTGAACGGGTGGTCCTTAAGTTATGGGGCCCCAAACATTTTCCAAATTGCTTGGTTTTAATGAGCAACCGCTCGTTAGCCGGGTAATAAACATCAATTAGAATCAACTATCAGACTACCCTTCACCAGTCGTTTCAACCAGGTCAGTCTTGGGGCGGCCCTGGTTAATATCCCCCGCATTTTTCCTTGTAACTGTATCCCTTCTCGCTTCATTATTCCCCTTAAATTCTTGTGGATGACATCCCCTACCAAAAAAAAACAGTCCAAACACATCCTAAATAATCCTAACCCCAAAAGAATCTCGAAACATGTTAATACAACTAAGAATCAGCTAACATCTCTGGTTCCCGTTGGTGATATCTCACGGGACCTCGGGGTGTCTTCCTCAATCATTGACATCTGTTCAATGTCATCCTTTGACTTCTCCTTTGACTTGACCTTTTTTTCCGTGGTGCTCTTTGCGGACGATGAGCTGGAAGCGCCCTATGGAGATTCCCAGGTTGGCCAACCATCCTTGTCTGTGGCCCTTACCTTTTTGTAGTGCTTCCACATGAGGGCATCAAGTCCAAGTGGATCGTCAAACTGCGGACTTTCTGGTTTCCTTTTGCTAAATCCTTCTGCCTTCTCTCTGAGAATCTGAGCGGTGTTGGGGTACCCCTAATGGAAGAAACACATAGGGTACTTGGCAATGATCAACCAGGAGAACATTCTCAAATCAACACCCCCCTCACAAACAGATCATGAACCCCACCAGGGGTTGCAAGTCCTATCCGGGCAACTGATGAAACAATATGAACTATCAAAGAAAGTTTAGTTAGAAAACTTCCGAGTTACGGAGGGTTGTCATGGCTAGCATTCTCGCCACATCATCATGTCAACCAACCATCATCAAGTAGTCGGGACGTGTAGCAGTTCGGGAACGCCTGAATTCAGGCATGAAAAGACTCTCGGGCGCCAAACGCTGTCTTTTTTTCTGGTGAAGCGGCTTCCGTGGTGGCCGAAGTAGGAAAATTCCCTTCTCGAAGCATGTTCATTCATTTTACATTCATGTTCATTCATTTTACATTCATGTTCATTCATTTTACATTCATGTTCATTCATTTTACATTCATGTTCATTCATTTTACATTCATGTTCATTCATTTTACATTCATGTTCATTCATGTTCATTCATTTTCATTCATTTTCATTCATTCATTCATTCATTCATTCATTCAGTCAGTCATTCAGTCATTCAGTCATTCAGTCATTCAGTCATTCAGTCATTCATTCATTCATCCATTCATTCACTTCATTCATTGTATTCCCTCATTTCATTCGAATCATTCTTTTCATGTCAGTACTTTCCAACAAATCCTATAAGCAAACTTCTTCCATAGCCATGTCCTATTTTCGAAACTTCCGCCCCGTGCCTGGCACCTGGTACATTATCATATACTAAGATATCTTAAGATCAGTCCTCTTACAAACCATGATTCATGGTGAGTATGGCCAACAAGCTGTGAATAATTCATTAATATTATATCTAATATTATATGGTGAGAAAAGTACAAGTAATTATTAAATGTTATTAATAGTTAATAGTATTGCTGACATTGGAAATTGTGGTAAGATCCCTGGTGATTTATTGAGGTCTCGGCTGCTTCGGGACAGGAGATTGGCACCATCCCTGGCGGCGAAAACGGACAGGGGACATGTGCTGGTACCCCTAAACCATCGATTTTTTAGTAGGATTTTCCATTAAAAACTATCCAGCTACTGGGGTACACCCCCATTTATGGATACCTCCATATATCTGAGATCTTCTCAAGTGGGAATAGAAACAAACCTGGTCATAAAACCCAAATCTCTCGTCACATTCGTAGAACCTACATCTGACGGACATAATTTTTGTCACATCTGTCAAGAAAAATGTAAGAAAACACAGGTCCAGCCAGAACATCAGCAATGGGCAACCTCCCAAAGGACCTCCGAAGCTTCAGATGGCGAGGTCTTTTGTGCATGGTTTAAGGATGTTTGATGCCATATTTGGGGTGGATGAACACTCATAATATCCACCTGGAAGACCGTACGGTCATTTTTTTGGTCCATTATGTCCATGATGGGTTTTACCCGTAACGGACTTTTTTTTGTTCAATTGCGTATTTCGGTTTTTGATTGTGAATAGTTGTTCAAATCCTTTGACAACACCGGTGCGGACATCCTCCGACAGTCTCCAGAGGAGGAATTTCAGCTCGAAGTGAAGCACATTGGGAGTCGTGATAAGGTACCCAAAATCTGGCCACAAATACTACCATATTTCCCACCAAATTTGGATGTACCCATAAAATATCATAAAATACTAGTATTTTTTCAACATCAGATGTCAACATACTGCCCCAAATACTGTCTCTAGATGAGACACTCATACTGTCGGAACCAGTCCGACAAATCAAAGATTTCAGAAAAACTATTGATCTGCAAGTAGAGGGTTTGCAGCCGGACATGGCCGTATTTGGAAAAAAAAACGTAGCGCACAAAAAACATGTCCAAACCCGGACAGAAAATGTTGTCTTTAAGGCTTTCCAGACAGCTAAAACATCCCCCAAATCACCATAAATAGATGGTGTAAACCATTCCCAGTCATGGGTAGTTTATGGCATTGTTTTAACCCCATCAATTTAATTGTCATGTGAATAATGGTACTCCCGGTACCCTGTTGGGACACATGTCTGACTCAACCCACCGCCTGATGGTGACGGTTCTGGATTTGGTCCTTGGTTGATGAAAACTGCAATGACCATCGTTGAGCGCCATATGATTCAGCACACTTCAAACGAACATGAACATTGAAGCACATTAAAGCAATAAACCACATAAATCCTATGTTACATATATTCACCCCTTTGATTTACCAATGATAAATAGTTCTTTCCACACTACAAATCTTCACATCCCCCGCCGGCGCCAAGGCCCCCTGCTTGGCCGTAGACTGTTGGTACAACGACTCCTCCAAGCCCCGACGCAGAAAGGACAGAGGCGCCTCCGAGTTCTGACCTCGGCACGAAAAAACGCCATGGGATTTCCATGTTTTTTTTTGGTGTGTTTTTCGAGTTGCACCACTGGTCTACCAAACAGAACATTGGTTTTAATATGCTTGAAAATCTGTTCTATGGATAGTTCTACCTACCACCAAGAATGTTTGCTTCAAATCGTAAATCTGCAAAGAATGGCCGCATTTCCAACCTCTCCAGACATTTTATCTAAGTGGTATCTGTTTCACCTGCGTGTGAAGTTGTTTTTGTTGAGCTTATTCCACGTGGCAAGGTACAGCCAATTATTTCATGGATTCGTGACCTTGGCCGACTACAACCTGTTCCAAGCCCGAGTAGTTCATGGATTCAGCACGGCCCTGGTGTAGCGGGATGAGCCACCAACTTGCACCCCCACAAAAAAATGAACAATAAGCATCAATAAACAATGATCTTAAACAAACCCAAAAACTGAAGCCAATCAGACGTTGGCAATATTCTTCAACACCCCCACTTAGCACTATCGACTTGATCAACCATCAAACAGGTTGTGGTTGCTGGCCTTCCCTGGACCCTGCTTCCTGGATGCCAAGAAATCGTGGTTGCGCCACCCCGTGCCAAATAATTATGAACTTTAAAGCCAATCAGGAAAAAACAGACATTCCAACCCATAATGGAAAATCAAAGACACACATTTGAAATACCACCAACCAGATGACTCTACACATAACCCGCCAAAAAAAACAAGATATTTTCAAATTTAAAAAATCATCATAAACCAACTGACAACCAAACAACTCTCCAACCCTTGTGGCTTCCCATCGGCGCAGGCTTCCGCACGGGACATGGCCCTATCGGAGCCCTGCAGAACATGCTGGGATTTCACGAACGGAAACATAGGTCTAGATGCAATCCATGAGTGAAACATCCGTAAGATATCATATCTGGTTGGTGGTATACCTACCCCTCTGAAAAATATGAGTTCGTCAATTGGGATCAGTATCAGTGGATAATCTGACATATACCAGATATGAATGTTCATTGTGACATCATCTTACTTCAAAAGTGGATTTAAAACATCTATAATCACCAGATGATGTCATATTCCATCATGAAGATTATGACTTCAAAAAGTGGATTTAACATTTTAAGTGGAACACCTTAAGACCAACAACGGGCTGTGGCGAACGGACGTTGAATCCCCAACCCCCGGGCAAAACCCTCGTGAAAATCAAACATTTATAGCGTGCTTTGGAAAACTCCAGCATTTAGATGATGTTGCCAGCTATCAACTTTTTGGATTTCCCATAACCTCCACTTTTTGACAAAAAGATGATGTTCCCATATTTTCCCAGCCCCATATGCTCCATGTATGGTATATTTACCTACATTTGCCCTAACAATCACCCAAATCTAGGTAAATATACCCTACATGGAGCATATGGGAGCTAGAAACCTCCATTCAAAAAACCTCCATTAAAAGTGCGCGCAAGCGCCTCGCTGGGCGCGCTGCCGCTGTGTCTGGATTTGTGCGACTTGCTGGTACCTGCGCCATGGCGGGCTACCGGTAGAAACATGGCAGCCGAACCGAAGGCTACGCCTGCCGATTGTTCGTGGAAAGTCTATGGTGGGTATATATATACACTCTATACAAAGAATCACTGAATAGTGATATCCGTAAGACATAAAAAAACAGTTAACATGGATGATTTGGGTTAGACAATATAGAGAGCAAGCGTTTTATGCATCATTATGCAACATCAAAACTGGCCATGATCGAGGCATGGCTTCTGGGAAAGGCATGTCAATCAGTTCTCAGATGTTATATAGGTATTTCTGGATGGTTCAAAAATGTTCAAAACCTATTAATTATACCAAAGTGTTGAGGGATTGATCCAAAGTCATGTCGCTTTTCTGTCCACTTGCAATGATCAAAAGCAATCACACCGTCGCTGAATCTGTTCATTTCAGGAAGCTTCTGTCCATCAATTGGAAAGACGCTCGGGACTTGTTCTGTTTCCATGAAAAGATATGAAAAGCCTAGCACTTCAGTCGGTTTCAACAGAAAAAAAAACGTCTCAAACACCCAATCATGGTTGATTAGACATATCGATTCCTGGTGTGTTCTTTAAAAACCCATCCAAGCAGCTGGCGCACCGTGACGATTCATCGACCGTCCATTCGTTTCAACACTTTCCTGGCCGCGGTGGCGGTGGACAACGGGTTCGAATCGACCATCGGTCAATGGGAAAATGACTTACTGGCGTTTCACGTCGGGAATTTTCGGGAATGATCCCAGTCATCACTATAGTCACTAGTACTAATCATAATTTCATCAATGTTCACTAGTAATGTCATCATCCCATCATCAATGGATGATCCCAGTCATACTAAACACTAGTAGTATTGATCACTATGATCACTAGTGAAAATGAAAATCACTAGTATTACTTACTGTTCATTACTGGATGATCCCAGTCATCCCAGCAACCCATCCAGCAACCCTACGTAAAACGCACCAGTAAGATGAGGAGTTGAGTGATTACAGGGGAGCCTTTTTGACTTCGGAACTTGGCATCCCATTCGCCCAACACGTTTGGTACATTTTGGTACATCCTTCCAGTCTCAGAGCGGGAGTTCCACGTACCATACATAGAGGGTAAATTCGAGAGATCTTGCTTTTGACCATCAAATATCAGGGTTTCATGCAGAAATTTCTGGAATTCAATCTTATAACCCATAGGATCCATGTATGCTATATATGGTAACATGGATCCCATCAATATACCCCCTTTATGTTAGCATATATATATACCAGCACCATGGATCCTATGGGTAATCCTATAGACCACGTTTTGGAATGCGTTGGAACTCACCATCCTGCCCTTCTCTTGGTTCTCTTGGCCTCTTCGGACTCTTCTGGCGGTTTCGGCCGGGGATGATTTGGCCATTTGGCTCATGGGGAATGCTTGAAATGTTACTTACCATACCATAGGCGCAGTTGGGAAAATGCCCAAATTATGTAAACAGATATGAATATATACCTCATTATAGCACTCATATATTAAATGTAGAAATATAATAATATATATATATATATGTGTGTGTTGTACCAAAATATGAATTGTTTATGCGTGACCAATCTTAGATAGTGAAAGTCAAATACCGTTGTGCTTGGTTAGAGACCACTACAACTCAGTTTGCATTTATATAAATCTACATAGTCTATGTGCCAGTGCAAGCGTTTGTTAGTGCGATATCATGCGATATCTGGAGTCCGCAGCAACAACGCGATCATGCTTGGCTGGATTCCAAGTAGTTTGGCTGCTATACCCTAACATATTATCTTCCCCAATTATATATACCTTTAAATTCATACTACCAAAATATTTTGGTCGTTTGTGTCGGTACTATTTTGTTTGGTCGCTTCTTCGAAAACCAGGCGTTTCACAAAAAAACACATACGAACTTGGAATATATTCCCCAGGAATTCAATTATAATTATATATATATATATATATACCTCTTATTATTGGGCAGCATTATGTGCCGGCTCTAACGGGTCTCCATCCACATCCTCGGCACTAGGTTTCCCATCTCCTGCTTCAAGAACGGCACTAGGTCCATCAGTAACCAACGAGACTTGCCCTGATGCAAGTTGTGGGAAACCAGGAGCCACGAGAGCCTTGGTAGCCGCCTTTGCATTTCCATCATCAGCTTTGAATAATTATCTTCACTCGGTCGCTTTCTCTGATTGTTTGATCCGTCCTCCTCTTAATGAATGCTGAAAGAAGCAGGAGTCTCCAAGAAATTGGGTGCGAAGACAGCTGCCCTCAATGATTTTGGAATAGCATACGTGACCTCATACAACACATTTGAGCTTTTCACGGACCGAATGATCGCCTTGTTGTTGACTGTATCAGCTCGGAAAGAATACACCAAATCACATGGGGGGCTCGTCTGCAGGCCATTGAATACTGCTTTTTTCGCCCTCACCTGACTCAGCCCAATTGGATTCCTGGGGAATATGTTCCACTTGTATGTATATATATATTATATATATATATAAATTATATATATATATATCTTATTATATTCCCCAGGAATCGCTGGTCTTGTACTGGATGTTGTCATTTTCAAGGTCCACACAGGTGCTATTTAATAGCAATGTTCACCCTCTCACCCACAAACAATAAATGTAGAATCAGCCTAATATATCAAAATGTGTTACTAATTTACACTCCCTTACTTCAACATGAAAATCATTAGACATCAAAAATGGGCCGGAAGACAATAGTAAATATGTTTAATTAAAGACATCAAAATATATCCCCACACTATTCCTTCTGGCAAAATCCGGCCATGTCACTGCGAAATATCCAAATGTCTCCCAGTAGCAACTATATTTGGTGAACATGATCTATAGCTGGTGACATTCCATGTTTGTTGCTAAGCGCTGGTCAAATTGTCCTGTCTTTGCTGGTCAAATTCCCATCAAAGCGTCGATTCTACTTGGTTAAAATCCGCAATTCTGTTGCTTACCCTCTGCAAATCCCCTATAAATGCCTTTAAATGGATGTTTTCTCCGGAAAATCACCATATAAATGATGGATTTTCCATTGCCACCTATGATGACCGGAGGAACAATCCCTCTTTTCGCAGGACCAGAGCCCTCCACACCTCGTTCCCGCGCGGCGTCATCGGCCTGGCGTGCGGAAAAATGGGGGGTATTTCAACCGTTGCAGCCGATGAAGTTAGATGTGAGTAAGTCTATATGTAATGTCTATAGTGACGGACAACCACTTAGAACATCAATTTTTTTCCAAAATTTCGGAACCTGTTCTTAGAACATCAAAACAACTACACTTAGAACATCAAAACTGTTCTAAGTACGCACTTAGAACATCAGAAAAACAGATACTTAGAACATCTCCTTTGATTTTTGCGCATACTTAGAACATTAAACACACATATACTTAGAACATGTCCTGTTACTTTGGTAAATCTGCATATATACACACAAATACCTTGGTGAACACCATACTTAGAACACTTTCTCCCCTCGCTGCTGCAGCATTCTATACCTTTTCTTCGGGAACAATATCCCAAGCAGTCTTCGCTGCAATGGGAAGGTCTCTAGTATATAAGTTGTGGGTTTCCTACAGGGGGTAGTCAAAAAGCATATATGTATGGTTCCCATTGGTTCCCCACTGGGATGTTCTAAGTGTAGCTTGGAAATGTTCTAAGTATAGGTTTTGGGTATGTTATAACGACTTCATACTTAGAACATCCCCGCTGTGACGGTTTTGAAAAAAAAAAATCCAAATGATGTTCTAAGTGTTTGTCCGTCGCTATATGTAATCCAAGAAACAACAAAAAACGCTCCTAAAACTCAAATTTGGATTCTTAAAATGGGTTTTAAACATTAAAACCTTGACATTCCAAGTACCGAATCAAGAGATGAACCAGTGATGGACTTCACCAACAAGACTGTCGCAGAAACACCGCGGGAACAAGCCACAGATCCCCAACGTTGATAACACCAGGAATGGGGACTTACCGATTCCAAAAATACCCTGTGACTCTGAACTGGCAATGGTATGGTATGTTTTAATCCAAGTTGACCAAACATTGATTCAGCATGGATATCAACTTGATATCGAGATCCATAAACATATAGATATCCTGTGATCTGATGATTTTACCATCTGGTTATTTAACATAGCCACGGAAAATCCCAACCATAAATGGAGGTTTCTAGCTGGGAAAATCCTCTATCAATGGGCCATCTATACCATGGTAACTCGAGGCCATGCCTCGAAAGTCTCTTCCGCTTGTTCCGCCAGCTCCTGGGTGCGTTGCTGGGACCACCCATTGCCGTGGGAATTCTGACTGTCCCTCCGTGAAAAGCTGGAAAATCGCTATGAAAAAGGGTCATGGTTGGTGGTTGATGGTGGTTAATGGTGGTTAATGGTGGTTAATGGTGGTTAATGGATATGTATCTGGTTGGTGGGGGCCACCTACCCCTCTGAAAAATGATGGAGTGAAAGTCAGTTGGGATGATGACATTCCCAATATATGGAAAAATAAAAGCCATGTTCCAAACCACCAACCATGTATTGTATTGTCGAGGGACATGACATTTTAATTTTAGCACCGCTTCACCCACGATAATCTCGACATATCTCGACCATGACCCTTAAAAGTGGTGTAGACGCAGTGCATCGGAACCAACATCATGCTTCCGTCACCGTCTGGTTATGACTAACATAGCCATGGAAAGATCCACCCATTTTTAATAGGTAAACCCAGGTAAACCATCTATTTCTATGGGCCATCTATACCATGGCTATGTTAGTCATAACCAGAGGGTAAAGAAAACAGCCGTTGGAGGATCAATGATTCGTTGGCAATGGCTGATCAGCTGGTACCGGACTAGCGGACTGCGATGATGGTCGGTGGATCGTTAAGGGAATTTTAGGAACACTACTACCATATGCTCCATGTAGGGTATATTTACCTACAAAACTGGGTGATGATTAGGGCAAATGTAGGTAAATATACCAGCACCATGGAGCATATGGGCTATACATCATTAATAACCATCGTAAATCATGCTTAGTTGAACATGTTCAGCACATTTTTGTTGCGTGGTCATCACTGGTCATCACCCCTCTGCTCCCAAGCCGTTGTTCAGCCGTTGATTCCTCCAGGATTTCTAACCCCGGATGCACCTGAAGGTTGATGCCATCTTGTTCCAAAATATCTTCCAGCAACGCCCTGGACAGCGACATTTCGAGTGGATGCATCATGATGTTTTTTTGTTTCCCATACCCATAGGATCCATGTATGCCATATATGGTAACATTTACCATCAATATACCCCCAATGTTAGTATATATACCATACATGGATCCTATGGGATATGGAGTAGCAGAGACTTATTTTATGATATTTTATGTGTGTTTACCCAACTTCATAAACCAGCTCATATTGTCGCTAGAGTCGCTAGAGATGGATGCTACAAAGAATGTGTTTGCGATTGGAAGGTTTTATGGCATTATGGTTTACCATCTGGTTATTTGACATAGCCATGGAAAGATCCACCATTTTTAAGTTCGGTAAACCATCTATAAAATGGGCCATCTATACCATGGCTATGTATAGTCATAACCAGAGGGTACCACATGACTGGTATTTCTCCTGAACACATCACCTGCTGGTCCCCAATGAGACCATGATTTTAGCAGCCCCAATTCGTTTCACCCAAGATTGGACATCATGAACCCCGAAAGTAACATTAATTATATACATTTATATATATACATCTACCACCTACAACTGTTGGAGATCCTGTTCGCAATCTCATATCAAGTCAAAAGGATGGCTTTTAGATGTTACTTATTGGTTTTACTTAATCCACCCTCTGGTAAACTAACATAACTATGGAAAATCACAATTTTCAATGGGTAAATCCACAATAAATGGCCATGTTCAATAGCTATGTTAAATTAACAGAGGGTATCACGTTGACCATGTGAAAATGTCGTCAAAAGAGCCTGAAAAATCGACTCTGGAATGTGCCCGTGAGGCCAGCAATAGTGATTGTTAGTGGGAAATAACAATTCCTTTATGTTTAAACCCCATAGGATCCATGGTGCTGGTATATATGCTAACATAAAGGGGGTATATTGATGGTAAATGTTACCATACATAGCATACATGGATCCTATGGGTTATGTTTAAACTGATAACTTAGAGATCTTTCAGGGGTTCAACACCAAGTTCCGAAGCATTTCAGTGACCCCAGGAAACATCCAGATCCAAGTCTTGCGTTGTGGGCGTTGGAACCTCTAGATCTGAAAACCCATAGAATTGCATCGCTTTCATCCCACGTGCTAATATCTGCAACATTCAAAGTTAGCCTTAAGAAAACACGGTTGTTTTTGAAGGTTACATTCGGGAGCCTAAAAGAAATCCGAGTCAGTAAAGATTGGTGCAAAACTAGTTACCCTCTGGTAATTTAACCTAGCTATTGAAAATGGCCATTTGTAGTTGATTATAGTTGATTTATATCATTTCTCCATTAAAAATGATGATTTTCCATCGTTTTTTGTATGTTTACCAGAGGTAAATCCTGATGGTCATGCCGCCGCATTTCCCGATTTGTTCAAAACCGGGTCGTCCGCACGGAAAGAGATGGTCAGAACCTGGGTGCAGATCCCGGGTCCCGTTTTTTTTTTCCCACAGCAGAGATGGGATGAACGAAGAAACACATGATGAAGAAAAAGGCGTAAAATGAACAGAGAGTTGGGATGAACAGATTTCCACTTCGGCCATAGGCCATATTATCTGTTCATCCCATGAACATGAGGTTTTAAACTACCCACTGTTGGGGTGATTTAAGCACAACTAAGAGGGCTGTTTTTCACTGAGAAGAATCTGCCCCGGGAAGATGCAATTAAGAAGAGCAAACTTCGAACCGCGGCAGATATAGCCGAAGTGGAAATCAATGACTTAAAACAAGGTGCAAATTTGAGCAATTCTGGTTTAAGTAATCCAGTTAGAAAGGGAGTTATAACATGTTCTAACTCCAGTTGTAGGTAGGCTAAGTAGGGTTAGCCCAGTTGTAGGGGTGAGGCACCAAGGAAGGATGTTTCCAACAATTTTGTAGGCAAATAATAGGATATTCCCATTAAGCAACTGTAGGTCTCAACTTGACACCCATCTCGACCATGATGGCGACAGTCCCCTTTTTCTTGGTCAAAAATTGGTAATTTTTGTTTGGCAAATCTATAACGTTTCTTGGCTCAATCCCCATGTTTGATGGGTAAACATGTCAAATCCAAATCGGTTGTCTGAAAATAAGGTACCCTCTGGTAATTCAACATAGCTATTGAAAATGGCCATTTATAGTGAGTTTTCCCATTAAAAATAGTGATTTTCAATAGCTATGTTAAATTACCAGAGGGTATCCCCAAGTCCACATCGTTTTGTCATCGTTTTTCCCGCTGTTTGTCATCGCCATAGTAATTGGTGGTCAATCCGCCATTTTCAGACATACTCCAAAATCGATCAAAATCCTATGTTGGTTCTATTGGTGAAATATCATATTCACATTATTCACATTATATATATAATATAATATATATATATATATGTATATCTCTCTCATGAAATATCACCATGGACCATGATTCCTTCTCCAATTTTAAACACACCAGGACCTGAGCAGGAGATTCACAATGATTTACACTTACTTGGGACCATTTAGATCCCATATGAACGGGGATAGGATTGCAAAATTGTTGTTGTTGAATTCCATTTTGGCTCGTTAAATCCCTAATCCTCAGACCAAACTCATAAATTGTTGGTTGTGTTGGCTCTCTTATCCCCATCGTTGGTTTCATATGTTTTCATAAATTATAAATATCATGATGATTTCACCATATACTCTCTGGTAATTTAACGTAGCTATGGAAAATCACCATGTTTAATGGGAAATTCCACTATTTCAATGGCCATTTTCAATAGCTTTTTGTATGTTTACCAGAGGGTAATCATAAATATATCCCCACAAGAGTTGCTACAAACATGTTTAGACACCTGGCACATCTTCACCGCACCAAGGTCCCCAACAGGTGGAGGCGGTAAAACCGCAAAGTACGGCAGGAAGAATCAGCCTCGCCAGACGTTGTGGGATCAAAATCTGGAGACACTCAACTTGGTGAAATTTTCAGCCAAAACTTACCAACAAAATATACAAAATCTATCAAATTGTTAGTAAGTTTTGGGTGATACTTAAAAATTACTTTACTTCGTGTGACCCCCACCATGACATTTATACATTTTGTTACTGGCAAATCTTCTGGCATTCTATCTGACATTTTTTCTGGCATTCGATCTGGCATTCTATCTGGCATATCTTCTGGCATTCTACCTGGCATATCTTCTGGCAGATGTTCTGGCATATCTTCTGGCAGATGTTCTGGCATATCTTCTGGCATATCTTCTGGCATATGTTCTGGCATATCTTCTGGCATTCCATCTGGCATTCTATGTGGCATATCTTCTGGCATATTATCTGGCAAATCTTCTGGCATTCCATCTGGCATTCTATCTAGCATATCTTCTGGCATATTATCTGGCAAATCTGCTGGCATTCTATCTGGCAAACATTCTGGCACTTTATCTGGCATATCTTTTGGCATTCTAGCTGACATTCTATCTGGCATTCTATCTGGCATACCTTCTGGCATTCTATCTGGCATATCTTCTAACATTCTATCTGGCATATCTTCTGGCACTCTATGTGGCATATCTTTTGGCGTGGATACTCGCGGTTGAGGTCCGGCATGGAACACTGGGCGTGGATGGTCGTGGTTGAGGTCCGGCAGGGAACACTGGGCGGGGATACTCGCGGTTGAGGTCCGGTAGGGAACACTGGGCGTGGATGGTCGTGGTTGAGGTCCGGCAGGGAACACTGGGCGGGGATACCCGCGGTTGAGGTCCGGCAGGGAACACTGGCGGTGATGGTCGTGGTTGAGGTCCGGCAGGGACACTGGGCGTGGATGGTCGTGGTTGAGGTCCGACAGAGACCACTGTGCGTCGAGGGTCGCGGTTGAGCAGGAGGAGGAGAGGAGAGGAGGAGACGAGGAGACGAGAGGAGAGGAGAGGAGGAGCAGGCAACTGACATAAAATCTAACAACCCTCACCTGGCAGGTGGGGAAAAATGATCATCAAATTTAGTATCACCCAAAACTTGCTAAAATTTGATACTAAATCTACTAAAATTGGTGACGCTGAAACTTGCTGACACTACAGTAAGGTGACACTAAAATTGCTTTGACCAAAATTGGACAGAATTATACTCAAGAATTGACTCAAACCTGCCGGCCCCCTGGGACTTCAAAATTTGTAGCTAATAATTACCCAAATGTGAAAACATGAAGTAAATCATTGATTTAATGTGGTTCCATTGTTAACTTTCCACCTTGTCACCCGTGCTAGAGATAAAAATGGTCGAACCATCCGCGACAAGACCACCACTGGGGCAGCGGCGAATAACTTTCGGTGCCGACAATCTCCAGAACAATCACCTCGATCGGTATAGATGAGCATCTCCATCTGTATCCCCAATTTATTGCTCCATTGAATCCAATACAGATTTGTCATATATATATATACACATAGACATAATATATATATAATATACAGTATATCAGTATATATATATATAATATATATATATATACACAGTATATCAGTATATATATATAATTATATATTATATATATGAATGAGTTTCTCCTAAAATGAGGTACATCTCCCTCAACTGCACCGAGTTCATCATCATCGCACTGGTGTCTGGGAGCCCTGGGAGCCCCAGCGATGGGTGTCAAGGAAAACCTGAAACAACTGGCGAACAGGCCCACCTGGCGGTTGCGGCGCCGTGGCGACGGGTTCAGCTGAACCAGGCTTTTCTGAAGCGATGTCCAGCTCAGCTGCAAAAGTATAGACTTTTAGAGGGCTTGGTAAATGTCCATTTTTTTTTCACATCACCCAAATATTGGGGATATAATCGCCAACAAATACATTTTCAAGTGATGTTCAAAATCCCCAAGCTATGGGACATTAACCAAACCTTGACACAGCTCTAGGATTCATGGGATGAAAATGGATGAAACTCAACGTTCAGCCTTGGAGGGCTATCAAGTGGCCTGAAGCTTATTGCCCATGACGGATCCATGGTGCTGGTATATTAATGCTAACATAAATAACCCCCTGTCAATTAAGGGGTGGGGTTGTGCAACCATTTTGTAGTGAAGAAACGGCTTGCATAGCCTCAAGCTCTACTAAATGGATGTGCATGCATGATCGAATTTCACTACTAAATGTGGGCGCCTGGTTCAGCTGAAGCGCAAAATTTGGATCTAGGTCATAGCAGTCATAGCATTTAGTAGTGGAAATCCACAGGGGGATACATAAATCTGGGTAAATTATAATATTTCACTAACCTGAATTGTTCGACCATTTGGGGATGATTTCCCTTACTAACCATGATTCCAGTGAGGTCGCAGTGAGGTCGTTATAATTTACCCAGATAAATGGGCTATATTGATGGTCCTATGGCTTGGTGGTATCAGGAATCATCCCATTTCTCGTTCTCAAAATCTTCAAAGATTTGGAACCAACAAGCTATAGCTTTTCCCAATTCTATCTACAACATGTCATATGGTTATATCAGTTATATCTTATATGTATGTATGTATATTATATATATAATGATCTATTTGACCGTGAATGCCCATAGAAAACGTGGAACATCCATCAAAATCTGGGTTTTATCCTACGATCATGAAAATAGCCATAGATTGGGGGTGATTGGGGTATACACCGTTCCTGGATTTCCCTATTGATTGGGGCCCGGTTGTTGGGATGTGCGCACCATGCCGAAGATGATGCAGGGCATCACGGTGCCGCCTTGCAGCAACCTGTGATGCGATTTCGGCAGGATCATCCAGCCACGCTCAATGGGAATTGCAGGATCCAATTGATGGAGGTACGTTAGTACCATATGTTTGGCCATATGAATTGTGGGGATGTTCCCTGAAATTTAGGCCTGAAAAATAGGCCTTATATATGGTAGGTACCTCCAATTTAGGTTCCTGAAATGGCCCTTGAGTTATGTAGGGATTCGTCATGAAATAAATGAGGTCGTCCGAATTCATGAACCTAATGAGATTTCTATTTCTGGGGTTGTCCGAATTCCGTCATATTTTGGACCTCAGTGGTGATGAAGCACGGTTGTTATTACGGATTCCTGCGAGGCTGCGAGGACCGATGAAAGCTGGCTCCTCCCTTGCTATGTAAGGGGCCATAAGACACCAGCCCCCCCGAATCGCATGGTTTGGTTTGGCATCATGAAATATACCTTCTGGTTTTGTAGCGAAGCCATGGATCATAGAAATAGATGATCGTAACATGATGGTTTACCAAAAAACAGAAACAGGTGATTTTCCAGGGAATAAAAATCATGAATTCATCCTGTCCAAGAATTCCAAGACATGGGCAACTTCTGACCACCCTTTTACCCACTGCCAGGCCCAGGTGCTCAGTATCATCTTGAGGAAGCAAACTACCTGCGTTGACAGCTGGCAGCAATTCTGTGGGCCCCAGTCGTGAATGCGAACGTATCCCAATAATTATCCCAAGTCAAATGATAATTGTCAGTCACACATCTCACTAATGGTTGTCACAAGGAGTTTTCCCAAAATTTGCGACCCATTCTGCCAGGTATCCCATAGTCGCCTATGGCGCCACCCAGGAAGCCGCCGGTGATCAGCACCGGTTCCAACATATCCGCAGGGCAGCGGACCTGCAGCAGTGTTTAATGTGCCAGGGCCGATTACAGTTGTTGTGGATAGTCTGGATAGTTAAACAATGTTAAACAAAACGATAGGATGGTAATGGTAAATGATACCCATTATAGAAGAAACACAATGAGTTTAGCGTTCGCAAAAAAACAAAAACAGTTCAATTGATTTGTCCATGGTTTTCACGAAATTCCCTGAACACCATAGACACTAAATCAATTTAGCTCAATTTCTTCAGGGAAATAATATGCAATTTAGCATTGTTCATAATCAATATAGCTAATTTTAGCTCAGCATTCCCAGACACTTTCATCGACCTCCAGTAGAGACAAGTGAGACAAGTCACAGGAGCCTAAAGCCTAAATGGGATGTGGTTGAGTCGTTGAGCAACATTAAAATGACGATGTTTGAACGTGTAGCCTTGCTAAGGTCGCTGCTATAGTGATGTGTTTTTTTTGTTTTTCTGAAAGTGAATAATGATTAGGTATTCAAAAGCCCTGGTTTCGCTTGGAGAGTGATGTACTCTGCGATTCCCTCATCGCTTTCCTCATCGTTTCCACATGATATAATGAAGTTTCCCTCATGATCGCTTTTTTGTATCGTTGTGCTGGGTTTTATACTGGAGGCTTTTTGAAGTGCATCTCATGTTGATGTCAAGGTCTTTGCAAAGCTTAGGCCATAGATGTCCCCTCTTACAAATGTACATGTCAAATATGTCAAATACATCAAATATAGATTGAATATAAATTCAATACCTAAACCAATCCATCAAACATGGATCCAACATCTGCAACTATAGAAATACATGTATGTATGTATATATATACATACATTGTATGAATTTGTATGATCTATTTATATATAGTATCAACATCTATGAAAATCCAAGTGCCAACTAACCACAGCTGAGATCCCCGACTGCCATCCCCAAGATCAAGGCCAAACCCTGGCATTTCGCGCTTTCGTGGACTCCAACCATCCCAAAACATCTCACGAAACCACCTGCCGAACAAAAAGCAAGCGCTGCAGCACTACGGCAGCATGCGCGTTGTTTTAAAAAACACTACTTTCAGACTCGTAAGAATCCCGTTTGAAGCCATCAACACATTGCAGATCTTCGAAGATTGATCCCTCTGACCACCATCAGCCCAAGAATTCCATCAAACATGTGGCTTTGAACATAGGGTATCTCCAAAACTCCTCTACACCTCATCATGACTTTGCCTCACCAAAAAGGCGCCATAAATTGGGGGAATGATTCCTCCATGGTTCAGGTCCACAGCCATCTGACCTTCCCAATGGCAAAGAGAAGCAAATGTCCCAAGGGTACGGTCTGGCGCGGAACTGCTCGCCAGTATGTGGAAATCCGAACAAAAAACCCTGGTTTCTGGGCGATGTTCAATATTAGGGGAGAGGGATTGCTCACAAGAAAAAGCATGTGTTGATGTAGGAATAGGACCTTCAAACATAGTTTTATTGAGTGTCATGTAAGGGAAGACAACCAAAGAAACAGTCACTTCAGGAAAACTTATGGAAACACGTAATTAAGAACAAACATCTGTTGAACAATGCACAGATGACATGGTCATGCGAACCCACAAGAAACTCTTAGCAAGTGCTCCTTGTACATAGAATCAGAAAAAAAAACAATGAAATCTCTACCGGAGTTCTAAAGTGCCTCACCAAAACAAATCATCTTCACAACAGATTCCGGGATGCTTGGTTTCCGGTGAAGGAAATTCAACACTCATAAGAAATGCACTTCCAATCTGCAGCAACAGGGAGTCAAAATAAGAATGTCCTGTTGCTTACCCTCTCTTGGAAGTAAACCGTTCAATTTCCAGCCCTTTTCCACCCGCAACAAATTTTCCCTGCCTTTCGACCACCAGTACATTGGCAACATCCCTGCACTTTTGGTTGTTGGGGTACTCATATATCCGAACCAGTGTTCCTCACAGAGGTTCATGTTGACTGGATTCTTCTATAATTACGACATCAACACTTTTGTGTCTTTTGTTGCTTTGCTTCTGCTTCTGAGTTGGTGCCATTCATTTTTAACTGATTTATTTTTGTTGCTTACATCCCATGTTTGTCATGTTTTCCGCTGGTTTTCGCCCATGCTTCCTTGTGTGCCATCCCATGTACCTTGTTTTTTGTCGTGGTTGTCACATGTTGTCACTCACTTTCCAACCTTTCCATGTTTCAACTCCACCTTTTCCTGGATTAAAAATCACTGGCCGCAACAGGAAACCGATTCATTGGAGGTAACTACCATAGATCAGGCCTATTTTTCAGGCCGAAATTTCAGGGAATTCCCAGACATCCCGCGGCAAATCGGCGGACCGCGGATCGGCCTTGGTCATGGCGATCTGCAAACTTTCGGCGCCAATGCCCCAGACCTCGCCACGGAAAAGCGGTCCGGACAGTGCAAACTGGATGGCTTTTTTTCAGCCACGAAGAAAAATTGATGTTGGAAGAATTAAAACAGTGGCTGGAAGAATATATCATGTTGAAAAGATGTTGGAAAAATATATCAGTTTCTGATGTTTTCAAACATGCCTACACCAAAAAAGTCTAAAAAAAAGTCAAAATGCTAGCGCAAACCATGAAATGGCTACAAGTCAAGGAAACTGGACCTTGCCACGGTCCTGACGCAGAATGAATCTCTGAATTGAACCCTGTTATGTCCGGACATATTCCCTTTGGCCTCGTCACCACTGCACCAATCAAGTCGCCCATGTTCTTTTTTTTAATGACTCTAGTAAAAACATGTAAAAACCACATGGTCAAGGAACTTTTGGTAGAATGAAGGTCACACTTTATCCATTCTCCAACTTACCCCACAATCAATGAATGTAGATATGTAAAAAACAGTATTTGTAGATCATTTGCCGGCGAGAAATTCCATCATTGTTTCCTTTGGTTTGCTTGAGGGTATCTGGTATATCTCGTCCATGTATATCACCGGATGTAGAATCTTCAACAATCAGCCATGAACCCACCCTTATAAACCAAAATTATACGATAAAATTAGTTTAATCCACGGGTTCATACTATACCCAGATGCTCCATGGTGCTGGCATATTTACCTACATGACTGGGTGATTTTTCGGGCAAATGTTGGTAAATATTCCAGCACCATGGAGCATATGGGGTATTGTTACTATATATGTTTCATGCTTATTGTCACTATATATGTTAGTATATATGTTTCATAATATATAGTTCATACTATATTGTTACTATATATATATACATGTTTCATGCCTAAGGCAACGCTTAAATCAGGTATCATCGGGTCATTTGCCACGCTACAAACCCGTTCTCGGACACAGCCAGGTTGCGCCCCGCAGGCCGGTGGTACGGAAGACCAGGGCGCCAAAGGATGCTGTGATGAGGGCCTGTGCCGGTCTCATGGTGTCCCCCCTACGTTTCTTGGTTTAGACTTAGGGGAGACCCCAGTTGTCCAAGTTTTGGCTAACTTATCCCACTAACCATGGATAATCCCCTCAATTACCATCTGGTAAATTAACAGATGTAGCTATTGAACATGGTGATTTATAGTTGATTTACCCATTGAAATGGTGTTTTTCCATAGTTATGTTAGTTTACCAAAGGGCACACTTACTATGACTCCATTTTTTTTGAGTGAATTAACCATGCTCAAGCCTAACTTATCCCACTGACAAAAGCACGATACATAATACATATATATATAATTATATATATATGTATATGACCTACTTAGTAAGTGGAATGAACCACCAAGTAACCCCCACAAAGTATCTTCTCCAAATTCAAGTGACATGGGAGTTGTTAAACTCACCAATGGGCCGCGATTCCAAACTGGGGCACCACCTTGTAGTTTGTTTTTCACATGTATATAAATGGTCTAGAAACACACCCAAGTTGGAGTTACTTAACTGGTTGGTGGTTTTAACCCCTCTGAAAAATATTAGTCAGTTGGGATGATTATTCCCAATATATGGAAAATAATGTTTACTGGGCTTTTCCAATTGATTTCACCCAACTCTCGGCCTCTCGATTCGCCAATTCGCCCGATTCGAAGAAGCATGGGATAACAAAACAACCATATTCCATCAACATTACATTGCTATATCACCTGGGATTGTAATGGATTCGAATATCGGGAAATGGATGGAAAAAATAGTGACGCTATATCAATATTATAATATATGTAGGCTTGGATTTTGAGAATTCTTCTGCATGAGACTGGTTCGCAATCATGGCTAGTTTACCTGTTTGTATAGTGGGATAATTCTACAATGTTTTAGGTGACTTCCTTTGTGCACATGATTTTTCCGAGTTACTGGGATGATCCAGTGGAGGTTGTCTGAACATATGGGAATGGCAAACATGATGAACCATGGGATTGTTGCGTTTCCCAAATTGTCAGACAAACCCATATATGGGGATGGGTCAAAACCCTGGTACCCTGGTGAACATCAAAATAGCTGGTACATGGATGTACATCCCACTAAAAATGGTATTAATAGGTATTGATCCATAGCGATATGGTTCATCACTGGGTTCTAATTTGAATTCCTATATCTAATAAGACTAGGATATTGCCCGTGAAGCTGCACGCTAAAAAGATGGGATTGAACTACCGAAACTGTGATGAAATCAAGCAACATGATTCAAATTATACCCCATGACGGATCCATGGTGCTGCTATATTCATGGTGTGCCATGGATCCCATCAATATACCCCATTTATGTTAGCATTAATATACCAGCACCATGGATCCGTCATGGCTACAGGATTGATGGATCCGCTGTTAATTGACAAATCATCCCAGTCAGGGTCTTTAGTCGAAATAAATCTGTGGTGCTCGGCTGAACACTCTCATAGAAGGCTTGACCAGGTTTGAACATAGGATATAAATATTGATCGGTGTTTGTGCGAACTCAGCAGGGTTTCATTTAATGCGGGCGTAGGAAAGAAGTTGTAAAGATTCTTTCTCCGTATCAGCTTTTGTGACCAAAATGAAGCCGCTGTCCTTGTCCGTCTTTATGGCAATGTATGGACTACGCGCCGACATGTTCAATGCCAGTCTGACGACACCTGTCGTGTTCTCACATGATTCGGTTTGTTTTGCTTCAATTTTTCAAAACCTCCGTGTAAATATGTCGTGCAACATCTTGAATGAAAGACTCCACCACGCCTGGGAATTGTGTATCACAATATATCACAATATCGAATATGTAACAACATGTAACAACTATATATATATGTACATGAATATTATAGAAGTTTATAGGCCTCGCGGCGACTCATGAATATGATTGTTCATTATGTGGGGATATTTGAGGTGTGTATGGGGTGTGATTTCTCCATTCCCTCCGATCGGCACCAAGTCTGAGTGGTTGAAATCCACAGATTTGGTCGGCCGTTGAAAAGGCGACCACTTGGGCTACGAGTACCTGATCGTGGACACAAATGATACCTCAAAAGGGATCCCAAAATGAACAGATCCAATGCTTATAGCGGATCTATATGTTTTGGATAATCCCCAAATGGCTATGGGTCAAAAATGTATACTAAACTAAAGCCATTGGATTGTGGTCGAGACCGGGATTGAATGATTGATCAAAACCAAACTATAGTTATAGTAGTTATAGTGTTATAGTTACAGTACATTAAATCATTAAAACTATAGTTAAATAACATTAAATAACATTAAATAACGCTATTATACCGTGACAACTATAAAGTTATAGTTGATCCCCCGTTGTATTCCGGATTGTCCGAACGGTTAAATTATGGCCCAAATCTCTGGCGCCTGTAAAGCAAAGGCCACCGGCAGTGGCGCCAACTGAGCCGCCGGAGAGCGGAACACGAGGAATCTTAGGGAGCCATGTTATCCTCTGGTAAACATACAAAAAGCTATTGAAAATGGCCATAGAAATAGTAGATTTACCCATTCAACATGGTGATTTTCCATACTTATGTTAGTTTACCAGAGGTTAAGTAGGTCGCAACGATACCAATGTTGTGAAAAAACACACCATCGAAACCCCCCATTGTACCAATGACAGCAGTGAACCAATGATACCAATGATTCCAATCCCTCCCCCGATTCAATAGAGCGAATAAATGGCCATTCAATTCAGTTCGTTGATTGACCGCAAAAAAAACATGGTGATTTTCCATCGCAAACTGTAAACGTTTACAGCCAGGGTACTCCAGCATCGTAAGGGTCTCCAACCCACAGATCTACCAGGGAAGCGAGAGAATAAACCAATGGATATGGTATGAGATATGGTTGCCATCAAGCAATATATTTAGGGATGGCTCAAACCATTCTGAAATGACCATATGAGGCATAGACATCCATAAGTCCTAGCTATGACTTAGGGTATCGTTTGGGTGCCAGGGTTTTGACCCATTTATCCAAAGGTTGACCGGGCGAAGCCTAAAACGTCCCCAGCCCCGCTGAAGGTTCTGATGCGGCACCGGGCGATACTTCTGGACCAGTCGGTGGAGAACACCTCAGCAGCAACCCCAAGCACAAAACATTAGTCACTCCGGGTCATCATTGTATAGGACTTAAACAACTATATATAATAGAAATCATACATAATCATACAATATATATATATATATATATAAATATTATACAACTACTTGGGATAGGATTTCCTAAACGTATTCAAGGACAATCCTTGAAACACGTTTGTTTAATCGACTTGGCTGTTGGACTGGACTGATGCCTTTTTACAAGTAGCACTACCATGGAGTCCACAAACCCTTTGCCTCTCAACCTCAACAACAACAACAACAACAACAACAACAACAACAGCTAGGTTTGGCGCAGGTTAGAATGGTTGGTGCAATCGCTTTCATTCCTTCAGCAATAAGGTGATTCTTATCATTTTTTATCTACACTTGGCCGCCGAGAATTTTCCAGTAATGATGGGGGAACGCGAAAGAAAGGGATGAAAGAAAACAGCGCAGTAGCCAGTAGCCCATCATCCCAAGAAAAATTGGTCCCAGAGCCATCAACGTCAAAGCAGAGTAATACCTCTAGCCCACAGCCCGCCATACACTGCTAAGGATTTACCCAAAACATTGGGAAAAAGAAAACTCACAGTGCTGAGGAAAGAGCGCTATAAGATGAAAAAAACTTGAAGTGCTGAGGAAGGGGCCGTTTCTCAGGGAAGAAGGAGACGCACTTGCCACAAACCAATTGTGATGCTAAAATTTGGTGCGAAAATCATGGTAAAAAAGTAACAAAAAATGCGGCAATCCGCTTAGGGCGTCTGACTTAGTGACGTGACTTTCCCAATTCCGCATTCCGGGCGTCTTGCCCCCTGAAAGGCACGTCTTTCATTTTTGCTTTCCGTTGATCCGAGACACTGGTGCTCTTTGAGATGACAAAGCCTTGGACACGGGACACGGGAAGGGATCCACTGGCAAATGTATAGCCCATTGACACATGATGAAGCCATGCCCAGTCTGTGGTTTATTCCATTACTATGAAATGGGAATGGGTCAAAACCATGTAGCCCTGTAGTTCACATCAAAATAGGTGGGATTTATGGATGTTCATCCCCTAATAAACTGTATCTATAGGTATTGATCCATAGCCAAATTATATACCGCAGTTGCTGGTTTATCCCAGTTGCTGGTTTATCCCAGTCGTGGGCGACGTTGTTGCCCTCTGGCGATATTTGGCGTAAGATTCACTTCATAATGAAAAGTGGAAGGCAATGACATATTAGGGACCATGTATGGGGCTGATGCAAGTTATCTTCCACATAGGGCATTTAGGGACCAAAAACTAGGACCGAGTTTTTCCGTTTGGGTACCAAATCCACTGAGCCGTTTTGCCAAGAGTAGACCTGCAATCAGATCTTGACGCCTTGGCTGTTCCAATTCAATTCTCTGACGAATTCAATTCCAGTTTGGGACGGAAATGTAAAGAAACCGGTGCAGACAACCAAATTTCGGAGTATGGGTCCAAGTTCCTTTATTATGATTGCAAGAAACTACAACGTGTTCCACAAAGGTTCGTAGCTAAACAAAAAAAGGTCCAGTCGGGATCATTCTGTGCATCATGACCATATGTTCTGATTAGGTCAATTCCATTGAGTTCATAGCCATATTCAATATATGATATACCCTCTGGTTATTTAACATAGCCATGGAAAATGGCCCATTGATAGAGGTTTACCTATTTAAAATGGTGATTTTCCATAGCTATGTTAAATAACCAGATGGTAAACCAGACTAAACTGAATATCAAATAATAGAAACTAACTGTAAGTTGATTCTCATACGGTCGATGGGCCAGCGAAATCCTGCACCAGTTGATAAGTGGTAAACATTCCATTATTTATAGGCTTTCAACTTTTCAACCATCCTTTTGGTGATGCAGGATTTCGCAACCATCCACAGTATATTCCCATTATCCCAATAACATCTAGCACATCTATTACATATCCCGGCCCCATGTTTGGAATATCATCCCAAAAAAACAATCCCAAATAATCCCAAATAATCCCAATCAACATTATTATGCCAAATATCCCAATAAAGATTATTATCCCAAATATCCCAATTAACATTATTATCCCACATATCCCAATTACTTATCCCAATAAACAATCCCAAATAATCCCATAAATATTATTACCCCCAAAAAAATGATGAAACTCTCGTCGTCCCCCTGCCTCCAAGCAAATCCAAGGGGCCACAGAGCGAGCACGCAACGGCGATGGGTATAGCAATTAACCTATGGAAAGGTGGAAAATCCATCGCTGCCGGCAACTTGGGGGGGGAAGTCGATATCTATTCTATGCTAATTCAGTATATTCTAATAGAATCCAATCTAATCTATTTATATATGTCCATATACATGGTATATATCCTGGATATATCCTGCAACAAATGCTAGGAGTATAACATGTCATCAAAAGGGACCTGTTATGACTCCTCTGGCAGCTGGAGAACAAGTTAATGCCACCCTAGCTACATGTCGGCCATACATATATATATATACAGAGAGAGAGAGAGAAAGAGCAAGCCCCAAGAAGCTCAAAAGGCAAAATCCCATTAAAGTAGTGATCTAATACTTTTCTGCATCTTTTTGTTGGGTTACTATATCTTTATTGATTCCAAACAGTGGGGAGAAGAGCCCTTCCGAAACTGCACAGATCCTTTCTCGACCAAGTTCTTGGCAAACCACTAGGCATTTGGAATGCAAGGGAATGACCACTTAGCCGTGTTCACTTCTTCTGAGCTCTGCCTTTGAGAATATTTGTCGATCTTTTTTGAGCTCGTTCCTCACCCTTTTGTTACGCCCATGGTCGCTGTGGACGCCGATGGATTGAAACCGGCATACTTTCCCTTGACAGATTGCAACTTGGGGCTATGTTCATTTTTGCTGACAAATCCACACAGTTAAAGCCCTTCAAAACAAACTATAGTATAAATGGTTATCTATGGGTTATACATTCCATAGATGGGGTGACTTGCTGACTTAATCTGACTTATAACTGGTAAAAGGGCAAAACTGTAGGATTAGTTTTAGACCTCAGTCATTGTCCTCTTCCAGAGAATCATCGAACCCCGCCGAGGAATCTCTGAGTGGTCAGTTTCCTGGAGAATCCTCTGTCCAGACTACATAATATGTACGCATGTATTTGAACATTATATAATGATATATATATACTATATATGATATTATATGTATATATCTATATATATATATATATCAATATAATGAATACATACATGAAGAATGTCTTGATTATCAATGGGAGAAACAACAGCCATCATTTTTCGCGCCAAGGGGCATCCACATCTTCTTGCCTAAGATCTTGTCGACGGATCCTCCCTCAATGCTCTGCAGAATGTCCTGCACCCAGCGAATTCATCACGACGCGACTTCTTGGTGAACAGAAAACTCCAATTTCACGGAAGGTTTATGGATGTATATAGTAGTTATATCTAGTTATATGGATGTTGATAGTAGATATATATCTAGTTTTGTATATATATATATATATACATCTATTTTTTATTATACTTAATGGGGATTATAGAGCAATAATATATTATTGGGGGGCACCACCTTGTGGTAAGGAAATATGTTTCTGTTTCATAGACGAATTTCCCATCCAAACCAAACTCTCCATTAATGTTATTTATAAGGCATATATGAATGTCATATATATATATGTATATATATATATGGATTAATGTTTATTAGTTATATAGATATATATAAAAATAAATTAACATAAATTTAACATTAGAGTTATATATATATATATAAATGTTATATATCTATTCATAGATCCATTCTGGTGATGATCAACATTACCCCAATTTCAATGGACGACGGAATCATCATGAATCCGCCCATCGCCCAGGGGGCTATCCGTATTGGCCATCGAGTTCCTTAAGAGAAGATGAACTGGATTGCGATCCATTGGTTTGGGTAAGGCACACAGTAGATATTATATATATATATTGCAATCCAGTTAACTATTCAATGTAGAATATATATATAGTAGATAACTGTTTTGAGTAATACTCAGCTATATATATATATTATATATATTATATACATGTTCAATGGATTGGTTAAAGGGAAAAATTACGGGAAACCATCGATTTTCCCATTAAATATGGGGCTGTCCCGTAAATTTTCCCTTAAACCAATCCGTTGACATGTATATATATATATATAAATATGAGGGGATACAAGGCTACTAACTTCCTGGCCCATCTGAATATCCTCAATTTGCAAGTAAAATCATACCCCGGGCCCCACTCCATGGACTTCACTTTTGCAGTGGATTTTGCCATGGCAAGAATTGACCAATTAACCTACCAAACAAAGATTGACCTACAATGCGGGGTCCCAAAACGGGGCCCCCAAACGATAGACAAGTTGGTTGGCATAACTTGGCGAATTGTGTGATTTATGACGAATATATCGGATATATCATATCTGTCATATCTATTGTGTGGGTGAAACAAAACCATTGCAAGCGGTGTATTTCTAAGTCATAATTCATTTCAGGATGGTAGAATCACCATGTGAAAGCCATGTTAAAAGCACCATTTTCTGATGTTTATCGCCTTTAACCCTGTGGATCCCAAGTTTAGTTTCCATGCCGCAAACTGTCATACCCAAAGGCTATCATCATGTATCATCCCCCAGTTTTGCTGGTGAAATTTCACATCAAATCACATCAAATCCAATAAAATCCACATTAAATCACATCAACAAAAAAAATCAAATTAAATCACATCAAATCCAATAAAATCCACATTAAATCACATCAAATCCAATGAAATCCACATTAAGTCACACCAAATCCACAGGGTTTCCCCTGCTAAAGGACCCATCACAGCGTATCAGGACCATCCCCGCGCCTCCGCCCAGGTGGGTTGAAACAGCTGATAGTTCCCAGCAGTGGCTCGCGCGACCTGTCAATCATTGCATGTTGCCTGAGCTGATTATAACATAAATGTAAATGTGAGTGTATATATATATACTATGTAGATATGAAAATATGTTATGTGGATATATATTAATATATATATATATATGTCGTATGTATACATATATAAAATCACATAAATATATTTAACAACATATTACATCATGATATATCCCTATTTGCTGCAAAGGATGTAAATACACTTTATATAGGGGTTTCCTGAATTGTTTCCTTTAAACACATTTAATGATCTTGGGCTAGTCACTTGCATGTCTGGCATGTCTCAAAAAAACCTAGTTCCCTCCTAGTAATCTTCTAACACGCAAACCATTTGATTCCGACTGTACAACAACGTCATGTCTAGACACCCTCAAAAGACAGTTACATCTACCAACAGCAGCTGGAGCATTGGCAAGAAATAGCTTGTTTTCGATGCACAAATTACCTGGTTGGTGGTTGACCTACCCCTCTGAAAAATGATGGAGTTCGTCAATGGTTGGCGGATGACATCCCATATATGACATATAAAAACCATGTTTGAAACCAGCAACCAGTTACAGTTTTTAAAACCGCGTCAAGTAGTCAGTTTCCTGCTGCATCTTAATCATAACCGAGCGGCGGCAGTTGACAAAGCGGCGGCAACCATAATCATGTAAATCCTTGGCATCGAGGCCGTTCTGCAGGAAACCCGTGAAACCCGTCTCACTGAAACCGAATAGCCATGCCATGGCTTTAGAATCATGGCTTGAAGAAGAAATTCAACATGGCTTGAAACTGATGTTTTTAATGCATTCCCAACACAAGCAGAAGGTGAACTGAGGAAACTATTCGATCTCTGTTTGTGACCCGCTTCCACAAGTTCACCTTCCCAGCCATGGTCTGATAGAAATGACCAATGGCTCCACCAATGGCTCCACCATAGCCATTCTTGAAGCACATGTTCGACCAGCATCCCAACTTTGGTTTGAATGCGACATGAGGCATTTACTGCTGAACTCCCTATCAATCCCCAACCTCAATCCTTAACGTCTAAAATCGCTGAACACCCCATTGAGAGGTTCCCTAAATATGCTCAGCATCTATTCCTGGGAAGCTTGCAACAAGTCTCAAGTTCGGGTTTGAACACCATCTGTCAAAAATGGGGGTTATCTGGGGTTGGGTCAAAACCTATGACTATCAATTTTAGTGGGATGAACATTTATTTACCAGCTATTTTGAAGTTGGGTAGGTACCAGGGTTTTGACCCATAGCCATCTGAAAATAGTTTGGATTATCATCATGTTCCAGTGGATTCTTATCATTTTCCCTGTGAAAAAACACCTGATTGGGGCCTCGACCAACACCCTCGACCAACACCCACGGTATCCCTGGGATTTGGGATTAGATCATCCAATCGCTGACGAAGATCACTGGTATGTATAGATCATTTTTTCACTCCAAGTAGCGCATTGAATGATCTATAAATACCAGTGATTTACATGAAATGATATTTTTCGGATTTCTTTCACAAGATTTACGCATTTCATGTAGTTTTCAATAGGCAAAACAAAAATCAAGATGGAAATGTTTGATGTTAGGTTTGATGTTGATTTACACTGTGTTTATGTAGAATCACATGTGGTTCATTGTGGTTCGCATTTCTTTAAACCACCATATACCCTCTGGTAACTAACGTAACTATGGAAAGATCCACCATTTTTCATGGGGAAATTCACTATAAATGGCCATTTTCCATAGCTACGTTAGTTTACCAGAGGGTATATACCAATAATACCCCATTAAATCACTATAAAATCCCATTAAATCACTATAAAATCCCATTAAATCACTATAAAATCCCATTAAATCACTATAAAATACCATTAAATCACTATAAAATCCCATTAAATCACCATTTTTCATTGTGTTTGATGGTTTTGTTTACCCCAGGCCCATCCAAACAACGGGGGAAACATCGATGGATGTGCGTCGTCGCTTGCGTCAAACGCGTGGAGACATGCTGAAGCTCCTGAAGCTCCAAAAAAATTGGGATTGAACGATGGCTTAATGGTGATTTAATGGTGAGTCCATGATCATTGTGATTTCCCATGGGAATTTAACATTGTCAACCTTTGATAGTCACAGAAAAAAGTGAAAAAAGTCATCTTTTGCTGGTTGGCTGGTGATTCTCCATTGATATGAAAAAAACATAAAAAAACTAAAGGATTAAAGTACCCAGCCAGTGAGCTGGGGATGGAATTCTTGAGTTCACTATACTTTGATATGTATGGATTATACAGTGATTAATAATGTGAATATCTGACAATTGATGACAAGGGCTAGTGATAACTACTATAATCCTACAATCACTATCTGATAGTCTGACTTATAGGGCTTTATAGTCAGTAGTGATTGGCAAAGGGTTACAACTAACTACTCAAACGGTAAGTATAGGGGTTAGTCTAATATTAATAGTTTAATGGTAGGTTTATTCTATGTGGGCCCATCATGACCAAAGACTCACCAAACAATAGTTTCACTACCAGGTGGTTTATCCCTATCAAACAAACATATGCTGGTTTCCATAAATGGAGGTATCCCAAAATGGTTGGTTTATAATGGAAAATCCCATAAACATGGATGACTCAGGGATAGCCCCATTTCAGGGAACCTCCATATCAATAAGTAGGGTTCAACAATGAATTTCTGAGCTCCAACTGGCTCCGAGAGGCACTGGATACCTTTAGCTTCGAACCTCTTCCTAAGCACTGGAGAGTATGATCCTTCATTTAAAGTGATTCATGGCCTGTTTTGCCTTCTTTCCTAGCCTTTTTTGTTTGTTCATTAACATCATTAAACATCATTAAACATTGATCTGTGGAAACAGTGACTGGAAAGCCACAGATCTTCAAGGAAATGACCCCACAAACCATGCTCATTTCCAGCACAAATGGATTTCGTGGAATTAAATCCATTTTTTGGACAAATTTGATCTCCGTTCTTTGTGGATTTCCTGCCAGGTAAGAGTTATACCATACGGCAGTAGCTAGTTAGCTTTGATGCTCCGCTCGAAGTCAGCGGTTTGTGTTTGAGGTTGGAGGTCACTGACCATCCCCAGTTGAGAAGTGTTCAAAATCCTCTGTCGTCACATAAAATACTGGCTGGTTAATGGGATTTCCCGTACTGGATTGTGATACCCTCTGGTAAACTAACATAACTATGAAAAATCACATTTTTTTATGGGTAAATCAACTAGAAATGACAATTTTCAATAACTATGTTAGTTTACCAGAAGGTGATCTCCAATAGATTGGGGAGTAGAACCCCTTTAGAAACATCAACCAAGGGGGGTCAGCAGCCACTGCTCAATTGAGATTTATTGTTGGCTATCTATCTATATATATATATATATATATCCCAGTGTATTCCCCTTGAATTGAATCCCATTACATATTAAATCCCATTAGTTTACATTTATTGTTGGGCAATGTTGGGTAATGTTGGGTATGCCACTAATAATGGGATGATCCACCCCTTAAATAGTTGGTGTCATGGATCATCCAGGGATGCAGGTAGACAAACATGTAATGTACCGTACGTGGATATAGCACTGTGTAAATACTGTGTGAAGTATATATATATATATATGTATGCATACACTTATACATACTGTATGTGTACTTGTGTGATATGTATGGATATAAATAAATAAATAAATATATATATATGTATATATAGACGATATAGATATACACACTACGTTTACATGATATTTGCACAATTTTCCAATCATCGAACGAAGTTTAGAAGTCAAACTTCCGACAATATGGACAGATGAAAAGCAGAGGTGGGAAGAGTCAGAGAAGAGAAGAGAAGAAGAAAGAAGATCAAAAAAGAGAAAGTCTCAGAAGAAAGAAGATCCAGGTGCGCACAAAGGTAGGAAAGTCGCGAAACACTGTGTTTTTCCGATGATTTGAGGCTCGGGAGGGTCGAAAAGTAGGCTCGCTAAAGCGGCGGGTGCGGAGCCATCTGGCCAGATGAGACATGAAAAAATTCACGCCGTTGTGGCGCGAAACACATTTCGAAGTCAAAATGTACAAAACACACCAGGTTCGGACCACTTTTGGAAGTTGAGATGTCGAGAAAGTGCACGCCGTTGTGGCGCGAAGCACATGTCGTTGTCAACATGTGAACATGCCACATGCTCGGACCACTTTTGGACGTTCAGATGTCGTTTTGCGTGGCAGGCGCAAGGGATTGTGCACCCTGTCAGAAGTGAGCAAAACGTGAGGATTTTGTGGCATTTCCAAGAACGATGGCAGGCGTGGGACATGTGAAGAGGATCTGCAAAGACGCATTTTCCATGGCAGGCGCAGTACAAGAGACATGTTCATCAGAGATGTAGGAGGTCAGGGCGCTGCTTTCCTGAGGGGGGTTGCATTTTGGAGCATCAGATCTTCAGGTTTGCTGAGATGATTTTGCGTGACAGGTGCAGCATTTCGTATGACCCGGTATCACTTTTTCGTGGCAGGCGCAATACTTAGACAGGTGGAGTCGAAAAATCGCAAAACGCATTGTGGCACGAGGCCGTCAGCTCTGCACTCAACTTTCCATTTTTTGAAGGAACTCTCGCAGAATTGCTTCGTTTTTGATGTTGTCAACTTCGAAAAATGAGGGAAGCCTCGCTGAATTGCTGCGTTTTTGCTGTTGCCAACTTCAAAAATTGAGAAAGTCTCGCAGAATAGCTTCGTTTTCAAGCTTGCAGATAGACAGACAGATAGACAGACAGATAGACAGACAGATAGACAGACAGATAGAGAGAGAGAGAGAGAAAAAAGAGAGAGAGAGAGAGATATAGATAGATAGATGGATGAATAGATAGATCGATCGATAGATAGTTAGATAGATAGTTAGATAGATAGATAGATAGATAGATAGAGAAACAGAGCGAGAGAGAGAGATAGATAGATCGATAGATAGATACATAGATAGATCGGTAGGTAGGTAGGTAGATAGTCAGAGAAAGAGGGAGAAAGAGAGAGAAAGAGAGAGAACGAGAGAGAAAGAGAGAGAAAGAGAGAGAAAGAGAGAGAAAGAGAGGACACCTCAACCACCTTTCGGTCCATCAGTGGGTTCGCTCTGCCATCCGTGATTCACAACAACAAACCTTCTCCGATAGGTTGCCTCTTTTTGAAACTTCCGCCACCGCCTTGCGCGGTACTATTGGTATGTCATATGTATACTACATATCAACCAACAATGATGGGTGAGAAGATGGAAGAAACAGACCTGCCGACTTAGCCAAGTAAGTTGGTTCAGTACAGATACAGTTATAGCCAAGAATGTTAGCTACTTATGAGGCACCAGCTTGTACCTGAAGTATCTAAAAGTAAGACAAAAAAAACAGCAAACACGCCTTCGCACAAATGCACACGCCGTTTTGATTTCCCACAGCGTGGCGCTCGTTCCGCAAGTCCATGCGTTCAAGCAACGGCAACTGTAATGACCCTGCCCAGTTCGCCAAACCCAGGTGCCATACAGCAAAAGGCGCAAAATCGATACGGCCTTTACACAGCTGCAGTTTTAAGCCCTTCATGTTTTAAGTTTTCGCCAAACACAGGTGCCATACAGCCCCTCATCTAGGGGACATCTTGATCAACGTGATCCTGACCTTCCTAATGACGACGATGACAACGATGACAATGCGGATGAAAATGAAACTGATGATGAGGATGAGGGTGACGGTGAGGAGGTGATGATGATGATGATAATGATGATGATGAGGAGGAGGAGGAGGATGGTGATGAGGATGAGGAGGATGGTGATGAGGATGAGGACGGTGATGATGGTGGTGATGATGATGATGACGATGAGGATGAGGATTATGATGGTGATGATGATGATGATGATGAAGAAAATGACGACGACGACGACGACGACGATGATGATGATGATGATGTTGATGATGATGATGATTGCGATGATGATGACAATGAGGATGAGGGATGAAGGTGATGATGATGATGGTGATGATGAAGATGAAGATGATAATAATGATGATGATGATGAAGAAGATGAATATGGTGATGGTGATGAAAATGATGATGATCATGATGATGATGATCATGATGATGATGGTCATGATGATGATGATCATGATGATGATGAAGAAGAAGAAAATATGATGATGATGATGATGATGATGATTATGATGATGATGATGAATAAGACGTTGAAGAAGAAGAAGAAGAAGGCGAATAAGAAAAGAAAAAGAAAAAGAATAATAATAATAAAACAAAGAAGAATAATTTGATGATGCTGAAGAAACATATGATGATGATGATGATGATGATGCTGATGATGATGATGATGATGATGATGATGCTGATGCTGATGCTGATGCTGATGCTGATGCTGGCGGTGGTGACGACAATGATGACCATCATGACCATGATAATCACGAACAGCATCAGTTCAAGTATATGATCCTATTGTGAAATACAGATGACAGGATGAGTCTGTTCCTCTCATAACATATTTTAAGGATCCCTGGGCGTTGGCGCGACTGGTCGCGAAATTGAGCGCCGCAAGCGCGAACATCGTTTTTCCCTCGTCTCAGGTGCGATGGTGCAAATGCCAAAGACTTCCCATTGGAGTCCCATTGTTTGGGAAATGGATTGCAGGGACCAGTTTTTTTTCCAAAAAGGGGTCATGATTTGGTTCCAAAATCCTCGCAGCAAGAGGTCCACCATTTCAATCGGCGCCGTCAACTCGACGAGGTCACAGCAACCATTTTGGTTGTGTTGGTTTAAACCGACTCGTCAGTCACTAATGGTTTTTGGCCGGCGCTGTTTTTTTTGTCTGAATTAATGGGTAGAGATTATGGTTGGACCACCACAAAAACGGACAAACATCTAACATCTTCGAGAACATGAAGGTGGATCATGACAGAATATCACTCAAAACTTAAAATGTTACCAGTTTTCAGTTTCCGTCCAAAGCTTTCCGAACTTAGAACGGCCAACAAACACCTTTTCCATGCGGTAAATCCATACAAAATACGGTGTCTAAAATAGAGTACCCCATTTAATCCCATGATTATATAATCATCATTTTCCTGATTAAGACAGCTTGGTGCATCCCTCAGCTTTGGAAGTGAACCATGATCAGCGTCATCTATAAATTTAAAGACCATTATATAGCATATGTATAGCTCATCATTTGTCTTGTATGTATAGAATATCATGGTGTATAGAATAAGATTTGTGCATGCACATATTATCTTGGAAATACACAAATTAAATGCAATATTCTAGTATAGTACAAGTAAAAGTATATACGTGTATATTGTACATTTTGTCACATGCGATCCAACACATAGGAAGTCTATAGCATACACATGACATGAAACAAAAAAACTGAACTTCAGCTGGTCAGACATTCATGTCGATGAATGTTTTTGCTGGTGGCCAACAAATCTCTCTATGCGGTTTTCTAGGTGCCAAGCTCCCTCGGGAGGTCAGGGAAACTTCCACCTATTAGGCCGCAAGGCCACTTGATGCCGATCTTCGTCGGCTCGCTAGGGACCGAACTTCGATTGAGACCGGCGGGCCGTGGCGCGCTCCACGCGCCGTGGTGCCAAAGACAGGGTGCCTTTTGCATATGATTGAGATAGATGTATATAGATGTGAGATGGGCTATTATTGTTCAGAAATGGACAAACTATATCAAACTATCTGAACAATGTCTATTAATAGTTTATATCTATTGTTTTTCAGTTAATTACCCTCTGGTAAATTAACAGTTCGACCCTGCCAGTCATCGGGGTTGGAAGACTAGTTTCCACTAGCAAAATTAGTCATTTTCAGGGTCGAACTGTAAAAAATTACCAGAGGGTATCTATTGTGTTTACCATCTGGTTATGACTAACATAGCCATGGAAAGATCCACCATTTTTATCCATTTTTAAGTTCGGTAAACCACATATTTCTATGGGCCATCTATACCATGGCTATCTTAGTCATAACCAGATGGTAACTATAGTTGAACAAGCTCCATGCCTCCATGTCAAGGAGGGGCGATCCCCCAGCCACCCCCTGGGCAATTTGTTCGCATATAGAGAGCCCCCTTTTTTAATACCACGACTTCTCCGAAGATCTGCATGACTTCATGGGAAATGGTAGGAATATGTGAGCCCCCCAAGTTATGTTTGTTGGTTTAGATTCGCCCCAGGAACTAGTTCGTTATAAGTCCCATTTTTACCATAGTGAAATTGGAGTTATGTTCACCAACTTAGCAATCAAACGGGGGCCTCACATGGTAGGAATAAATGGGATTTAATGATTTAATGGAAGAACCAACAATAACTAACACATAATTGGGAAGTGCCATGTGATTATTTAACAGTTCGCTACGGAAAATCAAAAAAAATATTCATATATAGTTAAATCATCACGTGTATCATCTATAAATGAGCCGTGTTTATTTAGCTATATTAATTGAGATTTTTGAGCACAAGCAGGGGCCAAAAAAATAGATCAGCAAGATTCAGCAAGTTGGTTGAAATAACTAGGTTGATGGATATCAATGGTTATCAATAAATCCAGTTGAACAAATTTTGTACCCGCATGACTAGCCATAACCAGTCCTGTCATGTTCCGCTTCAAGTCCCGGATGAACAATAACTGCTGATCAGCCTGACAGCTTACCCGCAGAAAGTTGTAGACATGGAAGCCCCCCTTCAGTTGCAGCAGTTCATAATTACTACAGGGTTTGCGGTACCATGCATTCCAACAAAATATCAATTCTCTGAAATGTGAATCCAGTCTCCATCGTCATATCATATTACAATAATATCCATGATATTCCAATATCATATAAATCATTCTTCTTGCTTAATGTAGTATCATCCTATTGTAATCCTTTGTTTTGCCTTTCCTGCCGATGTCTCATACTTTCGCCACTTAGTAGTGCAATATGGAAAACGCCTGACGTGGCCAAAAGTTTGAGACCGGCATACAGCACCCAACGGCACGACCCCGGCGCGTGGGAAGCCGAATGAGCAGCGGCCATTCCCAATGGTCAAAATTCTTCGCAGCAAACATATAATTAATGGGTTTAACTACAGTTTAATAGAAAAAATATAAAGCATATATTAAAACATGTATAAAACATATACTAAAACATCTACCTTTGACATGGACCCTGAATGAACCCTGAGAATGGGTTGCGAGAATCTAAAAAAACGCCAAATTGGCGGACCGTGTGGTGCCCGCATTGCCAGAAGAATGAGATTGGTCAATTGGGTGATGAGGAAAAAATACTGGTAAATCCCCTGGAAAATATCATGGACATGATGGAACATGATAGAACGGAACATTCACAAGCATCATGGGGACTTTTTAATGGGCCATTGCTCTTTTCAGAGTTTCGGCTAAGATCACTGCCATGTTTCGCAGTGGACACGTCCTCTGAATCTTCCTAAGCCAAGGCATTTCACGATCCAATTCCAAACTCAGTTTGTTTTCCGCCCCAAATCTTCAGGGCCCAGGATCCCAAGCTTAAGTTGCCTCTGAAGCTCGATAAATTGGGGCTGGTAGTTGGGAGGAAGCGATACCTTGGTTGCTGTAGATCTTTTTTTGGCTACCATAATTTCATATCATGTCACCATCATTTCATATCATCATTTCATACAATGTCATATCATTTCACCATAAGTTTCATTTCATGTCATTTCACCATTTTGGGGACACCTGGCCAATTTTTTAGACACTGCCATATGCCATGTTGCTTGGTGTCGATGAAACACACCAGAAATGCTGAGTATCAACATTAGTATCAACCATCCAAACTTGAAAAAATGCAGTAAACAATGGTAAACACGGCATTTTTCACCAACGTCCAGTCCCCATCTGAGGATTTTTAACGAATGTTGGTAAAACAATAAACCATCCCCAATTTCACCATGTTTGTAGGTGGTAGCTTTTACCATTCCCAGATGGGTGGTTTATGACATTGTTTAAACACATTATCAATTATAATTCTTATTAAACTATCCCAGGTACATCCCAAGTAACATTATGATCCCAATAATCTACCATTATATCATATGATCAAAAATCACAGGAGCAGATTGGTCACCTGGACCAAAGACTCCACGTCTCCCCTAGGATCGGTCTCGGCTATCCCCGAACGTCAACGTCAGCCAGCCATCACGAGCGTACCGAAAAAGGTGTCGAGTGCCGGCCAGCCACCAGCGACTCGCAGATGTCTGACACAAAAGGCTAGTTTTGAACTGATTCAACATGATGTTATGATTTCATTTCATGATTTGATCAAATAAAACTGATGCAACACACAAAAGTCGGATGGTGGCTTATATGCAATCTCTTGTGCCAAGCATTTGGGTCGGTTTTGGTGGTAGCATGACGTCACCATATTTCACTACCCTATCTGAAATGTGGCATGGACCCCCCATAGCCGCCATGAGAGACGATTGGGATCTTTGCGCCCCAAAAGAAACTTGGGATCAAACATATATGAACATGGAAGAAAACGAACACATTTAGCGTCAATAGACAGTTGGTTGGATGACCCCAGAATTTCAAAGCACAGTTATCCTTGACTGTTCTATGGAACCATTACAGCCAGTTATATTCCAGTCGTAATCAGCTCGACTATGAACCAGTTGCGATCACTGGGATAATCCTCCAGGATCACATCACCCACCCCCTTCTGCTTTTTGAATATATATGCTCCAAAACAAATAACAAACCTATGTTGTGATTAAGGGATGTTCTGAATCCACAAAACAGGACATTTATAATAATAATAATAAATAACAATTAATAAAAATAATAATAAATAAGAATAATAATTGATAATAATAATAAAAGTAATAATAAGAAAATAAATAATCATAATAATTGGTAATCAAAAAATAACAATAATAATAGCAAACGTAATAAAAAAATATATATTAATATTAAATAATAACAATTGAAAATAATAGTAGTAATACTAATAGTAATAAATAATAATAATAGTAAAAATAAATAATAATAATAATGAATAATAATAATTGATAATAATAATGAATAATATTAATGATAACAAAAATGATAATAAAAAATCAGAATAATATTAAAAATAAAAACAATAATTGATAATAATACTTAATAACAATAGTAAAATTAATAATAGTAATAATTGATGATAATAAAACATAATAATAATAATTGATGATAATAGATAAAATAATAACAATAATAAATAAAAAGAAAAATAATAATAACAATAGTAATTAATTATTATAATAATTGATAGTAATAATAAATAATAATAGTAATAATAATAATAACATATTTAAATATATATATATAAATATAATACAGTAGATGGACAAATTATTCAAACCCCTATCCATGAGTTATAGGCCACCCCCTACCTCCCCCGAATTTCAATGTTATGGTTTCGTAGCGCTGTTCCTGCTCTGGGGGGTTGATTTATTTCGTCCATTCGAAGGAACGAACCAAACAAGAAAATAACATTGATATTTGGGGTGAGGGGGGTAGCTCTATGTATAAGGGTTTGAGTAATTTGTCCATCTACGGTACGGGTGGTGGTGGTCAGCAGGAGTCTATAGCGAATGGTAAGCTTCACTTTTTGTTCAACATTAGCACATATTGTACGAAGATATGAATTAGGTGGCAGACGTGCATTGAACATTTTGAATTGGCCAACTAAGGCTCATGATGAAGATTTTGACGAAGCTGACTTTTGGATGATTTTAATGATGATGTACTGAAAGATATTGCGCAAGTGCGTTTTTCTGTTTCACATCTGTGTTTGTCCTACCTACTTGTTTTTGTTCTTGTTCTTGTTGTTGTTCTTGTTCTTCTTCTTCTTCTTCTTCTTGTTGTTCTTGTTGTTGTTGTTGCTGTTGCTGTTGCTGTTGTTGATGTTGTTGTTGTTGTTGTTGTTGTTGTTGTGGTTGTTGGTTGTTGGTTGTTGGTTGTTGGTTGTTGTTGGTTGTTGTTGTTGTTGGTTGTGGTTGTGGTTGTGGTTGTGGTTGTGGTTGTGGTTGTGGTTGTGGTTGTGGTTGTTGTTGTTGTTGTTGTTCCCTTTCCTGGGCATGATTGAAAATGCTGTGTTTTTCCAGTTCCCTTTCCCGGGCGCGATTGAAAATGCCGTGTTTTTCCAGTTCCCTTTCCTGGGTGTGATCGAAAATGCTGTGTTTTTCCAATTCCTTTTCTTCAGCGTGTACGAAGTGCTGTGTTTTTCCAGTTCCCTCTCTCTTTCCCAGTTCCCTTCCAGTTCCCTTCCAGTTCCCTTCCCAGTTCCCTTCGCGGATTCCCTATGTTTTTCCCGCGTTGCAGACTTTTTTCTTTTAAAAGAGAAAACATTTTTGTTTTTTAAAAGAAAAAAGTCTGCAACGCACTTTCCTTGGAAAAACAAAGTTGTTGTTGCTGTTGTTGTTGTTGTTGTTCCCTTTCCTGTGCGTGATTGACAATGCTGTGTTTTTCCAGTTCCCTTTCCCGGGCGCGATTGAAAATGCCGTATTTTTCCAGTTCCCTTTCCCAGGCGCGATTGAAAATGCCGTGTTTTTCCAGTTCCCTTTCCCGGGTGTGATCGAAAATGCTGTGTTTTTCCAATTCCTTTTCTTCAGCGTGTACGAAGTGCTGTGTTTTTCCAGTTCCCTTTCTCTTTCCCAGTTCCCTTCCAGTTCCCTTCCCAGTTCCCTTCGCGGATTCCCTATGCCCTATGTTTTTCCAAGGAAAGTGTGTTGCAGACTTAAAAAAAAACAAAAATGTTTTAAGTCTGCAACGCACTTTCCTTGGAAAAACATAGGGAATCCGCGAAGGGAACTGGGAAGGATTGGGAAGGGAACTGGGAAGGGAACTGGGAAGGGAACTGGAAGGGAACTGGGAAAGAGAAAGGGAACTGGAAAAACACAGCACTTTGTACACGCTGAAGAAAAGGAATTGGAAAAACACAGCATTTTCGACCACACCCGGGAAAGGGAACTGGAAAAACACGGCATTTTCAATCGCGCCCGGGAAAGGGAACTGGAAAAACACGGCATTTTCAATCGCGCCCGGGAAAGGGAACTGGAAAAACACAGCATTTTCAATCACACCTGGGAAAGGAAACTGGAAAAACACGGCATTTTCAATCACACCCGGGAAAGGGAACTGGAAAAGCACAGCATTTTCAATCATGCCCAGGAAAGGGAACAACAACAGCAACAACAACAACAACAACAACCACAACCACAACCACAACCACAACCAACAACCAACAACCAACAACCAACAACAACCAACAACAACCAACAACAACCAACAACAACCAACAACAACCAACAACAACCAACAACAACCAACAACAACCAACAACCAACAACCACAACAACAACAACAACAACCACAACCACAACAACAACAACAACAACAACAAGAACAAGAACAAGAACAAGAACAAGAACAACGACGACAACGACAACGACACCGACACCGACAACGACAACGACAACGACAACGACAACGACGACGACAACGACAACGACAACGACAACGACAAGAACAAGAACAAGAACAAGAACGAGCAGGTGGGCCTTATGATCCACCTTTATGGTGTTGTCACTGGGCGTGCTTTTTCAGACAAGTGGTGACATGTGATGACACTTGTTAAAGCAATGTCTGAGTTCTTGGGATCGTATGCGAAAAAATGCAAAAAGATGAGGAACAAATAAACGCTTAAGACAGTATGTATATGTTGCTCCCGCATGTTCCATCACCGGCGCCCTCCAGGATCATCCCGGAAAGGTCCCTTTGTTTGTTTCGGACCGCTCGCGGAAGCTGCCCGCTTCGAACCGTCGAATTTGTTCCACGACACGACGCGATGAAGCGCCCTCAAGGCTGGCCGGTGATCCGACGATCAGAAACCAAGGCATGGCCGACGATCCAACTGGATACATCTGGGTAAAGGGGATGATTTCCAGTGAGGTCATTATAATCTACCAGTTAAATTTCCAGTATGATCTACCAGTATAAAGGGGATAATCTCCAGTGATACATCATATATAAATATCCAGTGAGGGAGAACAGTGAGGTCGTTATTTCATCTACCCAGATACATGCAAAAAATAAAGGGCCAAGGTCTGGATCTGGACATTCCGAAAAATCATCTGTGGGATTTCGGAAGCACGGGATTCTGCATATTCCCTGGGGGTAAAAATCACCTGCAGATGTGAGATTTCCCAGCGTTCGATCACCAACAGGTCACGGTTCGAGCCACTTCTTCAGTCACCGGTCAAAAGCCGCGCTGGCTTTGAGGGCGTCGCGACGTGCGACTGAACCATGTGCAATTTCACTGCCGTGGGGAACTGGCTATGGCAGCTATGGTGCGACGACTTGCCATAGTTCATCCATATTAACTGCACGGTAATGTTGTATCCTGATTAGTGCAATGGCACGCTATTGTGTCAAGTTTTCCCAAAATAATTCTGACCCCGTGAATTGGTGAGTGTGGGTCGGTATTGTGTGAAGTTGTTTTCCGATTTTTTTGTTTTTTTCATTGTATCATTGTTTGAGATTTTGTTTACAGCAATTAATAATTAGTTCTATTTTCCAACACATTTTTGAACATAGAAAAACAAGTTAATTAATTAATTTGAAACAAAAAACTCAACATAGTAAGTTCCTTAGGAAAACCTCATCAAAAAAACACATTTTTTTCAAGGGGGTAGCCCATGAACAACCCTGATCTTCAATATTGTGTTTGTTGTGGGGTCCTCTATTGTGTCAACCGTTTTTTTTGAAGTGAACATTTTCCCAAATCCGGTTCTCCTTTCCTTTGCTAAAGTTTGTGTCTCTTACTTAGTTCAATTTATCCTGGCATCCTCTCCTTGATTTCTTTGGTGTTTCTATGGGAATTCTAGAGAGTCTCTATGGGACTTCTATGGAATTTCTATCGTGTTTCTATGATATTCTATGGGGTTTCGAAAGGGATGTCTATGGGGTTTCGAAAGGGATGTCTATGGTATTTCTATGGGATTCCTATGGGTTTGCAAAAGGATGTCTATGGGATTTCCACTGGATTCCTATGGGATTTCTATGGTATTTCTATGATATTTCTATGGGATTTCGTTTGGATTTCCATGATATTTCTATTGGATTCCTATGATTTTTCTATGGCATTACTATGGGATGTCAATTGAAAGTAAGTTGAAATCAATTGAACATCAATTGAACGCAAGTTGAAATCAACTGAAAGTAAATTGAAATCACTGGAAAGTAAATTTCAACCAATTGAAAGTAAACTAAAACCAAATAAAAGTGAATTGAAATCAATTAGAAGTAAATTGAAATCAATTGAAAGTAAATTGAAACCAATTGAATTGAAATCATGAAAGTAAATTGAAATCCATGGAAAGTAAATTGAAATCAGTTGAACGTAAGTTGAAATCAATTGAAAGTAAATTGAAATTATTACTTAAGATCATGATCCCAAATCATTCAGACCCCGGTCCCTCAAAAGTTGCTAGCCTAAAGAGGCACCTTCAAATGTTGAGGGGGGGAACCCTACACTAGTCAGGATTCGTCATTAATAGAATATGAACATTTATATTCATGGTGCCCCCATTTCATGGTCCTCCCATTTTATAGTTCATCCATTTACAGTATATTGCATTGTGCATAGTAAGGTTGTAGTATCGTTCAGAGTCTCCCAGTTTTGTTGGCATTTGGCCGCACAAAAAACTCCTGACTCTAATGCCCCCAGCCCCCCAATCCCCACACCTCCCCAACCCCCACCCCCACATCTAACCCTAAACAGTGTAAAGGACTCTAAGCTGGACTGTACCCGTGTATATATATATATATATATGTATGTATATATACATATAGATTTATATGTATATATTTGTAATGTGTCTAGGTATATGTACATTGAATACTTATTCATAAATCTGCTTAGCAAGTATGATGTATAGTAGTAAACCAGATGTAAGAACATGACCATTGAATATGTCCATAGGTATGAGGTTTACGCCAAAAGTATGGCCATCCCTAATTCCCTTAAGCATTTATTGGTTCAGGCTCTAGAGTGTCACTTGACCATGGTACAGTCATGGAACGATCAGCGCGTCCACCTTTCTGGTGTGTTCACGTTTTCAGCCGGCATCTGTGGCCGGAGGTGTTGGCTGTTGGCAGTCCCTTGCAGCCAACGATTCCGTGATGTCAGTTCGGGGAAAAGGCAACAAACGCTGTACCTAATAAACATAATATATATAGTACAATAGTTATATTAATTATATGGATTTTGAATTGTTTTCCCTCATGGTTTAAGGACTGGTCAACGACTTCCCTGTCAGATACCGGACTCAAGAGGGGCTCCCAGTTGGTGTTGTGCATTTCATCCCCACATTTTTGGCATTCGTAGTTTACAAAGCACTCTGGAGCAGCGTCAGAAAGCCGGAAAATCGCAGGCTGGCGCTGATCAATCTGAATCTAGTTCCTATATAGTTCGCAGCACCTGTGGCATGGTGATTCTCCACGAAATATTGCGAACCTTCAAAGAAAAACAATTTTCTGAACACGACAAATACATGGGATTTTTGTAGTTATCTATATATATATATAATTGTGTATATATATATGTATATACATACCAATATATATATATATAAAGCCTACAAAGATAGAACGACAGGTGCAACTTATCACTTTTCTAGTAGGCTTTTACCAAATTCATCCAAATTCTATCTTTTTGGGCTCGCTTCGTAGCTATGTTTATATAAAAACCTGGATCGGATTGGTCAGTCATTTTAAGCTCCGTTGTAGTGCCATACCTGGCTCGCAACGGAAGTCCCCTGGACTCTCATTGTGAATTTCAGCATCCTAAAGTGGAGGTACTGTACCATATTAAGGCTGTATTTTGTGGGGATGTTCCCTCATAAATACTTATAAAGCCCTGATTGGCCTTAGACAAAGCCCACTGGGGATAGTCTCATAGCGGAACTTTTGCCAGTGATGTTTCTCACGCTGCTCCATTTAACAATCAGCACCTGGACCTTGCCGGGTGTTTTGCGGATGTCCGGCACGCGGAGCATCTCGCCCCACTAGACCTGCGACGCTGGAATTTTAGCCAAGCATGGGAACCACAAGCATCGCCAGGAAAGACACCCATAATCTGCATCTACATGGTATCTATGTTTGTATTTGATATACGTATTATACATGTATATATATATACCTATGTATGTATACCTATGTATATTCAATGGGAATTTCAGGATCCTAAAATGGAGGTACTGTATCATATAAAGCCATATTTTGTGGGGATATTCCCTTACATAGGCCTTACATAGGTCTTATATATGGTAGGTACCTCTAATCTAGGATCCTGAAATTGCCATTGATATATATATATATATATATGTATATATATATATACATATGCACCAGGCCCTGCCACACACACACACCACCCAAACAGCCACCGCAGGCTCGCATACCGCGAATATCGCCGCATACCGCCGGCGCCTCTGGTGCAGAGACTTCACCTGGACGATGTGTGTTGAATTTCACCCATCTATGACTTTGTGTATATATATACATGTACATGTATCTAATTATGTATCTATATATTGTAAAATTAAATATGTGTGCATAAATATATATAGTAAATAAATCATGTATCTAATTTTCACATGTGTATATATATATATACATGTACATGTATCTAATTATGTATATATATATATATATATATATACATGTACATGTATCTAATTATGTATATATATATATACATGTACATGTATCTAATTATGTATCTATATATTGTATAATTATATATGTGTGCAAATATATATATATATATAGTAAATAAATCGTGTATCTAATTATTCACATGTGTATATATATATACGCTCGTGGCCCTAGGTTTCCGCAGAGTGTCTTGGTTCTCATTGATCCATATGTCAAAAATCATTGTTTCGCCAAAGCGAAATGTGGATTTTGCACATTCTTCTTTCTCTTTCTTTAATGACAATGTTACGGAGCTAAATTTTTAGGCCCGCGCAAGTTGCATGTTATGACATGTTATCCACAGCACATGTCAATTGTGATTTTCATGTTTTCCTACACGAAATACCACTTTTCATGAATTTCTTTGGTTTTTTTATCCGGAATTGTCATTTTTTACTGCGGCACGTGGGATAATATGAAGAGGTGTTTTTTTTATTGGTATTTGCAGTGAATTTTAACGTTAGCATGAAACGGCACATGTTGATAGTCAGCCTTTTTTTGTTCGTTGTTGCTTCAACTTCATCAGCCTGCTGCAACATGTTCTTTTTCAAAGTTTCTGATTTTCTTGTTTTCCCACACGAAATAGTACATTTCATGAAAGTCGTTTTTTTTTTAAGCGGAAAAGTACTGTTTTTACTGCTGCTCGTGGTGTAATATGAAGGGATGTTTTTTATTGGTATTTGCAATCTTTTTTATGTTAGCATGCAACGGGATATGTTGATAGTCACCTTTTTTTTCTCGTTGTTGTTTCAACGTCAACACCCTGCTTCAACATGCTGCAACATGTTCTTTTTCAAAGTTTCCACGTACCATGAACATGACGTTAACATGCCCCACCCCACCCCACCCATCAACGTACCATGAACATGACGTTAACATGCCCCACCCCACCCCACCCATCAACGTACCATGAACATGACGTTAACATGCCCCACCCCACCCCTCCCATCAACGTAACATGAATATGACGTTAACATGCCCCACTCCACCCCTCCCATCAACGTACCATGAACATGACGTTAACATGCCCCACCCCACCCCACCCATCAACGTACCATGAACATGACGTTAACATGCCCCACCCCACCCCACCCCACCCCAACGCGTACATGAAATACGTTACTGCTCCACCAACTCCCACCGTCAACGTACCATGAACAGACGTTAACATGCCCCACCCCACCCCACCCTTCAACGTACCATGAACATGACGTTAACATGCCCCACCCCACCCCACCCCTTGCGGAAACCTGGGGCCCGAAGGTATATATATATATATACATGTACATGTATCTAATTATGTATCTATATATTGTATAATAAAAAATGTGTGCATATATATATGTATATATAGTAAATAAATCATGTATCTAATTATTAACATGTGTATATATATATATATATTATTTTGAAAACGCCAGACATCACCTGAAATCATACTTAGCTTTGAATAAACCTATCTATTTCGGGTGACATCACTTTCGGGGTCGCAATCCTAGGGAATCCACTTTCGGCCAGCACTTCTCCGTATTCCGTTTATGTGGTGTATCCCTGGTGTTGAACCTAATGGTCAAATCATTCGGCACTGAAGCACTGGTAAGGAGCCCAACTCATCAACGGAAACCTTTCTGGTACAGAGGCACCGATATTTTTGCAAGGTCTAAAGACCAGCATTTCAAGGATTAGTCACAGAATTATTCCTTGTAGGTACCTACCTTGTGGTTGATTACACCCATGGATTACACGATTTTCTGATACCCATCCTCAGTATGTTTGTGAATCACAAACATCAAACAACGAATCAAGCAACATCAACACTTCGCGAAGCTGGATGACCAGCAGCAGGCAGCTGGTGAATTCGCATCCCATTAGGTCATATGAAAATTCAAGTCATCCTACTGGCCTACAAGAAAACAGCTGACCCAAAGAAACGTGAGTTGAGGGACTGATGTGACATCTGACATCTAAGGGACTGGATGGCCAGTACATGACTTTCACATAGAGGCAATATGTTGACCACATATGGGTCAACACATGGGACAAAATTGAAGTCCCAGGAAGGACCACAGATTTTAGTATATGTTTAATAATGTTTAATGTTCACCATCTAATTATTGGGATACCCAATTTTGACCCATGCCCATATGATCCAGTATTGTTCATTATATGTGCAAATGATTGTAGGTGATGATCATATATGTTTCCATTATTATCCATTCACCTTGTATATATATATATATATGTATATTATTGTAACCAATCAACTATTATATAGTCACATAGCCATGTAACTAACCATAATATATATATATGTGTATTTAACCAATCAAAGAATATAATGACAATTTACCAATCATTCATATACATTAAATTTTCACAATGAATAGATGTGCCCTATATGATTTTCAGTTTCCGAATTTCGACCGGATGTTTCTTCGCTTTAAAAGGGCGGACGTCGGTGACGTCGGACCTGATTCTTCCAGCGGCTCGCGGCAGCTCTCCTGATCAAGCCAGTGGACCAGCGGCTGGTCCCAAAACCGCCCGTTTATGACACATGGGATTTTGGTGGTTTATGATATGGTTATTTTATGGTTAATATTAATGGTTCATGATGGTTAATATATGGTTAATATTAATGGTTATTATATGGTTAATGATGGTTAATAATCATCTGGTTGGTGGTTGAACTACCCCTCTGAAAAATGATGGACTTCGTCAGTTGGGATGATGACATTCCCTATATTATGGAAAAAACAAAAAATGTTCCAAACCACCAACTAACTTGATAAGTAAGTGTGAATTAAGTGAACTAAATGGTTCCTAAATGGTTACTGGTTACACTCGTTGGCAACTGGTTGGTGGTTTTAACCATAATGAAAAATATGAGTTCGTCAATGGGACGGATTATTCCCGATATTATGGAAAATAAAAAATGTTCCAAACCACCAACCAGATAACTAAGTGTGATTTCAGTGAACACAGTTAACAAAGTTACGCAAGTTAAGTAGTTTACTTAAGTTTTCAGTAAGTTAAGTAAGTTAGACAGGTTAGCCAAGTATGATGGACTTTTTTTAATGACAAACGCTAATAAACCTAATTCACAATCATTGTTAACAATCATCATTTATGATAATATTATCTATGATAATTATAGTCTCATTAGTTATCATCATTAGTGATCATATGTTATCTATATTTATCTATAACAATCATTCCTAGTCATCATAATCATGTAACTGATCTATAGATATCTATAGATCATAAAACCCTATAGTTGGTCTACTCATAATTATCACTAATACCCATTTATGATCTATACATCTATAATATATTGTATTATATATATATGTCATAATCAATCTCAATCATCATTCATAACCATCGATCATAATCATCATTCATAATCATATTATCCATAATAATCATAAGAATCATTCACAATCATCATTCATGATTCTACTCCATTCCCTCTGGTACGCTAACAGTTTGAAAACTGGAAAATCACCATGTCTACTAGGCAAATCAACGAGCTAAATCGGCCATTTTTCTATCTAACAGGTAAATCTACTATAAATAATCATAACTATGGGATACACCATGTCTAGATGAACTATAGCGATATATGTTGGGTGACAAACCCATACCCTCTGGTAATTTAACATAGCTATGGAAAATCATCATTTTCAATGGGCCAATCAACGATTTCTATGGACCATGTTCAATGGCAAACTGTGAAATTACCAGAAGGTATATATTGAATAACCACAAAACATCCAATTGAATAACTACAAAAAAATCAATTAAATCACTATCCCATTAAATCACTAGAAAATCCAATTAAATCACTATAAAATCCCATGAAATCATTGTAAAATCTAATTAAATCACTATAAAATCCCATTAAATCACTATAAAATCCCATTAAATCACTATAAAATCTCATTTAAATCACTATAAAGTCCTATTAAATCACTACAAATCCCCATGAAATCATTATAAAATACAACTAAATCACTCTAAAATCCAACTAAATCACTATAAAATCCCATTAAATCACTCTAAAATCACACTAAATCACTATAAAATCACATGAAATCACTGTAAAATCCCATTAAATCACTATAAGATCCCATTAAAATCACTATAAAGTCCTATTAAATCACTATATAAGACCCAATGAAATCACTATAAAATACAACTAAATCACTCTAAATCCAACTAAATCACTATAAAATCCCATTAAATCACTCTAAAATCACACTAAATCACTATAGAATCCAGTAAATCACTCTAAAATCCCATGAAATCACTCTAAAATCACTCTAAGATCCCATTAAATCACTATAAAATCCCATTAAATCACTATAAAATCCCATGAAATCACTATAAAATTCCATTAAATCACTATAAAATCCCATTCAAATAGCTATAACATCCCGTCTCCCCAGCGACTCCGCCGGCCGCGGCCGCGTCCTCCGACTCGACGCCGCTGTCGCACTCGTCCGGCGGATCCACCGTGGACGCGGCAGCGATGCTGTCGCTGCTGGTGCGACGCCTGGGCCCGTGGGCACCCCAAAGGTGGGGAAAATGGTGGGAAAAATGGTGGAACATCCAATAACTAAGGCAGCTATAGAATGTGAGGCCCCTCGATTGCTAAGTTGGTGAACATAACTCCAATTTCACTATGGTAAGAATGGTACTTATAACGAAGTAAAAATGGTACTTATAACGAACTAGTATTCATGGGGTTTATAAACCAACTTATAACTGGGGGGGCTCACAATGTAGACATGTATGGAACATGCTGATTTGAAGATATTTTAAGCATGATTTTATGGAGATATGGGTGATTTCATGGGGATTTCACATGATTTCACCAACAAACATGGGGAGTTTGAGTGGATTTATGATAACTAAGTTGCTTTAGAACTAAGTCAACTGTTGGGTCTATGGTGCCCGCAAGAGATGTTCGTAGACGAAGATAGTGATTATTGGTATACAGTCTTTAAGTGGATGCTGAAATCAACATTCAGATGGACATCTGGCAAAATCAGGACATGAATCTATCCATATTCTACTTTCTGGTGGAGGGATATATCCGCGACGTGCCGCGCATCCATTCTTCTTGGGGATTGAAATTCTTAAGGGTCATATCTCCGGGTCTGTTAGGGTTCTAAGTTACCCAGCAAGGCAAGCTGCGCTGCGTGTACGAGAGATCCTTTGTTTTTGAAACGTGAAGCCGTGAAGCCATCTTTTTGAATTGTGATGGTTATGATCTGATTTCTGGTTTCATCTGTCAGATGGTAAATCATATCAAAATTCCCAACAAACCCTAATGAAGTCCCATATTTTCTCAACGGTGGAAATCCGAGAGTTTCTGAAAAATCCCCTGCGTTGTTCCGATGATTAAGCCATCGAGTTCTTTTTGGGGAATCCAGGAAAATCCGACCATGAAACCATGCAAAATCACCGGATACCCAGGGTTTTTTCTTGTGGAAAAACCCATGTTTATTCCATATGAAACCCAGAAACCCATGGGTTTTTCCGTATGAAAAAACGGGGTGGTCCAATCCACATGGGACCCCGGTGAGGTCCCCGACAGTTGCACGGCCAAATAGCCCTAGGAACCCAAGCGGAACCGAGGTGGGAATTCACCATGGGGATTTTCCATGATGATCTTAGTTGGTACCTAACTATCATTAATGGGGATGAATGGGGATTAATGGATACTAATGAAAACTAAGATGCTATGATATTTAAGTGATCATTCATGAACTAATGATATTTTTAATGGGGATGAATGGAACTAATGATTAGTTGGTATTGATGATGTTTTCATGAACATGTGTTTATTTTTGATGGGGACATAATGGAAAATCATAGCAATTGGGGTATCTCAACTTGGGAGTGTCTGAAAAGTATCCTTGTCAATGAAAGTATAGAAGTTAGTATCACTTGATGGTGACTAAAATAACGATCTGAATTTGACCGAGAAAGATGGGGATTAGCATAGAATCATAGTTGTTGAAGCACCAAAAAGATGAGGGGTCAGGCGGTGGAAGCGGGGCAGGTGCTAATCCTTGATGTGAAAATATATAAAACCAACAGCCAAGCCTCTTGTTCAGTTGGGTTGCCCTGCTTCCACTGTAACCCTGGCTAATTCTTCTGATAAACATAGGATTCAGCCTGATCAACCCTCCAATCCTACTCCCATCCAATGCTAGAATCGTCAAATATGTCCATGTGTTTCCATGTCCATGTGTATCAATCTATATATATCCATCTCCATCTACTGTATATCTGTCTATCTCTCCACTACTCAAATCGCATGATATTTAAACAAATATATCCTATATTATATGATTATGATTCACAACCTCTACCCCGATTTTTGGGACCTCCGAAAAAAAAACACATAGATTCATCCTCATACCAGCTGCAATGTTTTATCCACACTTTGAAACAAAACGACCCTTCACCTCGAACCTCTACATTAACATCTTCCTTTTCTGGTTTGTCTTGCCCCATTGTTGGTGGTATCAAGACCGATGTTTTGATACGAGTCCGACTTTGTCGCATTGAAACTTGTCTACCCTATATATATATAAACATATTCGTGTATAATTTTCATCCTTCACAAGTGATATGCCAATAAATTCATGCCCAGAAAATTTAAAGTGCATATTACTACACTCTGTTGGAATACGCTTAAATACTATCCATCTAAGTCTTATTATAAATAAATAAATAAATAAATAAATATTATATTATTATATATTAACTTATATATTATTAAATTATATATTATTATATTATATTTATGTACGTGTATATATAAATATGTACGTGTATATATATAGTGTATATGTATGTATATATAATATACGTGTATATATATATCGTGTATATACATGTACAAATATACATCTGTAGATATTGTTGAGACACCATAATACACACCTCTGGCAATCAAACGTGGCAATGGAAAGTCACTCGTTTCATTTACAAATGTTTGTTTCCATTTAAACACCTATTTAGTTCAAGGATGCTCCGTTTTGAGCTGCCATATTTGATGAAACCGTTGCGGGTCATGAAATCCCACGATATTCCCATGGTATTCCAACTATATTCCCATGAAATCCCATCAAAATCACTATTAAACCACCATGAAAACACAATTAAACCACCATTCCCTCGTCACTTCACGAATCTTCAGACACAGCCACCTCCTTGGCGGAGCGCAGGAGAAGCCACCGCTTCTCGCTGTAGAGCAACTCGCAACAGGACCTGCAATCGGCGGCGGTCGATTCCACGGCGGCTTTTCATTTTGGGATACTTGAATATTCCATATACCCTCTGGTTATTTAACATAGCCATGGAAAATCCCTTATAAATGGAGGTTTTAGTGGGAAAATCATCTATAAATGGGCCATTTTCCATGGCTATGTTAAATAACCTGAGGGTATATATTCCCACAGAATTACCATGGGGATATATTCTATGGGAATATTCTACAGGAAGATTCTATGGGATCGAATGGGGATATCATCGAATAGTTTCTCAGGAGGATACATTGGGGGGATATAGCATTGGACACAATGGGAATTGTTGAAACAATTGGTTTTAATGGCATATCTTGGAATACACACACATATATATAATATACATATGAGTTTAATTTACGGTAATCCCAGTAATCCCATGTATCCCCAAATGGCTGTTACCTTTAATTGACCAAGTGCCACAATTTCGGGATGAAACGCCAATTCCAAAGGGTAGGACATCCTATTGCAATGATTCATTGACGCAAACCTTTTTTTTTAAACCAACACCCCTCATGTGCAAAAGCACCACAATTTTGGGCTGAAATATTGTGAATAAAATCTATGGAACATATTTGTCTTTCGTATATGGTTTTGTCTAAAAAGTTTCCCTCAATGCCAAAGGGAGCTAAACTTGGGTAATTATATACCATCTGGTTATTTAACATAGCCATGGAAAATCACTATTTTTAATAGGTAAACCATCTATCATCTATAAATGAGCCATTTTCCATGGCTACGTTAAATAACCTGAGGGTAGTCATTCTTGACAAAGCCATGTTTCTGTCGACAAACAACCAACTGTCATTGTTTGATTTCCCGCTCGTTGTGTCTTCCCTGGGGAATTCTGCGGCTTCTGCACCACACTCTGCCCATAGCCTAAACATTTCAACAAGGACTTTAGACACATGGGTTTGTCTGAAAATGGGGTACCTCCAATTCCACCAGAATATTACACGTTTTCTCATAAAATAGCATTTTTTGCGGTGTGTATATATATATATATATAAATATAAATGCCGAGACATTCACTTGACCAAACCTCCAGTGGCTCAGCATAAGATACCATCCACACACTTCAGCATCGATGGGATACCCAGTGGTAAATTGTCACAAAATCAGCAAAAATCAAAGGTTTACCAACTGGATCCATTGATACAACACGAAAAACCCAGGGTATCTCGGAATCCGGGGGTCTTCTTGAACCTAAAATCAATGGCCATGTTTGTTTCGGTATATCCGGTCTAACCGTCTAACCGCACCACTTCAGGGGTCCACAACGCAAAGCGCAAAAGCTCCCCAAATTGGCACCTGAATTCCTCGAGAGTGACTTTGGCCTTCCAATCCAAGAGTTTGATGATTTCCGTCTCCTCAGTCGGGGAAAAAAGGGCTCTGAACATGATCATGATGATGATGATGATGATGATGGATGATGGATGATGGATGATGGTCGATTGAAGGTTGGTGGTTATTACTATTCTATGGGGATACACTGACAAATAATCTAGTGTTCACATAGATCTATGGGGAGTTATCCCCAGATTGATGGCCATCAAACCTCAAAATCTTGACTTCTTTCATCACAAAATGGTGGTCTTTCAGCAACATGAGGGAACTTAACTTTGCCAACAAGAATTGTGATGTCATCCCCCCTCCAAAAGAAAAGAAGTAACTTCACCAAGTACAAGATTCCCCTTAGATCATAGATCCAAAGATATGGTAGATGGTTGCGAAATCCGAATCACCAGTTGCTAATTTTTGGTCATGAACAAGTGTTCAATTATTGGGAGTATAACCCATAGGATCCATGGTGCTGCTATATATATGGTAACATTTACCATCAATATACCCCCTCTATGTTAGCATATATACCAGCACCATGGATCCTATGGGTAATGGGATGTTTACCATCTACCAACTGGTACATCGAATTTCGCATCCAAAGATATTTCAACATCCACCTCAGACTGGTGGGTCCCATTTCATGGTACCTTTGTTGGGTCCGACCTGGCAGCCCCTGGGTCCGCCCCTCGAACTGAACTGCAACCATGGCTTCAACGAAATACAAGGACTTCGCTGTGACGCCACCCACCCGCGCCTCGGGAGCGCCGCGGAAACGGCTTCGACGCCCCAAATTTTGGATCACAACGTGACCATAGTTGTTTCAACTTATGGCTTTGTAGAAATCTTAAAACCTTAAAACAATTATTGTTCTATTAGAATGTTTTGTTTTTTGGGTGGTTTCTTATGGTTTCTTGCTACACTTGTTCTTTTCAAGCAGGAACAATTGGACATCCAAAGTCATGGAGCTGTAGCGCAACTTGCTGCGACCACGAGTGGTTGACCATAACTGTGACACAAACTGGTGGATTTTCTGGAAGTTAAAAGTGTATTACTGGTTTATTGTAACTATATCAATGTATAGATAGTCTATCTTACATTCTGGCTTTTTAGTTAGCGGTTCTATCACACGCCTGGGTCTTATGCCTTCTTTACATGATTGTTCCCTTCAATCAACTGAGCCCATGTCATTTTTATACGATTTGAGCTCGATAGCCAAGTTGGCTTAGCACTAGGTTTACTATGGTTTGTTGTGCATATATATTATATGTAATATACTTATATCTTATATACATATAGCTTTAGCTGTAGTTGGAATGAGTTTACACACCATCTTGTAAGTGGGTCCTACATTGGTGCCCTCACCAGGGAAGCAGTCAAAACCAAGTGCTTTCCCCACTTTTCAGCGCCAAATACTTGGGATCTATGGATGATTCGACGATACGAAACAATCATTTTTCAGATATTCCCAAAAAGGGATGAAGTTGGGATTTATGTTTTGACGGATACCTTATGGATTTTTGTTTGTCTTAAAACCTTCATGGCCTTAAAGTTGTGGCACTCTCCGGACCGGAACTCTCCAAGGGATCCATGGATCCATCCCCATGGGCGCGGGACATAGTAAGTGTTACTACGATAGGCGTCATCATGGAATTTGGCCGCCACAACCTTAGGCGATCACCGAGACGCGGCCATGGGGCATGGGGTTGGGGAGTCACTCAGAGGGTGAAGTGAAACATAGGAAAACCACGGGAAAAGCATCGTTTTATGATGCGGAAGGCGTATTTTATACATACTGTTTCTGTATCATGTTTTAACATCGTTTAATGTGTTTTAAATAATTATGTTAAATGATAATAAATCCCAAACATGTTCAAAACATGAGAATATGTTACAACTATTCCAAGCAGAAACTTGTGATGGTATAGTGTGTTGGTTGCTTCAAAGCTTGTTTGGTACATCACTGGCACCCATGTTTGCTGGTCTTGACTATAGTAAAATATGGTGAGGGAACACCAGTGTCCACATCCACAATTGTGGTGAACTGCCTGGTGCCGAAATCATTTCAATATCTGGACACAGTGTAGCCTTCAATATACAAAAAAATTGAGTGCATTTGAGTGCTGTAATGATAGCTATGTTAGTGGGCTTCCTTCTATGTTAGAAACTTGACCCCCTGTAAAATAATAGCTATGTTAGTGGCCTCTTGTTCAAACTTTTCTTTTATATGTATTGTTGATTATGTCCAATAACTGTGGTCTACGCAAAGTGCTAAGGCAGTTCATTCTAATAGCTATGATAGCAAGTCAAGTGCGAGCGAAAATAGTTACGTCTGATTACCGGAGTGTAGTCCACATACTTTGGCGATGGGATTGTAGCACTAAATCAAAACACAGCAGGAATAAAGCCGTAGAAATGGTGCTGCGACCATGGTCCAAAAAGCAAGCTACCCTCTGGTAAACGTTTAGCTGTCTGCAATCTCACGTCATCTGCTGGGTGTTCCGGCGAGGCATCCCAGGAACACTGTGTGAACGTTTAAAATGCCCACCTGGCATAGCTGCGCACCAGTTTTGGGAACTGTTGTTTTTTTTAAATGAAACACTGTACATAGCGGGCTTATAACGTGATAAACATGGATAAACCATCTACATTGTCTGAACAATCCTGGGAACATGGCGTGCTGGAAAATCCTTCGCTGGTAGATGATTTTCCCATTAAAAAACCTCCATTGATAGAGGCTTTCCATTGCCACATTTGATTACCGGATGGTAACCATTTTACCCTCTGGTAAACGTTTATATAACGAACTGGAAAATCACAATTTTCAATGGCTAAATCCACTATTTCTATGAACCATGGCTTCAATGTTTGGGGATCATTTCTGCCACACGTCTTTGGGTGAATCCCATTGAGTAAGTGGCTTATCTCACCGGGTGATCCCGCCAACACTCACTTATCGCACGAGCCACGGTTCTTAAGTGGCTGGTGATCAAGATATCCCAAGATATCCCAAGATATTTTGAAAGATACTGTGGTGGCGAAATCTTGCACCACCAAAAAGGATGGTTGCAACCCACCCTAGCCCTAAAAAGGGATGATTTACCACCTATGAGACTGGATTTCGCAGCCACCTTAAGGTCCTTCTGCTGCAAGCGATCGATATATGCCAAGGCTGAGACGTAGCACTCGATGCTACCTGGGCATCTACCAAACCATGCCGAGAGAGAGAGAGAGAGAGATATATATATATATATATTATATTATAGGAACACCAAGAAACATAGAATCAATGGACAAGGGGAACATATGCAAAAAAACACAAATCATCCTGGATACATGATGTGGTCGTTACTATAACCCAATCAAATGGAGCAGCTCATATAACTCAATCATCAGGGGGTGGGCAGTCCTCAGCTTTTCACATCTGCATCAGCATGGTCAGGCCATTGTGAGAGCTGAAAACTGGAGAGTTTCACAACGTGAGATTGATCAAATTGGAGGTCAACCCACACTAGTTGAAGGCCTCACCTGCCTGAACAATATACAGAGAAGTAAAAATACCATCTGGTTATTTAACATAGCCATGGAAAATCACCATTATTAATAGGTAAACCCAGGTAAACCATCTATAAATGGGCCATCTATACCATGGCTATGTTAGTCATAACCAAAGGGTAACAATCAAATGAAACTGCTAGGGCCAGGATTATCCGATCATCCGCACAGGGGGATCATCGATAGATCGGAGTTGTCTATTAGCAGTTTACCCGATTACATTGGCTAAGAACGTCTGGTATATTCTAGAAAAAAGAGTTTGTCTGAAACTAGGGTGCCCCAAAACCCGGTGTGTCATCATATATGAATCATATTCCCTATCAAAAAAAAACATTTTTTGGTAATTTGACCCAGGAAGGAAACACCAGCCCTTCACCCAGGAACCAATTTTTTTCTCCAGGTTTTGTTGAATACACCCCGCTACCATTAATTTTCCCTAATAGATAGCCGATAGCCATTCCTTTGGGGCCAGGGTGGGACCTTTTTTTGTGGATACACCCCACACATATCATATCATATAATATAATTGTTGTGCTTGCATGAATATAGATAGATAGATAGATAGATAGATAGGTAGATAGATAGATAGATAGATATAATACTATATATATATTCCACCAACTATATTCCATACCCATTGTGCCCCTATGATGTCAACAAAAACTATCCAAGATCAACCGTCATCCCATACAGTTGGTATTATGGTGTAACTATCGTATACCTTTTTCCCGAATGCGTAGCAAGGGTTCCCGTTTCACTCTGGGGGTCTGGGGGTTAAGGGTGTGTTCGCTCGACGTTGCGTTCACGGTCGCAACCGTTCGCAACCGTCCGCAACCGTTCGCGCGAACTCCGTATGGCCGTGCCTATGGGAAGTTTTGCAGAGGTGGTTCTTTTTGGAGGTTTCAGACGTCTGGTTGCTTCGTTTCGCGTGGCAGGCGTGGCACTTCGTGACATTCAGACTTTCAGACGTGTGTTCTGCAACGTGTCGAAAGTCGTTTCGCGTGGCAGGCGCAATACTTTTGCGACGTTTTCAGAAGATGTGTTGCAGTTTTCGTGGCAGGCGCAGCACTTTGGGCGTGTCCATCGTCATTTTTCGTGGCAGGCGCAGCACTTTAGACGTGTCCTTTTGCGTGTTTTTTGTAAATCGCATTGGCAGGGCTGCGTCAAGTGGTGACAAGGTGCAAATTCCGTGGCAGGCGTGGCATTTTCTCACATGTGTTGAAAATTGACGGAAGCCTCGCACGAAACATCGATTTTGATGTTACAAATTTTCAGGTTCTAAGGAAAACTCGTAGGAAAACGTCGATTTTGGAGCTGCAAAGTATGAAAATTGGAGGAAGTCTCGCACGAAATGGTCGTTTTGGTGCTCCCACCTGTCTCGTCTCGAGTCTCTGGTTTTCCTGTGGCCTCGCCGTGTCTATGGGGGAAGCTGCAAAACTTGTCCTTCTGTCATGTTGCCAACTGTGAAAATTGGAGGAAGTCTCGTACGAAATGCTGGTTTTTCTGCATCCACGTGTCTTGTGTCGAGTCGCTGGTTTTCCTGTGGCGTCGCCGTGTCTATGGGGGAAGCTGGAAAACCTCTCCTATTCGAATGTTTCCAAGCAGGTTGTCATGTCGTTTTGCGTGGCAGGCGTGGCACTTTGTGACATTCCGAGCTGTTTGATAACGTGTTGAAAATGTCAAAATTGGAGGAAGTCTGGCACGAAATGCTCGTTTTTTTGCACCCACGTGTCTCGTCTCGAGTCTCTGGTTTTCCTGTGGCGTCGCTGTGTCTATGGGGGAAGCTGGAAAACATGTCCTTTTCGAATGTTTCCAAGCAGGTTGTCATGTCGCTTTGCGTGGCAGGCGTGGCACTTTGTGACATTCCGAGCTGTTTGATAACGTGTTGAAAATGTCAAAATTGGAGGAAGTCTCGCACGAAATGCTCGTTTTTTGCACCCACGTGTCTCGTCTCGAGTCTCTGGTTTTTCCTGTGGCGTCGTCGTGTCTATGGGGGAAGCCGCAAAATCTCTCCTTTTCGAAGGTTTCCAAGCAGGTTGTCATACGTTGTCATGTCGTTTTGCGTGGCAGGCGTGGCACTTTCCTCACTCCACACTCCACACTTTACACACTCCACACTCTACACACTCCACACTCTACACACCACACTCTACACTTTCCACTCCAGACTCCACACTCTACACTTTACGCTCCACACTCCACACTTTACACTCCTCACTCCACACTTTACACTCCACACTCCACACTTTACACTCCTCACTCCACACCCCATGCTTTACACTCCTCACTCCGCACTTTACACTCCACACTTCAGACTCCACACTTTCCACTCAACACTCCACACTCCACATTTTACACTCCACACTCCACACTTTACACTCCTCACTCCACACTTTACACTCCTCACACACTTTACACTCCTCACTCCACACTTTACACTCCACACTTTACACTCCACACTCTACACACCACACTCTACACTTTCCACTCCACACTCCACACTCTACACTTTACGCTCCACACTCCACACTTTACACTCCACACTCCACACTTTACACTCCACACTCCACACTTTACACTCCTCACTCCACACTCCACACTTTACACTCCTCACTCCACACTTTACACTCCACACTTCACACTTTCCACTCAACACTCCGGGCTCCACACTTTACACTCCGCACTCCACACTTTACACTCCTCACTTTACACTCCACACTTTACACTCCACACTCTAGACTTTACACTCCACACTTTACACTCCACACTCCACACTCTACACTTTACACTCTACACTATACACTCTACACTCCACACTTTACACTTTACACTCCACGATTTCCATTTACACTCCTCACTTCACACTTTACACTCCACACTTTACACTCCACACTCCACACTCTACACTTTACACTCCACACTCCACACTCTACACTCCACACTCTACACTCCACACTCCACACTCTACACACCACACTCTACACTTTCCACTCCTCACTCCACACTTTACACTCCTCACTTTACATTCCACTCTCCTCACTCCACACTTTACACTCCTCACTTTACACTCCACACTCCACACTCCACACTTTGCATTTTACACTCCACACTCTAGACTCTACACTCCACACTCCACACTCTACACTCCACACTTTACACTCCACACTCCACGCTTTGCACTTTATGCTCCTCACTCCACACTCTACACTCTACACTCGACACTCCACACTCTACACTCCACACTCTACACTTTACACTCCATACTCCACACTCTACGCTTTCACTCCGCATTCTACACTTTACACACTCTACACTCCCTACTCCACACTCCTTACTTCACACTCCACACTCCACACTCTACACTTTCCACTCCACACTGCAGACGGTAACAAGGGAAACATGTACAAGACTGTTCAAATAAACTATTGCAGAAAGGTATTGTGCGTCACTGCGTAACCATGTGTTTTGACATCTGTACCATTAACATACGTGTGAGCATTCGGGTTCGTGGGCTTCATCTTGTTTTTTTCAATCCTATAAAATTCACATAGTTATATACCTCAACCAACTTAGTTATCCAACAATTGTGAGTCAATTCCTCATGTTCCATCATGTTTAATACCAATGTTCCACGTTTGTTTTTGGTTACATCATGTTTTTCCTACGGAAAATGCAATTGTCCACCATGTGTGTTGCTTAAATCTCAATTTTCCTAGGGAAAATGCAATGTTCCACCATTGAATGGTTGGTTACATTAGTTAAATCCCATGTTTTTTACTGAAAATGGATGAAAATCCACAGTCTGTTTGATATTCGCCCAGTGGCAGTGCATGTAGCGCCAAAGCCGCATCAAATAGTCCCGGAGGGTGATTGGGGGCACGTTGGGCGAATCGAAACACGCCACCAGGCCCTGCCCTGGCGGATGGATGCAGGGTGACCGTGGCAAGCGAATGATTTTATGGTGGTTTCATGATGGTTTAATGGTAGTTTAATGATGATTTAATGGGATTTAACGGGGCTTAGTGGGATTTGATGGTGATTGAATGGTCATGAAAAATGGAGAAAAATGGGAAATCATTCTGATTCAAGGGCGATTTAATGGGATTTAAGGAGATTTAATGGTGGTTTTTCATGGATTCTAATGGTATTTGATGGCTGACTCAATGGTGAGAATGGTGAAATAATGGTGATTTGAAGTGGGTTTACTTGGACTTAATAGGGAAATCATGGTTAATGGTGAATCATTGATAATCATTGATAATCATTATATTATATTTTTTTGATACTGAATGTTTTTTTCAGTAGGATTAACATGCATTAACCATCACCAAAGAGTGTCATTGGAAATCCCCAAGCGCGCTGCATGGAGGTCGCCTCGGGCCAAGGCGAAGCGCCAACCGGCCATATGTCGATGCGGTGTCGGCATCCTCTATCTCCGTGCATGCTAGGACAATATGGACAAGAAAGGTGGGTTCCAACACCTTCTTTTTCAAGTTTTTCCAAATATGGCCCAAACGACTTGTGGCCGTTGATTTCCAGCGTCGCCCTTCAGTCGTCGACTTGTAGCGACTGCGGCACTTGCGGCTCGCAGGTCACCGCTGTGTGGATGATTTCCAGCCCATGGAGCTAATTACCAGGGGGTAGATGCTTAGTGTATATAACATATTGACTGATTATATATAGATAGTTGGTAAATGATTTAATAATTAAATCTTATATAGTGATTTACTGTGATTGTAGATGATTATTTATGGATGGTTGGCAATCGTTATAGCTTATTAAAGATGGTTGGTGAATGGTAAAAGGAGAGCAGCATCCCAGGAAGTGGATCCATTGCTTGGGTGCACGGGGTGCACGTTCAGTCGTCGCAAATGGCTGGAGTATGGCCAATGGTCTTGGTTCTTAAATGGTTACTGGTTACACTCGTTGGCAACTATGAGTAGGTGAAATATCCTGACCCAACCCAGGCAGTAGTAGTCGATAAACTCATATAAACTCCATGGCCCATCTAAGTTGTGTTGGGTGAATTTGCCACCATGGCGAGACCCAGTCATAAATGGGATGCGTACCCCAAGTTCTTCAGGTTCTTATGTTACAAACCAGTTGCAGGCATTTTGTTCAACTAGGGTTGCCCTATGGACATGTTGCAATGACCTGCTGGAAATTCAACCAGTGTTTTAGGTCATGTATGATGCTCTCTCTCTCTCTATATATATATATAATATTATATAATGATTCACGCGTCCGAACTTACACATGTCCGACTGCCATGCCAGAAGTTGAGGTGGTAATGATGACAGCTATTTATTTCAGCATTTGATTGTTTAATGCAACGGAGGTGAGTATCTGATTCCCTGCCTTCCACTTCCACAGACTTCCACATGTCCATTCTTCTCGGATGAGTACCCTCAATTCGGCTATCACCATATATTGGCAATTCTCCCAACTAATATAGGCCCTGAGAGAATCGCCAAATTTTCGAGAAAAGTAGTTCTTTTAACCCCCAACTCATGGCAGGGTCTATAACTATTGGTTGAGGGCATGTGATTGCACAAAAAAAATCATTTCCTCAACTTAAACAGGGGGAAAATCACATGAAAGGCTTTATGAAAGCAAAGATACAGATACATACAGTATGTTTTCCTATTTTTGTTGTAACTTAGCTATCCATGCTTCGAGCTATGGTTATTTTCTCCCAACAATGGTGGCATCGTGCCCTCCGGCAGGAAATCTGGTACATCAAAGTGTTGCCCCCATTAACATCATTTCAAAAAAACGTAAGCTACATTTTACCTTTCACAAACTCACAAGCACAAGGGGGTTGTACCCAGTTGTTGGCTACATCTCCATTAAAAAAAAAAAACTCTCATGGGAGGAAGGGGCTCCCAAACGTTATAAGTTGGTTTATAACCCCATCTAACTAGTTTGTGATATCCCCCATAAGCACTAGTTAGGAATATCATCGCACCGCTCCCACCTGGAAATGACGCTAACTGGTTCAGCATCTCAGCCACTTCAGAGATCACCTGAGCCATGTAGGTGGAACAAAACAAGATGTAAAGATCAATTAATGGATGGAAACAAAAACAACATGTGAATTTGTGGAAATAAATATGGAATATTTTGTCTTCAAGCTACCGTATCTACAAACATCTGACTTTTGGGGTAAGAAGCATCCCTGCTCCAAATTGTGGCTTTGGTTTGTGGAGTCCAAATGGGTGGAAACACACAATGGAATCGGATGGACATATGGCCGGCCCCCTTGCGGCCCCATCCCAATTCCCAGAAAATATATCGATTTTATATCCATCAATTGCTTTTTGATGGCACTTTGAGACAAATCTGCGAAGATTGTGAAGATTGTGAAGCACTCAGGCACTCAGCAAATGTGCAATTATCCACTCCGGCTGTCCTCAATTATCCAGGCTACGTTCCAATAAACCAGCATCTACTCAGCGTGTATGTTCTATAGAAGGCTCACTTCTTTAGTAGTGCACAAAGTCGTTCTGACACTCTTCACTCTTCACTATTCACCAATTAACTCTTTTCCCAAAAATGACAATCACAATTCATGACCTTTTTCTATGGCAAATTGTTATCTTCATAGATTTAACAATCTTTGGGTGATCACAATTATTGTAACATGGCAAATTGGAATAACATGACACTCTTCATCCATAATCGATGGCAAAAGGAAAAGATCGCAAATCATGTTTGGGTGACCGAAAAATGTTCTCCGTCTGGTGAACTCCCTGGGCTTTCGACTTCTGTCTCCCTCCCCGTGAAGTCATACACCTGACCGCAGTGCGTTCAAAAACTGGCGTCCGTCTCAAGGGAAGCCACAGGTTTTCCCAAAAACAAAAAGGGTTAAGTGGGAATTGAATCTGTTCCATAAAAAGGACAAAAATCGGTAGTTTCCCCATTGAATCACCATGAAGTCACGACCGTTTGGATGTAGAATCCCTGCTCCAGCACGCCTCGGCCATGACAGGAACGAAGGCTCCCGTCACCACGCCGCCGTTCACCAACCGCCCCCCGCGGCCCGCCGGTCAAGGCCCTTCGCCCGGCCGGGCAGTGCAGGTTTCACGCGGCGGTGTTTACCGCGGCGGCCCCGTCTGAAGCCAAACGTGAAAAATGGAAGATCTGGGGAAACGTTGGAACACCCAGGGGGAAAACTATGGGTAGAATTGGAAGGGACATGAATTTGCTTACGGCCCGAAAACTGGCCTAGCGACACACACACACACACATGATGCTACGCTGAAGTTGAATATTCAACACGAATAGACCATTCCAGAGGTCAGCTAACTAAAACTGTCTACCCTGTGCAACGTGGAAATCCAATGGTAGTTGCTCACACGGGCACAATCGATGCATGTTGGGAACCATGTAAGCAATGATTCCCAGCACTTTGTCAAGTCGCAATGCGATGATCATGTGCTACGCCAAAGCATGGCAATGGAGATACATACATCGAAATGCTGATGTGTGTGATATCACTGCAAAAACGGTCCGCAAGTTGAAGTGATGGAAAAGAATCGCTGGCTCTGTGGCGAAACGCAACCACCCCAAAATCCGCTACCTATTTTTGGAGGTGCGTAACAACAAAAATATACTCGTCGTTGAGGTAAAACACAATTTCTGTGCAGTTTGCAATGGAATTGCGAGCCCGAAGACACAAATGGTGCTTCAAACGTTGTAGACAGCGCAGCATTTTGTATGTTTGGAAGAAGATCTCTGATCATGAAAAACGATGAAAACGCTAGGCCGATTTCCGGGCCGTTCGGAATTTGTCAAACCTATGCCATGGAGATGTCGTCGGGAAACTATGCTGGCATCCATTTAAGTTGCCGTGAAATCAATTTGAAATGGTTAACGACGCCAATGAAACCACAGAGTCCAATTGGGGGTAGTTGGTTGTTGGGTTTACCACAATACCTCGATTTTACAATTTTGATTGCTCAAATCCACATTCAATATCATTCAATCAATCACCAACCACAGGGAGAAATTTCTCACTTCTTTTGGCGTTTCTAATAGTGTAAAGATATTACAGTACTAAAGATACTTATTTTACATACATGTGTGTATCATCTTTTGTTGTTATTGTGACTCTATAGGGTATACGGTATACATATATATATATATATATATACATAATATATATATATATGTATATATAAATATATTATGTATATATATATATACTATGTATATATATAATGTATATTGTATATATATATGTATATAAATAATGCACATATATATATATGTATTATATGTATATATATATATATATGTATATATAAATATATTTAAATATGTATATATATATATGTCCATAATATAATATATAATATATAAATTTGAGAGAGAGATATATTAAAATATATGTACATATATTACTCCCAGTTCCGTGAGTTGCACAGCTTTGTCCTCCAGTGCGAAGGTGATTCCTGCACTGACGCTGTGGCGAAAAGTAAAAATCTCAGACCGGGAGAGCCAGCGTGGCTGAGATGAAGTCATTGGTTGGCCTATATGGTACTCAACTATTGGAATCATTGGTTGATTCCCAAGATCTCAGCCAATTAGAGATTTCCAAAAGTTGAGTACCATACAGAATGGTAAATCGCTAAATCTACCAAAAATTGAGATTGGTTGATCTAAACAGGTAATTTAGTTGATCTCAGTCGTGGTTTACCAAAATCTCCATCTATGATAGCAATGATTACCAATGAGATGGTAAAAGTCTGAAATGATTGGTGTTTACAAAGATAGATGGTATCTCAAACATCATTTTACAATAATTAAGATGCCATCTATATCTGGTTGGTGGTTGACCTACCCCTCTGAAGAATCATGGACTTCGTCAGTTGGGATGATGACATTCCCAATATATGGAAAGTCATAAAAGCCATGTTCCAAACCACCAACCAGATATGTGTAGTCATTTTTCTATTTTCATTGCAATATAGGTCCGTTTAGCATATAAAAAAAAATATCATCTGGTAAACCTAATGCTAAACCATTCCCAACTCATCACCATTTTTTGTGGGTGCTAAAAACCATCCCAAATGGTATAGGTTTATGGCATTGGGTTTCCCACATTGGTCGGAATATACTCGATACTTTCGATACTTATATCGGATGACTATACATATATAGACTATAATCACTGTAATCATCATTATAGACTCAAAAGTGATATTCCCATACATATAAAACATATAATAAGAATGGGAATATAAGTGTTGTAACCATATAACAATATTGAGTAGTACCACAAAAGTGGGACAGCATAAGAAAATAATTATATTGGGAATATGGTCTATAATCATTGCAGGGACCATGGACGGTCAAAACGCTGAGAAAAACGTGTGGGTTTGTGCTCCTATGGTCAAATCTAGCGTGTCAGTATGCAACAGAAATCCTAGAACATCAATGGCCATTTCAGGAACCTAAATTGGAGGTACCTACCATGTATAAGGCCTATTTAAGGCCTATGTCAGGGAATATCCCCACAGAATATGGCATTATATGGTACAGTACCTCCATTTTAGGATCCTGAAATTCCCATTGAGAACATCATTCATGAACATGATGGAAACATCATTTCCCAAAACCACTGGATGGAATTTTTGGTGGCTTAACTTCGGGCAACTTCCCCATCATTTTATGGATGAGAGGCTTCATTTGTAACATGACCAACATGGTACCGGTATATGACGGGCATCGAAATGGGCCTGGGCCAAAAAAGGCCTTGGGGTCTTGCGCAAGATGTGCAAAGCAAGGGGTTGGCTGAATCCAAAAGACATTTGAAAACTAGGGGATCGGCCATACCAACTACCAACTATAAATCATCTATAGATGGGTAGCTGGCAGTTGGTAGCAAGGGGTTGTCTATCATAGCAACTACCAACATATGAAACATATGGCTTTGCCCAAAAGTCGGGGATTGGGGTATACCCCATTTTCTGACACAGCAATAGACATCATGTCCCATGGTCGTTGATCTCCTGCACCAATGGATAGGACGAGACCTTTGCCCAATCCACTTGTGCAGAGCCATCCAAAATTGGGGAGGTGAAGCAATATGTTCAATCAACAGTTTGAGTTTCAGGATGTTTACCTAGCACAATGAGTCACAATATCACACATCTAAGGCAAATCCGGAAGTGTGTCCTGGTTAAACCCCTATTCTAATTGGTGAAAAATGAAACCAGTCAGTTTTTTGGTTGGATGCATTTTATATCCATGTTGAAAAGCCATTTCAACTGACTCAAAATGGCTGAATCCCATGAGGTGCCGCGAAAATGATGGCAATAAAAAAGAGTGGGGCCCCGAGACCACTTTGTCCGGGCCAGATGACAAATAAAAGCATTAGGAAGCCCTCCGCGTCGGAGGCTGCCTGACTTGGGCTTTCTGAGATCATTTTGATTCTCCTCGCGTCCAGGAGGTGAACCTCCTCGGGGCGACCCGGCATGGCAAGCACCAGGTGGACCTGTGTCGCTTCCGCCGTCCCCACTTCCATACGGGTTTCCAATATAATGTTTAATTGGCAAATCTCCGTCAGGCAGTGCGATGCCGGTCGCTCCCTCTGTTCCGATCATGAGAGGGGCGAAAAAATCGATGTAAGCATAGATAATCAGCGCTGTGCTGGTTCCACTGGACCCAGCAGACTTCGAGGGCGGCCAGGAACTGGATGTGCTGGCTTCCAGAATTCATCCGCGCAGAGCGTATCTCCCCATCCTGAGCAAATGCTCGGACTCCAAAGGTTCGAACCTGGCAGAACCTCAGGTGTTCAACTGTCGCCCCAATGGCCCAGCACTTGAAGTTGGTCTCCATAGAGTCTCCACCGTCTACCATCTCAAATTTCACCATGACTTTCACAGCTTAGCCACCTGAAGCCTTGCTGAAAATCATGTTTTTTTAGGCCGCGCCATTTTTTCCAGTGCTTCGAACCTGGCAGAACTTCAGGTGTCGAACAAATTCTTCAAATCTGATGTGTGAGATTTTTTTTGGTTGGCAAAAATCCACAGGATTCATTTTTTTTTTGGCTGGGAAAAATCCCTATGATTCATTTTTTTCGTTGGCAAAAATCCCCATGATTCATGTATTTGCTTATGAAAACCTTACTGTTTGCCTTGCTTTAAACTACCACCATCGTACCCAACCCATGGGCCCGGCCTGCCAATGGTGCGTTGAAGGAGGCAGCGAAGCCGCAGGAGAAACCCAGGGAGGCAAGGAGTGACTGCCTCAACGAATAACTTGGAGTATGTAACGTATAAAAAAATAGTGCTAGTATATCAGACATGATAAGTAATCATCCAGTTTATTAATAGTACTAGTATATCATTATTGCTTATGTAAGGAATCCAATAGTAAATCATCCCCCAAATCACCAGAAATATCCATAGATAGGTGATACAAATCATCAACATATGGGTGGTTTATTATTGTTTTACCAACATTATATAAGTATAGAATATATATATATATATATTTGCAGGTATAGATTATATCCTCATAAAACTAGTGTGTATATGGCTATCTATATATATATATATATATAAATTATATATAGATAGACTTTCTCAATGATCACTGCCTCAGGATTAGCATCTCTGGTTGTTTAGCCGTATGCGAACTGGAACATGGCCCATTTATAGATAGTTTATGATGACTACCGATGTGATTCTTAGATGTTCTAGGGACCTTAACTCCTACATAGTTCATACATAATAAGATAAAAAAACATGTTTGTCAAATTTCAGAGGTGTGCCCTTCGCTCGGGCATTCGAATGAATCCTCCAACTTCATTGTTTTCTCGTTCAGAAACGGAGTTTCCCATCCCCATGGCTACAGTAACTTTGAATAGACACAAGATGTTATGCTTCAGTGGGATCTGATGTTCCTGCAATCCGAGGCCAGAAAGGCAGTGATGCCATGCAGAAATCCAACTGAGGCAATGACAACCTCAAAAAAATCCATCTCATTCCACACTTCTTAGATGATAATTGTGATTTTAAAAGGTTGAACTCAACTTGCCATGGGTTTTTCATCCAACATGTTTATAATTGTTTATATATGGGTATTCAAATGATTTTCATTGTCAAGAGTCAAGTGCGCGCGTTTGCCAATTTCACGTGCCAGACCCAGATTGCTTCGCACACTTGGCTGCCACACGTGACGGCAGCCCGGATGCCACTGTACCATCCAGCCAACATGGCAAAGGAAGTGCAAACTTGGATGGATGGGCCTGGCCAACGTGGCATGAATCAGTGATGGACCATGGCCAAGGCCATATTCATATCATTATCATCAAGTGATGGACCATGGCCATGGCCAAGGCCATATTAATTTATCACCATTTCCCCTCAATTCATATCAAATTGTATCCACATTGAAGGGAAATGGTGATAAATTAACGATTCAAGTTGACATTAACGTGCTGAAATATCTTGATATGATGGGATTCATGGTTGTTGCCCCTAACACCACCTTAAAACCACCCAAAAACCACCATAAAACACACCTAAAACCACCTTAAAACCACCCTAAAACCACCCTAAAGCCACACTAAAACCACCATAAACCCAACATAAAACCACCCTAAAACCCCGGCAGTTGACACAGTTGCTAGTCACTGCAATCACCAGTGTTTGGCGATTTCCAGACACATATAGACAAATATGAATCAGCTTCAGTTTTGATACTTGATGATGACAAACAACATATGAATATCTGCACGCACAACGTCCAGTCGGACTAACGTCGTATTGCTAACGTCGTAGGTTGGACTCCTCAGATCTCCATGGTGTTGGGTTTCAGATTTTGGGTTGTTTCACAGGCCGTCCAAAGTGTTTAACACAATGTTCCGAGGAACATGGTACCACAAATGGTGATATATTTAAAGAGATTTAATGATATATATATATATATATATATATGTGATATCAATACACCTTATAGACATTTACCACTAATATATATGATGACAATAACATCAGTTCATTCAGCTTTTGATTTTATATACCAAAAAATGGTTCAATGACGATACAACATGAATGGTTTTGATGTTGGCGAACCAACCTTAGCAGTTCATTTTCTGAAACCACCGAAAAGATCATTGCGACCCTCACCATGCACGTTGGTCTAATGCGGAAAATCATGAGAAATAAAGTTTAGCCTTCAATGCGGAAGGAAAGGCTGTTGGCGGCCGTGGGTCTCTGCACCCCGACATGCCACCTGCCACCAGCATAAACTTGCCAGCCACAAGAACCACGTTGTGAAACCTTCCTAACACCTCATTCAAACAATGTTTATCAGTTTTTTGCCTATGATATTCCATCGTTCCCTCACGGCTTGAAAAGAAAACAGTCTAAAAAAACACGAAACAACACAAATCAATTTAAGCTCTTGGAAGCAACATGAAAGCATCCCGCGCTCCATTCCCATTACCCCCGCTGCTCAAACCCGAGATTTCCGCACCTTCGGCCCCCAGTGAGCCACCAGACATGAGAAACAGCACCGCGAGGCTCATGCGCAGAATCTTGGCCACGGACAACATGTGGGTCACAGAACGGGCCGGAAGAAACATGGATATGGGGATGGAACAAACCTATCATTTCCACATTTGGGGAAATAAACATCCATTAGCCAGCTAATATGGGGCACCTAGAGTACCATGGTTTCATAGCCATATGGTTTTGTCAGAAAATGGTCCAGTTGGTTTTGACAATCTTATTTGGGAATGCAGTGTGATATTTCATCAGCCAAGAAAAAGAGACGTTTCGGTTTGTGGGCATGATGTAGGGATCACCATTTGATGACAAGAGTGCCGGATTTTTTTCAGCAATCGTTACAGTTTGAGATCAAACACACCAGATTGGAGTTAGATGGAGTTAGAAAGTGCGCCCTGAAGTGATGATTGACCGGCAATTTTTGAAGTCACCTAACTTTCCGAATGTTTCCGGCAGCTCACATCAATGGTCAATGGCCAGGAAAACGCAACACTCAAGGTGTTCGGAAAGTGATTCTTCAGCTGTCTTGTTGTTTGACCAAGCTGCAGACAGGTATGAATATCCGGGTGTCTGAAATCGGGGCATGTCACCAACATGGCAACGCAAACATGATGATCAATCAGTGGATCTAGGGCGCCGTTGCCTACATGCGATCGTCTGCCCCGTTGCTCAAGGCTATAGATGGCAAACGGTTTTCCAAAGCGATCTTAGACACGCTGCATCTGCGGCTGGCTACCTGTTCCAGCTTCGTCTCCATTGCAACAGCCATGCCGCGTTAAATATGGGACAGAAAAGATGCTGCTTGGACAAGACTGAGCCGCGAGTTCTTCCTTGAACCAGGTTAAATCAATATTTTCTCCACCCATATCTTTTTTTTTATTGATTTTGGCATTCATTTGGGTATTGATTTTGGAACCACAAGATTTGATCAAAGTTAACCAAATTAGATCAATTTTGATCAAATTTCAACTGTTCAATCAAATTTCAACTGTTTTGATTCAACTTTGATGGAACTTGATCAAGTTGCATGTTTGTCGTGTTTGGCTTTCTTATTAATTGTTCATAGACTTCGTGTTTCGTTTGTTGAACAAATAGGTCTTGGAATCAATTGCAAAATAATGATTTATATCGAGGAATATTGATTAGAATCAATAAGTGATTGTCAGGGTTGCATAGATGTTGGTAATCCGGGTGGAATAGCTTGGTTTGATGGGTAAATGCGAGCCATGAAAAAAAACCTTTCCATCTCATTATACTGGTTGGTTAATAGGTTTCCCTACTATGGTTTATCATAATCCCACATATTCCCTATTAAGCATCCTGAATCCATGTAGATAGTATGATCCCCTAACCACTCAACAATGGTATTTTAAATAGCTCATGTGGCATTTGCATCTCGGTTCGCAGAATGGTCGCCCATGGAACTTGAGGATGAACAGGGCAGTGACGATTGGGACGCCTTGTGCTGTTTGGCTCTAGGCCCAGTCACTCGGAACAAACATGCAAAACCCTTGAAGTTCTCCCTGTAAAAACATGTGATCCGGCATATGGGCATGGATCAATACCTATTAATACCATTTTTAGGAGGATGACCATCCATTTACCAGCTATTTTGATGTTCACCAGGGGTACAAGGTTTTGACACACTGCCATATCACTGAAATATATCTTTGATCGGCGTTTGATGGATGACAGGTCGGTAGATCTGATGCATTTTGCTGGAAGGAACGCAAAAATCATCATCTGGATGAACATTTGGCGGTTGAAGATGCCTAACAAGGCTTGGATGTCACATCATATGCTGCCAGATCTGCCAGTTTGATGGATGGAAACCAGGCTGATCCCACACAACAACAGTTTGGTTTGGTGTTTCTCAAGCCGTACATGTATTCATCGCATTGCAACTGCACAAAAATAAAGATCCACCAAAATTTTGACGAAACTAAGCACATGACAACCTCAGTTTCTCCATGTTGTATTATCCAGTTCATATGCTTTTCTTCCCTGAGTCAATACAGTTTAACTGGGCCCACGTTAGATGATCCATGGATTAATTGTGACTGATTCAACAGCAAAATCCTTGGATTCTACTCTGAAATCAACAGTTCGCTGGCATCGCTGACATGGCACCCTGTTGAGGTGTATAAAACTACTCGTTCCTAACATGTCACGCAGAATGCACCCAAACCGGCAGCTGTAACAACATGAAAATTGAACAAGTCAATCTGTGTAGTTGTTATACACGATGTGATTTTAAACGCTAACCAAGTATGGTTTCTCACACTTTCCCCTCGAAAGTTTGATGTGAACTTTTCTAAAGTTCAAGCGGACACGGCAGAAGTAGAAGGACACAAACGTAGGACCGTTCCCACTCAAAGCTGCAGAACTCTGACGCTTTTTTGGGCCTGGATCCGAACTAGGGTGTAACCTGGGAAGAAACATATCCCACTGGATCCCTCAAATGATGCGTATTGATTTCTTGTTTTCTATTCGAACAAGTTAGATTTCAGGAGAATAAACATCCCTTTAATCAACTCTAAGAGATGTAGACAACCGAATATAGGAAACTAGAAGCACATATAACTTAATCAACCGGCAAAGACTAAAAAACATCAAACCTTCATGTGTTAAAAGCAAGCTTCTATACACAAAAAATCGGATCAAACCAAATCAAATACCAACCTATGGGTGTTTTTTGGTGTCCCCAATTGAGTGGTAATAAAGACAACAACACCTTTTGAAGAAACATGGCCACTTGAGGGTTCTCATGCCAGACATATACCGGATGAAAATTAACACAGATGTAAGACCACCCGCCGGTTCTTGGTGTAGGTGAAACTTAGGTAATCCATCTCCCAAGTATGAAACACCCCCAGCGCATGGTTCCAAAAAATGTCTGTAAATCACCGTTGGTGTTTAGTATGAAAGGGGGATTAGCATAAAAACTGGTATGGTTGATGTCGAACCATTGTCGACATGCGTGAGGCTGAAAGCGGGAACCCAAAATCGCGACTTGATAGGAAACATGATGATTCACCAGTGGATGGAACGGGTAAAAAAAATAGAAGAAAAGTGTGTTGGTATATGCATATATCTACATAATCTACACAATTATATCTACATATATATATATATACATATTTACAATGTATCTACAATAAAAGCGTAATGATATCGACATATTTATATATTTACCACTAAATACGCAATGGTCCCTAGTATCTACAATAAAGCGTAGTATCTCACCGTTAACCCCAAGCAAACTAACCAACCTGGCTGTCAAAAATCAACTGTAATTACTCATTTTTGTTAAAATATACCCAATTTGTCCTCCATGATTGATAGATCCAATGGTCCAATTTGTTCTTTTCAAGAAATGTCCCATGATTGTCCCATGTGTGTACCATATTACCTGATCTTGTTTTGAATTATTCAGTTGTAAGATCACATAATTTACGTTTATTTACATGGCAGTGTGTCAAAACCTTTTACCCCTTTTGTTCACATCAAAATAGCTGGTAAATGGACGGTCATCCCACTAAAAATGGTATTAATAGGTATTGATCCATACCCACATGATTTTATCATTATTTACCATGATTTACCATGAAAACTCCCAACTTCATCCAGATTCCACAGCATTTTCCCAGCCAAGGCGCCGCAGCACGCAAGGGCACGCCCACGCCCGTCGCGACCGCTACCAGGGACTGACAGGTGCCACCGCCTGACAGCGGTTTGTTCATTCAGCCATGGCTTCCAGTGGTGTTTGTTCATGGGTGAAATCCATGGTTATTACCCATATGCTCCATGTATGGTATATGGATTTAATATGGTAATACCAGTGGTAATAACCCATATGGTAATAACCCATATGGCTTCCTAATAATCCAGTGGTGTTTGATTATACCATTACCCATATGCGAACCATGGTGCTGGTATATTTACCTACAAAACTGGGTGATTTTGTTCGGGCAAATGTAGGTAAATATACCATACATGGAGCATATGGGTTCTGGAGAACAATAATCTCTTTATGGATAACAATAGTTTTTTTATCTAATTATGGATAACATTGTTGGATTATGACTGTTATCCATCAATAGATTATTATCCATAGATTATGATCCATAAAGGATGGGGTTCGTCAATGGGAAGGATGACATCCCATATATGATGGAAGATAAGCCAAATGTTTGAAACCACCAACCAGTGTTTAATCATATAATCGTTGGGAATGAGCCAAAAGACTTAAGGAATCTTAAGGGATTCAAGCTGCACAAATGATGATTGAAGCCCGCAAACAGGTGAGGCTACCCAGAAAAATAATATGACAAGTGAAGAACGGATTTTGATGTTCACAAAGGATGAGGCCAGTTTGAGACTGAACCATCAAACATGGAACATGGGCCTTGGACCATGGGGAGTGATGTCCAGGAAAGGCAACTGGATTTGTATAGCTCAACTCTGATTTATGGTGGATATAATATATGCCCATAATTCGATGGGGTTATAACCTAAACTTGTAACTTCGTACCCTTCCTGAACCAACAATAGAGCCTAGTTTAACTCGAATGATATCGATAATAAAACCTGGCAGCGAGAGGGGATCTAATCCACCCTTTGTCAGTGGCTCGCACTGGTGGAGTGAACCAGCAATGGGGCGTGGGGCTTTTTTCACCAAACATTTTACTGGTTGGTGGTTGACCTACCCCTCTGAAAAATCATGGACTTCGTCAGTTGGGATGATGACATTCCCAATATATGGAAAGTCATAAAAGCCATGTTCCAAACCACAAAGAAGTTTTATGTTTTATGTGGATATAAAATGAGATAACGGGATAAGCACACCCAGGTCAATGACTCCCCTCGCGGTACTGCTTGGGTAAAATATTGTAAAATGCCAGGGCAAATCTCAACCACCATGTGAACAACCATGGTTTTTGGGTGGTGCAATCAGAATCTTGAAAAATATGACTTCGTCAATGGGAAGGATGACATCCCATATATTGTGGAAAATAAAAAAAGTTTGAAACCACCAACCAGTAATACTAGCGAAGCTGAAGACCTATTTGGCGTGTATCACTGCAATGCGGTTGGGTTGAACCCCTGTGATTATTGCCAGAATGGGAATTTGCTAATGTGAACAACAAAAAGATGGAAAGTCAACCAAACGTTGGATTCAGGTTAGCAAATGTTGTAATATAGCATTGACCAACATTTGCTAACTAGTGATAATTAATATAATATAATATAATATGATATAGTATAATATACTGCAAAAATGAAGGCAGTGTCGATAGCAGCCTGCGGCCCCCTCTTAACTCCTAGCAGGGTCACCTACGTGGGAACGACATGGCCAAAACACAAAGTTGCTGGGTGACCCCTGCAAGGTATGCCAAAACCACTTCACTCTTTGTTCCAACTTTTTCGCTTGTGTTGCGTCTTCACAAGGGGATTGATCAAATTCACTCTTTGTTCTGGTTACATTAGAAATATATGGAAATATGTCATCTTCAAAGCAGCTGCAGCTGCCCAAGTTTGTGGGAGTTGCATCACAACAGCCCCACACGAAGCCCCTTCACCCACACATAGCCACTTGGTCATATTTTGTGATGCCCATTCAAAATACCGTACCAGCCCAGACCTTTTTTTTCAAAAATCGTAAGAGTCCTCCATCCAAAATAATTTCATACAAACATTATGTATGTAAACCATCCATGGTTGCTACAATGTGGGTCCCACCAGTCGGAAGTTGCCTTGTGAAGACAGGATCTAGCATAAGCCGTTTGTTAGCCTATACTTATATATATATAATTATCAAATAATTATCAATATCAACATCGATTTTATTATGTATATACAGTATATATAGTTATCAACCTTTACAAGCCAACTTATTTATGGCGTGCACGCCCACCGTGGAACTCCAGATCCTCGCCTTTCACTTGCTGTCGCAGATGATGTGGCAGGCAAATAATGATCAGGCCACACAACGCGGCACCTCCGTGGGCAACAGTCCAACCGTGGGCAAACGGTTGTACTATTTTATCCTTCAAATTAACCCATGGTTGTCAAACGTTGTCAATATCAAAAGCGACATCTTTGACAGTTGTCAGTTTGCTTCGAAGCCCTATCTATGAAAATTAAAGCATGTTAAACCATTCTCTATGATAATTACACATCACTTTATCAAGTAATATCCAGCTTTTAACTATTATAAACTATTAAACTTATGAAACCACCATTTTATCCAGTTTCTTCATGGCTTTTTACAGCCGCCTTAATTCGTTTTTTTTCAGACGCCACCGGTGACTCGCTCGGCCTACCACAGAGGAGCTGATGTACAAGATCTCCTCAGGCACCTGGATAGTCAGCAGAGTTTTGGAGCAAGCAGTGAAAATGGGTTACCCGGCCTGGTAAACTAACAGTTTGCTACGGTATAGATGACCCACTAAAAAAGATGGTTTACCGAACTTAAAAATGGTGGATCTTTCTATAGCTATGTTAAATTACCAGAGGGTAAACATTGTGAAAAACATTGTGAAAAACTGAAAATCATGGTGAAAAACTTGGTTAAACATGACTAAATGTTTATAAACATTGGTGAAAAAAACTCAAATTAAACATGATCACCCATCAAGATCTGTAAGAACTTAAGTTCTGCCTTTTTGAAACAATCATGAAACTTGAGGATGTACTGAACAGGTCAAGGTATGTCCTCCATTTTTGAACCCATTGATCATATTACACCCTCAAAGGATACAACATCTGGTTGGTGGTTGACCTACCCCTTTGAAAAATATGACTTCGTCAGTTGGGATGATTATCCCATATATTCTGGACAACATAAAATGTTCCAAACCACCAACCAGTGATATAATTTAATAATAGTAATTAACACATGAACCCATTAGTGATATTACACCCGTTGTTTGTTGCGGACCTTCCTTAGGATTTCTGGTGGAATGATCATGGTGGACTCCGGGCCCACGTGGCACTGTCGCAGAGTAGAGAAACATTGAGAAACCAAAAAAAAATCCCAGTCATTGATAAACCAATATGATTATAATTAATTATATGAATCTGATTGGTGGTTTTAACATGTTTTAACCATATTGAAACATATGAAAGTCAGTTGGGAGGGATTATCCCATATATCATGGAAAAACATGTTTGAAGCCAGCAATAAGTAATACACCGGTGAAATCTAACATAGCGTTTTTTAGCCCTGGCACCAACTCACAAACATAGCATCTGGCTACGTTGTCAACCCTGGGGATTTGGAGAGAGTGATCATTTGGGTGATTTCTGCCAACACCTGCTAACATAGCCTCTGTTTCCGTCCTCCCAATGTTTGGCATTCCCCAGGAAGTGGGTAAAAGAAATGTACCAGAATAAGCTAACATAGCTGTCTGGAGACTTGTCACAGCTTGGAACCACCAAATGGAAAGTGCTATGTTAGCATCAAACTCCACGGAAAACATGTTTTAGAAAATGGGAAACCGAACGCATCAATCAATCAATCCAGAATGAAAGTACCCCTGGTTGCTATGTTAGGTTGTCTTTTTTGAGTCTCCAGCCGACCAGATCAAACCAAAACTGTTTTTGGATGTCTTTCTGGGGCTCACCCTTACTGGGCCCAAAAAAGCTTCAAAATCAACAATTTTATATAATCGATTGAATAAGGAAAAAAACTCCTGGTCAAAGTTGCCAATCTGGCTACTTGCTGCCATGATGACTATGATGTACTATTGGAGGTTTTGGGAACCATGGGCAAATGCTATGTTAGCAATCCTGTTGCCAAAACTTTGGTTTTGGATTGAAAATCATGACTGGCACAACTGTTTTTGGATGTCTTCCTGGGGCTCACCCTTACTGGGCCCAAAAAAGCTTCAAAATCAACAATTTTATATAATCGATTGAATCAGGAAAAAAACTCCTGGTCGATGTTGCCAATCTGGCTACTTGCTGCCATGATGACTATGATGTACTATTGGAGGTTTTGGGAACCATGGGCAAATGCTATGTTAGCAATCCTGTTGCCAAAACTTTGGTTTTGGATTGAAAATCATGACTGGCACAACTGTTTTTGGATGTCTTCCTGGGGCTCACCCTTACTGGACCCAAAAAAGCTTCAAAATCAATAATTTTAAGGAAAAAACTGCCCTGCGCACACAGACGAACGCTAACACAGCATTTCCCGCTTGAGCTTACTTGATGCTTCACACGCGCCAAGTTAGCACCAAAATGTCCATGTCACACCATGTGTTCCCAACGCCAAGTTAGTTGAATCTCAGCCCCAAAACCCAAACACTAACATAGCAAAAAAAATAAAAAATAAAAAACTTTCAACAGGTAAGATTTCACGAGAGTATATGTTCCTCCTATCTGACCATGTCTTCTCGCGCCAGGCCGTGCGACACGACACGGCGACCGGCCTCCGGAAAGGCCTTGATGAGGATGTAGCCCATCTTTTCGTATTTGTAACCGTTCAAACTGGCCAGGCCAGGCGTGTTTCGGCTGAACACCCATGGCGTTTTTACAAAAATGGCTGGAAATCGATGGAAAAGGATGTGAAAATCCCACTCAAGATGTTTTTGTTGGTACTGAATGATATTGACTAATTATTGACCCATGTCCAATTTCAATAATCATGAGTGATCAGCGGTCGCACAATTTGAAGAAACGAGTGAAATGAGGCAAACTTCCTATCATTTGCGGACTCTGAAGTGTCTGGTGGTAGGCTGTCCAGGGAGAAAAAATGAAGAACAACATGTTCAAACGCAAAGCATCCAAGCATATCTAAGCATATCTAAGCAATGAAGATGACCTTCTAAGCCTTCTAAGCCTTCCAAGCATCGCCAACAAAAGCTCCATAGGTCTCATGGACAGCCAGTCGGCTGGAGCCGCCACCAATTTTGTTCAGCTCTCACGAAAAAACATCAACATGACAGTAACCCATGACGGATCCATGGTGCTGGCATATATGCTAACATGACTGGGGTATATTGATGGGATCCATGTTACCATATAACAACATTATAGCAGCACCATGGATCCGTCATGGGTAATATTATGGATGTTCAATGATGTTCATAGTCCCGAAAGATTCCCTGGATTTCCGTAAATAGCTGGCCGTTCTCCAGATGAGGATCGGTCTCAAATTTGTCAAAACGAAGCGCCTGTTGCAACCATTGATACCCAAAAGGCCTCGGGAGTGCTCTGAACAATCCACCGGTGGCTTTTTTCCCACGGGGTAACGGGCTGCTGGTTAGTACAGCTTCATGTTTTTTTTTGGATATGATGGATATCAATAATAAAGGATATAGTTACAGGATATATAACAAACCAGAATTACCTTACTGTGTCTGGGCATTGTAAGAGGATATATAACTCCTCGGAAACTCCAGGAAAAAATCCCTGCAAGCGTGCGAGGTATGTATCAAAACGTGACATGCAACTAAACAGTTTATCTCAATCTATCTGCAAAGAACGACACATGTTAGTTGGGGATAGTTGGGGTATACCGTGTTTGTTCATCACTCGTTTTTGTACACCCAATCAATGATTTAAGAATAGTGACCATCTCCACAGTTCAGCTCAGCAGATGACACTGGATCTTGTCCCAAGAAGTAGTGTTATCCCAACAATTGTCCCCTCCAAATATGAATGGGTTATGAATGACACATCTAAGCCGTCATCTAGATACATCCATCATCAATAAACCCATCCGTGGACCGGACGCGTTTTCCGAGCTTTGGAAACGAGGAACTGAGTGACAAAAAAGGTCACTCCAGGATAGGAGTTTGTCTGAAAACAGTGTACCGTAAATCCAATGAACTTGCAATTTTGGGATATATATAATACGCGTATATTATATAGAGACACACCACATGTCTGGAAAAAACACATCACATCATCATATTGTTGCTATAGTTATATGTCTCAAGATATGAGTTTCTTGCGTGTCTATCCCCACAGTTGGCCAAATCCCCCGCCAGGAAAAAAAAACATACCCTCTGGCAAATGTTTACATAAGGAACTGGAAAATCACCATGCTATTCATTGGTAAATGACATAAATCAACGGATTCTACAAGGTGGTGCCCCATAGTTAGCTAAGTTGGTTTATAACTCCCATAACTATGGTTTATGGTAGATATAACTATAGTTAATGGGGTTTATAAACCAACTTATAACTGGGGGGCACCATCCTGTATAGCCATGTTCAATAGCTTTTTGTATGTTCACCAGGTCGGGTAACAACATGGCCATCGGCTCAAGAGATCTCATCGCGAGCTCAGCTCGGCCCAGCGACATCCAGAGTAGACAAAGGCTTTATGACACCCTGGCGACGGGCCAATGTCCCAGTTGCAGGGACACTGAAGCGACCACAACCCCAATGTGGCCTTACCAAAATCACGATGTGTGGCATTAGGCATTAACTAATGATATTACATATCAGATTATCAGAAAGGATATATATATCTGATATATCTCTAGATATCCAACGCCTTCCAAACACATAATTTGGGATGTAGGGCGCACAAAGGAAGCCTTTTTTATAGGGGGCAAACCACAGCACTTACCCCATTGGATGAGGCTTTGGGTTTGGCTAGCGGCTAGCTGATGTGTACACAAACACACACGATACCCATGCTTGAAGGGTAATCTGAGAATATGGCCCCATGTCCTTTCTCATCTTGTGTAGCGGAGATTGGGTGTGCATGAAAACAAACATACAAACACCAAATATTGTTGCATCCTCAGTCACCAGGGGAGGAAGCGTTTTTCCCTACAGTACCCTACAGGAATAAAAACGATTCCAATATTGCAACTTTAGTGCCGTTGAAATTGGCTTCGGCGATTCGGTACCACACTGAACACATTTTGGTCCCAAACACAAATATCAAATAAATCATATATATATATCTGTTACTCCACTTCAACCATTGTCATCTCCGACATCTTTTTCTCTGCTCTTACCTTGTCATAGCTACCCTTGGATACATGTACCTTAAGATGTACCTTGATGTACCTTGTAAAATCATATGCTTTCAGTATAGTTCAACAAGTTCTTAAAGATTCCTCCGTTTCACTGCTCCCAGCAGCCAGTTTTCCTCCAACCCTTCACCAGTCGCCACCCCCGAACTCTGCCTGAAACCAAAAAACCACAGAGGATGGCCACAACACACACCTCAGTGACGCTGCAACGGCGGTAGTACCGCCCTTCTCTGGGACGTCAACCACCAAACTTGAGGACCTTTGGTTTATATATAAAGATGCTTCGGTCAAGGTCAATACCTCCTAGTTTGTTGGGGTGCAACACAAAAAAACTCCACTTCGTATTGGCCATCATCATTCATGAGGTTTCGTAAGCAGATTGACGGAACATTGATCCGAACGACCGGCGGTTCTATATAACCGGAACATATCATCCCATTTAGCCCGCTTGATTGGTAGATAAACCTAGGTAGGGGTATTGATTTCTCGATTATATAATCACTGGTAGGTGGAGATCATGCAATCATCTTTGGACATCATGGGTTTGTCCAAGCATGCGTTTGCCCAAAGTTCATAATGGCTCCATCATTTTCAGTATATAAACAGAAAATTGGGTAATGTGGGTAAAACATTGTCATAAACCACCCATAACTGGGAATGGTAAAAATACCACCTATACATATACCTATACTACCATCTATAAAAATGGTGATGACTGGGGGATGGTTTACGGCATTAGTTTTACCTACATTATAACCCATTTTCCACGTTTAATCTCCAGTTTTCCGACGTTGAAGCGGACCAACCCGTCCGAGACACGTAGAGAATCAAGCAGCACGGCAGCGCTTGGTGGTGATGGTGTCTGCGGCCACAAATCTCTATGGGAACGATGGAAACTATAGGATTTAAGCTGTAAGTTTATATTCACACATCCAACTGGAGTGACATATATATATTATTATATATATATACATGAATGTATATACGCAATTGTATATGAATGCAACTATATATATATATGTCTAATGTAATTGTGAAGACACCATACACGGAATCATTGAGTCTATTGATTGAAACATCTGTAAACCAACTTATCTGTTGGTGTCCCCACATCTCATGACTTCAATAATTGGATGCACCCCTGAAAACGAAGACGGAAGCCAACAAAATTGGGCCATGTTAAAATGCAAACGCTTCCTGGACCAATTTCGTTCTCAGGGAATATGTGCAAAGGTTGAGCCCAGACTCAGACCGTCCCAGACCCGAAATTCTACCAGCCCGAAACTTTTGGAGCAAGACTCAATCAAGTTAGTACTGTGCTCACACTGGGCCCGTGTTAATCTGAAAACCAAGAACAAATTCTTCATCATCATCTTCAATTCATGATCCAGAAAATAAATCCTTCACAGAATTGTGGAAACCCAGAAACTCTACTAGGCTGATGCCTGATGTTTGTACATAGGGAGGACATGGGTAATACCTCAATATACCATATACGTGTACATGTACATGATGTAAAACTGCGAAACATGCAATGAGTTGGCTATCTACGCACCATCACCACTGCAAAAAAACACACACACATGAAATCATCCCAATCATGATCCCAATAGAAATAGTATATACATACCCAGCTGGTAATTTAACAATTTGCCATGGATAATTGTCTATTTTGATCTATGTAGTTTGAGTATTTTACTAGTGAGATAAATGAAGATTGATATGTTCAAGTTCCCAAAGTGTTCAATTACCAGAGGCTATATAGATCCATATAAACATCCTTAGCTATATCCCAAATTATATCATACATATCCCCATATATGTTCCTTAAATCCCCTCCGACCATGCTATGAACCCGACACCAAGTCAGCTGTATCGTTCCATGAATAGCTCGGACTCTCATGGGCGCGATATATACCCCTTTGCTACCGGCTGTTGAATGGGGGAAGCTGGAAGCTTCGTGAGATCAATCCTCCCAGTGTTTTATCTTGTTGGATCTATGATAATACGAACTTTTCAAGAATAGTTGAATGTAGTAATATGTATGTAATACTGTATATCAAATAAATATGATAACCCGGTATGTTAAAACAATATGTTTTTTTTTACCAACTTGAAAAAATATTTAAAAATATAGCTGGATATAGCTGGATTCATATAAGGATAGATCATAGTTCACAGATCCTCAGATCCAAATTAATAACCATCCTTCCAGTGACGTCCCGATGCCACGTTGTGAGGTCATGATCAAATCTATACAATTATCATACGGACTGTTGCTTCATGATCAATGTAGCTAAAATGATTTCATCACCATATACATATTTATATATATGACAAGATATAAAACAATAGGCAACTAATCAACTACACAAAACCAAACAACACCAAATAAAACCATAGAAACAAAAAACAACAACATTACAAAACTATACAAAACCATACAAAACTACGAAGCACTGTACAAAACAATACAAAATCACACAACACCATACAAAACCATACACATCCAATAGAGAAAATTCATGAAAATTCATTACAAACAACTCTACAAATCCATACCAAACCATACAAAACCATAAGACCATACACAATATTCAAAACAAATACAACACCATACAAAACCATGCAGAGTCATACAACATCCTAAAGCACCACATGAAACCATCTAAAACACAGCAAGAAAACTGTTGAAACAGAAAAAACGATACACAACCATACAAAACCAAAACCATGCAAAGCTACAACCATACAAAACCATATCAGTTCATTACAAAAATACACGCATATATATATATATTATAATATTATATATATATATGAATATATATATATGATAATATATATAAATGATAATATATATATATGATAATATATATATATGATAATATATGTATATATATGATATTATATATATATGATATTATATATATGACAATATATATATGATAATATATATATATATATATGATAATATATATATAATTATATATATAAATACTATACAATATAATGTATATAAGTTACATAAGTTTTTATATATATATATATAGTAACTATTAATATATATATATATAATTATATATACATATGTATAATATACATAGGTCACAAGATTTTCCCCACTTTCCTCAGCGCCGCACCCGTGCTTCCCCTCGTCCGTCGTGGAGGTGGGGGGAGCGACTGGCACGGCGGAGAGGCGTTGAAAACTATCGCGCCGCCTGGCCGAGTCTGGCCTGAGGGGGGAAGTGGTTCAACCTAACATCTTGGGATATTGTATCTGGTTGGTGGTTAATGGTGGTTAATGGTGGTTAATGGTGGTTAATGGCGGTTAATGGTGGTTAATGGTGGTTAATGGTGGTTAATGGTGGTTAATGGTGGTTAATGGTGGTTAATGGTGGTTAATGGTGGTTAATGGTGGTTAATTAAATGGTGGTTAATGGTGGGTGGTTAATGGTGGTTAATGGTGGTTAATGGTGGTTAATGGTGATTTGGTGATTTAATGGTGGTTAATGGTGGTTAATGGTGGTTAATGGTGGTTAATGGTGATTAATGGTGATTTAATGGTGGTTAATGGTGGTTAATGGTGGTTAATGGTGATTAATGGTGATTTAATGGTGGTTAATGGTGGTTAATGGTGGTTAATGGTGGTTAATGGTGGTTAATGGTGGTTAATGGTGGTTAATGGTGGTTAATGGTGGTTAATGGCGGTTAATGGTGGTTAATGGCGGTTAATGGTGGTTAATGGTGGTTAATGGTGGTTAATGGTGGTTAATGGTGGTTAATGGTGCGGTTATGGTGGTTAATGGCGGTTAATGGTGGTAAATGGTGGTTAATGGTGGTTAATGGTGGTTAATGGTAATGGTGGTTAAGGTGGTTAATGGTGGTAATGGGTGGTATGGTGGTTAATGGTAATGGTGGTTAATGGTGGTTAATGGTGGTTAATGGTGGTTAATGGTGGTTAATGGTGGTTAATGGTGGTTAATGGTGGTTAATGGATATATATCTGGTTGGTGGTTGCTGCTAACCTCTCTGAAAAATATGAGTTCGTCAAATGGAAGTATTATATCCAATAAATGGAAAAATATAATTCATGTTCCAAACCACCAACCAGATATAATAGGAATATCATGCCAATATAATGGTAATATAGTAAGAAAAAAGTAGTAATATATAAAAGTAATGTAAAATATTGTAATATAAAAGTAAAATACCAATTAACTAGCCCATTTACAATAGTATTATACCAAATAGTAATGTAAAAGCGATATGATACCATTTCACTTGCAGGTAAACAACACGATGCGCTTTTGGCGCGCAATGTTGGACATGGAGGATTAAACCTCACTTGGTGACTTGATTTTAAGGTTGGGTTGCTGACCGGTTCCGCCGGTCATGTGTGGAGTGACCGCTCCGCTGCTGGGCAACAAAGGCGTCTTAACTACTTCACTTCAGTGAGGAGCAGGTTGACATCCGATACCAACAACAACAACAACAACCACAACAACCACAACAACATGTAGATATTATCATCTGGTATGGTTATACATTGCTATCAAGTCATGATTACAGCAAGTAATATCCTGACTGGGTACACAGCATAACAGTAATATGGTCTTATATTAGAATAGTTGGGAACGGCGCTGAGAGGCGCCTGGTGGTTTTAAGGGGGTTTGCGTGCACTTCTCCAATCATGCAGCCTTGCACGCCTGTTTTTTTTCACTTCCCAAAAACTAAACTACTTCAACCATGGAACAATTTCAGCGTAACATGAACATGAACGTTAACATCCCACCCCATCCCACCGCATCCCACCCCATGATCAACGTAACATCATCAGCGTAACATGAACATGAACATTAACATCCCACCCCATCCCACCCCATCCCACCCCATGATCAACGTAACATCATCAGCAAAACCTGAACATGAGCGTTAACATCCCACCCCGCCCCATGATCAACAAAACATCACCAGCGTAATATGAACATGAACGTTCACATCCCACCCCCCCAACCCATGATCAATGAAACATCATCAGCGCAACATGAAGGTTAGCATCCCACCCCACCCACCCTATGATCAACGTAACATTCATCAGCGCAACATGAACATGAAGGTAGATCCCACCCCAACCCACCTATGATCAACGTAACATCATCAGCGTAACATGAACATGAACGTTAACATCCCACCCTACCCCACCCCAACCAATCATCAAACAAAAACAGAAAAGGGCAAAAAAAACAACAAACAAACAAACAAACACCAAAAAGGCAACAAAACACCCAGGCGCCCTGCAGCGCCCATGGCGAATAGTTTTAAGTTTTGTAAGAGTAATAGTAATGTACAAGTCAGCTATGATATGCTGTACCCAGTTCGTAAACCAACAAGTTCGTAATATCATATCATATCAGCAAACTGGGTGCAAAAAAAAAAACGTAGTAAAATACCAGTTGCCTAAGCCAGTCACAATATTAATATACCAGTTAGATGGGCCATGGAGTTAGTTCACTGGTGAATTGCTGCCTATCCCCAAACAGAACTGGCGTAATCCCATCCGGTCATATCAAACACCCAGACACCATGTTTTAATATTAAGGATTTATACTTATTTGGGAACATTTAGGGAGTGTTCATATTGTTGGGCTGGGATTTCCCATGAACTTTCATAGAAATCGCTTAGTTCATTGCTTCAGATGGGCTTTTTGTATCGGTTTCTTGCTAGGTATCATCCAAGGCCATTGGCACTTAACTTTAGCCAGTTCATAAAATCCATGGCCCCAACGTGGGATATCACATCTGTCTATCCCATCAGTTGGCTAAGAATTGGGTTTATGATATGTCCATATTATTTTCCATGGAAAAGTGGTGAACAATCCATGAAATTCCCAACTAACTCATCTAACTCACATTCATATCATTCATGCAGGGGGTTCCTAAAATGGGGCTACCCCTTTATAGCTGGATGGTTTCCTGGAAATTCCCAAACAAAAAATAGCTGGGTGATCTGGGGGTAGCCCACTTAGGAAGCCCCCATTTTTAGTGGGATATTATTGGGATACTTTTGGTGGGAAACTGCTAAACCCCTATTGTGAATTCATCAGTCAACTGCTGGGATTCTATATATATATATATATATAATCGTGATTAATCGCGTGTACTTTCTTGCATTTTTCTTATCCACCAATTTTAACCAGGGTTGCCGGGTTGATGATGGCGGATTTATCGGATATAATAAGAGATACAGTTGTCTATGCTCCGGCATTAAGTTAGCAATGCCATGTCATGTCATGAAATACTGATTATAAGGTTTTCCAGGTCATGGATGATGAACAAAAAACACTATGTTGGATAGTACCCTCTACAATCATCGACTGACTATAGGGTTCTGAACACTGATCAAATAAAGACTTTACCAACCAAGATGGAGTTTTCTTTTTAACTAACCAACACAAAATAGCGGCACAAGACGTAACATCATGGGATATATGTAACCCATGATATGGAATTCAATGGATTTTACCCGCGAATAAAGGGTAACATGGGACATAGTGTCTTCCATATGGAATTATTTGATGCATCTTTGGTATCAATGTATGGTTTGCCCTATTTAAATTGCAATGTTGGGTGACAAATCCATACCCTCTGGTAATTTAACATAGCTATGGAAAATCAGCATGTTTTAATAGGTAAATCACCTATAAATGGCAATTTTCCATAGCAAACTGATGGTATCATATTGATATATTTGTACAATTCCAATGACATATCCCACAGAATTTCCCTCATAAGATGGCTAAATCTACCCCCATGCTGCCATTCGTAATTCATTTGCTAATTACCTATGTCCCCATGAACAAAAATCATGATAGCTAGCAAAACCACTAGCCAAATCCCACTTGAAATCCCACAATGGAATATTCGAGTCTACACCGCTACATCTTCATAAAATTGGTATATTTATATGTATATATATATAAACTATTATATACCACATGTTCATCAAATAAGCTTGATATGCCACTACATCTTCATAAAATGGATATAATTTATGTAGATCAGATACAACCAAACCAGATAGATAAACACCACTACATCTACATCTTCATAAAAGGCCGTAACTCTTATTGTGTTGCTAGATCCAAGAATTGTTTCCTCGCGCCTAGCGGTGGAGGTCGCCGTTGTCCCGTCGCCCTTTGGGGTCGCTAAAAACGTTGCCTCTGGCACCTTGGTGAGATGAACCGGTCATTTTTTATGGTGAATTTCATGAAATTGAATGGTGGTTGAATGGGGAAAACATGGTGATTTAGTGGTGATTGAATGGTGGTTGAATGGGAATTAATATGATTTCATGGGATTTAATGGACAAAGAATGGTGAACTCATGGAATGGGGACACAATGGTGATGTCATGGTCATGTCAGTCATGTCCTGGGATTCATAATGGTTATCATGGTGAAGCATTCATAATTGATACATGATATATGATATATCATGATATCATGTGTGCGAGCCACAGAAGATATTATATATATATATGGAGGTTTCTCACAAAGGGGGTACCGCAATAGCTGGATTGTTTGTATATAATAGAAAAACCACCGAAAACATGATGATTTGGGGGTCCCCCTGACTTAGGAAACCTCCATGTGTGACATGACCAAACAATATGTTCTGTCGGCAAAAGCTTCATCAAACTAATTACTTAGCAGCAAAGATATGTCATCTTCAACAAGCCTCGTGTCAGCGTTCAACCGTTCCATTTGGAGGTTTCTGGTCATGATAGCGGATGTCAAAACCTTCCATGTCAGGACTTCCGGTGAAAGTAACCCTCTCCGCACGGGGGCAAATTCGCGACAAAACCCTTTCCGCACGGTGAAAGACTCCTGTGCGGTTCCAAAATAGCACTGATCATTCTCTGACATGCCACAAGATACCCTCTGGTAAACGTTTACAGAAAACTATGGAAAGATCCACCATTTTTCATTGGTAAACCCACTATTTCGACTGGACCATCGCTTCCAGTTCGCTATATCTGTTAATTTACCAGATGGTAATTAAGGGGATTATCCATGGTTAGTGGGATAAGTTAGGCTTCATAGCTATTTTCAATAGCAAAACTGTTGACATAACCAGAGGGTACACAGTTTTGGAATCTGCCATGGATTCCCAGTGATTTCGGATCACGATATCGATGGAAAAAGGACCGACCGAGCGGATCCATAGCCATGGGACATGTCCCATGAAGTTCCGTTGGTAACCACGATTAGCATAAATGGTTACCATAAAGTTACCATAAATGGTTACCATCCATATGAGGTTACCATCCAGAAAAACTTCGTTTTGAGCTGGTTAGTCTATTGATCATTTGTCGTTTAGAAGAAAAACCCGTTTACCTATATCAAGCAAAGGTTCACCGAGTATATCAGTATATCACCCAAGAATGCGAAGAATCACAGAGCTGTCCCATGTTGCAATTTTCCTTGGCCAGTCATGCCAGTGGATCAACGATTTCAAACCAAAAATAGAGGATATCAACAGATATCAACAGATATCAACCTGCTTGGTGGTTTCAACCCCTCTGAAAAATGATGGACTTCGTGAATTGGGATCATGAAATTCCCAAAACTCATGGGAAAGAAACAACAAAATCATGTTCCAAACCAACCAGCAACAAATATCAACAGATCCCAAATTCCTCTTCCCCACGATTTCAACAGAGGCCTCACCAAATGCACTCGGACTGGGACGGACTGGGTTTCCAAACCACACCAGCCAGCCTGTGGCGACAATATATCTTTCCTGCATAACATAAGCTAAGTTGAAACATGGAGTAGACCATATTAATGAATATTAATAAAAAAAATGGTTCATGATGGTTAATATATGGTTAATATTAATGGTTATTATATGGTTAATGATGGTTAATAATCATCTGGTTGGTGGTTGACCTACCCCTCTGAAAAATGATGGAGTTCGTCAATGGTTGGCGGATGACATCCCAGTGATCAAAAAAAAAATCCGCGAAAGCGGAGTGCTTCGGGACACAACCAGAATTTGGAGATGAAATTGGTAAAGCCCCCCAAAAAAAAGGGTTTTCACTAAAATGGTACCCCCAAATCATCCAAATGTATATTAAGACCATTCTATAGTATTCTACAGTAGTATACAAGAAGTGATAGAACTGGCTATTTGTTTGAACGGGTCAAGCATTTGGGACGCTTCTTTCAACAGAATTCATACTTGAAAAAAAAGATAGAACAGTAATTCACAACCAAAAATCACTAAATTCTACTGGGATATTATTTTAATATAGGATTTGACTATGGTATCTGTACATACATACATATATATATATATTATTATATCAGATGTATATATATATATATATATATATTATTATATATATATGTATATATTATTATATATATATTATTATATATATTATATTATATATATATTATATTATATATATTATATATATATTATAATATATATATATATATATATTATATTATATTATGTATATATATAATATGATATATTATATTATATATTATATTATATATATATGCCTTCGGAGGTTACATTATATAGGCACAAACAGCATGAAGCAACTGCCAAGTCCAAGTCCCAGCTCCTTTCCGGAAGCCGATCTAAGGGATGAGTCAAAGTCGCTGAGGCACTACGCTTGATGATGGGGTTTGGTGAGATGAAATGGAGAAATACATAGAAATACCTGGTTAATAATGGTGAATAATGGATCATAACGATTCACCATTATTAACCAGGTATTTCACCATTATACCTGGTGAATTATCACAATTGGTTAATAATTGAAATACCTGGTTAATAATGGTGAATAATGGTGAATTGATACCCTATGGATCCAGGAAGTGTTTGGGGTATAATTTACTATAATTTGGAGGGTTAAGACTATAATTATCCATAAGGATAATAATGTGTTCACGATGATGTTCATGGGATATCTAATGGGATGTTCGGATGTACCCTCTGGTAATGGAACATAGCAATGGACCAAACATGAACAAACTGACAATCACAACCCGCCATTTAGTTCGATGATTTCCCAAGGGAACTAAACCTCCGGGAACCTCCGTTGAGTTCGGGGATTTCCCAGCTAGCCTTGTTTGATGGAGGGGAAACCCAACAAGAAAAGCTAAGTCCTTGGCAAATCTCGGCAACAGTTTGTTTCCCCAGAGAGTTGCCGCTACCCAAACACTGGACATCTCCGAAAACACTGGATGTGTCACAGTTTTTTTTCCTTCATCCATAAGGTGCTAGTTCGACTCAAACAAAAACACTCAAGGAAAATCTGCACCAACAATTCTGACATTCATTCCGTCCGCATGACAGGTCCCGTGGCCCACGACGTCTCGGACGAGACACTTATCGTCGGGAGCAACTGCCTCGGGACAAAAATGGTCAACAAAATGGGATCTGATTGGCTGAGCATTTCTTGTGGCTAACCATCTACCCTCTGGTAAACTAACAGTTTGCTATGGAAATCACCATCTTTAATAGGTAAATCAACTGTAAATGGGCCATTTTCATAGCTATGAAATTACCATTTCGGGTATCGTGTTTTTGTTAAAACATTCTAAGCTTTCCAACGCAGCCATCAACACAACCAGGAAGTTTTAAGGATGAAGGTCTCGCAGGCTCCAACTCATTAGTCGCCATCAATATATCATTCAATGAACATATCATATGTATCTGGTTGGTGGTATACCTACTCCTCTGAAAAACATAAAAGTCAGTTGGGATGATTATTCCCAATATATGGACAAATAAAATTCATGTTCCAAACCACCAACCAGTATATACCAGGATATACAAACGGGTCTCAATTAGGCACCCTTTAAGGGGGGTAACCATTAGGCACCCCTTAATTTTTAAGGTTCCAAACTAACAGATAATGAGGTATTCATAGTAATACGTGCATTTTTCTTTGATTTCCCCACGTTTGCTTCCAGAAATGCGTGTCATTTCGTGTGGTGGGATTGGAAGATTTTGGGTTGGAACTCATCATTTTCTGGTGTGCCATCTCCATGAACGCTAAGGGGTGTCCATTAGGCACCCCTTTGAACGTGCTGGTATATAATTATATATATATATATATCATCTCTCTCTCTCTCTTCATCATCATATCTCCGCATGAACAGCAAAAATTGGGCTTTCTGATGGTTTCCATGGAAAATTCCCTCTTTTAAAAAATGGATGACTGGGGGGTACCACTGCTACCCGCAACGGGCATCCTCTGGGTGATCCCAACAGCTGTCATGGCGTTGTCGGCGATCAAAACTTATGGTGCTGGGACGATGGTCAGAAGGGACCATGATTTAAAAATGAACTGAAATGATAAATATAAATAAGAAACCACGATATTGTTGATAAACTCCATAGTTTCTTGGGACTTGAACAAAAGAACTCTATATAAAATTTCATGTTGAAATTCATTCGATTAGTGATGTCCTGAAGTCGTATGCCCGGTTTCAACTGACCTAAAACGGGCCTAGATCTGACATGTCATCCGCATCTTCTGTGGCCATGTGTTCATGTAAACGCTGCGGAGGCACATTTCAGGGTTCTCCCACGATGGGATCAAAAAAGGGTACTGGACCCAGTGGACCCACTCAAAATACGTAGCTTTGAGGTTTTTTGCCCGCGCCGTCTTTTGTCGGTAAAAAACAATAAAAAACATGCGCCAAACTGCTCCATGTGGATTGTACCACCTAAACGATTACCACCGATAGCTGGAAACCTGCCGCAGGTTTTCACGCCATTTTCGCCGCAAGGCAGCTGGCGATCTGAGCGGCAGGTGGAATTGGGATAAAATGATGGACTGGTTGGTGGTTGGTTTCTACCCCCCCTGAAAAATGATGGACAACTCGTCAGTTGGGAGGATTATTCCATTCCCAACTGAATGGAAAGTCATAATCCAGCCCTGTTCCCAACCACCAACCAGTGGAAAGTGTACACTTTGAGAAGTTGGATAGACATGAATGTATACAAGGAATGTGCACGCCCCAAGTTCAATTCTGTTTCATTGTTTTGTGCGGCTTTAGTCTGGAAGAGTTCTGGCAGAAACAGTGGCAACCAAAGCATTCTTTGGTTGCCTTTGGTTGGAAACAGAATCCCATAGCAGTTCCACTCCTTTATCCAGAACATTCTATCTCTTTCTCACCATAAACCATGTCTAAGCGGAAAAAATCGAGCTCTCCAGCTCTGACTCCAGAAGACACCAACATGGCGCAGCTGAAAGTCACTGTTACTGTACAAACTGGTTATCAAATTGGCAAAGCAATGTCAATCTCCGCGTTACATGCAAACAAATCGCCCTATTCGTATGGGCATTGGACTATTTTGCCAATTGTAAATCGACCCATTGGCATACCAAAGAAATTCAAGCGTATCTCATCTAAATCCACATGTATATAACCCATACACATGTGTATAATAAACATTACAACTTTTAACCCATGTAGAATTGGACACATACAACAGACCGCTAGACACTGCCAGAACTAGCAAAGTGGCAGTATGTTGGTTGTAACCCAACAGAAATCAGGCGTACTGACTGATTTTCTTAGAGTTCCTAACCAGAACTCCGGATTGGTCAGAAAAAAAATATAGGAATAAAAACCAGCATCCCATGGTTCCCCTTTGGTAGTTGAACAGTTTGCTATGGAAAATCACAATTTTTCATTGGTATATCAACTATAAATGGCAAATTTCAATAGCTATATCATGCTATATCTTAAATTCCCAGAGGGTAACCATGAAGTTTCCCCCATCATTTCGCAGCTCGCAGCTCGCAGCTCGCCTTGGGCGTCACGAGGCCTCGGCCTCCCCGAAAGCTTCGCAGAGTTTCTCCGTGAAGTCCAGGACTTTTTTGCAGAGGCGCTCGCGCACCTCGAAAGGATGGGAGATGGTCATCTGATGCAGAGGAAATTTGGTAAACGATGGAAAGAAACAGGTAATCTCCAATCTCAGGACAAAACAACTTCCAAAATTTCCAAATGTTGATTGGGAAGTTATAGGAAATATATCTCTATGAATTTGGAATCCAAAAAAAACTCAGGACATATCATGAAAGATCCCTATGAATTTGGTATCTAAAACCTATATGAGTGCAGATATGTCTATGCCCAATGAGCTATCCAACTTTCGACAATGACACATCTGGTTTCAAAGGGGTCCTGGGGGGAAATTGTGATTTCTTGGTTTCTCGTGATCATGTTAATATGGTGTCTTTGTTTAACAACTAAATAGAGTGCCCCCCTAATTTGACGATTTACTATGTGTGTTCTCATTTAAATATGGTGATTTTTGTTGGTGTTTTTTTCGGCGCACTCATGTTAATTATATAAGGGGCTGTCGACAGTGTCAGTGTTGAAGAATCAAATCTAGGACAGGGATCCATGGAAGTCCTCGACCTCTGACCTGAACCAGCGATGTTGTCCTGGAAGATATTACCCTCTGGTTATGACTAACACTTTGCCATGGAAAATTGCTGGCCCATAGAAATAGATGATTTTCCCAGCGTTTCCCAGCTATAAACCTCCATTTATTTTGGGGATTTTCCAGTTCGCTATGTTAGTCATAACCATATATGGCCATATATGGCAAAAGATTCTATAAAAGTCATTGGATGTCATTGGGTTGGTGGAAGCGTAGAGGATTTCCTCTGTCACGATTTCCCACGGACACCAGGTTTCTGAAGCACATGTCCCGAATTTCGGAAGTCATAGGGATCAAAAATTGATTGAACCCTCTCAAAGCAAGTCCAACATCCTCCATGAGGATTGGACTATTTCATAAATTTCCTATCATGAGGATTGGGCCCCCCAAATAACCACGTTGACTAAGGGCGAATGAGCCATCTATTGTCGCGAGGATCACTTTTGGGTGGGTTGAATGAATCTCCATAATACGCACCAACTGCTGCTCACCAATAATTTGGCAAGCAAACCAAACATGGATGTCCTATTGAAAACCGAAAACCTGATGTGTTTTTTTGGTTCCCAACACCATGTTTCATTTAAACAAAACACCCAAGTTTGCTCCCAACCCCAAAGCCGGGGAGAAGTTGGCCCAACTGAGACATGTGGTAAATCAAGATTTGCCCTTGAGGCTGGTAATCAGGGTCTCACGCCGAGCCCTTAAACAAAGCCACTCACCATTCAGTAAGAATGCTGGTTCCATAAATATATGTTTCAATCAATGGATTGGTGTCAGGGAAAATCTTAACGGGAAACCATCGATTTTCCCATTAAATTTTGGGTTTTCCTCGAAATTGTCCCGTAGACCAATCCATCGAGATTAACATTCATTAACTCTATAGTTACCCTCTGGTGATTTGTTACATAGCCATGGAACATCACCATTTTTAAGTTCGGTAAACCATCTATTTCGATTGGGGCCATCTATACCATGGCTATGTAACAAATTACCAGATGGTTTTCCCATTTATAGATGATTCTCCCAGCTATAAACCTCCATTTATGAGGGATTTTCATTACCAAGGGAAATATCCCCAATAAACAATAAAATTCACCAAAGGATGAGATCAAACATGGTCAAACTGCGCCTGTTTTCGATGTTTCATGAGGTGCGACTCGGCGATCGAACATCGCTTCGTGTCCTTTCAAAAAGGGCCATGAATAAATGGCTGGGAAAGCGATGTAGAAACTGGGTGTCTACAAACATTTTGTACATATAGTGTGTATAATTGCGTATATATATATATACACATATGTATTATATATATATATGTATTATATATATATATGTATATGTATGTATGCTTCGTGTTTCCTTTACCTGTGCATTTCATCTACATCTTTCACATCCAAAAATCTGTGTTTCATTCCGCTTGCGGCGGAAACTTCACCAAGGCCTTTCTGGTAATCTCGGTGGTTGACGGCCTTTTCTGACCAAAACAATGTTTCAAACGTGAACGAATTTCAGAAGTCAAAACAACTAGATTGAACACATTGGGCTATTGGTGGTGAGAGGATAGCAATATATACATATACATGTATATATATATATATATATTTATACGATTTTATACGTACATATTGCCTTATATTGCCATTGGAAGATCAACTTTGCTACCAGTGCTTTTTAATCCGTTTCTGAAAGCTTGACAAATCGACAAGGCTCAACATCCTTTCGCCGCTCGCCAAATGATCAACTGCGGCTGCTGAAGTCGGCTATGCTTAATGTTGACACCACATGCAGGGCAATGAAAACAAATCCTCTTTACCACTTATCCCAATATCGGAATGGTAAAACCTTAACATATCTCCTTTTTGTATGAGATCTACCCTCTGGTATATTAACATAACTTTGGAAAATCACTTTTTTTGAAAGGTAAAGCATCTACAAATGATCATGTTCAATAGCTATGTGAAATTATCAGATCTCAGAGGGTATATCAAACATTGCCATTATATCCCACTACAGTATATCCCATATAAAACCACCACTGTTGTTGCTTAAATCCATATGTTTGATGGTAAACTATTAATATGAACCCATATAAAAAACAATACCTGAAAGGACAAACATCCCATGCATGGAAAACCAGCACTGTTAAATCCATATGGTTCTTGGTAAATCATACAAGGTGGTGCCCACTAGTTCGATATATCACCTATAAACATCTATAAACCATAGTTACTCATAGTTATTAGAGTTATGTTCACCAACTTAGCTATCTTGGGGGCACCACCTTGTACATTTAACCCATCCATCTTTCCAACAAAAGCCACGTCCTCAAAGGTCAAGTTGATCGTCATGCTCTCCCCAGGTTCCTGGACCACCGCGGACCACCGGACAAAGGGCACCACAAGAATCAAATGGGAAATCATGGGGATTGAAACAACAATAATGGAATCATATGTATATACATATATACATAATATATATATATACGTAATATATATATATATATATATATACATATATACATGATATATATATATATATACATAATATATATGTATATACATAATATATGTATATATATACATAATATATATATACATACATAATATATATATATATACACATATATATATAATGCATATATGTATACATATATTATGTATATACATATATATTTCATGTATATATATATATATATGTATATATGTATGTATAATTGTGTATATATATAGGGAATATCATGGGAATGTTATATATGAATATAACCAGCAATGTTGATTTTTGGGGGTTTGATAGGATATCATGGGGATTGACCCTCTGGTAGTTGAACGCATGGTATAGAATGGTTCATTTAGTTCGATCATTGGCCTATTGAAAATCGGGATATTCCACAATTGTGTTTAATTACCAAAGGACATTCACCAACAAAAATCATATGGGAAGATCTCAAATAATTTCGCACGCTCCCACATATGGAACTCTGTTGGTGCTTGAGCCAGCTATAGCGAAGGTGGTATCATAGGGATATCAATGCATTGGTGGTTTAAACATGTCCCAACATGTTTCAACCCATCTCAAGAGTATGAAAGTGGGATAGTCACCCCATGGGCGGTTGACTAAAAAAACAAACACGACCTTAATCCATTGGTTGTGAACAAACATGAGGATCTACCCACGTGTTGAGCTGATTGGTGATTGAACCAAGAGTTCCAAAACTAACATCCATGAGTGTGTTCAAGCCTTCATTGTCGTTCAAATCACCATGTTTGATTTTCTCATTGCCCCCTTCTGTTGGTGAAATATCCCTTTTTGCTCACATCTCCCTTTTTTCGGTGGAAAAAAACAAACATGTTCTTTATCGATGGAATCGCATCAAGTATATCAACTCAAATCCCATGAACTCTCAAATCGAAATCTCATTTTTCGCCCCCAAAATCTTTCACCCAAAATCCCGACAAAATTTTCCAGATTTTTCCGGACGTCAACAGCTCCTCCAGATTCTTGGCTTTCAAACACAACTGCCTCGGATCGGAGCAGTCCAAGGGCTCCACATATCCTCGGAAGCGGGTCGAGCGGTAGTCGATTTCTACGAGGAAACAGGGCTATTGTACCCTCTGGTTATGTCAAAATAGCTATTGAAAATGGCCATAGAAATAGTGGATTTAGCCAGCTAGAAAATGGTGTAAACTAAGAGTTTGCTATTGAAAAATGGCCATCTATAGTGAGTTTACCCATTGAACATGGTGATTTTCCATAGTTATGTAAACGTTTACCAGAGAGTAATCCCCCTAAATTGTGTTAACAACACCAGACATGTCTTGATTTGCGGGTGGGGCTGCCAGGAGCTAGCATGAACATCCGCTAGCCACAAAATCATGCAAAATCCATCAAAATCCGTACAGAAACATACCTAGACTGTGAATCCACCAATAAAGACATGTATATTACCCGAATATGTAACCTCCTTATTAACCATGTATAAACGTGTCTATTTTCAACCATAATATTAACTGACATGATATGATGTTAACTAAGTTACAAGAAGATGGTAAAGATAGATGATGCCCATGTGGTGCTCGACCAGCGAGGTCACTTTTTGTGAAACCCCCGAACCGTTCCCTGTTTGCGGTTGACAAAAAAATGTTTTATTTTCAAAAAATGGAATACCTTAAAAATGCTAAAACATAATAGATATTTAAAAATAGATAGCCTAGTCTGACTCATCAGTTCTATCATCATGCTCTAATTTTATCATCATTTTCCCACAACAACTCCCGCGCATATACCCATTTCCATCCATCGCAAGCCACGCGGCGTAAAGGCACCAGGGTCTTCACCACGGCGTAGCCAGGGGTCAGGATGTCGGGTTGCACCAAGAGTAGCCTACTAAAACAAAAAAAACAATGCTGGCTGAGACAAACTCATGATGATTATGTCTATAAACAAATAAATACATACATAAATAAATAAACATATACACATTATATATATATATATATAAATGTGTATATATATATATATATACTTATACAAATATTAATATACAAATATTAATATACATATGTATATATGTATATATACGTATATAAATATATATATATATATATATATATGTATTTTCTTGAGGCATCATTAGATTCGCCGTTTTTTGTTGAACAAATGTTGGATTGGTGGGGTGATCGTCTGGAATGTTGTGGATTTTGGATATATCGTGATGATAGGTGATGATACGTTATGTTTTGTTCTACATATGTCGGTATTTAGTAAATGATGTTCTACATTTTTCTACATATTTCGTGATTTTTTGTTTCAGATTTTCTATGTGTGAATTCAATTGTTTCGGTATTTGGATTACTGACTATTGTCATGACGATCATATTGCCATCATGAAAAAACGACTACGGTTAATCAATGATGACAAACAAACTGACGATGATGGCAACCATGGTGGTGATGATGATGATGATGATGCTGATGATGATGAGATGATGATGGTGATGCTGAAACTGCTAGCATCTCCAAACTAAGCACAGAAACAAAGTGGTACACGCATGAAAGTACCTGACATCATGGATTTTCCTGGCTGTTTACCCTGGTTTCGTTGGTCACTGTGCCACCAAGACACAAATAGTGATGCAGAATCATGTAGCGCGAGTGCCTGGAAAGGATCCCACCAATCAGTGGCTGTACCTTTAGTGTGGACCCAAAAGTATTACCCTCTGGTTATGACTAACATAGCCATGGAAAATGGCCCATTTATAGATGGTTTACCTGGGTTTACCTATTAAAACTGGTGATTTTCCATGGTTATGTTGAATAACCAGAGTGTATGTTCTATAAAGTATAGGTGATATCCCAAAATAGATGGAACATGATGGAAACATGATGGAAACATGTTTCCAGCCAAAATGTAATTTCAATTCATTCTGAATCTGTTGCTAAGACCATGTTCGTTTGCCTAAATCCACACATTCCTAGTGGTCAGATCACCTTTTTTTGAACATTTTTGTGGTTTAGATCCACATGTTTGTTGCTTCAGCCACCATTTTTGCTGCTTAAGACGACCTTTTTGTCGCCCGAAGAATGCACCATTTTTCCCTGGTGAAATCGTCCGCGCCTGCCCTCCGGCGTGACGATTCCACAGACGATGCGGTCCATGCGGCCCAGTTGGAAGGAGTTGCCTGACGATTTTTCCCTTGTTGATTACTATGGATACTATGGATTGCATCATAGGAATTAAGTTAGTAATTGATTGTAATTGTTGATTACTCTGGATGAACTCATCAACTTTATTGCAATGTTCCGAACATTTTCGGATTTGCATCATTCCGATCATGGGAACATGGGAATAACGGTGATAAAGCAATAGTAAGCCACCCATATGATGATGGTTTACTATTTTCGGATTTTAATAATTTGATCGAGATAGGATTTAGCCGCTTATTTTTTCATTATTCAAACTAAATATTCCAATCAATAATTGAACTCCATGACAAGGGTACGACCAGTTAATTCGAATAATGATGCAAAAAAGAGAACATGATTTGGAATCAATGGTGATGGAACCAGTTGATATTTTCTATTCCATTATTCAAAACTAAATTGACCAACTATTATATGTATATATATATCCAAATGTAAACATGTAAATTTATCAACGTTAATCCATGGGATGTTCCACGGGATAGTCAAAGGCGTTCTTTTGATGGGGATAATCCACAACGGGATGCAGGTGGATACAGTGGGGATGCATTGGGGCAACAATATCAACTGGTTATATCCCTATTGTGTCCATTGGTAGCCACCGAATGACGTGCACAATTTTGCATCAATATCCCCCTTTTTTTTGCCAATATATCCCACCAAAGCGATGTTTGTGAAGTATAAAGCTTAGGGATTTAGCCATGATGGCGGGATATAACTGCGATATACCAAAGTTTGTGGGTAGAAAACAAAACTACTCATGGTTCCTTCATTTACCTAAACACCGGCCATCCACTGCACAAATGCTGAGATGTTGATATTTCAACTCAAACCCAATCAAACCCTCATTTTTGATAAACACCTGAATGGGGCCCATTATCTGAAACGAAATTACATAATTTCATATGTATTCATTGAAATACCATGTGAACCGGACTTGTTCAATGAATACACACAGGAGACAAAACCCTGAAAACCACCTCCCAAGGTATTGAACTCTTCCTCCGGAATCTGCAAAGGCGACTCAGATCCTTGGGGAAGTAAACTGGGAAAGGGATGGTTGGGTAACAAACACTAGTAGCTGGTCAATACATGTAAATATATGAAGGTTGTATCATTTTTTTCAGGTAAACTCTGCACTTTTGATTTTAGCCCAAGAAAGCATGTACAAATTCGCTAGAATCAAGCAGGAGTTGGTAGAGGTACTACCTACCTAACTATCATGCACATGCTACCCTGCGGCAGTCTAACCTGACAAATTCCACTATGTTGTGGGGAAAAAAGGATGTTCAAGCACACCAGGTTACTGTGCCAAGGGGTCACCATGTATAGAATAAATAAAACGATGAACAAGTCAAAAAATAACAAATAAAAATAACTAAATAAATAAATAAATACACTAAATACAAATAAATAATGAATAAAAACACAAATAAACATATAATATATAAATATAAATATATTATACATATACATATGTATATATAAATATGTGCAGTATGTAATATATATCTATATACACATATATATATATATATATGTATCGAAAGTAGCGAGGGAAGTTAAAGATAAATGATGATTTATTTTTGGGCCAAACAGACTTAAAACCCTAAAACTGTGGCAAAAGGGGCGATGAAACCCTTGACAGAGGGGCCGGCGAAACTGAGGAAACCCAATTTCTCTGGTCTTGTGGGCGGCAAACTTAGTGGCAGAACCTGTGGTTAACTTAGTGGCAAGCGGTATGACGAAGTATGCGATTTACAATGAGGGACAAACAAACTTAGGGGCAAGAAATCCTATTAAATCACCATTAAAACCATCAAAAACCCATTAATTAAGTCTCATTAAAGTGTCCCATTAAAACCATTCAAAAGCCCATGAACCAATAAAAACCGCCATTAAAACCATTAAAGTCCCATTAAAGTCCCATTAAAACCACCATTCAAAAGCCCTTTCAACTGGGAGAAATCTCATCCAGGTGCCACTCAACGGGGTCAGCGCCGAATCGATGATGCCGCCGCCCTCGGCGCCCGTCGCCACGGGCGCAGCGGCCCGGTAGCCGCCGTGGCGCGGCGAACCGCCGCCCTCGGAAAGGTCGCTGTGGAAACGTCGGAGCATCAGCATCACCTGGGAGTCATGGAAAGATCCACCAGTTTTAATAGAAAAATCACCATTTTTAATAGGTAAAGCCAGGTAAACCATCTATTTCTATGGGCCATCTATACCAGGCAAATTACCAGAGGGTACGGGACTATACGCAAATCAACGATTTCTATGGGTGATTTCTATGGGTTATGTTCAATATGTCCGAGGGTAATGGGATTATGTTCAATGGCAAACTGTAACAAATTACCAGAGGGTATGGGATTATAGGTAAATCAACGATTTCTATGGGTGATTTCTGTGGGTTATGTTCAATATGTCTGAGGGTAGTGGGATTATGTTCAATGGCAAACTGTAACAAATTACCAGAGGGTATGGGATTATAGGTAAATCAACGATTTCTATGGGTGATTTCTGTGGGTTATGTTCAATATGTCTGAGGGTAATGGGATTATGTTCAATGGCAAACTGTAACAAATTACCAGAGGGCATGGGATTATAGGTAAATCAACGATTTCTATGGGTGATTTCTATGGGTTATGTTCAATATGTCTGAGGGTAGTGGGATTATGTTCAATGGCAAACTGTAACAAATTACCAGAGGGTATGGGATTATAGGTAAATCAACGATTTCTATGGGTGATTTCTATGGGTTATGTTCAATATGTCTGAGGGTAATGGGATTATGTTCAATGGCAAACTGTAACAAATTACCAGAGGGTATGGGATTATAGGTAAATCAACGATTTCTATGGGTGATTTCTATGGGTTATGTTCAATATGTCTGAGGGTAGTGGGATTATGTTCAATGGCAAACTGTAACAAATTACCAGAGGGCATGGGATTATAGGTAAATCAACGATTTCTATGGGTGATTTCTATGGGTTATGTTCAATATGTCTGAGGGTAGTGGGATTATGTTCAATGGCAAACTGTAACAAATTACCAGAGGGCATGGGATTATAGGTAAATCAACGATTTCTATGGGTGATTTCTATGGGTTATGTTCAATATGTCTGAGGGTAATGGGATTATGTTCAATGGCAAACTGTAACAAATTACCAGAGGGTATGGGATTATAGGTAAATCAACGATTTCTATGGGTGATTTCTATGGGTTATGTTCAATATGTCTGAGGGTAATGGGATTATGTTCAATGGCAAACTGTAACAAATTACCAGAGGGTATGGGATTATAGGTAAATCAACGATTTCTATGGGTGATTTCTGTGGGTTATGTTCAATATGTCTGAGGGTAATGGGATTATGTTCAATGGCAAACTGTAACAAATTACCAGAGGGCATGGGATTATAGGTAAATCAACGATTTCTATGGGTGATTTCTGTGGGTTATGTTCAATATGTCTGAGGGTAATCGGATTATGTTCAATGGCAAACTGTAACAAATTACCAGAGGGCATGGGATTATAGGTAAATCAACGATTTCTATGGGTGATTTCTATGGGTTATGTTCAATATGTCTGAGGGTAATGGGATTATGTTCAATGGCAAACTGTAACAAATTACCAGAGGGTATGGGATTATAGGTAAATCAACGATTTCTATGGGTGATTTCTATGGGTTATGTTCAATATGTCTGAGGGTAATCGGATTATGTTCAATGGCAAACTGTAACAAATTACCAGAGGGTATGGGATTATAGGTAAATCAACGATTTCCATGGGTGATTGAAAAAATGGCAAAGTGTAACAAAATAGAGTTTTGATGGGTTTTGGCATGCTATGGATGTTGATGGGATAGTTTTCTGGTTAAACCAAAGCATCTTATAGCAACTAAATACCATCTAAAAAACCATCATCACCAGATATCGCGTTAGGATTACACAAGATTTTTTTCAGTACAGAAACCCTCTGGTGAAATGTGACATACGGAAGTTCTGGCCCATTTCCAGATGGTCTTCCCAGCGAACTAAACCTCCATTGATAATGAATTTGCCATAGCTACCATCTGGTTATTTAACATAGCCATGGAACATGGCCCATTTATAGATGGTTTACCTATTAAAAATGGTGATTTTCCATGGCTATGTTAAATAACCAGACGGTATGTTAAATAACCAGAGGGCAACAATTATGTTGGAGACTCAAAAGAGTCAAAACAGTCAAAACAGTCAAAAGCATCAAGGGATTTCGCCATCAAGAATTGAGGAAGCCCCGCTGATTCAAACAACATGGGGATGGATGATGATCTTTGACGAAAACTGGTTCTATGTATGTAAAAAATCAAACATGAGGATCAATTATTGGATCACATAGTGGGAAAACTTTTTTGGGATGGCGGGACTTGTGATGATATAAAAATATGGGGTGACTTGTTGGGATGATATTGTGTTGGGGATATCAGTGTTGATATAGCTCTCTCTCTCTATATATATATATATACATGAATAATGGTATGATATAGGATAATTATTGGCAAATCAGTTATGGCACAGGGAGTGGATGAGACATCCATGACAAGTGGATGATGAATGATACTGGTGATCCCCACCCCGACAAGTTCGTCTGACATAATTTCTGGCATATCATCTGAAAATTATATAAATGACATATATATATATGTTCCGACATTGTATAGTCTGACATCTTCTCTGACATTCTTTGTGACATTTTTTCTGGTTTTTCCTCTAACATTCTTTCTTGCTATCTGACATACATTCCGACAGACCCTCACCTGACGGGGAACAAGTGATGAGATAAGTGGATCACCTCTTTTTTTGATAACAATAGATGTATGATTCAAACATGATAAGGGTATAATAATTCAGAATATAAATGAATATATTATATAATGGATGATAACATATGGTATCTACAGTACTAACAAAACTCTGTGCTTTTGCCAAACAACATCTTCATAACATGGGAACAACTTTCATCACCTAATCAGTGCATCACAAAGTGAGCACCAAAACAATCTGGTTCCGATGCCCCTAAAACCGGCTGTAGTTCAACCCGAAACCAATCCCCCTCATGCTTCCCGAACATGATCTGGCCATGTTGCACGTACGGCTTTGAAGGCCTGTTGGCTATCCTGGGAAGGTGACCAATCACCGATTTTGGGAGAATAATGTAGTTGTGCTGTTGTGTATTCATAATATACTGTACCATACTAAACATCAACAGACCCCGAGGTTTGCCAAAGAACAGAATATAACGACCAATGATACCTAGCTCAAACAAAAGAGATGAAATTGCGTTGACGACGAGGCTTCCTATGGTGTCCATGAGATATGAAATCTCACAGCACCATATAATTTCTTTCAGGAATTCCAGAGAAATAAGATCTCTCACCCCTGTGGAACAATTGACCATGTCAAATCAGTATGTTGTTAAAGGTTTTTTCGGATATACATATGTTTAATTTACATAGAAATAATATCCGACCACCATGAAATAACTAACCATGCAATGTTATTCTTCATGATGACGATGATGATGATGATGATCATCATCATCATCATCATCATCGTCCGGGTTTGCCCGGACGCTCGTTAACCTAAGGGTCTTGCTGTAAATATCATCATGTATAAATCATATGATATACAGTACTGAAAAAAAACATATGTATGTATATATCTGAAATCATTTTATCAATGCCATGCTACAGAATGGGCTTTGGGCTGGTCCCCGAGTTTTAATCAGTTAGGCTCCACATGTGCCCCATGATCCCCATGAAAATGTCAATTTTGGCACCCCATCTTCACACACACCATGACACACCCAAATCATGCTGTACAGTATGTATGTGACGGTTTGTCAAAATGTCTGTTCCCAGTTTTGTTGATAAATCGCAATTCCATGCGTGCCGCCTCATGTTTGCCTTTAAAAAACATGACCTACCTTGATGACGTGAAAACGTGGAAATTCTTCGTTACCTTTGGAAATCTTTCTAGAACCACAGGGGTCGGCGAACGCACGTCGGTTTTCATTCGCTGTCGCTGGTACTATCTCCTGAACTGTGTGTCTCTGCGTGTGTGCCTCTCTGAATGCAATATGCTTCTTGACATGCCTGCTGATCAACGCTGTTTCCTTACTGTAAGCTACCAAAGCGTGAACATGGCTGTGCCTCTGAATGGGCTGCTGGTGGACCGGGGCATGTATTTGCAATTTTCGCTAGCGCGTTGCTAGCGGCGATCTAGCGCGTAAAATACGTAAAAAATCGCAAATTTGGGAATATGTGGAAACTGACAGACTTGTAAGAAAAGCTGGCAAGACATTCACGACATGGAGGCCATGGTTGTCAATCAAACCTAGCGCAAACCTAGCGGGTTTGCTAGCGCTGCCTTGCAGAATTGCTGAATTTAGTTGCGTGCCGCCTCATAACGAAGAGGAAAAAACAGTAGACCCAGATGAATTATCAACAACCAATACTAAACTTCTAAACAACTATTTTTGACAAATGGTCATGTGTATATATATATATATATATATCATCCTATTGTACCCTCATCGTTATTGGTTGAATCTCATGTTTGCTGGCAAATTCCCTCATTCTCAGAGCTTTCTCCCAACAACAACTCCGGAAAGCCATATAGTTTCAGCACCCATATCCCAATCATAGGCAAATTATCACCCCACATGGTGATACAATGTGGCCCCCCCGTTTACGATAGCTAATTAAGTTGCTGCACATAACTCCCATTTCACTATGGTTTATGATACCTAGAAAACGAACTAGTATTCATGGGGTTTATAAACCAACATTCACATCACTGGGGGGGCGAGCCCAATGTAGGGATATGATAGGGATATCATTGGGATACAATTGGGATATACCTATGTATACCTATGTTATATATTATAAACCAACTAACTGGGGGGGCTCACAATGTAGGCAACGGTTCCCGTAACCTCCCACGCTGCATCCCCTGGTGCCACGCCCAGGCGTCCGACTCGGCCGCGGATTTCTCCGTGGCCAAACTCAGTGTGGCTTTGCAGAGCTCGGGCAGAGGAGCCGCTTCCTGGGATGGCAGTCACCAGTGCAGCGTTCGATTCGTTCATATAGAACTGTGGTTGGTATATAAATGTGAATATATAATATATATATATATATTATAATACTATGTATATATATATATCAATATGTATAGTATCTTGAAGTATCTACAAGATTCTATAAGTATCTTCAATGATCTTTCAGTGTCTATCAGTATAATATTGAAGTTGTCGTTACTGGAAATATTCATTTCATCTATATGATTTACTCAGGATCTATGGAATGTCGCTTTTATTGGGATTTTTGTGGGGGGTGATCCCCAGTGGGTTAACTCACCATTTTTAAGTTCGGTAAACCATCTATTTCTATGGGCCATCGAAATACCATGGCGAACTGTTAAATAACCAGAGGGTAGGTTATCTTTGCCGTAGAAACGTTGATTTTTGGGCCACTGAGAGAATAGAAATCCAAAGATGAAGGGGGATGAATGGGGGTGGGAACATTGGGATATTCGGATATGCTGTATATTTAAATATTTTTTTCATGGGGATATAATGGGTAAATTATGATCCGTATATTTCCTATGTGCAAAACAATGAGAATGAATGGGCAAGACTGGGAAGTGATGATTGATGGGAATCAATGGGTCTATAATTGAAATACTATTGGGACATATTGGCTTTATCAAGGGGAGCATTGAGGGATCACATATGGTCTTTATCGTGGGTGGTTTCGATATGTTGACGAATACGCCCAACCATTGCACGAACTCAATGCATAGGAAGGGGTCAGGGCAGTGAAAACAGATGATAGTGAAGAATGATCTTGGCATCGACTCGTCACCGCTATTCCAAATCATTCCGTGCAGGAACTGAACATGGAGATCATGACATATCTTGACGTAGGACATTTGCTGCGGGTGGACATGCGAAGTCGCGAATGTATACTCTAGGACCACAAGGACTGGCGTGTGGCCCCACCATCCTTGGAACTCCAATACAGGATGACGTCGGCGAGTGTGCCGATGAAAACCCAGTGCCGTCGATTGTACTCCCATCAATCGGGCAATTATCACTTTGACAAAAAAAATAATTCCTGGTGAAAACATAAGGTTTGCAAAACAAAAAAAAACTTCATAATCAATAGACATAAAAGAGAGTGGGTAGGAAGGATGGGATGAAGGGAGCATCCAAGGATTGGATGATAGGAAAAGCATCACTGAACCGCCCAGAGACATTTAGACAGCAACATGCAACCATAATGATAACTTAGGTGCTCTCCACATAAATATCATATCTATACATCTATCTGTATATCCGACTGTTCTATCATAACAATTTGATTGTCTTAGATCATGGCACTCTTTAATCCACTGGTGGAATATTTTTCCCCATCAACATAGACATATTGCGGCTCAATTCCACATTCTCAGACATAACCACAATTATTGTTGGGATATATATATATATAGACAATATCATAACAGCTGTTATATACACATACATATAAATTTATTCATTCACCATTAATAATAATATATATATATATATCAGACTTACACCTATTATTCCTACATTATATATACACATATTCATTCAACATTAAATATATATATATATATATATGACTACATTACTAGTTCTCCTACATTAATAACACATATACTAGCCATTCATATCTCGATAAAACTCTCCAAGCTTCGTGGTCCAAGTCCCAGACCTCCGCGAAGATGTCCAGAAAGGCATCCTGGGACGAAATCTGGTGATGTTTCATGGTGATGTTGTTGAATGGGATTGAAGCAACAATCTGCAACAACTATGAGGATATTATATATGTACATATACACAGTATATTATGATATATCATATGTATATATGATATATTATATGTATACATGATATATTATATACAGATGATATATCATATACATATCATATTATATATATAGGAGTTTAGATGGGAAATTTGATAAAACATAGTGAACATATATGCATAAAACTAACGACGAGCATATGAATATATATATATATGTATATTATATTAATATTAATATATATATATATATTAATATATATATATATTAATATATATATATATATTAATATGTATATATATATATATGGATACTAAATTGCTCATGACTACCATTGCGTACTGTGGCAGATTACCAGAGGGTATCCCACTCTTTATCTTTAGCATCCATAAAAGGCATCGTTTTCAAGGTATGGCGGGTATGGGGACTGGCCCCATATTGTGGTATCTGGGTGGTTCAAGGCCTTGGTTTCCCAGGGATCTATTCACTTGCATTGCCGATCACCGCGAGACTTGCTCACGTGGAAGAAGACTAGACTACAGTACAGCTACAAATTTCAGCCATCATTTTTCAAACCAGCAAAAGATAGCACAAACAAGTTCAAAGAATATGTGGGTCCCCTTTCAACATCAAACCAACTTCCTTTATTGCGAGCCAGTTCTACAGTAGACTTCAAAATGCGACGCCTCTTTTTTGGATGACCTGATATGCAAAACAGTGTCGCGTATATATATATATATATATCCATATTATATATATATATATATACACACCTGACATGGGCACAGGATAGACTTCTGAGGGCCATCTCGCAGCGTTTTCTCCAAGCGTCTCCAAGGTTGTGGATGAAACTTCTAACCTCGGGGATCAACATCTGTGGCCCGGACCCCTCGTTGAATGCGTTGAGCATCACGCTCGTTGGAGCAGGATTCAGAGTCATGGAATACAACATTGTAAAATCAATGTGGACCAAAGATGCGAATGGATTGGTTTTACTGGACCCACTGCAAGTGATCTCTGTCATTTTTCTCTACCTACAAATATATGCACATGACTACTATGCGAAAAATCCAGGTAGAAAGATAGAATGTATTGTATGTTCATCGTTCATATGTCATAGATATGTATACGTTGTTATGACATTAGGGTCATTAGTGTCCCAATCTTTGCAGGGCGGTTGGGAGCTCAAAACAGCAACGAAATTTATATATTATATATATATATATTATATATATCAGTGGAAACAATTGAACTATCATGGCTAGAGTAGAATGCTGTGGATAACTGTCCACGACACTTTCCTCCAATTTGTTGATGGTCAAATCCTCAATTTTCCAACAATTTTTCCAGCTGAAATGCTGAAACCATTCAAAGTTTCCTCGCAAAAGCCCACCTGTTCCCCCACGTGTTCCCCGGGACTCGTCGCCTGCCGCGCCGCGCCCTGCATGGCGCGGCCGACGGCCGCCTTGGGCCGATGCGTCCAGTCCTTGGCGCCGCTCAGACTGCGCGCCTGCGGCGTGAAGGCCACATCCATGCCTCGGCAACGATCAAATCAGCAGAAATAGGTGGTATTATAGAACACATATCTATGTTATAACTTACAGTAAGATATATGTTTCCAGATATATTCTATATCAGATAAGATCATTGTATGGAAAACAAGATGTATAGCTGATATATAGCTAAACACATGTATGTATTTTTGTCTAAATGTATATGTGTGTATATATATATACACACCATAGGCATATGGAAAGTTAGCCATTTCATGAGTGGTCATTTGGGTGTATATATGTTCAAACACATGGGAATTATAGCATTGGTGGTTTACGGGATAGATAGATGAAAGTCAGATTTACCTTCTAGTTTGTGCATGTTTATGATGGATTTTTATGATAAAACACTTGGCTGGAAGTGAAGTATAATTGAATACACACGTCATGGGTGGGACTAGCAAGAAATCAAACGATTCTGATGAGGTACGCGCATCATGACCACAACCATCGTCATCAGTTGCTAGGCATCCTGGAGGTTTCAGATGGGGGCTCCCAACACCGCCACGCGGTTTTAAGCCAGGCCAAGAGGCACAAACGACACAAAGCTTGAACCACCAGCATACTCATCGCGGAGTGATTTTCCTGAGCTGCGTCCCCCTGGGTGACAGGTGTAACTGTATAACCAGGTAAGTAAACACTTGACAAGGACCATGGATGGAATCTCATTTCCTTTCTCTAATGTCTAATCATAAATGTTAGATCTTAATTCGAAATCTTGCTTTGGATCGGTTATTGAGAATATACATGCTATGATACTATTATATAGAGGGATGGGATTACGTCATATTACGTCCAGTAGTCTACCCATAGATGTGACAACCCCGGTCAGGGGACTCATTGACCCTGGATGGGAAGAGGGTTGAGGATGTCTGCTCGGGTCTCCGGAGAAAAAAACACTGGACCGTTGACAAGACATAGTCTTCAAGATCTGCTTTAGCGATCAAAAGTACATTCCAGGTAAATATGATGTTCTATTGAAGATTTATGGTATCAATATAAAATATATATATATATATATATATTCCTTTACAATATTACACTCCAGGTACTTCAACTTTGGGATGTTCTATTGTACTTTGTCTTCTAACCAAGCGAAATCAGGCAAACAAGTGCCATCCAAAGGGCACCATTTTTGCCAGTCGCGCAGCTACACAGAGCCTACATGAATTTTATCCTTACCTCTATCTTTCAAGGTGAGGCTCAAAGTCTCACATTGTGGTTTTAGGATGTGGGTATGGGTCAATACCTATAGATACCATATTTTAGTGGGATGAACATCCATTTACCAGCTATTTTGGGGTTCACTAGGTACCAGGGTTTTGACCCATCCCCATGTTTTAGGTATCGACACTATCTGGTTGGTGGTGCAATGTGCCCATCTTGAAAAATGATGGAGTTCGTCAATGGTTGATGGACGACATCCCATATAGGAAATGGAAAATAAAGCCATGTTTGAAACCACCAACCAGTATATATATATATATATGTCAATACAATACATATGTTGGTTTACCAGTTGATTTACCCATTAAAAATGATGGATCTTTCCATAGTTATGTAAACATTTATCATGGAAATTCTCTGGCTCTGCTTTTGCATCCAGTTCCCCGAGTTCACGGTTACAGCGAGTTCACTGCATCGTTTCCTCCACTGAGTTCGCTTCACAGAGAGATCATTCTGAACAGAACATCCTCCATGTACCTTCTGGTAAACGTTTACATAACTATGGAAAATCACCATTCTTAATGGGACAATCAACTATGTCTATGGCCATTTTCAATAGCAAACTGTTAAATTACCAGAGGGGTAAAATCTTTGCAGGGCGTCACTGTTGCGACCTCCCCATGTTTGGTCATGGCCAACCCTAGATACCATGCCAAAAAAGTTGCTGCTTCGTACAAATCTGAATTTATAGACACATATGGGAGTACTAAACGATCCATCCAGTTCGTTGACAGTTCGTTTTTTTGGTTGCCCAAAATCACTAACTTCTTTGGTCACATCACAAATATCCATCATCTGTTGGCTAAATCCGATAAAGCTCCATGGAAATCACCATCTTACCGGAAGCATAGTTTTTCAACGGCTCAAAATCCCCAATTTTGTCGGAGTCAAATGAGCCAAGGTGTTGACCCAAGGTGGGTTACAATATGTTAATATCCTGCAACCTGAACCCCAACATACGGAATATCGATTTGTTTATTAAGAGATTGGTGACTATATGGATATACAATCCAATCCCTGTGTCGTCCCTGTATACTGATTGGTTGAAAACAGAATTCCCCTAATGATTTGTGATCCCAAAATATTTATCAGTAAAATCTGTTATGATCATCAACCAACCATCACTTGTCAGTTATATCCGCTTCAAACCATGTATTTTGATGGTTAAAACCCCCATGACATATCTTTGATCATCAACCACTCATGGTTTATCCATGATTTCTCCATTTTTTCCCAAGATTTATTGCTTGAAATCCATATAAATGATGCACCGGCCATATATATGGGTATGGGTCAAAATTGGATACCCCAATGATTGGATGGCCCCCCGGGTGTTCAATTCTGACCTAGCGAACTAATCTAACTATAAAACCATCATCTATCAGACATATCCACTGATATTTTTCCACATTTTGATGGTTAAAATCACAACCAAAAAAAACTCTGGCCCTGTCAAATAGCTCTAATCATCAAGGGCTGCCCAGCGACCAAGGCTTCCGCTGCCATCAGCAAGACTTCCAGGGGCGTGGCCGGCGTCGTGGGGCGCGACCGGGGCACTGGCGGCAACAGGCCTGTATCCTCAGGGCGAAAATGGAACTTGCTGGGAATATGCTGACACATATGTATATATATATATTATGTCTATGGTAAGACTAACCTGCTCATATAATTCTATTTGCCTACGTATCTATCTATCAATCTATCTATCAGTTGCTATGACGATTGTCAAGCAGCTTTGGTGTCATTCGATGCGTCAACATTCTGACCATACTGATGGGACAATCCAAAATCTCACATGCCAGAATGGTTAGAACATCTTCCACATGTAGCGAACAAAAACACGGTAGATAATTCTTGATTTGCTAATAAGTTTCCCATCAAGTCACCTGGTTTTATTGGTTTGCTACATCAAGAATTATCTACAAGTGGATGAACCATATCATTTCTTACACACATATCTTCCCATCAAGTCACCCTGGTGGTTGAATCAGCCCTCTGGGGATCATCATCCCGCTGCTAGCTGGTTGTTTGAACCACCAGCATCCAACCAGATCCATTGGTCCCCAATTCCTGGGTTTTTCCCATATGGTAAATGGTGAATCTATGGATGATGGAAACCTGTATTTAGCTACTAAAAATGGTAATTTTCTACGGCGATGTTAGTTATAACCAGAAGGTATCCCTAGTTTCTAACCATTCAGGAAGTGGGATGATCCTCCATCCCAACCTCTAAGGTCATCCAGGCCCAAGGCTTTGCTTTGGACTACCATTCTCCGTGATCATGATCCAAAAATGCTAGGCTGTTTAAATCACACACCATTCTGTCTAGGCTGTTGAGTTGGTGATTTGGGATTTGTGTGCCAACCAAAAACCTGAAATATCAGTTTGAATGTTTTAGTACCTCATGAGCAGCCCTTAAGTTTTGAAGGTTTATACTGGACCCAAATCTTTCCCCACCATTTTGGGAATGTGTATCCCAGCCATCTGTTGAGGGGTACATGGGGGTCCTTCCACCGCAACGTGTCGTCAGTTGCGGAAATGTGAATTCCAATTCTTATGGCTTGATGAATCCTGAAAAATTTGAAGAACAAAGGCAAGTAAACTAAGTAAACTCGCCGGCAACTACTAAAGAGTCAAAGCAATTTGGAACAATCCCTGAATTCGACGATGACGATGATGATGATGATGATTATGCTGATGCTGATGCTGCTGCTGCTGCTGCTGATGATGATGATGATGATGATGATGAAATCTGAAGAACACCCAGGAAATACCAGTAAACTCTGATCACTTCGAGGCTGAACTTGGCTGGAACAAAGGCAAGTAAACTAAGTAAACTCGCCGGCAACTACTAAAGAGTCAAAGCAATTTGGAACAATCCCTGAATTCGACGATGACGATGATGATGATGATGATGATGATTATGCTGATGCTGATGCTGCTGCTGCTGCTGCTGATGATGATGATGATGATGATGAAATCTGAAGAACACCCAGGAAATACCAGTAAACTCTGATCACTTCGAGGCTGAACTTGGCTGGAAGGACCCCGAAAAACTTCTGCATTGCAGCTGAGGCTCCACCAAGAGCTCGGAAGGCCTTGGGCACCGGCCCCATGAACAGGTATAGTGAGATGCGATGAAATGAAATAATATCATCTATAGTATATATGCACACAGAGAAACGCATAGATAATAATAGTAAAATATTCATATATCATGTATATATAGAATTATATATATATATAATTATGTATATATATATATATAATTATGTATATATATAATATGATATGTATTATTTTAAGTATGATATGTGTATAAATCGCACATAATTCCTGTAATATTCTGGACCATGACTCAACCACACTTTGGGTCGAGCACAACTCGTTTACCCCAATATTTGATCGCTCCAATCGCTTCAGAGGATGTACCCAGCGACCAGCTGAGATTTCACTGATGCAAGTCTTTGGGATTGGCATGTTCTCCCAGCAAAAAAAGGAAAAACATGAAACCCTCTCCAGTGTGAACTGAGACATACCCTCTGGTAAACGTTTACATAACTATGGAAAGATCCACCATTTTTAATGGGTAAATCCACTATTTCTATGGCCATTTTCAATAGCTATGTTAGTTTACCAGTGGGAACTGAGACAAACATAACATTTGAAGATGCAACACTTCGTGCATCTTCAAGAAGTACCGCAGTGGACAAACCAGCACGCGTTGAAGTTCAGTGACCACGGGTTGATCTCTGCAACAATCTGCTGTCTGACCAGACTGGAGCACAGCTCCTCTGAAAACCACAATTGGGTATGGGTCAAAATTCGGTACCCCAACAATTGGATGGTTAATACTAAACTAGACTAACATCTGTGGTCCCCTAGGTCTTCCATTTTGACCCACATCCAATTGAACAGGAACCACCAAAGAAACGGAGAATGATATCCCACACCCTTTTTGAAAAGGCTGGTCAGACACCTGCTCTGCTATTCACACCACAACCTTGTGTTTCAAAAAACAAAGAAAAACTTTGTGGAGATGTGCTTTATGATCCAACAACAATGACCAAAGTCGGGGTGCCCCAGCCATTTCATCTGCCATTTCTGTCCAGGGGCAGAAGATTGCTGATCCCCAAACTCAGACAGGATCTGAAGACGCCTCGCGTCTTCACCGAGAGATTCGTCGATTTTCCCCATGGTGGGCACGGGCACATTGGTTGAAAAAACGGGCCAAACTACCCGGCCTGGTAAACGTTTACATAACTATGGAAAGATCCCCCATGTTTAATGGATAAATCCACGCACTAAATCACCATGTTCAATAGCAAACTGTTAGTTTACCAGAGGGTATCTATTATGAAACATGCGCATGCATCACAAGAATCTTGAGGATGTATGCGTTGTTTTGCTTTTCTATGGATGTAATGTCTTGATGATGTGATATAAACAAGTTTAAAGGAATCAAACACACCATGATTTGATCACTGAACACGGACGTATGCTAGAACAGACTCAGAACCTCAAGTTTGGCTAGGCACTAATTTTCAATACCGCTGCTACATATCAGATTCCATATATACCCTCTAGACTCTGGCAATCATATTCTTTAATATTAGTGTCTGAACCACGTCATCAATATTTGAATCATGTTGCAACTCAATGTTTTACAGCCATACGTCCTCTTTGTGACAAAATATGTTTGTGTGGTTTCTTTGAAAATATTTATTGTGCCTGAAAGCTGCCAATGCGTATCATATCCAGAAGGATGCACTTGATACCAATCTCTGTGAACCATGACAAACTAATCACTTGTTTACCAGAACATACACAGAAAATACCTGTGTGTTGCAGGTTTTGACCATGTCAGACCTTCATGGTTCCAGCATTTGGTCGGCGGGTGCGTTTCCCATGTTCTTCGCCCAATCCCCATTCTTCATCTATATGAATAGGTGTATAGGTGTATACACATATCAATTATATCAACGAGATGAACCTCCAATTTCTGGTTGGTGGTATACCTACCCCTCTGAAAAATGATGGAGTTCGTCAGTTGGGATGATGACATTCCCAACTGAATGGAAAATCATAATCCATTCATGTTCCAAACCACCAACCAGTGTTTGTTGGTTTATAAACCATGATAATCCCCATTAATTATAATTATATCTACCATAAACCATAGTTAATCAATGGTTCCAAACCACCAAGCAGATTTGTTTTCGGCCACCGACTCCCAACTGGATCATCGCCAGGATCATCGCCTGCCGTCAGCAAGGCTTCCTCGGACCGCAGCAGCTGCAGCATCTTGCCACGCAGACGCAGCGGTGGCTCTGATGGAGCCGCCTTCGGGTCGTCCTGTTTGCTGCCCAAGACCCTCAAGACAGGTTTGCGGTGGATCCCTAGATTGTTGTTTAGAGTACATCACGGATCCACTGCTTTTCTCAAAAGTATTTGATGTGTGTGTATATATATGTTACTAATTATTATATACCATATTGTACCCTAGTTCTCCATTTCTATATGATAGTCAAATCATGGTCAACCACATATTTTGTTGCTGTTGAATTCCCACGTTCCCATGAAAATCGAGCTTCTTAGAGCCATGAGCCCCAATTGTAGTTAAGTCAAATTCCTAAGATTTCAAGATTGAACATTTATCTAGCTATAAATCATATCTAACCCACCATGTTTTACCCCATTTCTAGCTAGTCAACCGGCAAACGTTCGACATTCGTCAGTGTTCATGGCAAAATGAACAACAGCCATGTACCCATTAAGCCTCATCATTAAGCCACCTGCTTTTGGTTGGTTGAAGCCCGTTCAGCTACAAGTAGAACAAACAATTGCATATAAAAGTGCAAATCTCGCAGCCTTTTGTGTCAACAGCCCAGTTTTTGCAGTGATTGATTCTTTCCAAGCCAATTCATATGCGTTTGGTTTGGTTGAATTTGTTTTGTCGCTTATTTATTCCCATTGTCTCCCGATGATGGGTGTTGTAAGCCCATATTGGCTGGTGAACTCACCCCAACCAACCGATCTTCAGAGGAAGGAGTTGACGTCCAACTCCCTATGTGTCAGGGTCTATGTTGATTTTGTATGTTAAATCTCAAAAATATCAAATAATCCCCAGAGTTGTGCCCAGTATATCCGTACTATTACATACCCATACCATTATGGATTACGTCATTAATCATTAGTCATTAGTCCATATTTATCCCATTTATGCTATCATTTGGCTGGTACAAGAACCACATTTATCCATCTTTATCCCTTTGTAACAGAGAATATCCTCATTATAATATCCCCTATACCCATTTATCCATATTACATACCATGACATACCCATATGCCATATCATATTCCTCAATATTATCATATATTGCCAGATATTATAATATATCATCCATATGAATACAAATCATAGACCACATTGCGACATTGAAGCCATGACCCAGTCGAAATAGTTGATTTACCCATTAAACATGGTGGACCTTCCCAGACTTATGTAAACGTAGAAAAACACCATTTTTAATAGGTACAATGTGGGGCCCCCAAGATAGCGGGACAGCCAAAAGCCAAGACGGTCAACAAAAAGGAGCATTGGCCCATGTAAAGCGTAAAGTTGCAACGGCCCTTTCAATGAAGGTGAAACCTGTTTAAAAATATAGACATTCATGTGCATTTGCTCCAATTTCAGCCGTCGAGGCTTGCCTCGAAAATTCTCCCTCATCCTTACATTTTTTGTTTTGTTGCAATTTCTATAGCCTCGAGGCTGCCTCGAAGCCTGCTTTGGTTTATGGTACTTATAACTATAGTTAATGGGGTTTATAAACCAACTTATAACTGGGGGGCCTCACATTGTATAAACCATCTATTTCTATGAGCCATTTTCCAGTTCGTTCTGGGGAAAATTCCAGTTCGTTCTGTAAACGTTTACCAGAGGGTTTATTTCCATGAAATCCCATTAAATCCCATTCAACCACCATCATTAAACCACCATTAACCACTAATAACCACTATTAACCACTATTAACCACTATTATTAGTTATTAACCACCGTTAACCAATAAACCACTATTATTATAGTTATTAACCACCATTAACCACTATAAACCACCATTATTAGTTATTAACCACCATTAACCACTATAAACCACTATTATTAGTTATTAACCACCATTAACCACTATAAACCACTATTATTAGTTATTAACCACCATTAACCACTAATAACCACTTATTAACCACTATTAATATTAATCACTATTATTAGTTATTAGTCCATATTTATCCCATTTATGCCATCATTTGGCTGGTATAAGAACCACATTTATCCATCTTTATCCCTTTGTAATAGACAATATCCTCATTATAATATCCCCTATACCCATTTATCCATATTACATACCATGACATACCCATATGCCATATCATATTCCTCAATATTATCATATATTGCCAGATATTATAATATATCATCCATATGAATACAAATCATAGACCACATTGCGACATTGAAGCCATGACCCAGTCGAAATAGTTGATTTACCCATTAAACATGGTGGACCTTCCCAGACTTATGTAAACGTAGAAAAACACCATTTTTAATAGGTACAATGTGGGGCCCCCAAGATAGCTAAGTTGGTTTATAACTCCAATATCTATGGTTTATGGTACTTATAACTGTAGTTACTGGGGTTTATAAACCAACTTATAACTGGGGGGCCTCACATTGTATAAACCATCTATTTCTATGAGCCATTTTCCAGTTCGTTCTGGGGATTTTCCAGTTCGTTATGTAAACGTTTACCAGAGGGTTTATTTCCATGAAATCCCATTAAATCCCATTCAACCACCATCATTAAACCACCATTAACCACTAATAACCACTATTAACCACTATTATTAGTTGTTAACCACCACTAATAACCACTATTAACCATTATTAACCACTATTAACCACCATTACTAGTTAACCACCATTAACCACTATAAACCATATTCCCTTCTCCGCTGTCCTCTACTTTGAAAGGCTCCCAGACCTCCAGGATCTCCGGCCGCCGCGGTGCCGAACACACCGCCGCGCCGCTCGTTGCGTCGTCGCCGTCGCTCAGCAGGGCCAGCGCCAAGGGCTCCACGACGTCGCGACGTTGGACGCCCTGGAAGATCTCGTGGAACCTGGCGCAAAAAAGCGCTGCAAAACCATAGGAAAACCATAGGAAAATGGTGGTTTAATGAGATTTAATGGGGTATACCCTCTGGTTATGTCAAAATAGCTATTGAAAATAGCCATTTATAGTGGATTTTCCCATTGAAAATGGTGATTTTCCATAGCTATGTTAAATTACCAGAGGGTATAACTGGTATAATCCTATTATAACATACGTATAACTGTAGGTATAAGTATTATACCTAGAAGTATAACTATATGCAGAATTGTAGGTATAATTACAGGTGAAACATGGTATAACTTTGGGTATAACTTTTGGACTATAGAATCTATAGATATAACCAGGATGATAACCACTATAAATTTGGACTTAGCCTAAATTGGCCAGTTATGACCTGAATACCAAATATTGTATTTTGAAAGCCATTTCAGGAACCTAAATTGGAGGTACTTACCATGCATAATGTCTACTGTATGTAAGGCCTATGTAAGCGGATATACCCCCAAATTATATGACCTTATATGGCGCGGTACCTCCAAATTAGGTACCTGAAATATCCAACGATAGCTGGGGTATATATAACTTTAGGTGCAACATGGTAAACACTTTATGTTAATCACCATAAGTTGGGAAATAACGGCGTTGTCATTTTGGAGAATTCACAATAATCTGGGTAAATTATAATATTTCACTAACCTGAATTAAGGCCATTTGGGGATCATTTCCAATACTAACCATGATTCCCAGTGAGGTCGCAGTGAGGTCTTTATAATTTACCCAGAATAATGTTGATAGAACTCAAATATATGGAAACTCAATGGGTTTCCCAAAAGAATGATCTACAAATGGTGGATGTTCCATGGCTACTTTCGTTTACGACGGGTAACCATGGTTGTAACCCCGACTCAACTTGGGATATACCCTCTGGTAATTTATATGGAAAATCAACATTTTTAATGGTAAATCCACTATTTCCATGGCCATTTTCAATAGCAAACTGTTAGTTTACCAGAGGGTAGCTAATAGAACCCATAATGTGGCCATATCAACATACCCATCTCTTGAGTGGAATTGCACCTCCAAGTACTACCCCATGGACAAGGCCGTGCCAGGCTGCTCCTTCTGTAATAGCTTGAAACAACCCTGATAGACTTTGTTTTGTTTATTCATTTCTATACAATGCCGTCAACTCGCCACAATATTGATGTGAAATTGCCACTAGGTGTATCAAAAATGGATATGCCCTGGGCCCAGGCTGGCTTCTTCTACTCCAACATTTCACGCTGTGTTTCCTGAGGCGCGGGGAAGTTTTACCTGCGACCACATGCACTGGGTACATAACCCGAAAGCAGGGATTCAAATTGACATCTCAACTTGTTTTCTCTGCAGGGGTTCTAAAGATATCGCAGATTCTAACCCTATAAAATGTCTCGGATTTGTCCAAATTTCATGGCCAAGTTTTTTTCTTCCCGAGCCCAGATCAGTCCGTCGTCCCAAGAAACAAGAAAAGAGCGGTGCGACAGCTCAACAGCTCCGGCGCGTCGCTCCACACACTGTGAAGCAGAAAGGGATAGCACCTGGTGAATTTTGTTAAAGCCATGGGCTGAGTGAAAAAACTTCGTGGAAAACTAATGGAAAACTCGGAAACGTTGTGTATTTTCACCATTCAAAATGATGGTCCTGTAATTTCACCCTTCATTTCAGAGAGGTTAGCATGTTTTGCCACAAAAAGGTTTCCGAAAAATGAGCATGAATTGCAATCATCATCTGGGTGCACTAGCTGGTGGATAAGCTGAACTTCTGGAAGTTCAAAAATAATGCAAATGCCTCAAACTCCACAAAGAATGGATGAAACATTCGAGAGATAGTAATTAATAGCACAAGTAGTACCTCCGATCTGCCGTTTCATCCATTATTTTTCACAGAGGACGAATGCAGAGCGTGCTCACACCCCTCACACACGGTTTCTAGAACTCCAAAGTGCATGCATCAATTTTGTTGTTTTTAGCATCATTTAGCATCAACTGTTTACCAACTGTTTCAAAAGAAATGAAGGAGATTTGCAATTTCAGATAACTCACGCAACCCTCTAAATTACTCACCGACCCCCACAGAACCCTTCGTTTCGCGTACGATCTCCTCATTTGTTTGCCTTATTTGGTTAATTTGAATGTGAAGAAAACAATCCCATGAAGATCAAATTACACCACCTTTTTCCATGTATAACTAAACCCATTCAGTATACAGTATATACAAGTTTGTGATATTCATTAAGTTGTGTTCAATATCAAGAAACATGTAATTACATATATATATATATATGCAAATAGATATATTGTGTATATAAAATATTAAATGTATACGTACCATTTATATCAACCATCTGCAACAACAAAACACATGCCATAGTTTCAAAAAACAACTGGCCGCGGAAAGTTCCGTTCTCCGTTCACCGACAAACGACGCGTGCTGTAGGAACTGCTGCACCACGATGACGTTCAGTTGCTGGTTGTTCAGCTCTAAGACGTCGCAAATGTACCTGGGCGAACAACGACTCAACATTAGCAACAGAAATCGAAAATGGTGGAAAATGACCCATTATTAACCATCATTTTCCCGTTTAAGTTCACATCATTTTCCTTTTAGAATATATTTACGTAGTAATAGTAAATAAACAAATAACTTGTATACACTATGGATTAAAACACTATAAATAGAAATACGCAAATAGATTTATGATAAAACATACACACATAAAATTATCATAAAAAAATAAACAATACACAAAAAAACAATATGGAGTTTATATATATATATATACATTAAAATGCTTTTTCAAATATAACAATATATTTATACAAGTAAAATCATTTCCAAAACGCAACAAAATTTGAAAATATCTTAACACAACATTTATGCAACTACAAATACTATATGTTTAAACTGTATGTACGTATGTATATATATATTATTATATGTATCATGAATATAACAATCTAAATGAAATTTAATGAAAAATGAACGTAATATAAATTGCATATCTTTAAATATGATGTATACAAATACAAAAAAAAACATGTATGTCAAATAAATCTAAAACAGAACAGAATTAAGACAATGTAAATATATATATATATATATTCACAACTAAATAAATATAAATATATATGCACTTATCTTTTTTTACGATAATAAAATATATATATATATATAAATGTATTCTAAATGTAAATATATTGAGAATACAACCATGTATATATATATACAATTAAATCATGATAAATTTACTATTAGTCTACACATGATAAAAACGGTTTTATATCATTTACGATATAGATACACATATGTTTAAACATTGTCTATATATATAGACATGAAATCATGAAATACATATAGATATTACATGCAATATTTCAAAAACATATTATACCCCTGTTATGTAAGATATACGATGTAAGAATGAAACAAAAATAACCTAAACTATTCACTATATCTGTATGTTATTGTCCTATATCTATATATGTATATTATTTATACATTATCATATATAATGCAAACAAACATATGTATATAACAGAAACAGTACCAGAAACAGTACATATAAATACACATATAAGTTATATAAGGGAATCAGTGGCAACAGGAAACCCTTCAAGGAGAAGCAGAGACGTCGCAACAGCACTTGCTTGTTCGTGGTGACAAAACGCGGCGTCTGTGGAATTGAATGGCAGTGAATGTGGTGGGTTTAATCTGCATCAGTTGATCCAGGTCATTCTTTCTTTTTGCAAGGACACTTTGCATGATTATACTAGGTTCTGATGACTAAGGATTCTGCCAAAAAAAACGTCAAAATGCAGTGTCCCTATGTCATCAGCTACACAAAGTGCCAAAAATAAGGCAAGAGCATCCCCAGAAGATCCGTACAAAACGTGAAGCCCTGAGGCCTTTCGTATTTTTTACATATTCGGAACACCTGTGTTACATCTACAAGGGTACATCTTAAGTCATGCGCCTTTTTCCCGAAAGCTCCTGCGAAGGGTGTTTCCAAAAAAAGAAATCCTGCCAAAGAGCTATACTATCTACATTATACCTCTATAACACACCATCCCACGGCAGAGCCGTGGAGCATTGTAGCCGCATACTACCCACTTTTTGCCTTACATGCTAGTGACACACTACCTAGCCCCCACCCATCCCACAGGGTATACAGCGGCCATACAGGACCATGACCATGACCTGGGGGGTGGGGAGGGTTGCTGGCATGGGCCATATATACACATATTGTAATTATATAAATATATGTACATTAATTATTATCATTAGCATTAATAATAATTATTATTATCTTCATTATTATTATTATCATTAAGATCAAAATTACCCTCTGGTAAACTAACATAACTATGGAAAAAAAAACATTTTTAATAGGAAAACTCACTATAAATGGCCATTTTCAATAGCTATGTTAGTTTACCAGAGGGTAATAATAATCTGCTCCCTTCTGAACTCCCCGGTCTATTTCCAGCTCAGCATGACGGGACACATCAGCAGATCCTGCTGTTCGTCATTGGCTTCTTCCATCGCGGAGGAGCCACGGGCTTCCTCCAGTTGACACCACAGCAGCGCCAGATATTCTGAGAGCCGCTGGAAGTAGGGCCTCCCATGGCCGATTAGGAGATCTTAGGATGGATTTTATATGATTTATCTAAAATATATTATCGCCATTTCATGGGATATCATGGGATATATATATATATAGCCAGGATCATTGGATATGATTTGGATGTTATAGGGAGTTTACCTCCCCATTCTATGGCCAATGCCATGGGGAACATGGATTTCATCAGCCACGATATATTTTCAAATAGAGCCGCCTAGGTCTACAAGCCCCGAAATATCTGACACCTAAGCATTGCACATTGCACATGGATAGATCAACAAAATCAGCATACACAGCAGTATGCAATAATCTGCACACTCATACTAGTACTGCATGTATACATTGGATGTGCACATAGCTACCTGTAGTTCCCAAACACTCTCATGTTGTTAGAAGTTGGATTGACTCAAAGACTCAGAATCATCATCCTTATTTCCTTCCGAGATTTACCTACCACTATATACCCATTGCAGTTGGTTTCATCCCCATGAATATCAACATATCCCCCAGATGGAATATCTCCCCCATAATTATCGTGGAATATCATGGAATATCAACATCAATTGATCATCTGCAGGGAAAATCTACACCAAAAACCAACAAAAACATCATATCATCCCTACCAATCCCTACATCAACATTCACCCACCCGAAATCGAACAAAAACAATTCAAACATCCGACAACTCCCCACAAATCCCTATAAATCCCTATAAATAATCACCATAAATCTCCATAAATCACTATAAATCGTCATAAATCACTGTAAATCTCCAAAAATCCTTCCAAAAAATCTAGAACCCACTGCCTCACATCCGGCCTGGCCACCCGTAGTACGAAGCGCTGCATGGCCTCGTCGTCCAGGCGAAAGACGCGCAGCGTCATGTTGCGCACCGAGGTTCGTACCATCTGGTCCCGGTGACCTCGAATCATCGATGGCGATGCGACATCCGAATCACCAGGGAAAACTCGTTGAATCTCATGTTTGCTGGCAAATTCCCTCATTCTCAGAGCTTTCTCCCAACAACAACTCCGGAAAGCCATATAGTTTCAGCACCCATATCCCACTCATAGGGAAACTATCACCCCATACAATGTGGCCCCCCCGTTTACGATAGCGTTCAGTTGCTGCAAATAACTCCCATGAAACACCATGGTTTATGATACCTATAACATCCTATAACGAACTAGTATTCATGGGGTTTATAAACCAACAAACATAACTGGGGGGGGGCCTCATATTGTATGAAACACTGAAAAATATCAGGAAATCATGGGATGATGGGATAAACCATCTACCAACTGGTGATTCGGATTTCGCAACCCCCACAGTATGTTCAGAGATGAATAGTTCAAATTTGTTCAAATATGGTGTCACTTGTTGAAAACATAGGGGACATAAAAAGTGAAAACGAGGATTTATCCAGCTATGGATATTTTTGGGGTAAACCGGGTAAACCGGGTAAACCGGGTAAACCGGGTAAACCGTAGATGGAGAGTTCATGGTGATCTTATCAACAAGTTACATGGGGTGATAAACCAACCAGTTCATGGTGATATCGTGGGAATATCATCGGAGATTCGGTGGAACGGGCCAAAATATCCAAAATCCACTGCATAAATAACCAGAAATGCAGACATATCAGACATGTAGGTGTTTGCAAAGATATACGCAGGATATGATAGTGAGAGTATAGCAAGGAATTGGATTGGTGATTGTAGCAGAAAAAGACATGCAAAAATGGAGGCTTCTGGGTATCAGTAGGGAGATCATAGTTGGGCCAGTTGAAGGCTGAGGGGTCTGGGATACCTTTTGATCGGATTAAGAATCGGAACAGAAACGGGGCTTTAACCAACAGAAATGTAGCTTTAAACCAATCAAACAACTGAATTTTAAAAGCAGAAATGGCAGACTCACCAAGCAATAATTATATTCCATGAAGAACAACAATGATTCCACCACTGAAAAACAACTGGGGCACCAATGAAAGTTGAGGGTGTGGGACATAGATTGGACATGACAGGGCTATGGCTATGGCTATACTGGCTGTAAATTTCATAAGTGGGATACTATATGATATTATACAGTAACTGAAAATGGGTGATTCAACCAAAAGATTTATGGGTTTAGCAACAGATTTTCACCAAGAAAAAATGGCTGCGTGGGATATCTGTGGTATATACCTGCGAAAAAAGTTGGTTGTTCAGCAAGTGATATGTCATTTTTTAGTTAAATTTAAAACTAACATGAAACTAGTTCACAAACAGCGCAGAATTTTTTTCCATAGATGGGATAGCTCGGTGATACAGGGATACATGGACTGTAGTTGTTCGCTTCTCTCTGGGAATAGCTAGACAACCGCTCAATTTCATGAAATATTACTATGGGTGTATATATATATTATAATATATATATAATTACATGTATAAATATATATAGGCTGCAAAAATATTGCAAATTATATTTGTATTATGATCATTATTATGTTTCAGGCATATTATAATGGTATTAAGCAGAAACAATAATTCAATGCCTATGGTGTATGATCAGTTGTTACTATTAATAGCTAAGCATCATTCTTAAGTATCATTCTTAGTCAGTTGCACTACACTAACAATCCCCCGGAAGATGTACAACTTTTTGAGGCTGCAGTATCAACTATTATATTTTTGTTGTCTTGATATCTACTGTTAATTATTGTCCATCTATTGCAGATAAGGCAATTATAGATAATCATAGTTACCTCTTGTTGTATGGCAATTACACACAGCGTTCATGCAAAAAGGGGTCACGTCCAGCAAAATTCCACATGCAACACTTGAGACAAGTATTGAATATGTCATACCCTCTGGTAAACGTTTACATAACTATGGAAAGATCCACCATTTTTCATGGAAAAATCCACTATTTCTACGGTGGATCTTTCCATAGTTAGGTTAGTCATTGCCAGAGGGTATGACATCTTGAAGCAACTTCAGTTATGGGACCCCATGCAGCCTGACGGAGATCGATCTAAGATTCGAATGATCGCAGTAGATTGATATACTGTTTACTACAACTTAACATGAGGAAGTAACCTGTGACAATGCACAATTTCTTACTCTGAAAAATCATTCCCATATGCTCTATGTATTTACAATTATTTACATATACGAACATTCGCCCAACATAAATCATCCAGTTTTGTACCCTCTGGTAATTTAACATAGCTATTGAAAATGGCCATTAATAGTGGATTTTCCCATTAAAAATGGTGATTGTCCATAGCTATGTTAGTTTACCAGAGGGTAAATCACCCAGTTTTGTAGGAAAACATACCACCAGCTGCGCAGCGGGTCCAGGGTTGCCGCAACCAGGGCACTGAAGAAACGGATCGCCTCCGTAAAGAGCGGGAACTGTTGGGAGCGCTCGTTGAAGAAGAACCTGGGCGCAGGCACTGGCGATTTATATTGTTTTCCGGTCGTCAAAAGGTGGCTTAACCATCAATAAATAAGGATTTAATGGGAGTTGATCTAATTTTTATGAGATTTCAATGGGATAAAATGGGAATTAATGGGAATCTACAATAAATTCGCCAATAAAAATGAGCATCCCGAAGGTTGAAAGCATCTTTCACCCAGCATTTTTGGATGGATGGTACATCTTTGCATCCCATCACCAGATCCCTTTCATCCGCTCGGTTGCCAAGCTGCTTCACGGTCTCTTGGTTTAGTCTCAGAGCCAAAGACTTCAAAAAACTGATGTAGTAACCTGGCTCACATCGAAACCGGTTTGAACCCCATGATCCTCATAGTAAAAACCCATGGTTTCCGGTGAAAAATGGCCCCTTCGGGACTTAAATTGGCGATGAAAAACCAAGATCTTAGCCCAGTTTTTTCCTAAGAATGGGGGATCCCCGAGTCACCATGGTTGTTGCAAGACTAAGTCATGGTATTTGGGTATATTTGGAATACAGTATCCCCATTTTAGGACACCATATGCTGAGATGATCCAGTGTTGACTCTTCCATTCTTGATGAACTCTATGTCCCAAGAATCATGTGGGGTTCCCATCCACACAACGACCAACGTTTGGAAAAATCCAAGGGCCGGTTTTCAACCCAACCCGCATCAATATCCATGAATTCAACCAAGTTCGGGATCTAACCCCCCCCCGTTTTTCCACCTTAACTCATGTCAAAACCCATATGTCAGGGTTTACCAACCATTTTACTCATTTCAGCCCCCCTTTTGACAGTGCTTAACCCCGCATCAGGAGAACCATTCAGCCCTCATCTTACTCGATTCGACATCGGAGCGGCTAAGAATCTCCTCATCGGACCAGTCGAATTGAGTGGCGATGAGTTGGTTTACGTAGTTGTTGCCTGGCGATTTCAGTGAACATTCACCAGCAAAATTCGAAGAGGGAAATGCCGGGGGATAACAAACAAAGCCGGCAACAAGATTGCACTTGAGTTTTCTACTTGGAAAATTACGCCGCTTAGTCTTTGGATCTATGAATGACTAGTTCACCAGTCAGGGAAGAGTTGTCTCACCCCAATTGGCCAGACTTGTAATCCTTTCAAGTTCCAGCCGTTGTGAGTGCCTTTCAAACCCTTTCTGTGCTCGGACATCAACGAATGCTGGATTCATAACATGATTGTTGTCGAAAATGCCATTCCGCTTCAGAAAACTGTGAAGAAAACTTTGCAATGTGGATAACCCATTAGGAAAGCTACCATTTGAGGATATATAAAATTAGTCACTTATGGTGAGTAACTGGGGCATCCCCATCAATCCCTGCTTCCCGTGGTTCCCGGTCAGGTACTGAAGAGGTAGTACAACGACGTCGGCCTCGAGCGGAGCTTTTTAAAAAACATCACCCATAGCTATTCAACAGGGACATCATCTATTTCAAAAAGGGCCATGTTCAATAGCTATGTAAAATTACCGGGATCCAAAGGGTATCCAAAGTTTGGAATCCAACAAAAAAGAGGTGGTTGATCATTACTTTCAGCCACCTAACCAAAGCTTAGCCAACTAAAAAGCACGGTTGTTCATCAGGTGACTGATGGTACCATATGGGCTTTAAAAAGTTGCTTCTGAACGGATCCAAAGAAAAAGAACCGCGAGCGCTGTTCAGGGTAGGATATCCCATACAATTACATCCCATTAAATCAAATTTTTGCAAATTCTGCAAATCCTCACAGGATTGTTCCTATACCTATCCCCATATGCTCCATGGTGCTGGAATCTTTACCAACATTTGCCCTGAAAATCACCCAGTCATGTAGGTAAATATACCAGCACCATGGAGCATATGGGATACCCTCTGGTAAACTAACAGTTTGCTATTGAAAACGGCCATAGAAATAGTGGAATTACCCATTAAAAATGGTGGATCTTTCCATAGCTATGTTAGTCATTACCAGAGGGTATGTTCATCCCACTAAAAATGGTATTAATAGTTATTGATCCATAGCCATATAGCAAAACATTCTTCCCAAACAGCTGTGGACAAAGACCTGCATCGCCACAGGAGATCTGAAAAACCCCGAAGTCTTCGGCGCACCGTGGCACCTGCGAATGTTCTGGATCAACATCGAGAGGCTCTGCAGCAACTGCACCTTCACCTTCTCGTGAAGCGCGAAGGAGTGGCGTTTTTATGGCTGGGGAACCACAGATCTTCAGGCATAGCCAGAAAAGTAGCCATGATGTAATGGGGATATATCATGACATAATATATATATATAATATATATATATATATATAGATATAGATAGATAATGATAGATATATAGATAGATATATTCATTCTAAAGCACTATGGAAAAGAATGGAAAACTGCTGAACTATACTAACCCCCTTAGTCTTCAGAACTTCAAAGCCGCAATCCTGGCGAACTTCCATCGTCACGTCCGGTCAGAGGATTCTCCATGGATGATCGACCCATTTTGGTTGTGGTTTATACCACCTATTTTTGGTAATTTGGGGGATGGTTTATTGTTGTTTCAACCACATTACTTTATATATATATACATATTATTGTATAATGATGTATAATTTCCCATTATCTGATATAAGGTGTTTGGTGGCAATGGACATCTAGTGTTTCAGGAAAGCATCATCTATTCCTGGAAGATTGTTCATTGGAGTAGAATCACATAATATATAAACACAGATCATAAAGAATTATACACATACCTTCTGGAAATATAACATAGCCATGAAAACTGGTTGGTGGTTTGAACCCCTCTACAAAATATGAGTTCGTCAGTTGGGATGGTGAAATTCCCAAAATATGGAAAACATAAAATGCATATTCCAAGCCACCAACCAGTATATATTATAGTGTATAATGTTCATTGTCTACTGAGTCTAAATAAATCATAGATGATAATTGGACATTCTTGCACTCAAAGGTGGCAATGGACATCTAGTGTTTCAGGAAAGCATCATCTATCCCTGGAAGATTGTTCATTGGAGTAGAATCACATAATATATAAACACAGATCATAAAGAATTATACACATACCTTCTGGAAAAAATAACATAGCCATGAAAACTGGTTGGTGGTTTGAACCCCTCTACAAAATATGAGTTCGTCAGTTGGGATGATGACAGTCCCAACTGAATGGAAAGTCATAAAATTCCATGGTTCCAAACCACCAAGTATAAAATACCCTCTGGTAAACTAACATAGTTATTGAAAATGGCCATAGAAATAGTGGATTTTCCCATTAAACATGGTGATTTACCTACTCGATGGAGATGACCTACTCCAGGTGCCCCTCCCCGGGCGCCAAGAAACGGTCTTGGGCACGTTTCGGCCCAAGATCTGAACGAAATCCGACAAAATGCCTCCGGAGAATCGTGGGATGGAGATATCCCCTGTGGGGGTTCCATAAACCAATGTTATTTATTATTATTATTATTATATATTAATGGGTTCCAAAAAGGGTATATAATTTAAATATTATTATAATTTATTATTCGTTACCCTGAATTTGCTGTTTATATATATTATTATTATTATTATTATTATTATTATTATTATTATTATTATTATTATTATTATTATTATTATATATATTAATGGGTTTCAAAAAGGGTGTATAATTTAAATATTATTATAATTTATTATTCGTTACCCTGAATTTGCTGTTTATATATATAATAATAATTATTATTATTATTATTATATATATATATATATATTAATGGGTTCCAAAAAGGGTGTATAATTTAAAGATTATTATAATTTATTATTCGTTACCCTGAATTTGCTGTTTATATATATATATATATTATTATTATTATTATTATTATATATTAATGGGTTCCAAAAAGGGTGTATAATTTAAATATTATTATAATTTATTATTCGTTACCCTGAATTTGCTGTTTATATATATATTATTATTATTATCATTATTATTATTATAAAAAGGGTGTATAATTTAAATATTATTATAATTTATTATTCGTTACCCTGAATTTGCTGTTTATATATATATTATTATTATTATCATTATTATTATTATATATTAATGGGTTCCAAAAAGGGTGTATAATTTAAATATTATTATAATTTATTATTCGTTACCCTGAATTTGCTGTTTATATATATATTATTATTATTATCATTATTATTATTATATATTAATGGGTTCCAAAAAGGGTGTATAATTTAAATATTATTATAATTTATTATTCGTTACCCTGAATTTGCTGTTTATATATATATTATTATTATTATCATTATTATTATTATATATTAATGGGTTCCAAAAAGGGTGTATAATTTAAATATTATTATAATTTATTATTCGTTACCCTGAATTTGCTGTTTATATATATATTATTATTATTATTATTTTTATTGTTATTTATCATTATTATACATTGCCACTATCATTGCTATCATTATCATCACTACTATTACTTACTGGTGCTAAACGTAGGGAATGGATGGGTTGCTGGGGGTTGCTGGGATGATTATTCATAGTTATTGTGGATCATTCCCGAAAATTCCCTACTAAGCACCAGTAAGTAAATGGCTGTACCCCAAAGTGGATGGCTTATAACGGAAAATCCTAGTAAAAAAATTGTTGATTGAGGGGTACCCCCATTTCAGAAAGCAGACCTCCATGGTAGAACAAAAGCCCACATGGGAAACAAAAATGATGCACCAGCACAATGAACTATAGCAAAGTGATGAGATTTGAGGACCCTAAACCTGAAAATGGGGATATCCATCAAAATGCATCGCTATCCTAGGTACTTTACAACATGTTGCTTTTTCCTTCGGGGTGAACTGAACTAACCATGGTGAGACACGATGGGACGAGGATCTTTGGTCTATTGGCTCCAACATGTGGGGTCCAAAACCAACGGACATGAATAGAGATAGAGTTGAGAAGTTGGAACCCAAATTAACTATATATATATATCATGTTATATATATATACATCAATTATCTAGATATACATGTGTCAACCATATATATATACTGTATATAATATAAATATAGATATCAATGATAGCTATCAATGACTCCAAGAGTTCATGGCCCAAAATTGAGTTGTTGATCAAACAGACATGTTTTTTTTTTCACGGGACAATGGGATAAGATCTGGTGAAACAATCCGACAAAAATGCAGCCATGGGATAGCAAGCAAAGTTACGAGGAGTATGCCAAAAAAATGGATGGCTAGTGATGGTTCATGTACTGTAATCCTGAAAGAAACTAACATATTTGTGGGTTGGGGTGCATTAAATGTTGAAAGGAATTGAACCAAACAACACGTATGGTCCACTTGTCCCTGCATCCAAGAGACAGTTCTCGCAAAAGAAATCAAAGAATTGATCATTGTCATCCTGAGCGCCCAGCCGCCGGCCAAGCAAAACACTGAAACATCATTTAGTTTTTTCCGGCCCAATACACCCAATACTAAACATATAATTTACATATTTACCATATAATATGAATAAATCAACTCTTAGGTCGACCGAGATTTCATACTGATTCCAAGGAAGAAAGGAGCATGTGGCTGTGGTCTGGGTCTAAGGATAGCCAAAACAAACGTGGTTCGTTGGTCATATTGAGGGTACAGGTCTTGTAATTTGACCTTGGTGTGTCAGAACAAAAGGTACCCCTAAATGCCACTGCTTAAGGATCATTGCTCAAAGTAGAATAATTTGAAATGCCCATTTTGGTGTGACACCGGTATAATCAATTTTCAGACACATCCACCTACTATAACAAACACCCATCCTCATGGCAAACTCTCTGACAATCCCCGTTGCGATGACCTGTCAGCTGCACTCAGCCACATCTGACTTGAGAATCTTGAGGGCACCATGGATGTTGGGTATGTCTTCAACATATAGATGATTATAGATGTATAATGACCGGATCGGTGGGTACCACAACCATCCTCAAGTTCTGTCAATTTGGGCCCTAATTTGATCCCGAAACATCGGGGATGCTATAGCTATCTATAGCTGCCTCTGCAAATGCAAACCCATCAAGATGTTAGATGACACAATAACATACCCTCTGGTAATTTAACATAACTATGGAAAATCACCATTTTTTCATGGGAAAATTCACTATAAATGGTGATTTTCAATAGCTATGTTAAATTACCAGAGGGTACACAACAATCGACAACAGACCTGCAAAGATATGACAACGTACGCAACTTCTGCTCGTTCCTTCTGGATGCAAACCCACAATCATTCATCTTCCCATCTTCCCACCAAAAAAAAACATCATCACACACTCACACATCAAAAAAAATACTGTATAAATATATAAATATAATTATATCAGATATGCATAGTGTTTATATATATATACATATCTATTCCATCATCCCCCCAGCGTTGGTTTCCCACATCCTTCGCCCTTCGCCGTAGCGTCGTTCTGCTCGCCCCAGAGCAGCGCCTCGGTCATGGAGCGGATCACCTCCACCGCCTCCGCGGACTCGTCAGTCTCCAGGATCGACTGCAACCTGCGGCAACGGCGCATGCAACGGGGAAGGGGAAGGGTGGCTGGGGATAAGATGGATATGATATATATATATATATATGTATAAATAAAGAAATATGGTGGGAATCTATAGAATTCTATGTTTATGAAGATGGATACATGGTGGGATGATCTAATGTAAAAAAAAAAGATAGATGTGGAAAAATATATGTACATATACGTATAATGATATGTGTATAATATATATATGTATATATATATATATAAATATGATAGATAGATGGTGGGACGATGTTTTGTGAATTTCAAAAATCAATTAATGTGAGAAATTGTATTGAAGTGATGGACAGATCATTATATTGTGGGATATGAATAAATGAGAGAATTGACGCCATCAATGTGATGAAGAACAGAGTTGCGTATATACTTGTTTCAATCCAGAAACGTAACTTTATTTCATTCACTTATCAGCTTTTGTAACTGCCAAACTGTGATGTCCAATGCCATCGAAAAAAATGCAAATATAGCTGATATTATCGCTAGGAAAGCAAGCCTCATGAACAGAAGTTCTTTTCAGCTATATCCCATGTTGTGTGGGGTGTTAACTTGGTTGTGCCTGAAATCAAACAATCACTTCCACAATTTTCCAGTTTTTCTCCACTGGATTCGGCCTGTCGTGCAGCGCCTGCAGCTTCTGCAGGGAATAGGAGGGGCGCCGTCCCAGGCCCTGCTCGCGGGTGAAGAGCTGCTGAAACAGCGCCGCCATGGCGGCAGGACTTCGACGGAGAGGGGGGAGGGACGGAAATCTCGGATGGTTCTGCCGGGGATAGGTGGAAAAGTGTCAAGCTGTGTACATATACTGATACTTATATATAGGGATATTTATATGTATGTGCGTATGTATATATATATATATACATACACATATTATAGTTTCCGAACAAAAACTGGGATGGCGGCCAGTTGAAGCACATTGAAACCACTGTCCAACGTTGAAAACATCCTGGGGGAACGCAAATCTATGGTGATCTGTGCTGAAGCTGGCCCCCGGGGCATGGCGCCACTGGATGTGCTTGGAAGATGGCTTGGCCATGAAACCACCCACCACAGTCGATTTTGAGTTGCTGCTTGCTGCTTTTGACACTTGAAGATGTTTTTTAATGTTTTTTGTAGTTTGTTTATCATTTTATCACTTGTGACGTTTGGGATCATACAAAGAAATAGAGTTGGAACACATGTTTGAGACCACTTACTAGGAGTGTAGACCATCATCTCCAGTAGTGGCTGAGCATCTTTGGCTTCTACCAATTGCATGGTCGGCGTAGCATCAGTCTACAGCTGCTGGCAGAAAGTTGCGCGGGCGTTGGTCTTAACTCCACCCTCTGAAGTCTGGTTATCGAACCTTGCAGTAAAGATCACCCATTTATTATAGATACCCTTTGGTATTCCAAACATGGCAATGGAAAATCCACCAGTTTTAACATGCTTCCCCCATTCAAATGACCATTTAGTTTGGAGATTTCCGAGCCATCGGTGACCCATGACCCAGTGGATCATCCAACAACTACGATCCCCGACCGTGGGTCGATTGAAAAGTGAATGACACCTCGAAAATCTGGGGAAAACATCATCTGTTTGGCTGCAATGAGATATCAAAATCTAACAGCAGGAAGCACTGAAGAGACAAAGATTACTTCTACAAGTCACATCTATTGGTGTCCTGCATGTTTGTTGCCTGATAAGAAAATGATGGAAACTGTTTTTTTGTTTTTTGTTTGTTCCTCTTGTTTAATAAAACATATCATTGATTTTCCATATGGCCAATTCTCGGAATCTCTAGGTTCACGAAAAGGACATCAACAAATTTGGGAAGATCCCATCGTTTGCCACACATTTGCACATAATGATGCATGGCAAATTTGGGTGATATTGCTGAAAGGAATATAAGGTAATGGCCATATAATGGGTATTATATCTTCAACAGGGATATCGCTGTTTGGGAAGCTCCCAAACAGCTTACCTTATCCCTATATTTATAATTTCTGAAAGGCCATGTCATAATTTCCGTCCCTGGCCTGTGTCCTATTGCCGGAGTTTTTGCGGTGGATGTAACTGGGGTTAGCCATTCATGAAGATAAGCCATGATAAGCCACATGGGGACTTACTAATGATTACAAACCATTGCTAACTCTGAAAGCCATTACTAACCGTTACAAACCACTATTAACCACTACTAACCACTATTAACCATTACTAACCATTACTTAACCATTACTTAACCATTACTAACCAGGCTTTTTCCAACATGTTCGAAACATCGTTTTCTCAGCTCCCAGGAGACACCCACCTCAAAGGTTGCACCATAGTCCACGGCCAGCATGAAACCTGCCGATTGCTGACGCCCGAAGTCGGGCGGCCAGTAAAGAGACTTGGATGTGGCTTGTCCACATTTATACCGTATGTTGTGAAACATTGATATACCAATAATCCAATATATATAGTATATATATATATATGTATATATCATAAATATATATACATATGGGTGAAAAAATGCCACAAAGGCAGAAACAAATATCATGGAATTGAAATTGAGATGGTTATGATATGGGGAAGTTCCATGTTTATGGAAGTACCCCCATAGCTGGATGGTTGAACAAATGGAAAATGCCATCTAGAAATGGATGACGACTGGGGGTACCCCTATTTCAGGAAACCTTCATATGCCCTTTGCAGCTTGAGTGTAGGTAAATTTCACGATTGTTGAATCATCTGACCCATCTTGACCCATTATATATGTCCCAAATACAATTGGAAGTACTATAATACTATAAAATCATGAATTATGCAATATTACAATTTATTGGATTGTAGTATTGGCTGTATCAACTAAACATATTTCTTGGATGTAATCCGATTCAATGTCAGGCCGCAAATATTCTGACGATTCTTTTTTGGAAGGAACCCACAGTGCCATTTTTTCCGTCCGATCTCTGTTCGAGCTTCTGGTTTGAAACTGGTTTGCAACTGGTTTGAAACTGGTTTGAAACCCAGAAATCCACCAGGATCCATGTAGGGGAGGTAAGTATAGAGGTAGACTAAGTGGAACAAGATCTTAGGTGGTTTGCTGTTTCCTTGCCATAAATATAATATATATATGTATATATATATATACACCTTAGGAAGCGTCCTATGCACATTTATAGCTATGCAGTTATACAGTTTGACACATCTAATCCGAAGCTCAGATATATTTATATATATTTATATATATATACTCTCCATCCTTTGTCGAAATCAAATCCCTGTGTGATCTTCCCAGCGACATGGCAATCACCTGGAGAGTTTCCCTTCCGGAATTTGCTCCGAAATTTATGGACGGCGTGAACCATTGGAACTGATCTGAGAATCACTAGGTAACCGACATTTAAAGGGTGGTAAATAAGAACTATAAACAGCCAACCCCAGCAAGTGCTACTTGTTAAACTTACTGGATGATAATCTCATTATGGCTATGTAATTATGTAGAACTACGCAACTACCGACATCTTATGCTGAGATCTTCATTCCAACAGCGGCCCAGGCATGATGTGGCAGCATGGGGAATTGGCAGAGTATACCCCATCTTTGGTGGGACTATCATGGGATTCAGTGGGAATACTCAGTGGGAATATCATTGTACATATACTGGCTGGTGGTTGACCTACCCCTCTGAAAAATGATGGACTTCGTCAGTTGGGATGATGACATTCCCAACTGAATGGAAAATAAAAGTCATGTTCCAAACCACCAACCAGTATAAAATAACCAACAATTGAACTATATGGGTGTCTGAAAATCGGCTATTGTACTCCCCAAATGACCATCTACAATACAATGATGATACTCATCCCTTTCATTTGAGGTACCATACTTTCAGACAAAGCCAAGTGGTGAACCACTTAACCACCAACAGTAAGGGCAAATCTTCACCAATTCTTGCAAAGCTCACCTGCATGGGGGCGGTTGAAACCTGACACAGCCAAATGCATTCCTATCTTTGTGTGGAACAAGACAATGCTGGTTGGTGGTTTCAACCCCTCTGAAAAATATGAAAGTCAGTTGGGGTTACTATTCCCAATATATGGAAAGTCATAAAAACCATGTTCCAAACCAGCAACCAGAATGGCTTGGGATGGCATTGGAAGGAGCTCCATTGTTGTCATGAACGAGCTACGTCCATGAACCGTCCAACAACCGTCCAACCTAAAAACCGCTAGTAGTGGGACGCAACAAGTGAAAAGATCAGCTCAAAATCACGGGCTGCCCCAAGAATGGACGCTTTGATACTAAAGATACCCAGATTAGTCCCCAATTAAAAAATTATACTATGAATAATGGCCAACATCAGCCAACATCTGTGGATTCAAACGGTTTAACTACATATTAATGGCTCTGGCAAAGCCTCATTTCTAGTAGATTTTCCCCTAAAAAACCACCCCAACCATAGCAGCATCGCCTTCCTTGCCGATCAAGCAATCGACCAGCTCAACGAAGTTGCGCTGGCGGCCCGAAAAAAAAGTGGCCCCAAGGAGATGGGCGAAGCATTGCTTGTCTGCGAAACAAAAAACTTGTTGGGTATAATATAGAATATATAATACATGATATATAAGATGATGTATATATATAATATGATATATATATAGTATAGAAAGCTATATTTCATATAATATTGTTGGCTATATTCCATGGTATATTGTTGTGTATCTAACTTAATACTTATATGATATAGAATATATAAAATATGATATATATATATATATAACGGTTGGTGGTTCCAACCATCTTGAAAAATGTGAAAGCCAATGGGAAGTATGATATCCCATATATTATGGAAAAATGTTTGAAACCACCAACCAGTGATATATAAGATATAATATGGTAGCGTATATACCCAAAAAAACTCTGGCTGAAACCATGAAATTGAATGTTGTTCCAAAAAAACTAATTCACCAGCACTGCCAATGCCAAACCTCACTGAAAAAACGTGGCCTTGTTTGGTGGTTGTCTCGGCTGAGCACATGTCAAGTACCAGTCCCGCTTGCAGATACTGGAGTATCTGGCTGAATTCTGCTAATCATATGTGTATCTATATCTAAGGAAATGTTTCCCAGACCCCAATCATCAACAAGGATATAACCATTCACCACCAAAAATAATGTCTCTCTTGCGGGGTTCATAATATGGGTGTTTCCCTGAATTAAAGTTAATTAGAATACATCCAAACCATTTGCTTCCATTACAAATGACCATATTTGTGTTTTAAAAATGGTCCTTCCATGACTTCGGAAACCTTCATATTAGCCCATAATTAGACGTTCTATTTTACATATTTCATAGATATCATATGTCACTATGAATAGTTCTATGTAATTATCTATGTTGTCTGACTCTACCCTCTGGTAAACTAACATAGACATAGCCATGGAAAATCACCAATTTTTGAATGGGTAAATCAACTATAAATGGCCATTTTCAATAGCTATTTTGACATAACCAGAGGGTATCTATGCAGATTTCCTAAGTCATGGTGGGTAGCCTCAAATCATCCAAGTCAGATCATTTTCGTACTTGGAGATCACCCATGGGAAATCTCCAGAAACACCCACAAACCCTCTGGTAAACTAACATATCTATTGGGATTTTATAGTGATTTAATGGGATATGATTGGTATATACTACCCCCTGGTAATTTGTTGCACTTTGCGACATAGAAAATGGCCATAGAAATTGTTGATTTACCCCCCAAAAAACATGGTGGATCTTTCCAGTTCGTTATGTAAACGTTTACCAGAGGGTAGATATAATTATCTATAAAAGTACAGCACATCCTCCCCATTGAGAAACAACCGACTTCTGCGGGCGATGCCCAAAGGCTCATGGTTAAAAGAGAGACCTATATGATTCAACGTATTGAACCAATTCTGGGACTTCGACATTAAGTCATGAACCGACAAAGCGGACGCTATTGGCCCAGAAAGCAAACAGAAGGGAAACAAACATAGCGAACAACTCAAAGAGTCACTCAGTTGACTGCCCGGCTCCGGTCAAGAACTCAGAAGCCGCAGTTGCAATCCCTCCTAACATGCTTGTGATTCCAGCTTCTCCCTTGCGTTTGGTGCTTTTGGCCATGACCTCGCCAAATGTCTTCGCTGCGTCATCAATATCCAAATCCATAGGGTGGTAGGTCTCATTGTACGTAGAAGCTGCTTGATCTACTGAGTCCTTCTGGGTACCCTCTGTTTCACAACGAGAACCTGGCTGGCACCGTCCTCTTCATGATCCGCTGGCACTCTTCAAACGAAGCATCCGGGCTTCACCACTTGGCTGTTTCCAGCTTATCAGCCCATTAATAATCACTGATAATCACATTAATAATCCCATTCATAGACCATTTTAGGAATTATATACATATAACATATATATATATGTATGACCAATAACATATATAGTTATCATTAATGATCTATACACATAATATTATTTATACACAAATAAAGCATCACCGCTGGTGAGAAACAAAAAAACGCCCGGCCCAATCCTTCCGTGGCACCTCTCCAGGACGCAGCAGGAGTTGGATATTGGGATAACCCAAGGGCCTAACCCATGGGAGAACCCAAATGGTGCCGGTCATCATGGAAACAACATGGGAAATATATGGAATATATAGGATATTATGGCATAGAGTTAGGAATATTTTTGTGGATGTTGTTGGGGATGGAGTTGAAGATTGGAAATTAGAGCCTTCCATGGGTTGCTTCTGCAAAATGAGTTTCCCATGATCTCATGGTAATTTTGTGATCTTTTATAGGATATAATGGGGGCACAATGGGGAAAATTACCCTCTGGTAAACTAACATAACTATAGAAAATCACCATTTTCAATGGGAAAATCCACTATAAATGGTCATTTTCATTACCAGAGGGTAAGACATTGTCACAACAAGACCAACATCGTATGGGGATACCAATCGCCAAGCTATTGGGATCAGATGTGATTCGTGGATTTTTTCGAACGGGCTTGTTGGAGGAGACTGAGATCGAATGCACAACTAATTTTTAGGAACGTATGATTCATACAGCAAGAGGAATATATAGTTGGACAACCCCATAGATTGAAATATGTGGATATAGGATGATATGATGTGACTTCACATATCATGAAATTGATGTTTGCTGGCGTTGATCTTGATTTCACGATCTTATATAGGACTTTGCCACCAGCTCACCATGGTTGTTTCAATACTAAGCTATGGTCATCCATGACTTGGATGATAACTGGGGGGTACCTCCATGACTTAAGAAACCCCCACTTTAGTATATCAGTGTATGTAGTATATCATTGCCCATCCACGAAGGTTGGTGACAACAAGCACGGTTTTATGCTAAACATCATAAAACCATCATGTCGCTTACCACTAGACCCGGCCCCAACCAGTTATAAGTTCATTAGTTTCACCCATCAAACTACAAGCAAATCTACCTGTTCAATCCTGAACCAAAGTAATCAAAATCATTTAAGGCAACTTATCTTTTGTTTGGGTCACACAAAGTATAAGCCATGAACTATATCCAATGCTGCTTGGGGGATATAGCCCTGCTACTAAGCCACTGCCCATTTGGAGGTTTCCTAAGTCATGGGAAAACCCCTAAATCATCATCCATCATCATCCATCATCATCCATCATCCTCCATCATCATCCATCATCATCCATATGGTTTTTCAAGGGGGATCCTAAATAGGGGTAACCCTAAATCATGCATTTACCCCTAAATCATCATCCATAGTTTTTTTTCAATGATATATTTTGGGTAAAAACCAACCATTGATATATAGAAACCATTTTGGGTAAAAACCAACCATTGTTTGGTTCCCATGTTGAAAACCAACCATTTTGCGGATCCCGTAGTCATTCGGAAACCATCGACAGCTTCCGGAACCTGTAGATGTCGATGAGGCGCTGAATTCGAGCCTGTTTTCGTTGGGGCCAGGTGGGGCCAGTTGAATCGGGATCCACTAAAAATCACCCATTGATATATAGAAATATATGGTTGCTTAATGGGATTTATAGGGATTTCATGGGATTAGAGTGGAATTATTACGGGAAATTGAGTTTGATCTACCCTCTGGTAATTTAACGTAGCTATGGCAAATCACCATGTGTTTTTACAGATTTTATAGGTAAATCATTGTAAATCATCTTTAAACATGCCGTTTTCCATAGCTAGGTCAATAACCAAAGGGTGTATATTATATATACACTATACAATATTTGATGTAGTTGAATACTAAAACGTGTGTTTAATTGCTTTGTGATTTTGAGATGATTCACCCTATTATCAAAAAAAGACATGGTTTTCCGTCGGCCTGTGAGGATATAATCATGCACCATCGTGCACCCAAAAAGGTGGTTTTCAATATATATATATATATATATGTATATTGGATGCCACTCCGTATGTTGATGATCTACTTATTTTAACTTTATGTTCATAATGTTTCTACCTTTTTGGGGACCTCTTCAACCTACAACCGGTATTATAGATCCATTTTTTTTTTGCCACCGAAAATTGCCGGCATCTCTTTGCCTTGTCCCAGGTTGCGATGTCTCCAGCATTGGAGGTCCCAGGATAGGCTGCCATCATTTTTCGGGTCGTTTGCATCGAACACGGTCGAACTATGTCGTTTGCTGTTGTTTGCTATATATATAATGTATGAGCTAATGTATGTTGTTTACAAACATATTATATATATATATATATAACTATATATATATAATTATATATATATATCCATTATGTGTATTTGTGTATATATAAGCTATCTGCAATCGTTTCGCATACCGGTTCCCTACAGTCACCTGGTTGATACACCCAAAACCATCCGAATCGCGCCTCATGCACCTCAAACCACCACCTGGATAGCTTCAGACGTCCCAAGGGATACCTATTGACTTATGATTTATAGGGGTTTATAGGGGGTTATTGTATTTCATTGAAGATTATGATCATCCAGAGTAATCCTAACTCCTAACTTTTCAGGTCTTAAAGGTTGTCAAGCGATTCTTAGGTCTTCCACCCTCCAGTGTCCAATTTTGTGCCTCGGACAAGCAGCCAATGTCAAGACAGCCAGGACAAAGTATTGGACACCTTTAACCAGTTCATTCATACAATTTATTTAATACTGTATAATATATATATAGTACTGTATAATATATATATATATAATACTGTATATATATATATATTACTGTATATATATAATACTGTATATATATATATAATACTGTATATATATATATACTGGTTGGTGGTATGCCTACCCCTCTGAAAAATATGAAAGTCAGTTGGGATGATGACATTCCCAAGATATGGAACAATAAAAAATGTTACAAACCACCAAACCAGTATATATATATGCATATGGCAGCCGACATCAGCCGATATTCTTGGTTTGAAGCCACTGAAAAGGACTAATCAATGGAGCGTCATCCTCCCAAACATGGCTGAAGATCTATACCCTATACCTATGTATATATACGAACCTGGATATACACCCTGTTCGAAACCACTATGTTTTATTGGTTGATATGATACATACATAATCATAGAGTGTCACCAAGTAAAAACTAGAATGAACAGTAATTGTAATGTCAAATTAAATTGTAAGTCAACATACAGCATCCCCATCCAGTTGATCTGGTTGGTTCCCAGTTCTCCTGCTTAAAAGGTCAACTTTTAATTTTAGCGGTTATGTTTCTAGAACCGCGATGTTAGTGGAACGGGAACAAAAACTGAAAGTCAACCGCCATATCCTATGAATTAAGTTTCCATTGATTTCCCATGAATTTCCCATGAATTAGGCTTTATTCCCATGACTTTTTGATGTACAAACATGTTCACATCCAAGCGGCTTCAAGTCCTCACAGCGCCGTTCCGATAAGGGCACGGGCACCTCAGAAGGCGAAGCGAAGTCCGAGAGGTCCAATGGAGGGTGAAGCAACAAAGATGAGTAAACAATAGTAAACATATGTAACCATTGGGATTGTCATGGATTTTATCCATGGATTTTATCGTGACGATGAGGTAAAACAAAATGACATTTTACATGATATGTCATGGACGATTTCACCAAACCATGCTATCGGGTATCACCGAACTAAGAGACTGGGGCGGCCCACATGTTTATCGTTCAGGTGAGAATGGGGATGTTACCACGAAATTTTGCATGCAACCAACATCAGCCAAGGGGAGGTTGCAAAAATAGGTCGGAAAATGTCTGCCCACGCTCGTGTTCATGGCGTAAGTATTTCAGGATCAGCAATCCCCATGGACTGTTGGGCTATATCCCCATGGATTTATTAACCATCAACCACCATTAACCACTATTAACCACTATTAACCACCATTAACCACCATTAACCACCATTAATATGGGATACTCCCAAATCCAGTGGTTGAGAAAAGTGGTTCCGGTTTTTTCATGGCCATTGGAGCAAATCACAATCATTGGATCCAAACATGATCCCCGAAAAAAGGCTATGGACCAACTTGTTGTTCCCAACTGGCGCGGATGGTCCAAGACTAACTTAACCTTGTTGGCAAATGATATTGTTTCATTAAACCATCAAATTTAGTAGTTCATCATCAAGTTTTCTCCATTGAAACCGCGTTTTTGGGGTAGACGTTGCTTTCACACAAATACACAAATGGTATAGCCCCATTGTATCACTATCTTTAGAGCCCATTTGAATGGTTTGCTCAAGTCCCAACCCTTTATCCAACTGTATCTATACCCATAGAATATCCCCAATGGTTCCCTCACTACATGACCAAAAAAAATACATCATTTCTTTACACATGACATTGCACTATTGTGGATTAAATTGAAAGAATTGATCTACAGGGCTGCATCTACAGGGTGGTACCCCTGTCATGTTTTTTAAAGCCCCAGAAAAACTATAGATGTAACCACCCCGGCTGACGTCGTGATTTCAGTTGTGGGGGCCAACTGAGCTAAGGAACTCGGGTAGGGATGATTCCCCTAAAAACATAAACACCATGGTTCCAGGCTTCAAAAGTCACGACGTGAGGTCACCAAAAAAATTGCCCAGTAAATTGGTGAAAGACATCTCCCCATGATATTCCAATATCTATTTCACCATCAAGTCTTTGGGACAACCATTAACCACTATTAACAGTTATTAACCACCATTAACCACCATTAACCAACATTAACCAACATTAACCACCATTAGCAACCATTAGCCACCATTAACCACTATTCACCACCATTAACCACTATTAACCACCATTAGACAACATTAACCAACATTAACCACCATTAGCAACCATTAGCCACCATTAACCACTATTCACCACCATTAACCACTATTATCCACCATTAACTACATTAACAATTATAAACCACCATTCACCACCATTAACCACTATTAACCAACATTAACCACTTTAACCACTATTAACCACCATTAACCACTATTAACCAACATTATTCACCATTCACCACCATTAACAGTTATTAACCACTACTAGCCACCATTAACCACTATTAACCACCATTACTAACTATTAACCACTATTAACCACCATTAACCACTATTAACCAACATTAACCACCATTAACCACCATTAACAACCATTAGCCACCATTAACCATTATTCACCACCATTAACCACTATTAACCACCATTAACCACCATTAACAGTTATTAACCACCATTAACAGTTATTAACCACCATTAACTACTATTAACCACCATTAACCACTATTAAACACCTTTAACCACTATTAACCAACATTATTCACCATTAACCACCATTAACAGTTATTAACCACCATTAACCACTATTAACCAACATTATTCACCATTAACCACCATTAACAGTTATTAACCACCATTAACCACTATTAACCACCATTAACCACTATTAACCAACATTAACCACTATTAACCACCATTAACCACTATTAACCACCATTAACCACTATTAACCACCATTAACCACTACTAACCACCATTAACCACTATTAACCACCATTAACGACTATTAACGACCATTAACAGTTTTTAACCACCATTAACCACCATTAGCCACTATTAACCACCATTAACCACTAGTAACCACCATTAACCACTATTAACCACCATTAACCGCCATTAACAGTTATTAACCACCATTAACTACTATTAACCACCATTAACCACTATTAAACACCGTTAACCACTATTAACCAACATTATTCACCATTAACCACCATTAACACTTATTAACCACCATTAACCACTATTAACCACCATTAACCACTATTAACCAACATTATTCACCACCATTAACAGTTAACCACTATTAACCACCATTAACCACCATTAACAGTTTTTAACCACTATTAACCACTACTAACCACCATTAACCACTATTAACCAACATTATTCACCATTAACCACCATTAACAGTTATAATATTAAACACCATTAACTACTATTAACCACCATTAACCACTATTAAACACCTTTAACCACTATTAACCAACATTATTCACCATTAACCGCCATTAACAGTTATTAACCACCATTAACCACTATTAACCACCATCATCCACTATTAACCAACATTAACCACTATTAACCACCATTAACCACCATTAACCACCATTAACAATTATTAACCACTATTCGCCACTATTAACCACCATTAACCACTATTAACCACCATTAACCACCATCAACCAACATTATTCACCATTCACCACCATTAACAGTTATTAACCACTACTAGCCACCATTAACCACTATTAACCACCATTACTAACTATTAACCACTATTAACCACCATTAACCACTATTAACCACCATTAACCACTATTAACCACCATTAACCACTATTAACCACCATTAACCACCATTAACCACTATTAACCACCATTAACCACTATTAACCACCATTAACCACTATTAACCACTATTAACCGCCATTAACCACTATTAACCAACATTATTCACCACTAACCACCATTAACAGTTATTATATTAACCAACATTAACCAACATTAACCACCATTAACCACCATTCACCACGATTAACCACTATTAACCACCATTAACCACTATTAACCAACATTAACCACTATTAACCACCATTAACCACTATTAACCACCATTAACCACTATTAACGACCATTAACAGTTTTCAACCACCATTAACCACCATTAGCCACTATTAACCACCATTAACCACTATTAACCACCATTAACCACTATTAACCACCATTAACCACTATTAACCACCAACCACTATTAACCACCATTAACCACTATTAACCACCATTAACCAACATTAACCACTATTAACCACCATTCACCACTATTAACCACCATTAACCACTATTAACCACTATTAAACACCATTAACCACCATTGACCAACATTATTCACCATTAACCACTATTAACAGTTATTAACCACCATTAACCACCATTAACCAACATTACTCACCATTAACCGCAATTAACAACCATTAACCAACATCATTCACCAGTAACAACCATTAACACTTATTAACCACCATTAACCACTATTAACCACCATTAACCACTATTAACCAACATTATTCACCACCATTAACAGTTAACCACTATTAACCACCATTAACCACCATTAACCAACATTATTCACCATTAACCACCATTAACAAATATTAACCACCATTAACCACTATTAACCACCATTAACCACCATTAACCACTATTAGCCAAAATTATCCACCATTAACAGTTATTAACCACTATTAACCACTATTAACCACCATTAACCACCATTAACCACTATTAACCACCATTAACCAACATTAACCAACATTAACCAACATCAGCAACCATTAGCCACCATGAACCACTATTCACCACCATTAACCACCATTAACTACTATTAACCACTATTCACCACCATTAACCACTATTAACCAACATTAACCACCAATAACCGCCATTAACAGTTATTAACCACCGTTAAACACTATTAACAGTTATTAAGCATTATTAACCACCATTAACCACTATTAACCAACATTAACCACCATTAACCACCATTAACAGTTATTAACCACCGTTAACCACCATTAACAGTTATTCATAACCGCTATGAACCACCATTAACCACTATTAACCAACATTAACCAACATTAGCCACCATTAACCACCATTAACAGTTATTAACCACCATTAACAGCTATTTACCACTATTAACCACCATTAACCACTATTAACCAACATTATTCACCACCATGAACAGTTTTTAACCACCATTAACCACTATTAACCACCATTAACCACCATTAACCAACATTATTCACCATTAACCACCATTAACAAATATTAACCACCATTAACCACTATTAACCACCATTAGCCACCATTAACCACCATTAACAGTTATTAACCACCGTTAACCACCATTTACAGTTATTAACCACTATTAACCACCATTAACCACCATTAACCACCATTAACCACCATTAACCACTATTAACCACTATTAACCACCATTAACCACTATTAACAACCATTAACCACCATTAACCACCATTAACAGTTATTCACCACCGTTAACCACCATTAACAGTTATTAACCACCGTTAACCACCATTAACAGTTATTAACCACTATTAACCACCATTAACCACTATTAACCAACATTAACCACCATTAACCACCATTAACAGTTATTAACCACAGTTAACCACCATTAACAGTTTTTTAACCTATATTAACCACCATTAACAGTTACTAACCACCGTCAACTACCATTAACACTTATTAACCACTATTAACCACCATTAACCACCATTAACAGTTATTAACCACCATTAACCACTATTAACCACCATTAACAGTTATTAACCACCGTTAACCACCATTAACAGTTATTAATCACTATTAACCACCATTAACCACGATTAACCGCTATTAACCACCATTAACCACCATTAACCACTATTAACCACCGTTAACCACCATTAACAGTTATTAACCACCGTTAACCACCATTAACAGTTATTAACCACTATTAACCACCATTAACCACTATAAACCACTATTAACCACCATTAACCACCATTAACAGTTATTAACCACCGTTAACCACCATTTACAGTTATTAACCACTATTAACCACCATTAACCACTATTAACCACCATTCACAGTTAATTATTAACCACCGTTAACCACCATTAACAGTTATTAACCACTATTAACCACCATTAACCACCATTAACCACTATTAACCACCATTGACCACCATTAACAGTTATTAACCACCATTAACCACTATTAACCACCATTAACCACCATTAACAGTTATTAACCACCGTTAACCACCATTAACAGTTATTAACCACTATTAACCACCATTAACCAACATTAACCAACATTAACCACCATTAACCACCATTAACCACTATTAACCACCGTTAACCACCATTAACAGTTATTAACCACCGTTAACCACCATTAACAGTTATTAACCACTATTAACCACCATTAACCACGATTAACCACTATTAACCACCATTAACCACCATTAACCACTATTAACCACCGTTAACCACCATTAACAGTTATTAACCACCATTAACCACTATTAACCACCGTTAACCACCATTAACCACCATTAACCACCATTAACCACCATTAACCACTATTAACAACCATTCACCACCATTAACCACTATTAACCAACACTAACCAACATTAGCCACCATTAACCACCATTAACAGCTATTAACCACCATTAACCACTATTAACCAACATTAACCAACATTAACAGCATCTCACTTGCCAGGCTCGTATTGACCACAACCGGGTCTTTGGTTAACTTCGCCATGTTCAGAACCATCTTGGCCTGCAAGAGGAGGAGGTTTTTCTCCATGCGTGGCGTCGCACCTCGTGTTGCAGCCGTTGCACTTGTTCCTCCAGGTCTACCCGAACTTCTGTCTCTCCGTTCAAAGCCTTGATGTGCTGGAGGTTTCTTTCCTCCGTTGGTGAATGACATCTCCCCATGATATTCCAGCTGCAATTCACCGGGCCTGGGCCTGGCCATGGTTGCCGTGGTGGCGGCGCCTGTGCTGGCGGCGGCGGAGGCTGCTTTCTTTGAGCAGGCTGCTTTCTTTGAGGCGGCGGCGTCATGGGCGGGTTGCCGCCGCCCAAGATCCAGTTGGCGCCACCGACAGCGGCAACGGTGAACGGCCTTTGCGCCATAAAGAAAAATAAACACGAAGAAACAAATCTTGGGCCCAAAAAAGAATATCATCCGAAACAAGAATCTCATCCGAAACAAGAATCTCATCTATCACATCTATGTGTCTCTACCAGTAGTACTGCACGAGGCGGTGGCGGAAGTTTCCAAGATAGGCAACCTATAGGAGAATTGCAAAGGCTGCGACGCACAACTGGCAGGGCGATCAATTGCCGAACTGAAAGGATTTTCGAACTGAAAGGATTTTGGAGCTTCGGTGTCTACGATGCAATATCTAGTTCACCATCAAGTCTTTGGGACAACCATTAAACAACATTCACCACCATTACTTTGTCGGCTCGGCCGGGGAAAAAGCGCCTGCCGTGTCGTGGCGGAGGTCAGGAACAGCAGCTCCAAGTCCACCGCCTCGTCGCGGGCGTCGGAGTTTCAGCGACAGAGGATGATATAATATGATAGAATCTACATCTATATATATATATTGATTTATTTATTATTATTAATTATTATTATTATATGATATATACATATAGTCATTGCTTTTATGGGATGCATGGGATTTAATGGGATTTAATTTGATTTAATGTATTGTGATTTGATGGTTGGGGAAACTTTTGGATACACAGTTTAAACAAGTATCTGGATCCCTCCAGTAAACTTAGAGTTTACGGATGACTTATCATATGCCTAAAGAAGTGTGCAAAATTCCACAGCGAACTGTTTACCAGAGGTACCATATTTACATCATTTACTAGTTCATTGAATATGTTATTATCTTATTGTATTTAGGTATAATACAGCTCCAAAGATGTCTAAAGTCATTGAAGATGTTGATTCACCAAACTGGAGAGGCTTTAGATTTCACTGCAAAATGCTTCAACAATCAGTATTGTAGAATGAGGATTTCACCACCGTAAACCTATATTATATATAATATAGATATTATATATAGATATATTATAGATTTGACAAATGTTAGAACCCAGCAAAATCTACAGTGGCTTACTTGCATCTGGGCAAAGAGTTAAGTCCGAAACCCACAGTCTGCATTTTTGTTGGGGATCATTCCCCTCACTTAAAATCATTTCTTTAATGGTGCGATCGTTTCGAGGTCGCTAAAAATTACCCACATTCCAACTGTTTGTTGCTAATCCAAAAACAGTTCCGCTCTGGCAAATTAACATAGGAAAATCACCATTTGTAGGTAGTTCATCATGTTTATCCATACAAATGAACCATTTTCATCAATTTTCCAGTTCGCAAACTGTTTCTTTGGAGGCTAATTTGCCGGTTGAATGGATCTGCTGAATACTTCCCATGATGCTCGCACCAGTGTCACAGCCGCAGCGACATTCCGACGTTCGAAACAAAAAGGGCGCCTCCCGCAATTGGTGTCGAAGCATTCGATAGACCTGGGGGGACATCTGAAGGTGTCGAAAGGCTGAACCTGGAGCAAGGTCTCTACATATATATATATATATGTAGGGTAAACACTGTATAATATAAATATATATATATATGTAACATTATGTAATTTTGTTGTAACCCCGCAAAGTATACAACGTAATCAATTGTTTTTCGCTCTTTTAGTTGGCTTTTATATCTTCATTTTCCATGTGGTTGACTATTTTTGGGATGTTCTACAAATATAATTATATAAGTCAGCTTGTTTTGATGTCAGTTTATGTGCCACAAATGCCAGAGCTGGGGTTTTTAGGATGCCTTTTTTAAGGATTCGGATCTTGTTAAAAAATGGGCATGTCTCGGAAAGCCACAAGGGCAGGATCTAGGGCCAAACCAGCAAATGGCGCGTGGCGTAGTCCACAGAAACCTAAAAAACACATGCGTGAGTGCTGGCAAAACATGTGTGCCACGTCCATTCCAATAGTATCCAATAATCTCAATGACAGGTTGTGTATTACATATATTACATGGTGTCCGTGTCCATCCAGGCGCTGCTCCCCTGATCCCCACCTGCCGAGGGAGCACCACAGAGTTCTGGAAATTCTCCTGGCACAGATATCACTGGAACAACAAAAATCCAGCAACTGAAGATTAAGCACCCGGATATAACTGGGATATAAACATCTGGGCCTAGAAAAATCAAGACCACAACAGAACAGTATGGCAAGCAGCTCTAATGATAATAATTGGGATATAACTGGGATAAGGTAGAAATTTACAAACGCGCAGAGTTTTGAAACAACAGGTCGTTGGGAAAGCACCATTTCTGGTCTCCCATCTGCCCAAGGAAGGGAACGGCACATGGATTGTTAGCTGCATGCCGAACCTGTCAAAACTTAGTATCAATTGAATACGGACATATAGAATCATGCCTGCTGAACGTTCGGTAATAATGTATGTGCATTGCAATGTATACAGTCTATATAAGCAAATAAATATAAACACAATGATGCATATGGCTGTATAAATACGTGTGTTTACAATCGATTTACGAAAAATATGTGATATATGTTCAACATGTACACAGTGTATGTATACCATTGTATATTATGTATGTATACAATTATACTATATATAGTGTGTATATGCAGCATCTACAAGTATACCTATACACAGTGTGTATATATATATATATGAATATATGTATCTATGTATGCATTATCATTAGAAGTACAATTGTCATTATTAGCATTATGCACCACACACATGCATATACAACACACATGCCATGGCTGCAATGGGTGCCTGGAAGGAAGGGACCAACCAAATACCACCTTATAATTGTAGATCTACTTACATCGACCGAATAATTAAGATATCTAATTCCACAAATTTGAAAACAAACCTTTTCCATATGAAACACACACATCATAAGTGTATCAAACGATATGTAATTCCCCACCACCAAAAAAGACATTGAAGGGTCTACAATATTATGGCTGGGTCTATCTATGTTTAGGATTCCTGAAGGGATTTGACCTCCTTCAGGCCTCCAATTCGCTGACCATTCCCTGAAGACGTTGACAAAGCTCTGCATCCTGCAAATTCGCGTTGAAATGCGTTGAATCAAACGTTGATTGATAGGCATGTGGGCTGCTGCTTGAACAAGCTGATGTATTGGTTGATGTATTGGTTGATATAATAGGGGGGTTAATATATTGGGTGATATGTTGTCAACATTGTGGGAGGGGGATTGCTAATTATTGCTTATTCTTGGTTGAACAATGGTGGTTCAATCCCTTTCAACATCATCAATTCACACAGCTGAGCTGTTTCAACATTGGGATCATCGTTCCTGGCAGGATGGAAGTCACAAGGTGTTTGAAACCAACCACTATATCATACATATATGTATTATGTACATATATTATATATATAATATAATATAATATAATATAATATAATATAATAAAATATAATATAATATAATATAATAAAATATAATAAAATATAATATAATATAATATAAATATAATATAAATATAAATATAAATATAATATAATATAAATATAAATATAATATAATATAAATATAAATATAATATAATATAATATAATATAAATATATATATATATTTATTTTTTATAATATGATATAATACGTATCATTATTAACTGCATAATACGGATTCGAGCCATAAAGAATTTACTGCACACCTGTCAGATAGGTCTCAAGCGCCATGCCAACAAAAGCAACAAACAATCAAATCCCACTTGGGTCGTTCTCCCGCCCTGCCAGAAGCACCTTCCGCAAACGCAGCCGCATGTTGTGTGCTGCCGCGGGAAGGTGTAGGTCATGGTGATTCCTGGCAGGTATGACACCAGCTACGAGACCCATATCCGGGTACCAAAATTCACCAGAGGAGTAGGGGTACCAAATTGTCAGGCAGACCCGGTTCTGCATGTAAACTAACACAACTATAGAAAATCACCATTTTTAATGGGAAAAGCCACTATAAATGACCATTTTCAATAGCTATGTAAACGTTTACCAGAGGGTAACCAACATTTTCATGCGCTGAGGCTCGGCATCCAAATGATCAGACGACTTCTGTGCTTTGCAAAGTGTTCACCTCCATGGATCCCGTCCGACCCCCTCCGGAACCATGACAGCAAGGGATCACGTCTCTCCATCTGAAAAGTATTAAAAAAGACACTTAATTGTGGATGAATATACGCTATGAATCTTGAGGTAAATTCCAATCTTTTCGTTTCAGGGATTCTCTAAATATGATATGATACAATATTTCATGTAATATGTAGTTATATAGTCCCCATGTCTTCAACCATGTTACCAATGTTCAAACCAGACCAACTTCCCTTAGCTGGATTTATAACCCCCGAAAATAAAGTATGCACACCTGTTTGTGTATATGTGTTCTGCATTTTCAAAACATCAGTTTCTCGTGATTATTCACCAAGCAAAAGGCGGCAAAGAAGCCAAGGAGGAACCAAACAGCTGTCGCTTGGCCGCCACGGAATGTTATATAGGTCTTTACAATTTCCTAAATTGATTAGATACAATAATAACCCCCACCCCATGACTGCTTGTGCCTGCAATGTGGTTTCAAAATCTTTATCACTCCTGATTCTTGTGAATCTAACCTCCCAAAAAAAAAAACAGATCCAGGTCCTGAAGATTCCTGAAGTTCTATTTCCAACAAACTCGGAAGGGGGGTAGCCCAGAACTCAAGCCAACACCTAAACAACAAGCTGACAATCACTGTTTGAACCTCCCAAAATCCTTTCTAGAGTCAATTATTTTTCAATTTCAAACTAATTTAGACTCCAGTTCGAAGTCAGTGGGAATGTTTTCTGGAGGCAAGTTGAATTCAAATTCAAATAAGTGAGTTCAAACTGAAAGTCAAATTTCTATTCAAGTTCAACTCAAACCCAACTTCCATTCGAAAACTATATATCCATATCCATTTCAAAGAAAATCCAAGATTTTTTTTCCTGAGGGGATCAAAACCTACCCTCCAGGTGAAGCCCCAGTTTGGGCCTTGAATCTCAGGTTTTGGGAACATTTGGTATCGATATCAAACTGTAGGCACTCCCGAGGCTAAACACACATACACGACAAAGGTGGTGAAAACCCATCAGGTTAAACCCTAGGAGCATAATCTGCAAATGATGTTTTTTCCATATCAAAGTGTAAACGCTTACAAGGGTAATCCATTCCAACCCGTGGTACCATGGTTCAAAGCATCATGTTTCCAACATTTTTTCCATCATTTTCCATGATTTTCTATCATTTTCCCAGCCATGGATCTGTTCGTGTCGGAATTCCCAGTTCAGGGATCCCACGATCCAGTTCCGTGGATCCCAGTTATCCCTGTTGCGCACATGATCTCGCTGAGGGCGATGACCATGGCCAAGCAACTGCCTCGGTGCCACCGCTAGGCGAACGTTGTGGTTTTATGGAGGTTCATGGCTGTGATCAACCTTAGCAACATGTATGGCTATCAACGGATTTATGGATATGTGTTTATCTAATAAAAATCTGGATTCTTGGGAACAGGTATAGAACCAGGAACAGACTGCAAGAAAACAGTCGGTTGTAACATATAACCTCAAAAAATGATGTTCTTGAAAGGACAATGCAGTCTTGAGCACCATGCTGCGCTGATGTATCTGGCCTCTGGAGTCTTGGCTATGAAATATTTTAGTTTCATCGGCAGGCCGATGCTATTGGTTCTTTGGAATCAAGAATCTGCTTGGACATGCTGCCGGATTCGAAATCTGCAAAGATTTCTCTTTTCGGCAGCGCAAGCGGATGCAGGCTTGAACAAATCAAGAAACATACCCGATGCTCTCACAGCAGATCGCGCGAGCAGCAGCCTCAAGGGCAGAGCAGGAGCAGGATCAACTCTTGAGAATTACCACCAAAAATGACAAAGGGGTGGAGATGTCACCCACGATCAAACCAATGGTCAACGGCCATGAAACTGATAACTTGAACTGAAGCGGGCTCGTGAACAGGAAGAGGCATTTTCCCGCACTAGTGGCTTGTAATGATGCACCTTGCATCAAGTGCACCTGCCGCGGCTTCATTTCAAGAAGCTTTGCCCCCAAGTTGACAGTAGGGTGCATCATCGAGCGCAACCATCAACAATAGAAAAGCTACTCCCCGTAGTGAAAAGGTGTCTTCACCAGCTCCAAGGCAATCTTGACCGGGTAAACTTGCGATGCTTTGGCCTCACGCCGCTCGTCAGATTTGACAGTTTGCCGTTCTCAAAAACAAAAATGAGAAAACTCTTTGTTAACACAAAGGAAATTTGCATCTGACTGTTCAAGTCGCTCTGTCACGTTTGCCGGCCACTGCCTTCTTTCCAGTGGCTGGGTCAAAGTTCACAGTGCAAAGCTGGGTGTCTTGATCGGATGAGGTCTTGCTTACCCTTGGTTTCTGCGCTGCCTTGGTCTTTGGTTTTGCGACAGCCTTTGCTCCGGAAGTTTGATCTGTTGCCTTTGCTTTCTTCTGGCGAGCGCTCTTCAGGTTGAGCTCATACCGGCGCCCTCCTCATCAGCCTTCCCGGCAATGGTGTTGGCCGACACAAAGGCTGCAGTTGCCGCGGCCGAGCAGGAATTTGACTGTGCTTGATAGCGCGGATCCTGCTCCACTCAGATTGGTTTCAGGACATCGCCAAGGAAAAGCGATAAGGATCGGCGTGCCGATGAAAAATTGCAACCGTGTAAACAGAATCCGGTGCAAACAACGGTTCCCATGACCCAGCCTTTTGGCACAAGACCTGCCAAAGAAGAGCAATCATTGACTTGCTTTCATGTTGGGTCATGTTTGCAGTGGCACATCAGGAACGCCTACCAATCCTACATGAGAAGTGGTCACGGGCTAAACAGCTAAACAAAAATCTGACATGCTGATGCTGCTCCAGGTCCTGCCCAAGGGTCTGAGACTGAGATCTTTTAATGCAGGGCTGGGCCTCAAGAAGCGGAGATGCGGCAAGCAGTGAAGCATGAGTCCTTCTCTCTCTAGCAGCATAAATGCAAGTACCGCGTTGTCCATATTTATATTTAAAGCATGCGCGCGTGATTTGGCTTATGTTGGACAAACCGCGTCGGACTCTGTATGCTTATATTGGAAAAATCGCATCGGATTCTGTATGCTTGCGCAAGGTCAAAGCATATGTTGGAAAGACCTCGTGGGACTCTGAATGCTTATGTTGGACAAACCCCGTCGGACTCAGTATGCGTAGGATGGATAAATCCCGTCGGAAAGCGGCGTTGCACGCGCAACGCCCGACCTAGAAGTTGGACGTAGAAGTTTTGCCGGACGTAGAAGCTTTGGGGCCATCTATGAGGAGCATCCAGACATCTGCGGGGAGCAGATAACATTTCTTGAGGTCAGGCGTTGCACTCGCAACGCCTGACCAGCAACTTTTTTTGAAACTCTGTGCTCCAGATGGTTGGGGTGGGCATCCAAACCTTTTGCTTTCTACAGAAATTGGGGTCTGGCGTTGAGTGCGCAACGGCTGACCTTCAGGGTACGGGATTCACACCCCCCCAAAATCTCATGGCAGGCTTGGGTCCCAGCCTTCCGCTCTCTTCTCCCAGGGCCCATCTGCTCCAAGAGTCCTGCCGCAACCAAGCACCTAAGCAACAGCAAGCTGAAAGCTCAGTTCATTGGACTTACAAGCGATTTATTGAGAATAGTCCTTTCCTGGGTTATTAGGAATTTAGAATCACATCTCTGTTCAACTTTACATTCAAGCAGGCAAATCAACAAGGGTAATTATTTGGCATATAAGTTCCCCGCCTGTGAATTTTACAGTCAATATTTGGAATAAAAGCTAGAAACATAATCATAATCGCCCACCCTGCTTGAACTTTTAGATTCAAGTGGGAAGATCACCACAGGTATTAGAACTATAACAAATCCCACTCTCGTTTGCTTTTGCTTTCGACTGGAAAGATCAACAAGGGGTGATGATGATGATGATGATGGTGATGATGATGACGATGACGCTTCGTTGCCCATCGTCGTTGCCCTGCCAGGCTAAACCCAGGCATTAGCCGTATTTCAACATATGTATATATACATAAATGTATGCATCTTGTATCTTTCTAATGCGTATACACACACATAAATATTTATTTATTAAGTGATTGTTCTTTATGCATATCTTATACCTAATTACATCTGGTTGTAGATGAAAAAATGTATGATCCCAGCACGCCATCGGGATCATGTTTCCAATTTTCGTCGCTTTCCTGCTTCAGTCATCCATGGCTAAATAAAACCGATGCACATGCTTTCGGTTCTTCATTTGGTTACAGATATTATTCCACCAGATGTTGATTAGTTCGGCACCAGCTGTTGACTACCAACCGGTGAAACAAAATCCTTCGGATCCACTCGGGGTATGATTTGTCAAGCGGTGCCGTTTGCAGATTCTGCGATTCTTTCCTAGACAGCGGCCACAAAAAAAATCCCGTGCTTCGCTTCATCCTTTTGTGACGGTTTTATCTCACATATCCGCGTCAGCGCTGCCGGAACCAGCAAGTGAGCAGTATTCCTATATTACCCTAGATATCGAGGATTATCATTATCCATTTCTAAAAATCAGCCCATGAAAGGGGATTAGCTAAAGCTTTCCAGTCCTGCTCAAATGAATATGGGATGGTATGGGTCAAGCATTTTTAGATGTCCTGCTCCCCATGGGAAACATGATGTGTTGTGCTAGTGGCCAAATGGCGCATGTTCTTTGACCCACACCAAACCGTCGCAAGGTGAAACTTTTGAAATCATAGCTTGGCAACATCCAAACTGGCAGAAACGGAATCGTCCCATATAGATTTGCTGCCAGAAAAGTTGCTCCACAGAATGTGGCATGAACTGATCATTGTTTTAGTTTGGGCCTGGTCAGCGCCGTCTCGAACAAAAAAGTTGTACCATACGCTTTTCAGGTACCTCGCGCAGGACGAGTTCTTACAACGCTTCCGGCGATGCTGGAGTGAAACCCAGCCACCGGGAAATAGCACTTTGGCAGTCACAGGCGCACCACAATAGTGCAAGCGGCTACCGCATGAGCAAACACTGGCAAGCGATTCCGCCACAACAGTCATGCTCCTACGCTCTTGGTCTAAATATATTACATATGTATGTAAATATGTGTATATATATAAATATTTATAGATATATATGGCACTGAGTTGCTTCTTTTGCTTTGCTAAATACATATGGTCTTGAAAAGGCTCACCACTCCTCATTTTTCAAAAGTGAGCTACATGGAAGGAAAGCCACCCAGCTGCTGCCTGACCATGATGACAGGTGATGGTGCCTTTGGAACTTACATGGTGATTTTTCCTTCTAAGACGCAGGGATGAAGAATGTGGTTGCTAACATATCTGATTGGCACCCCTTCAAAAACCAAAAAACAAATATGCATATCTGCGTCTATCTGCTTGGCATGTCCGACCCAAATACAACGGCGGCCGCCCACCCGACTTGTCAAATGCTGCACGGCTCTCTACCTTTTCAAACAAAAAAATAGAGACAATCATCCCCGGCAAAAAGGCCCTAACAGCGTTGAGGAAAACATCTGTGAACAAAAACTCCAGGACCTCAAGCCAGGACCTCAATGAGAATTTCACACAGTCGTCAAGGACCTGAGAGAGCGGATCTGACAAGATCTTTGTACAAGAACCTCTTGAAGGCTTCCCTTGCAAACTTTCATCCAAGCACCTTCTAGATCTTCGCGCAAATATCTTTTAGAGGATTCCAGCAGGATGTGCGCAAGATCTCCTCACAAACACCTCTACAACAAAGGATTTCACTAGGATATCCACAAGATCTCCTCGCAAGGACTTCTACAAAATCAGGACTCTTCGAGGATCTCGACAGGATCCCTAGATTCTAGATCCCCTTCCAAGAACCTCATACAGCAGGACTGCCCAACGGGCCCAACGGGCCAACCCAGCAGAAGACCATGGCCGATTTATTATAAATCCTTGCGTCGGCCCAGCCGATGAAAAAGTCCGGGTGAAAAAAGGTCACAGGTGAGGCAGAATGAAAAGTCAATGGAAATCATTGCACGTGTGCAGAGCTGCCAAAACAGGAGTAAATTCCCAACGTTCATCTTCGCAACCTTGCAGCGCATGGCAAGCAAAAATTGTTTTCATTCTTTAGCGTGGCTTGGGGCCTGAGGTATGCCAGCCAGCAGCATATCGCGGGTTCTCTCTGCACACTTCTCTTTCTGCTCAGTATCCGCACAGAAAGGGAAAACGCAATGAGTGGAAAGCAATGACATGCGCAAGGTGCAAGCACGTGTCAATGGGCATCAATCAGCCAAGCTTCCGTTAACACTGCTCTGCAAACCAAACAGCCCAACATCACCGATCGGTTTTCCGATGAAACATCCGTTTTGCCTTCCCAGTGCGGGTGAAGCCTATCAGCAATGAATGGGCCCATCCACCGGCTTGCCGCTTGCCGCTGAGTATGGCGATTACAAACGCAAAAAGATGCTCACAAGCTCATGCAATCAGAAGCTGGCAACATAGCCTTGGACGAAGGCGTTGAGGCTGACATGGTATGACATGGTGTGACTGTGAACTTGGCTGTAGGCTCCCTATGGGTTTTCTCTTTGACGCCAACTCTATTGCAGATGTGTCTATTGAAACCTCCGGATGATTGTCACCATGCTTTAATGAAACTGGTTGCAAAAGATGGCAAAAACAAGCAAGGGAGAAAATACGCTGTGGGAAGAAGGATTCAAAGTCAATGTGCCTTGCCTGCCGCCAGGCTTCTGCCACATCCGCCCACGACCTGCCGTGCGCGTCAAAACTCAAATGAATTGAATGCAGGAATTGCGGGTATGCGGGTTTTGCCACCAGCAATCCAGGGAAACTTGGATAGAAACTATAGTTCCTGATTATAAGTTGCACGACGACGTATGAAGTTAACCAGGCCTCTCTAAACAAGGCATCTCAAAGGTTTGCAGTAGTTATGGTAAAGGCAGCCAATTACCCAATTTGAGAGCGATGCCTTCGACAAGGACATGGCAGGAGATGATTGCCCAACAGTGCCAAAAAAATAACGACTCGCTATCTCGCAGAATGACAAGCACAGCGCAAGTTTATCTCCTGCAATGATTGGTCGTCGGACTTGGGCCGGTGCCAAAATAGATATTCCGGTGGCGAAAGCCTTCAGCACATCTCCGCAAGCAGGCCGGGGGCAGAGTATCCAGGTTGCAAATGCAAAACATGGCTGGCAGACCAAATGCTTTAGGCCAGCAGACCAGGTGCTGCAGAGCAAACCCTGCGTCATGGGGGTCACGATACACAATGTGATTTTGTCCTGGCACATGCAGTACCAACAACATGCCTCCTTTCATATTTGGTTTACCCCTTTCCAAGGCTGCTGAAGATGTGATTAGTCCATTCGCTTGCCTGATGGGGAAACAAAGCAACAACCAAGCTGACCAAGAACCATCGGCGCACCGATGAAACAATAATAAAACAAACAGCAAAAACACAAGGGTTTCCTCCGACATGCTCAAGACCTGAAAGTTTCACTTGTATGTTGGGTGTTGCCAGCAGCTTGAAGACTGACATCTAAATTGGGTTTAGGTCGGAGTCTGTTCTTGGTTCCGGAGTCTGTTTCCAAAGATCCAGATATTAAGTTTATTTAGCTAAGTTTATGATGGTTTATGTTAGATATACCTATAGTTGTTGATGGTTTGTGGATGTTTGTGGTAGATATACCATGATATAGCTATAGTTGATGGGGTTTACACACTGGGTGAGCACTACCTCGTATTCTTTTCATAGTGGTGGTTGGAAGTATTGAAGTCAATACCATTTGCTCATGTCATAGGGTTCATAACTACTAGTGTCAATAGTGATTTAATTGTGACTCATGTTGAATCTCTGGGGTATGTTGTTTTATGTTGTTGTGAATGATATGCTCCTGGTGATGAATGACCAACCCTCCCCTAGAGGTGCCCCAATAAGGGTCAAGCTTAAAGGTGAAACTTACCTATACCAGCGGCACAGGGGAAGAGCTGATGAATAATCTCCCCAGAAGGTCTAGATCCATGGGTTTGAAAAGCCCCAATGACCAGCAAAAGCAAACATGGAATTCATGAGAGTTTCCTTTCAAATGTGATAAGTCAGAATTCCAAGTGAAATCCATTTACTTGAAATTGGCTTTCCTTTTAATCTAAAGGATAAGTAAGGGGGAGCCGAGGGTGTTCTGAGAAATTGGGGCTGCACATGCACATTGGGGGGGACAACCCACCTAAAAAGGGTACCCTTTAAGACTTCTCAAAATGCATTTTTCCTCAATATTTATATGTATACATATATATATATATATTAATATGTGTATATATATATACATATATATACATATATAAACATATATATATATATATATGTATTGTCATAGCTATAAAGAATCTCCTCCACTGACTCTGCGCAATACATTTCCTTTCCTGAACCATTTGTATCTTGCATCCCTTTGAAGCCAGCACCAGAACCATCAGGTCAGAAACATCAGAACCAAGTTACTTTCTCACAACAAACAAAATGGGATTTTCCGGAAGGGTGTTTTTTGAAGAGGGGGTAACCACCCATGTTGATTCCTAGTGGGACCAACCCCTTAAGTAGTATTGCCAACATTTTTCTGGACTGCGGGTGTTGATGAATTCGGGGGTTTTGATTATTAATATGAACTTAACAATAGTTTTAATTCTTGCCCAATGTGTTTGGCACATACCATAATATCCGTACTCGTTCATTATACCAATTCGAATTACCCAATATTTTGCTGGCTCTCAACTGTTGGTCTTTTAATTTCCATAAAAACTGCCATTTTGGACCGTGAAACTTCCCTACTGGCTTTATGATTTCGTCTGATTTCTTCTTAGTTTTCCACACCCAATGCTTCACTATGTATTTTTGAGACAATGGGACAGAAAAAAAACCATCTATATCGGTGTTCCTATTTTCGTTTTGGACATTATTTTTTTTGGAAAGCACATTTTTGGAATGAGTATCACATTGTTGGTTCTATATCTGGTTCGGTCTCATTCTTTCCCGGCTATGGTTGATTATATCCCCATGTTTTGGTAGACCCAATTTTTAGATGATTGTGTGGGTTTTTTCGATACTCCATTCAACCCCTCCAAAGAAAAACCATCCTTTTTATGAGCAGAATTGGTTTCCACAAAAAAGTCCCATTAGAGGTTCATCATCGTTTTTTTTCACATTAACAGTTTTGTAGTACATGATAACGTAGTCATCAAAATGTGATTTCAACAAATCCCCTGGTTGGTGGTTTCAACCCTCTGAAAAAAATTGAAAGTCAGTTGGGATTATTATTGCCAATATATGGGGAAAAATCATGTTCCAAACCACCAATCAGGATTTCAACTTAAATACCTGTTTTGGTATGAAAGCTGCATGTTGGCGTGCTGCCCATGGAGCGCGTTGTGTTTTCGCTTCGAACCCAGCTTCATGCTGGATGCAAGCAGTCAACAGTCACCAGAGTGGTGCCATCTTTCAGGAAAATCATCGAAAATCATCTACAAATGCTGGTCTTTCTATGGTTTTTCTATGATTTTCTAGATCTTCTTGTTAGTTTACAGCAGGGGTTGATAAATGTTACGCTCCTCACGACCCATAAAAATGAAAGCGAGCGACTGGTGGGCGCACAGGCCATGGCAGCCTGGATCCGGTCATGGCAAGGGGCAAGAAAATGGTCTGAATCACCTGAGTTTCAGACTCAACCTGAAGAAGTCATATTTGTCTTATCTTACCTTTGATGTGAGAGTGTTTATATATATATACACACTATAGCTCATAGTTATATATATATATAAAGATCATGTGAAAAAGGATGAAAAAGGTGTCTCACTTCAATTCTCCATGAACCTGTTGAGTTACCCACCACGATGGTCTGACCGGGTTGGGATGAGAATGTCTCGTAACGTGTGATTTATTTCAGTATGACATAGCGGGGTATAGTCATACTTCAGCTACCGGCAGATTTTTCCCGGTGACCCATGATACTGCAATCGTAGGGAGCAAAGTCTGGCGTCCACTTTGACGGCAAATTCAGGGAGCCGGTTTGGATTCTGGGTGGAGAGGCGTTTTTTTCAAGGTCTGGGACACATCTTCTGAGTTCAAACCATCGAACCATTGGTCCCCATGATGTGATTAATCCAACACTTACCCAAATGCAGTATTCCATTCAACACACAGGATTCCAATTCAAACCACGAATTGTATTAATGGATAGTATTGCACTAGTGTATCCCAGCTTGGAGATTACCCAATATATAGTGTATAACAAAAATAATAATGATAATTGAAACCCGCTATATAGATAACAATATTGTTGGTACCCTGGTATTATTGTTGGTAACCACATGTAACCACCACAATATTAATCATAATTCAAACCAACAATAATAATAATAAGACTAATAATAATCATATATATAATAATATATATATATAAAAAACACCTTGCCCGAATATTCCCAACTCAAATCTCCGATTGTTGACCTGGCCCACAGAGGTGTTGGTCACCCGGCAAAAGACCTGGTATTCGGGCAACAGGTCGATATGGTTGGAGGTGGTAAGCCCCGAAACGTCTGCGAGGTGGTACCCTGGTAACTAGTAGAATCTCATCCTTTAAACATATATGTAATCCCCCAAGAAAACGAAACATCCTACAATAAGAATAACATCCTAAGATCATGTCATCCAAATAAGTTCATTAGAAAAAACAAATCATCCAACAATCCAATGAATACATGCAGTACATCCTCCTCAATGATGCATTCAATCACATCTTCAAACATCAAATAAACACTCACCACAAACTCATCCCAACACAACCAATTGGAATACTTCAAAGTCAAGAAAATACTATAAGAATTGGTTAACTGACTGGTCCTTAAAACAAAAACACATCTATCCACGCCACAGCACCACTGAACCAGCTCATGCCCCCGGCCTCGTTGGTGTAGCCCTCCAGGTCCATTGCCATGGCGCTGATCCTGTCCTCCGAATGGTGGAGAGCCTGGCGACCAACCAGGACAGCTGGGCTAACTGGTTGAACGACATCGGTTTTTTTTTTTAGGTCATGAACACTATTGGGCATTTAGAATTGGATAAAGGAGGGGATACTTACCATTAGCGAACATCCATATAGGATACTTACTACATTTGGTTGAACACATGGATATGAATGAGCTATGCGAATTAATGATGTTGGTCAAGCAATCCAGTAATTAAAATAGGTCTATTGAGAGAATGCATAATCTGGTTGGTGGTTGACCTACCCCTCTGAAAAGTATGAAAGTCAGTTGGGGTTATTCTTCCCAATGTATGGAAAAACAATCATGTTCCAAACCACCAACCAAATAATATATTAAGATTCTGGATTGATTAGGTAATTAATAGACCTATTGAGACAATGTTTAAACCATCAATGGATACTTAAAGGGGATTGATCCGATAAACATCAATCCATCTATCCATACAATGGGTGATAATGAATTTAATGGGTGTATGAATCCCTTGTTAATGACTTGATGATTGATGATCATTCCCCAATATGGAAAGCTAGCCTGTATCATACATTGAAATAGAACTGGACAAATTATGGAGTTTTTCTTAGAACAAGAGTTCATTTGTTTTTGCACCCCAAAAAAGGGATTTAACGTATTTAACCCGTAACAATGCATCTTGGAGCAACAATGCATATCAGAGCAACAAAGATGATGATTCACCAACAAAAGACCAAACATGTGGAGCAGAATGGAGACATTCATCAAACACGATCAACAAACAATTTTTTTCCACACCAGAATTGAATCATCAAAACCGGAGGTCCATCTTTCCCCATCTAAGCAACTTGGTAACCAGCATCCCAGTGCTGATAGTGACTGGGGGATGATTGATCCTGGGTTGATACGATTGTTTACGCATAACTTTGGAAACTCAGGAGCTTCTATCAAGCACGTAGCCACATACCATTCCTTGCACATCATGAAAGAAATCTGGACTTAATGGATCAAAAACAGGTGAAAGACAACTACGCGACAAACATGTCCCAGTGCCTCTCATTCTTATCATTCTTCCGCGCCTGGGAAATGGACTCAAGATCTTTCAACTTGATGATGTGCACCATGCGAATCTCTTGCCATGCCCTGGCGGTTTTTTTCAAATCCAAAACCAGGAGTTTGCCAGATGCTGGTCATCTTCGCAAAGGCTGGGAACCATGTCCAATGGGGCAAACATTTAAAGGGATATGGTTCCTGAGGGATATGGTTCCTGAGGGATATGGTTCCTGTATGTTCCTGTAAATATCGCTTAAAATCCCTGAAATGGTCCCTTAAGACATCATTGTATTGGTTTTAAGGGACTTTTAAGGGAGATTTTATGATAGCAAAAATCAACTTGGTTTCCTGTAGATGTTCCTTCAAATAATCCAAAAAACTTCTTCACTTCAGTCCAATCTCAATCGGGGATGGTTTGAGACTTCAAGCCCAGGCAGCCATGGACCATGATCTTCTGGATTTGCCTGAAGAGTTAGCCTGCTAGGGACCGCCATCCAGGATGAGATCCGCAAAAAACACTGGGTGGTGGCTGGATTTTATTCATCAAACTAACATAACTATGGAAAATCACAATTTTAAATATATAGGTAAATCAACTATTTCTATGGCCATTTTCAATAGCAAACTGTTAAACTACCAGTTTTGCTAGAAGATGGTCAGGGTGGCTTAGTGTCACCCAAGTTGTTTCACGATTGGTGACCCTGATGTGGACCAGAAAGCAACCGGTCTCACCACTGTCGCAGTTGGTTTTTAGGAAAACATCTGCATGAGAAGCGGGTATTGGACAGCAAACTAGAACTATCGAGAACTTAAAATGGATACATCGGATACAATACAACTTCATGAGGTTTGATGTGTTGGATAGATTTGGTTTGCATCAAAAGTGATTTTCCTTTGAGTTTCCTCATTAAACGATATGGGGCTGGGTCCGTCCAAGACTACGAAACCAACATGGGATGATTTTCAACCCGCTTCACCAGTCAAAAAAAAATTGACCTCATAAATCATATAAATCCCAGTTTGATCCATCAAAATTTACCAGGTTTCCCATATTTTGCCATATTTTCCCATATTTCATCCACCATTTTCCCATGACTTTCCCATCCCCAGATATCACTAGATAATCCCCCGTCCGAGCTCCTGCAATGGGTCACCACCGGTTGGCCGTAGATGCTCAGCTGCAGCTTCACCGGCGCGAAAGCGTCGAGCCTCGGAGTTTTAGGATCTTTCAGTGGCAAAGGAAATCCAGTAGATATAGAGAGATAGCTAGAAATATTATAATATATATATAATCACACATATATATATATCACATATGTATATATATATTACTAATATGATATAATATATATGTGTGTGTGTGGTGATGATTGTTGATGTATGTGTGTATCATTGTGTATATATATATTTATAATATGTATGTTGATGTATATAAGCAAGAACTGTAGTAATTACATATGTATATCATAGGTACTGTCCCTTGAATTGAGGGCTGAGTGAAAACACCGATCTCATATTGCAGCTGTATTTGTTGGGATGATTTAACAAATCCAAACCATCATCTATTGTGAGGTCGCGAGGTCGCTAATCATTTGGGAATTTTGGTCCAAACATGTCCAAAGTCAACACACCATAACTGGGCCCTTCAGGGGTCAATTCCTTCTGTCACCGACAGCAGATCGTTACCTTCCCAAGTTGGGTCAGTGGGGTCCACCATGGGATGTTTCACTGATCCAAGAAAAATGTGACCATGCTGACCATGCCGGCTTTCCACGAAACATAAATTGAACAGGAAACCCATGGATTTTACCACTCATCAAACCAGTTGAACCTTTTTTTCAAAATGTTAGTGCCCAACAAATCCTCAAAACCATCGGTTTGCCCAGTAAAAAAGGATCAATAGCTTGGATAATTGTGGGGTCCTCCATCATAGGAACCCCAACCCGTCATCCACCAAAAAATATCAAGCCACCAAGGGAAGTCAATGGAAGTATCATAAAACCTAATCTATATATGCATATAACTTAAAACTTAATAGTCATACATGACTATCTATAATAGATCGTATATTTACAATAAATTAAGTTCTGATGATGTTCATATACATCTTCATCATCACCCGTTGCTTGATGGTTAAATGTTAAATACCACCCATGTCTTGAAACCTGTCACCTTCACCACGTCGCCCCAGCCCACGGCCCCACAACCTACGGCCCCTGGCAGTTCGTTGCTCAAGACCACCGAGGCGGCCGTGTGTTTGTCCGCGCGATCTGAGACCTGCGCCGATTGCAGAGGCGCAAGGTCGGTCTTTTTGGGAGACCCCATGTGGCTTCTGGGCGCCAAAATTTGACGATCGATTTCTTAGTTTGATGCCGAAATCCACATTGAACACTTCCAAATGCCAGACGCCCTCTCTAAGTCTACTTGATCAACATTGCTCTCAACTGACTTGTTGGACCTGAAAAAGAAATTAGCTTCATCCAAGGCTCGGCCTCCTGGTAGTTCACCTGCAAAAATGCACTCACCACCCCAGCGGCTAGCTGGGGCGATCTGTGATGGCCGCTGTTGCAGTGGAACGGCGTCGGCATCAGCTTCGCCCGGCGCACCACATCACAGAGCCTTACATGGGCTCGGTCAAAATTGCCAGGACCATCCTGAGGCATTCAATGCTGGGCGTTGGACTACTGATGCCCATACTTCTGGCAGACTGGCCACTTGCAAAGTCCTTTGCAACGATTCTGGCGCGCACACCTTCCTGAGCTTCCTCTTTCTCATTGGTCACCCACCTGGTGCCGATGATGCGCTGGACACTTTCTCTTGCCACATTCTCAGAAAAAATGGTTGGGAGATCACTGGTTGGTTATGGTTATAACTGGTTGGTGGTATGGTTGTGTATTACTATGACTGCTTGGTGGTTGACCTACCCATCTTGAAAAATGATGGAGTTCGTCAATGGGGAAGGATGATATCCCATATATATGAAATGGAAAATAAAACATGTTTGAAAACACCAACCAGACATGACTAAAATGACATAAACCACAATTTTCATTGCCAATCTATGCCAATCTTAGATATGTACCCTGCAAAACATCACAAATTTCAGCTGGTCAGATTGTTATATCCACATGAAAATGGAACTAAACTACCCATTCAGTTTTCCCCTGTGTTTTCCCATTATCAAAACCAATCATGCCTTTTAGTGGTCGAACTAGCCAGTTTTATAGCTGAATTTTCCAACTTGTAGATCAATCATTGAAATTGTTCATAAATCATATCAGCTAAGAATGTTATATATACTCACATCATATTTAAGATAAAGAAAGCGGTAGAAATGATATTGAAATAATCATATCAAATCAAATCAAATATCATAGTAATCATTTAATCATAATATCTCATATCCCCTTCAAAATGGTTATGAACCATTCAGTTGTTGCCCTAGACAGTTAAGTTATAACTGGTTTATAGGCTCATTTCAGTGATATGTATAAGCTTAATTGCAGGAGTGATAATCCCATTTATAAGGATCGTACCATGTTGCATGTATATGTATATGGCATGTTATAAGCCAGAAACATTCCCTCTCTGCGCTGGTGTCTCCCGCCCGTACCTCCCGTCAGCGCCAAACAAGGCGACCGAGACTGTTATTTTCTGTTTCGGCAAAATGTTTGCACGAGCGGCAGCAGCAGCAGGAGGAAGCAGCAGCAGCACCAGGAGGAAGCAGCAGCAGCAGGAGGAAACAACAGCAGCAGGAGGCAGCAGCAGCAGCAGCAATTGCAGGAAGCAGCAGCAGCACCAGCAGCAGGAAGCAGCAGCACAAAGCAGCAGCAGGAGGAAGCAGCAACAGCAGCAGGCAAGCAGGCAAGCAGGCAAGCAGGCAAGCAATCAAGCACGCAAGTACGCAAGCACGCAAGCACGCACGCACACACGCAGGCACACACGCAGGCAGGCAGGCAGGCAGGCAGGCAGGCAGGCAGGCAGGCAGGCAGGCAGGCAGGCAAGCAAGCAAGCAAGCAAGCAAGCAAGCAAGAGCAGCAAGCAGAAAGCAGCAAGCAGCAAGCAAGCAGCAAGCGCAAGCGGCAAGCGGCAAGGGCAGCTGCAAGCGGAATCGCAAGGCTGCAGACAAGCAGGCAAGCGGCAGCACAGCAGCAGCAAGCAGCCGCAAGCAGCAGCAAAAGCCAGCAGCAGCACAGCAGTAAGCAGCAGCAGCAAGCACATCCATCAGCAGCAAGCAGCAGCCCGCAGAGCGGCAGGCAGCAAGCACAGAGCAGCAGCAGCAGCAGCAAAGCAGCAGCAAGCAGCAGCCAGCAGCAAGTGAGCAGCAGGTGAGCAGAGCAGCAGCAGCACAGCAGCAGCAGCAGCAGCAGGCAAGCAGCAGGCAAGCAGCAGGCAAGCAGCAGGCAAGCAGCAGGCAAGCAGCAGGCAAGCAGCAACCAGCGTTATCAAATATATTCTTTGAAAATCAACACAATAAAAAAAATGTTTTTCCAAGCGCACGGCCCTCAAACAATAAAATTGTTCAATTACTCCCGATACGACTTTTACAAGCTGATGCGACTTAACGCTAGCGCTTGTAATTGGAAATAAACTTGCAGGAGTTATATCCTCTATTGCATGTATATATAAGCAATTCTAAGCATTTAATCCCACCATAATTATTGAGATCCATATTAAACCACCATTGAAAAAAAAACACTTAATAAGTTTAAGATATTTCAAAATCATAACTTATGCAATTAAGTCAGTGTCATTTTTAACATGTTATAACCATATCTGGTTGGTGGTTTCAACCATCTTGAAAAATATGAGTTCGTCAATGGTTGGTGGATGAGATCCAATATGTGAAATGGAAAATAAAAGCCATGTTTGAAACCACCAACCAGATAAAAGCCATATTTCCCATTAATATCCCATTATTAACCATTAACCCACTACAATCCCCATGAATCACCATAGAATCACCATAGAATCACCATACGTTTCATGCTGAACCCCCCGTTCCGGTCGTTCACGAAGACCCCGCCTGACACTCCGGCGCGCTACTGAAGGCGGCGCTACAGGCGTCCGAGGACGCCAACGCGCGCAAGACCGAGGGACAGCTGTCCTACGGAAGGACGAAGTCGTGGGGATCGATCGAAGCGATTTCGGGGAATCTTGGGGATACCCTCTGGTTATGTCAAAGCCATGGTGGTTTAATGGGATTTCATGGTGGTTGAATGGGATTTCATGGGAGTTACCCTCTGGTAATGACTAACAGTTTGCTATTTGAATGGGATTTTTATAGTGATTTAATGGGATATGATTGGTATATACCCTCTGGTAATTTGTTGCACTTTGCGACATAGAAAATGGCCCAGTCGAAATAGTTGATTTTACCTATATGACAAATGGTGATTTTCGATAATTAGTTATGTTAGTTTACCAGAGGGTATGTATCAAGAATTGCATCACTTCATCTTTAGCCAAAAGATCGTTTGTGAAATCCTAACTACCGGGGACTGAGAACAATATCTATGAATAGATCTTATACATTAACATTTAATATTTAAGAACTAGTTTGGGATTTAAAATCATCAATGAAGTTAGGGATTATATATATATAATATATATATATTATATAATATATCCCACTATATCCCTAACTTCAATATTTGGAGCATCTCCAAAACTTGATGTGCTGGTAGACGTGAAGGCAGATTTGTGTGACTGCCAGTTCGGTCGCTAGGTCCACACGTTCAAAGCCAATTTGGTGTACCCACAATTCCGAAGGATCCAAACCTCCTTTTGCCTGTGAAAATTGCAAGAAATTGGGGGTTGAGCCCCAACATTCAGGACAAATGATAGTTAGTGAGGGGAATCATCCCCAAAATATCCTTATTTCAGCTAAGTGAATTATTAAAGTTTATCCAGATACATAGGAGAGTGTTTGAGCAAAACATAGCAAAACTACAAGTTGTACCTTCAAGTGGTCAGGTGAATGGGGGAAATAGTGATTCAACCATCAAATTCTGAGGTATTCTATGTTCAGATATCCATCTGCCACTTAGAGTCGTCAATAGTCACCATTCCAGTCACCAACCAGTTGGGGACCATGTTGAATCATTCCCTGCAAGGGGTAATTATGCCAAACAATAAACCTATATATTGGGGATGATTTATTATTGGGTTTCCCGCATTATTGTTCTGTTGCGACGCGGATGGGTACATGGTGGTGACTACCTCGGCTACAACCCATTTGATTAAATAGATCATGCCAAGGGTTATCATTGGGTTCTTCTTGTGGTAAGATAAAGCAGTTGCCTATGGGTACAACATGGCGAAAAATTAATCAACTCCATCTGCACTTCACCTCGAAGAAGACCATCTCTGCATGTGATCCAACAAAGTCAGCTCAAACTATGTACTTTATTGATGTTCGACTTGGGTGACATATAAAAAAATGGTGTATTCAGTCTTGGTTCTTCACCCCAATGAACCTGATGAACCTGAAGGTGCGTCATATCTATGAGGGTATTTCATGGCCTATCCGATCCCATTAAATCCGATGGTGTCCAACATTGTCCAACTAAATCCTGGACATCAATGGTTGGTTCCTGTTGACATCGAACAAAAAAACACTCCCAATGTCTCATTTTTCAGAGCCATCAAATGGACGGAGTTAATGATCAACCATCCCAAAATCATCATGGATGGTTGGTATAAACCATCCCCAAATGATAGTTATTTTTTGTTGGGGTTACCACATTACATAGTTTTGATATTGACGGCCTATTTATAGGTGATTTACTGATTAAACATGTGATGTCCCATGGCTTTGTTGTTCTTGGGAAATCAGAATCATCAGGAAATCATCTAGAGCTGAGAAATCACAATCTTTAACAAATCATCTTATAGCCGTGGTGATGATTTACTATGTTTTTTTTTTACGAACCACTTTTTTGCCAGCAACATCTACAGCCATCAAATGAACGGTTTTAATGATCAACCATCCCAAAATCATCATAAAAGCTTGATATAAACCATCCCCAAAGGTCCCACGTTCACTTACGCCGAATTTTTTTAGGTCACTTACGCCGAAAATTACCCCCACACATTTTCGACATCACTTGCGCCGAAAAACCTCTGATTACCTGTAAATTTCCGCGAAATTGCGCTTCCACGAAATGCAAAAAACGATCCTCAGAGCAAGATAAACCTCTCTCTTTCATGTTCCAGTGGGGTGGGGGGGGGTGGGGTGGGGTGGGGTGGGGTGGGATGATAACGTTCATGTTCCTATGCCCACACAGGCACAGCAACCTCATCATCTTTCTTGCTGTTGGGAAGAGACAGGCACAGCTCTTTCATGATCAGTTATCGGTGGGGTGGGGTGAGTTAATAAGGTTCATGTTCCTATGCCTGCACACGCACAGCAACCTCATCATCTTTCTTGCTGTAGAGCACTTACACGCACTGCTCTTTCATGATCAGTTAACCCTCAGGGTGGGAGGGTGGGGGGTGGGGTGGGATGATAACGTTCATGTTCCTATTCACACACAGGCACAGCAACCTCATCATCTTTCTTGCTGTTGAGAAGAGACAGGCACAGCTCTTTCATGATCAGTTACCGGTGGGGTGGGGTGAGTTAATAAGGTTCATGTTCCTATGCATACAGACGCACAGCAACCTCATCATCTTTCTTGCTGTAGAGCACTTACACGCACTGCTCTTTCATGATCAGTTACCGGTGGGGTGGGGTGGTGGGGGGGTGGGGGGGATGGGTGGGGGTGGGGTGGGGTGGGGTGGGATGATAACGTTCATGTTCCTATTCACACACAGGCACAGCAACCTCATCATCTTTCTTGCTGTTGAGAAGAGACAGGCACAGCTCTTTCATGATCAGTTACCGGTGGGGTGGGGTGAGTTAATAAGGTTCATGTTCCTATGCATACAGACGCACAGCAACCTCATCATCTTTCTTGCTGTAGAGCACTTACACGCACTGCTCTTTCATGATCAGTTTATTCGTGGGTGGGGGGAGTGGGGGGGGTGGGGGGGAGGGGTGGGGTGGGGTGGGGTGGGATGATAACGTTCATGTTCTTATGCACACACAGGCACAGCAACCTCATCATCTTTCTTGCTGTTTGGAGGAGACAGGCACAGCTCTTTCATGATCAGTTACCGGTGGGGTGGGGTGAGTTAATAAGGTTCATGTTCATAAGGATCGCGCAGAGGGAGAGCAACACAGTCGACGTGCAAGCACACAAGCGCCACTTTTATACGGAAATTTACAGGTAAAATACCGATACCACTACAAAGCCGCACAAACGACATCAAAAACAACACGCGCAAAAGCGCCACTTTGTACGCAAATTTACAGGTCAAAACCCGACGCCAAGAAAAAAGCGGCACAAGCGACGTCAAAAGAACAACACGTCAAAACACTATTTTATACAATAATTTACAGGAAAAATGCCGATACCAAAAAAAAGCGGCACAAGCGACACAAAAAAAAAGCGGCACAAGCGACGCAAAAAAAGCGGCACAAGCGAACGCCTCACCATCCCCAAATGATAGTTTCCATTCCCAAATGATAGTTACAGTTACAGCCATGGTTAGATGATTTACGTACGATGACCAATATATATATATAGTTAACATGTTTAACATCAACAAGTAAATTATCTATAGATCTATAGATTTGATGCCCCCATTTTTTTGGTCAACACCCGAAAAAAAACAGCCAACCCCCACCGCAGCCAACCCCACCGCACGGCGTGTTTGGCCCGCCTTGCGCTGCGCATCGCCGTTGACCACTTTGAGGCCCCGCTCGCGTTGCCGCCGCGCAAGGGCTGGGGACCTGACATCGCATAGAACTGGGATGAAGTGGGGTTAATGTATGGTTCATTGGATTGGTTTAAGGGAAAATCTACAGGAAACCATGGTTTTTACCATCAAATATAGGGCTTTCCTGTAAATTTTCCCATCATCCAATTCTATGTATGGTGATAGATGGAGTTGACTAGTTGGGGGATATCCATGGATATCCCAGTTCTATGTATGGTGATGAAGTGGTGTTATTCACCATGTTAAAGGATTGTTCATGGTGATTTGAATGGGGATATACATAGTGGTTAATAGTGGTGAATCATTGATCATAGTAATAAATACGTAATGGGATATTGAATTGGATTTATCATCATATAGCATACATAATCATATATACCATATATCACAATAATATTGTGAATGTCTATTATATGTATATTATATATATATATTATATTACACAACTGTGATAAAACATCTGTATTGTATATATATATATGTATTCATATGTATACTCGCTGGTAATCAAACATGGCAGGCTCCTTAAATGGAGGTTTTAGTGGAAACATCATTTATCAATGGGTGATGTTCCATTGCCTCGTTTGATTGCTGGAGAGTATTCATTTGGTTACTGTTTGGGTTTGCAACAAGTTACGCTTCCCTAATAACTTGGTTAAAAGTACCAACAAATGCCAATCATATTCAACTTCCGGACCGACCCTTCTAGCCAAACTCATGGCTCATCAACCTGGGGAATTGATATGACATAGTCATTTAAGAGTCATTTAATGGTCCCAAGCCTGTGATTTTGTTTTTACTTGGCTATGCGGCTAGCAGTGAAAGCTGGTAACCAAGACTTAAATGGTCACAAAGAACATTCTGCAAGGATTCCAAAGAATGTTTTCAAAGAATTGAGAGCTTCTTCCATGAAACCTTGGGTTTTTGTATTCTCTGCCAAGTTGATTTTCATTCTAGACTTCCGCATTTTTTGGTGATCGTTGGCTACTAAAATCGCTTCAAACATGGCACCCATGCCCACCTCTCAACGATGACGTACTCAAATGCACCCACGAAGCGCCTGGCGCTTCAACGCAGACGTCGACGCAGCCAACTGATTCCAACTGATGCCATGAAGAAATCCAATGGTCAGCCGAGTTGTAAACCATACCCGGCCTGGTAAACGTTTACATAACTATGGAAAATCACCATTTTTAATGGAAAGACTGACTATTTCTATGGCCATTTTCAATAGCTTTTTGTATGTTTACCAGAGGGTAACTTGCCTATCCACTAAAGACATCCCATGGGACCAGCTGCTGCCGACCTCCACACTGCGGGTTCGATGCCCAACTCGTTGCGCTTCACGCAGACGTGGATGTCATGCGCCAGTTGACCACTTCCTGCGAGAGGATTCCCAGGTGACTACCCCAATGGTTGGGTTGATGAAGGGCGAATCTTAACCAACAACCCCTAGGAAAACTATAGAGCTAGTGACAATTAGTGACATAGTAGTCCTGGCATGTGCTTTTTTGATATGTTTCAAAGTGATCAATGACCCTATTCTTTTAAAGCACACACAGCCAGCGTGGACAACAATGTTCTTCAGCTTCATAGGTTCACGCGTCGTGCCAAAGAGGTGCTCATCGAAACGGTTTCAGTAGGGAAACCTGAGCTTGGTTTTGTTGGGATTCTTTCATGTTGTTTGTTGGTGCCTCATGGTCCATAAACGAAAAAATGGTCAGTCCTTTCTGGTTTCACATACGATGTTTGAAGCGTGTTCACCCCGAAACGTCATTCATACTGCAGCCAGTGAGTTACCGTATATCTCTTCCGCAGTATGGCTACTTTGGGTTGCATCAAACATCAAACTAACCACTGCATCCCACGATGTTGTGTTGTATGTTTCCTTTTTTTCGCACTTTGTATAGTTTTTCATCGCCAGTTTGAGTATTAAAAGGTTCCTAAGTTTCTATAAAAGAAAAACACAGAGACACTAAATGGTGGGCGTGTGCATGCAAATATGCTCAAAATGGCACATGAGGTTGGATGTTATGTTTCATCCATGTTGCAGTCAATCTCTTAAAATATCTCCATCATATCTGCCGTGGTCAAAAACAAATATGGATTACATGGTCAACTCCAAATTTCTGTGGCTGATAGGCTTTGGTCTGTCCGCAGATGACCATCTCCATCCAAATATGGGAAACAACACAAACATAGACCCTGTCGATTTCGGAAAACAAACGACGCTGGTGAGTTTTCTTGTTTTTATCTGAGTAAACCATGCAACTGAATGCAACTTGACAGAAAAAATAATGGGATCCTGGATGAAATCCATCATGCCGGAAGCAGAATATGGTCCTGCACCCATCTCCACGACACGAAAGGGCGCTTTCTCTTTCATCTGAATCCACATGATGAAGACCTTGGACATGGAAACCCAGGGACGGAAGGTGTGTTTTTTGGCCCGCAATGTGATTCAGTTAAACAGTTATCGTCGCCGATATATTCTATACCATAAGAAAAGACAAGTAAAAACAATAGACACCCCGAATAGAATGACTGCTTCACCATCAAACGAGTAGATGTCATTGCATGACCCGTTTCAATGTCAATACCTTGCCATGCGAGCTTAGGTATTTCTACTGCGGGATAGTTCATGAATCCCTAATCAACCAGGTAGCATAACCCCTAACTCCTGTTGCATCAACAAACCACCCGCCATCAGTTGTGAATTAGATTCCCATTTTCAGTGGGTAAAACTTTAAAAATAACGGCTGAATCCAGATGAAACAACTAATCAACAAGGACCTGTTATTCAGTTGATGCCGCAACTACTAGATCCACTGGATAGCCAGTGGATGGCTGCCGTGCAGTGAAAACAGCATTCTTTTCCTATGAAATCACCATTACCCTCTGGTAAACGTTTACATAACGAACTGGAAAGATCCATCATTCTTCATGGGAAAACTGACTATTTCTATGGCCATGTTCAATCGCAAACTGTTAGTTTACCAGAGGGTTAATCACAACTCAATCACCATTAAATCACCATGAAATCACCACTAATCCCCATTAAATCGCCATAAATTCCTATGAAATCACCATATATCACCATTAAACCACCATGAAATCCACCAATTTCCAAATCGTCGTCTGACGCGTCTGAGCTCCCCCGACCAAACGGCAAAGCACTCGCCCGAAGTGCGGCGACAACGCCATGGGATAGGTGGTGTAGTGTGCAAACTCCTGGCCCATGGGAAAAATATGGAAACATGGAGTTCCAAGCACCCCAAAAGAAAGGGGATTGACATGGTTGTTAATATGTTTGTGAGACTTCATTGGTTGTGGATGTTATTTCGTTTCATAAAATCTAGATAAAGATGAACAATAAGTAGGACAAACTGAAATGCCGGGCCTTACTGACCATCATTCGACGTCGCGACGTTTTCGGCTGTTTTGGTTCATCCAGATATTCCGAATGGTGATTTTTAGGCATCAATCCATGGAAACATAGTGGGAACATAATCATTCCATGCTGAGTGCAGAACATGTGGATGTGGGATGTTAACATATTCTAAGGGTAGATGGGCATGCTCAGAAATGGTGGATTTACCGCAAGAATGAATGGGGAGATTGGCATGGCATTTTAACCAACCATAGATAGGAGACTTAACAACAACACACGGGAAGGGGAAAACACACACATAATATGATATAATATGTTTTTTTTTGCTAAAATAGGGCGCACCAGGGCAACTGCGGGTAAATCGTCCTGCTACATGCACATTAGTTCACATGTTGTACTTCCGATGGCATGTTTCAATGGCGGCAATGTCTCCAATTGAACTATATGTTATTTGCTTAACATCCCCACTCTTATCTTTTAAGGTTAGCAACACATCACCACAACCAGCGCGGCCTGCGCCGTCTTCCCGTCGCTCTTGCCCAATACACGGCCGGTCGAATAGTATCCGAAATCGTTGCCGTACCTATGCACTGCTGACGACGCTGGAGTCTGGAGAAAATACCTCTGATTGGGGAGCTTCGGGGTGTTACGAAACAAATGAATGAACTTGGAACTAGTGTCAATGGATTCGTTTGAGGGAAAATCTACAGGAAACGATGGTTTTTACCATCAAATATAGGGGGTTCCTGTAAATGTTCCCATCATCCAATTCTATGATAGTGGTGTTAGTTTAGGGGTTGTACTACTATCTACTACGCAGCTGTTTGTTGTTTGTTGTTAATCATCCAAGGGATTATCATCATCCTTGCACTGCAGCATGAGGGAAATGAGAGAGCGTCTTGCAAACTGCTCAGATGTGCTTAGGTGTGAGTCATGAATCACGTTCCGTCATTGGGACAGTTTTGGGCGCACAAACGGCAAATAAATTTGTTGAACTAACGAAAGGCTAACTGTTATATGGGGGTATACCTACAGAAGTTGCAACTTGGGGTGCCACATTGTATTGGCGTGTGCTTACCCAGACTTGATAAGAAGTGCAATTGAATGTAATTAAGCATGTGATAGCTCAATTTGGACCGAAGATGCACAGAAAAAAGACTTCAACTAGGTCTGGTTTGATCTTTCAACCAGCGTGGTTTGCGACCACGACCATCTTGGAAGAATCCACTTTGGAAGGCATCCAAATTAACCTTAAATATTTGCAGTACCTGTACCATTGACTCATATATATATATATTTATATAATTATATATGCTTTATCCAATATTAAGCAATATTATCCAATATCAAGCAATATAGATGTTCATATGATCCAGATGTCCATCCTCCAGCCCACCCAGCAAGCCGCACTGGGAATCGGTGTAGAACTCATCCATGCCATAGAATTGATCCTGCCAACCAACACGTCGAGGTGGAATTCACAAAAAAACACTCGAACGGATGGTTGCGAAATGTGGCACCAGTTGGTAACTAAAGGGATTCCTATGAAACAGTGTAAATATGTGTAAATGGTGGGATTAAACAGGATAAACTATAGTTTAAATTATGCATGAAACTTGATGAGAATCCAATCCCTCTATCAAATCATATAAGTGCCCCCAAATGTTTGGGATCCCTCTAGAGTCTAGAGTCTAGATGAAGAGATCCAGCAACCAACCGAATTCTGTTGGGGATGCTCCTGGGATCGTCAGAGTGAAACAACCTCCAAAGGTGACAATTCCAGAGTAGATTTCAGTTCCTATTGATTACCCTCTGGTAAACTAACAGTTAGCTGTGGAAAATCATCCCCTTTAATGGGTAAATCAACTATAAATAGCCATTTTCAATAGTTTTTTTCAATCGTTTTTTGTATGTTTACCAGAACGTAATCTCCAATAGATTGAGGAGTAGAAGCCCTTTAGAAACATCAACCAACGGGGGGGTTCCTATTGACTAAACATGGTCAAATCTCTCCTTTCCTTTTGTGAAATTGCCATCTCTGCTGGTCAACCACCATGATTGTTGAAAAATCTCCATGGATCTCCAATAGGTTCATTCCTGGTTGGTGGTTGACCTACCCCTCTGAAAAATATGAGTTCGTGAAATGGGATTCTTGTTCCCAACTGAATGGAAAAATAAAAAATGTTCCAAACCACCGACCAGATTCTGTAAGTTCCAACCTTGTGTGTTTTACTTCACAGCAAACATGGCACCCCCAGCGGAGAAAAGGGCCGTATCGATCTCACGTAAAATGATGTCGACCCAGCCTTTGCTGAGGATCAATGGCGCAGCAGACATCTCTGTGAAAATATGGGATGGTTCAAAACCTATTACCATCTTGTTATTTAACATAGCCATGGAAAATCCCTCATAAATGGAGGTTTTAATGGGAAAATCCACTATAAATGGGCCATTTTCCATGGCTATGTTAAATAACCAGAGGGTAACATATTTGGGGGCATCAACATCCATTAACCAGCTACTTCACGGTACCCAGATGCCAGATTACCAGGCTTAGGACCCAGCAAAATCATATGGCTACCAAGGAGCATGGCAACTTCGAATATGTTACTGGTTGGTGGTTTCAGCCCCTCAGAAAAATATGAAAGTCAGTTGGGATGATGACATTCCCAATATATGGAAAGTTAAAAATGCCATGAAACCACCAACCAGGATAAATATTACTATATGACAGCAGTGAACTAATACAATGCGTTCATCATAATCTGGCTACCCTCCAGGAAACATACACAAAAACACTATGGACATTCATGGTCGGACTTCCTGGAAGGACATGATCTACAAATGGACGATGTTCCATACGGTAATGCAAAATTGGAAGGTATCTATTGAAACCTGATCTACAATTCAAAGTGAATATTCAATGGATTGGTTTAAGGGAAGATCTACAGGAAACCAGTGTTTTTACCATCAAATATAGGGCGTTCCTGTAAATGTTCCCATCATCCGATTCTATGAAATATACCAAAAAAAAGAAATATATATATATATATACATATATATACACATACATGATATACCCTATAATACAATATAATATATGTAAACGATAAATATATACATATATTACATGTGTATATTTATACATCGTTCAATACTATGTTTATCCGGAAAAAACAACATTACTTGGGGACAACCATCATGCCTTGTCTCAGAAAGAGGTAAGCAAATAGGAAAACCAAATACAATACAATATGGACATATTTATATAGTGCATTATATTGTATTGTATGTGTGTAAATATAATTCTATGACTATCTATGTATAACACACATAGCCATAAATATTCCAAAGAACTTACCATCAGGCACAATCACCAGCGCTCTTCGTCTCCATCCTCCGACTGCAGTGCTGCTGGGCTTCCCCGCTTTGGGAACTCCGATTGGCCAAACAACAATGCTCGTAGTCGTAGTAGCCGGACCAACAGCCTGCAACTAGCCGTTGAGACAAGGGTTAACCGGTTAACCATGAATGCCCGGAAAAAAAATAACCCACTTACAACATCTTACAACCATGGTTGGGTCACATAAGGTTAACCATGGTTCTCCTCTACTTAAAACAAAATCCTCTTTAGTTTCATCGTTTTGTATCTGGTTGAAGGTTACAAGTGGTTCACATGGTGTAATGAAGGTACAGGGATTGTCGGGATCTATGTCCCAACACATTTCACGCATCATGGTGGCAACAGAATGAACTAGCCCGTGTTTGGTTCTGGTATGTTCTGGTATTGTATGCCTTTGTCCTGGCAGATTCAATCATGATGCTGTGCACTTTGTCTGGTTCTGTTTTGTGAAAAAGGCATAACTTAAGAAGCAAGTCCTTGGTCCACGCTGCCATTGGTTCCGCGAAGGGATCTTGCTGGGTCGCAAAAAGTAACAAAACGATAAACAACGCATGTCTTTACGAAAGCACCTGGATGTAGCTCTCCGTAGATCATGGAAATCCTTTAGGGTTGGAATCTGCAATTCTGAGCCGTACAACCATTTTGTATGAGAGTTGGTATGGATAAAGAGCACCCTTTGGGGATTAGTTAGGGGAAGATTCAAAAAAAAATACCTAGGACTTGTGACGCTCTTCGAACTCGCTCATGTTGCATTTTGAGGCATTTTTTACTTTTAGACACCTATAGGAAAAACCCGAAAAAATCTGAGCTGGTAGACCCTGGCGGCGATCCACAGGATCCCCATTGACCATGAGGCGACTTTCAAAGCATCACTTGCTGCCAGGAGGTATCTGTCGGGTGTAACCACGGGTGTAACCACGTGCATGAAAGGGAACTCAGCATCTGTCACTTCGTAACCGGCGTAACCCAAGTTTCGGTGGCCCAGGTTCTGAACTCGCTGCCACATTGTTGATTCTACCCTCGACAACCACAGGTTCACAGGTCTGTTGCGCTCATCACGTCGGCGCTGTCATGGGGCCTTGTGGAATGTCAGGAAGTAACAGGGGTTGCAAGGATGAGGTGACGAGATGTGAGATGTGTCGAGTTTTCGAAATTATAGGTTCATATAGATTCTATAGATATGTCAAAAGATGTCAAAGGTAGAAATAAATTACATGGAGAGTAGGCATCATTTGGAAGATGTTGGCAGCATCTTTATCTCTGGATGGGCTCCAAGACGCCCATCAGATTCTCACTGCTGACATCGAAGTGAGGTCCTTGTAATTCATCCAAATAAAAAGGGCATATGTTGAGCCATATTTGACCATCGTTAACCATAATCAACCATTAAGCATCAAGAAAAATACTTAATCATTAGTTTCATTGCCTTGGCTACATCTGATCATAAATCCTATCTTAGTGCATTAAACAAACAAATGAATCAATATAAATGAATCAATATATATATATATATATATATACATTGATACTTATATAATATCATCATATGATATCATAATACATATATATAATATCATCATATAATCATGTACAAATGCATGTAAATGAACATGTAAATCAAAAGACAAAGCCATAGAATTCCACTGATCGAGCCTGGGTTCCCGTTCTCCCCATGCTTTTGATCGCAGCCTCTGCGCCGCGCCGTTGTGGGCCAAAAGTGGGAATCAACAGCGTTTGGAAGGGCGGTTTCCCGGTATTTGAACCACGGGAAATTTATGGGGATATACCGTATTATACCATCATTATAATTATCATATAAAATTAAAGATAATATAAGATAATATGGGTTATGGTAAAAAATGGTTTACCATATCTCCATAATTATCCATATAAATCTAACCATGGGGATATCATGGGGAGATATGATTTATCAAATGGAAAACTGATGGGATGGGGTATAATAAGATCGACCATGTGCTGGGGATATAATCAAGGAAACAATTGGGATATCATGGGATAGCATGGAGATCTAGTCTATGATGGATTTCAATGAGAGATACAAAACCACACCATTATGACATAGTATGACATGCGAAGTCTGATGTGGCAGGTTCCGTAGCACTGTTGGTGGTGACCACATATCATTACATATTATGGCTCATATATGCCTATATATATTATAATATATATTATAATATATATATCTTATATATATATAATCTATTGTAATCTATGTAGAATACATGTGGCTTGTCCAAAAAAGGTACCCCAATTCATATACCATGGCTTCATGTCGGCTTCATGTTTTTTCAGAAATGATGATCTCCCAGGAGAATCCAGGTCATTCGCCTTGACTTGGTGATCCCATCGAATCATGGGTTTTCCCATTAAAAAAACATCAGAAAAAATGGGATCTAACTTAAGAAACCCCCATATGGCTTTGTCTGGAAATAGTGTACCCCTTTTTACCCAATGGTTTTGCTGATCATTATCCCGTTTTTAAATGGCTATTTCATTGGGAATATACCCTATTTTCAGACAAACCCATATTTTGCCCATTCATGAGGATTTCCCATTGCTGCCATTGCTCACCCGCAGCTGAGTCTCCCAGCAGGCTTCATAGGTGAAAAGTTTGCCGTCCCAACAGTCCGCATTGGGGCAACACTCCTATGTTGGCCCCCACACTTGTAAGTTGGTTTACAGTACATACCACCAGGTTATTTAACATAGCCATGGTATAGTTGGCCCATAGAAATAGATGGTTTACCTGTTAAAAATGGTGATTTTCCATGGCTATGTTAAATAACCAAATGGTACCACCAAACTGCAGATTTGTATCTACCATCCACCATAGTTCGCCGACTAAAAAAAGCCTCGTTCTCTGTCTACGTGGCACCACATTTGCCTGGCACATTCCGGAAGACCTACTAGACTCTATAAATTCATTGACCCATTGAAGCTTTATTTCTCCCTTTGCAATCAATATCATAAATATCTCATATCTCAATAATCGCCAGTGGCTCATGTGGCTAGCTTCAACTGCTTCAGCTGTTGATAGCCGCACGATGCGCGTCCTCAAAGCTGTAGGACTCATCCCAACATTCCGCGTGGCTCGTGGCGTCTCCCTGACAGCACCTCGATTGGTCCAATGGGAGATTCACAAGGTGGTGCCCCCTACATAGCTAAGTAGGCTTATAACTCTAATAACTATGGTTTACCTTAGGTGATATATCTATAGTTAATGGGATTATAAACCAACTTATAACTTGGGGGGCACCACCTTGCAGTCATAGATAGAAATCTCAGAACCTGATAGCGAATCACTTGCTGCATCCGAGGATGCAGCCACAACATCGACGTATGTGGCTGCTCGTATAACCAGAACGCCATCTTGGATTCCACAAGCCACGCGGTGACTGCCATAAGGGCAACCATGTCCTTACAACTGAAAGAAATACAATCCCAAAGAATGACCGAAAACTGGAAGATTATATTGACTATCCCAAACTGAAATAATACAATCCCAAAGAAATACATATTATAAGAACTAGTTTCTATTAATATTGTGTGGATGGAAGAAATCGATGTCCAAACATCTTGTTTTCGGTGTTTCTCAAGGGTTGTGAAGACCTGAGCGATGGTGGTCACTGTTGCAGAATGCGGGGGTGGCGTGATCAAGACCCTTGCGCCATTTAATTTATGTGCCCAAACAAACATTCAAAATGGTCTACTTAGCCTCTGGTAAATTAACATAGACCCTGAAAATAGCCTAGTTTTAATGGAAACTAATCTTCCAACCCCTATCTGCCAGGGTCTATGTTAATTTACCAGAGGCTATGTGTATTTATGGTCTATTTATGTGCAAATGTTCATCAACATTCATCAACCACATGTTCATCAATGATTTTGTATTGATCCTTCCCTTCTCAATTTGGTTTTTGTCTGAAAATAGGGTACCCCCGAACTGAAATGGTATCAAACCTCATCGTCTCATCAAAATAACCAAATTTTGAGGTATAAATCCACCATATATTCAAACAAACCCAAAATCATACAACGTGCGTGTTACCCTCCCACGAACTAATAGTTCTTTTTGTGGAAAGCAATGGGAAAACTGACCATTTCCAGATCATTGTCCCATATTCATATTTTCCCTCCAAAAACCATGGCTGGTTGGTGGTTTCAACCCCTCTGAAAAATATGAAATTCAGTTGGGATGGATTATTCCCATATATTATGAAAAGTCATAAAAGCCATATTCCAAACCACCAACTGGATGGGTTTTTCACCTCTTTTTCTACCCTACCCTCATCCAAAATCCTATCGCCACTGGCGCCCGGACGTCTCTTTGGACTGGTCTGCCTCAGGACGACTTGGCGCATTGGCATGGCAGTGGAGAAATCCTGGTCATTTATAGCAATTGAATCCAGCTTATTGATCATGAGAAGTGGAATGAGAAATCCGGTCTTATTCTCCAGAACTTAAATTGAATCCAGAAATCCGGTCTTATTCATTTAGCTTATTGATCAATTTTCTATAAGAGAATAAGATCATAAGTGGTCAGGCTAAATGAATGGAGAGTATTTTCCGGAAAAGGTGTGTTTTATGGAACTTACTGATCCAAATGGCTAGAGGGTACCGTACAGTACCAAATGGGATCCAACAGGCCCATTGGGAAGCAATACATGGATGCAGCATGAAGTTGGGCAAAGTCATGAAAGATCTGTGAAACAAAGATAATCTTACTGGTGCTTAGTAGGGAATGGATGGGAATGGGGGAATGGGATTATCATTGATAGTTGTTGTGGATCATTCCCTCATTCCCTACTAAGCACAAGTAAGTCATAAAACATTCGTCAAGAATCAGAGAAAGCAACCACTGATGCGACAAGGGATCATCGCATAGATCGTTGTATATCGTGGCAGCCAAAAAAAGGGACACTGAAAGAATTTCTGCCAGGAAATAAGCTCCACAAATTGGTGAACATATTGATAAAACATGATAAAATCATGGTTTGCTTTTATGTTTGCTGGGCAATCCCGGGCATGACAAGAGTAAATATAAGGCCTAGACGCTGAAAACACATTTCCTGCGTGATTCGATTGGTCATTGATCAGAAGAAAGATCAAATCATGTTTCCAAACATCCATCAACGTCAACCATTCAATCATATCAGTTTAAGCAGCAGCAGCAACAACAACAACAACAAGAAGAAGAAGGACGACAACAAGAATTCTCAGCAATCACTTTGTGTGTTGATCCCACAAGCCTTATATCTGTGGATAAAGAACAAAAACAAGCAGGCTTCGTGGCTGTCCATAGCCACGTTGCAGGATATGAGTGATGTTCCTTGGTGACCCATGAGTAAAGCCCTGGCCCTGGCAACAGAAATCGGTCATCATGAGTTGCTTGCGTTTATCCTCTAAAACCTCCCATAATCAGGAGATTGTCTTCGGCAATCCATTCTATCTCTTCAGGTTAGTGGTGAACATATTATAACCCATTGCACATACAATTCCCCTGGCAAGTCGCACGTCACGCAGGTATGTATCCACGTCTCATCGTGGATTGCACGTCCATTTTCCAAAAGGTTCCATCGCCCCTTGTGGAGGTGATATTCCCAATCGAACCACAATCAATTCTGGGATATATTCGACCCTCATGGGTGATTACCACCAATCATGCAATGTATGGCAAAGATTGATTCATCATAGAATCATAACCTACCATTCATTTATTGACCCATATTCACGCACATCTTGATGCTTAAATGCCATTTCTGATCCACCTGACCCCACCCAGGCATTTTCCTTGCGAGAGGGGTCTTCATGCTTGGCTGTTTATCAACATCACAAATTTATATCTGCCATATCTTCTTATGTTTCTCACAATTCAGAAGCGTATTTCTGGGCAAAATAAACCATCAAATGCATTAAATTGCCATTAAATTGCATTAAAATCCACCGTGTCTGACTTGGTGAAAGTTGTCATTTCAGCATCAGGTC